AAAAAGCTCTTTGAGAGTCTCTGAGTCGCGAATATCGGCCGGCAGCTTCCCGAGAGCTTTACCATCGACCAAAAGATGCCCCTCCAATAGGTGGAAATGGAAGACTTGCGGTAGGGTTTGTTCGGTGCCCTTTGCTTTGGCGGTGACCCAACATTCATATGGATGCTGCAAATGCTCCCAGGTAGTGTACACTCTACCGGAGCGATTTGGCCATACCTTGTCCAGAACGCAATTGATACTGCTGGGATGTATCCTAATCGTGTTTTGGACGACTTGACGAAGTCGAGCAGACATCCTTATGTCACGGACTAACATGCTGCGCGTCAAAGTACTAAATTTGGTTATGTCCACCACTAGGCTCTCCTGGAGGGCAAGAGTTGCTTCAATAAAACACTGGGCACTTTCCATATCCAGAGGGACATGGGTATCGCTGTGCAGGGAGAAGGTACGCCGACAAAGTAGTGCAGCTAGGAAGCAATACCGAGCTGCTCTTTCTGCAACATCCACCTCTGAGGCGTTTCGAGTCTCATTACGCAAGTGGTTGATCCACTGGAGTGTAATATTGCGGACTCGGTAGAGCAAACTCTTAGCTTCTGCGGATGTTTCATGACATCCAAGGTTACAGAGCTGAAGAGTCAAGGTAAGCATTGTTTCCATATAGATAGTCTCGCGCCAATTCGGTGCGATAATCGAGAGATGCTGATGAATCTGCTCGATTAATTTCTTACAGAATTCGGCTTCCCTAAATACTGAACGTGAGATTCGCAGGGTATCGCTTAGTGCCCTAGGGCCAGCCTGCAATGTCAGATGACGCAATAAAATCATTGTCTCTAATGAGCTAAGGTTGAGATTCGATGACCCAAGCTCAATAAGGATTGAAACCCATCGGCTGTGCTTTCCCGCCATCAAGGCTTGGTGTGCCATGAATTCATGAGCAGTTATAGTGGGAGGGCACTCTCGGACTTTCGAAATTGCTTCATATGAGGAGGGACCTGGACCATCCGGGGCAAAGCTGGACGATGAGTAGAGGCCAGCGAGGGGATGGCTTGGGGGAAGTGAAAGAGAAAAATGGTGAGCAAGCGTGAGCGGGGCTCTATCCTTGCTCCATAATCGCTTTTCTGCATCATAATACCGGAATGAGAGACCTTGTGGAAGGAGAACATTCTTTTTGGCCGCTGGCAATTTCCTCCACTTGTAATGTGTACCTAAGTAAGACTTTGTGTAGGAGGCTAAAGCAAATCGGCCTTGATATGGAATGGGTCTCTTATAGTTGGCAAGTTGCTTGTAGTCTTCAAGTACAACGCGGGGCTCTTCCGCTGTTGGTAAATCTACCTGAGGACCAAGTCTATTTATGATGCTCCACGTAGCGCTGCGGTACACAGCAAAGGCTTCGGGAATTGCTAGTTCAAACACGATGGCCCGTTTTTCGGCGATTCTGTTGTCTGCGGGCAGATAGTCCTCGTGAACACTGATTTGCAGCCGTCGACGACAACGAATATGGTAGCAGTGATTGCATCCGCGAATATCATGAGTTCCGTCAGGATTTCTCCGCTGGGTGCATGAGGTCCGCGCGATCTTTTCAGATAGGCTTTGAAATTCACGGTTTACTTCCGCCAGCTCTGCTTCCTTTCTGTGCCGAGAAGCCACTGATGCGGCTTCGATTTGGTCTTGCAAGTGGACTAAATCCTTTCCCATGGAAGTCCTCAGATATCGATCCGCGAAGCACTCTGGGGATGGATCTGTGAATATGGTCATTTCCTTTTCCGATGCGCCAGTGCAACGCTTATGAATATAGTTTTGGATTTCCTGTAAGCGCTCCAGGTCGGTGAGACTAGATAAGTGTAGCACGTCCAGCAGCTCAGGGTGAAAGCCTGGGTGATATTCCTGGAGTAGTGGATATGCAACCAGAGCACATTTGTCCATGTACACCCACAGCTCAAATATGTTCATGATGAACTCACTCAGGTGCTCCTGATCTCCAGTATAAGCGTTTCCCGCAACATTGATATATTGGTTAATCCGTTGAGCAATGTCAATGCAAAGCTTCTGGCTCTTGAGGTTAGAAGTGGGAATTTCCCGTGAGCCAGACCGCAGTCTCAGCTCGAGATCTACAAGAGAGGAGTATTGTATTGACAAGGAAGCAAATTGCTCTGTCGTATTTCCTCGGGCCCTTTCAGCTAAGACCGCCGAATCTATGTCCTGGCCTCTGTTGGTGTCGTTCCGAGGAGCTTGTAGGGCCATTTGAAGGTAGGGCATGCTGCCTGGCAGACTCAAGGACATGTCTCTCGCATGGGCGTATAGTGGCAGCAGTGGGATCTTTCGCTGAACCGCTCTCTTGAATGCCTCCCATTCCTTCTTTATTACAGTATCGGCTTTCTCAACGTACTGTTGAAAAAGGGGCTCCAAGTTGTGGGCTAGACGAAGGTATGCTATGCGGACTGCTGAGGGTGAACGTGCCTTCGCCATTTCTAGTTTTACCAGACGGCGGCAGAGTTTGGCTTTAAGCCAGCCCCAATTCTCCATAGCCACAGTCCTCGTATTGGTAACATCGTTCAAGAGAAGAGCCAACACAACACACAGGAGGAACTTGTAGTACAGACGCCCCAGTTCACCTCCCAGTCGGAGGTATAGCAATCGTTGGACGCAGACCCGCAGCACCAACCAAAACGGACTGCGTCGCCATGGGAGCTCGGCATTATCCCAACAAACATCATCCTTTACGCGCTTAGATAATAATGGTGGGCATATGCGACAACCATTCACCCCGAGTAGGGTTATCAGGAACTCGTAGATTAATGCCGGGTCGACGACATCTCGACTCTCGGCCAGCTTCACCCCCGCTTTCCGTGACTTCGCCGCAAACTCATCTATCTGTTCCGTGCTGGCCATTTCCAGGAATGTAGCCAGACTCTCTTGGAGGTCCAGGCTCCCAAACTCTTCACCAGAAAGAGATATCGCCGTTCCTGGGAAATGCCATTGCAGCGCCCCAGAAGCAGCAAGCGTTTGCTCCGCACTAGGCGAAGCCTCAAAGCCTTCGATGATCACATCATCACTGCCTCTATAGAAGAATGGGTTAACCGGGAGTCTCCTTATGTACGGACTTGGAATGTCTCACTGGGCCTTTCGGAAGAGAAGTGCTGCGTTCTGCTCTGCGATATACACGATCACAGGGCTTTCTGGATGCAGTTTATCGAAGGCGTCTAGTAACGCGACCTTATTCACCATGCCATTCTCGTTCACTAGGCGGCAGGTATCCAACATTACCTCAATCCACTGCCATACCGCCTTCATATCATCATCGGCCATGCGATGGAGAGTCTGGACCGCATGGCGCAGGCGAGTGATAAGGTCGAGATCAACTTTTTCAGGTTGGCTGTCTCGTTTCCCCGGGAGCTTGGGGGGAAATGCGATATGATTGAAGGTATCGACTACAATTTTAGGGTTGGACATTGCAATGGGAAGTGGCGGGGTATGACACTATGTTATGATCGACGGTCATGCGCGTTTAAGAGTTGGGAGAGAAAGGCCAGCAGGGGAGAAGAGAATATTTAGCAGATAGTCTAACCGTGCCACTGACCTGTCGCCTAGTATCTTCGTCGGGGCTAATGCGATTGCGATTCATGGCCATCCGGGGGCACAGCATTTTGCTGGTTGTGATTGGCAAGGCGGCATCTTGATGAGCTACTACGGGTTATCACGCTTCGACGCTAGCTGGAGGGTGTAGGTCAGATGATAGTGCGTGATTAGCTTCTTGTTCGTTAATTCAGATAATGGAGATATCGCTGTCGTGCCATGAATGGTTGATTGTCGTGGAGCCTTCCTGTTGGTGAATCGAAAGGGAGCAAGGCTGAGGGGTTTTTCATGCGCCGGGATTTGGTCCCAGCGATATAGATCCAATGAGGCGCCCATTGAGGACGCGAGGCTGCGTAGCTCCCATGCCGACCAACAAGCCTCTCAGAGCAATAAAATTAAGTAGAACAAGCACGGCGGACGACATCGACGTCCCGGGCAATAGCGGATTGTCCCCGGAACCTTCGCGTTTTTCAGGTATCTTTTAGTCTGGAACACCGATTCATAGTATTCGTCGTATATTGAGAGTGTGGATTGTATATAGAGCTTATAGCTCAATTAAGGATCGTCGTATAACCTCGTCGAATGGGTAATAATGCATGGCGGGGATCATGGTTGGTGCCTAAAATCATGGGAATCTTTTCCATACTTCCATACATTTTTCATACGCTATACCACAACAGGCAAGTGGATGGTAATTCCACGACCGTAGTCGGCAGGCGGTAGGAGGCGGCAGACTGACGGTTCAACCGGACATCACCGGTCTTTCAATGTCATCGCCCTGGGAAGTAAGATCGTTCTGTTGACTGAAGCGCCAGTGCCATATCAAGTGTGGACACGCCGGTCAGTCACCTTCTCTCTTGGAGTGTTCAAGTTGTAGGTATGTCTTATCTCTCTATTTGAAGGTGAAAGTGCCACAAGAGAATGAACCTTTGTCAATATATATAAGTCAGATGTAAAGTGTCTGAAAATGAACATATCTATCATCAGGATCCAGAACCACGGTAAATTTATCATTTGGCAAAGCTGGAGTATCGTGTATCATAGCTAAGCGGGTACTGCTACTAGGGTGCTATATAAACTTATCTCTAAACCAGATACTGGTTGAGGGCCTGTAAGATGAGATACTAAAATATGTTGAATATGACAGAACCATAATTTCCATTGGCGAATCTGGTAAGATTAATGTGCGTGCGGGTCTTCGAGTGCCACCAATGTTGTTGCATGATCAGACACTAGTATCTCAGCAAGAATAGATCAACCTCAATCCATACAATTATAGACAGTCAGGCAGGCCCTTCTACATTTGTATATCTGACTATACCTCGCTAGCCTGTTTCCGACGAACAGAATAATCCTATGTAGCAAAACCTTCAGCTTCTTGGAAGCATCGAGATATACGGACATTACACATGGATTGTGATATGGAATTGATAGGGTCATATTCATATCATTCGCCTAAGCCAGGACGATACAAGCTCTCTACCCCTGTCCACCCAATTCTTTCATCTATAGGATCTCAAGATCATATCTTGGATTTCGGTTTTCGCTGCTGCGATGTACGAGCCAACCTTTGATGGCTCTGCGAGAAAGTGTGGTTGGAAACAGCACTGCAAGTGCTGACATCTAGCGCCAACGCAAAAGATGCAATCAATCCTGCAAAGCGCCCCTTCATGCCTGGTCCTGCGCACTTCATGATCTGGAGACACTCCTTCTGCGTCTCATAAACCGTCCCACCACCAATCACACCAACAGGTAAAGAAGGCAAGTACAACGAGACCTTCAAATCCTTGGTATCAAAGTCATACTCCGGAACGAGATGGCTCCAACACGCTTCCGCAACGCACGCAGCATCTTGCCCCGTCGCGATAAAGATGGCCGCAACGATATTCGACGTGTTGGCATTACAGCCAAATTGCCCGTTGCGGATCCCGCCTTCTTTACCTGTTATCAGGGTAGTATAGAGGTTGTAAGACGATGTGCCGAGAATCTTCTCGCAGGCTGAGTTCGTAAGCGTTCCCCAGGCCATGACCTCTACACCTCTAGTCATCCGGACATTACCCCACGACGGCTTTTTGTCCGAGGAGATGTTCCCATCAATTTGGAAACCGATGATTTCATACTCCGAACCCTGTGGCGAAGTGACGAGCATTTGGCAGGCCTTCTGCGTCGCGATCGTAACCATGTTCTGACCGGACGCGTCGCCGCAGTAGTAACTGATGTACAGATGTACGCTGGACCCTACGATATGCGGAACAATGTGTTGAAGGCGGAGGTGCCGGCTGGTCGATTCAGCGATGGTGGTGAATTGGCTCTGCAGCTCGGGGACGCTTTTGGCAAAGTGGATAGCGTGTCGTGGCGTTGGAAACTTGAACACAGGCGCCCGAGACATGCCTTCCCCGAGGATGTCGAATTGCAGACCGCCACAGGCATTGAAGACCTTGCAACCTCGGGCACAGCTGGCGACTAGAGCGGCCTCGGTTGTGGCGAGGGTTGCGTAGACTTGCTCATTTGTGGCATTGGGACCGTCGACCAGTAATGGCCCTGCAATTCCGACTGGAACCTTGACGAATCCAATGCAGTTTTCAACTTTGATTTTGGAGGTTTCTTCAGGAGTGTGGATGACGTGTTTCTTATCTTGGAGAAGATGCTGGAATGGTTTGGTGGCCATTGTTGCCTTGAGCACGGTATGCGTGGTATATTATGTTTGAATGTGTGTATAAAATTTGATTAATAAGATCTTAAGAAAAGGAGACTTCAATTGCAACGGGATAGATGGGCTCAGTAAAGAAGACGAGTGAGATATGAGGTATAACCGCTAGATGCGAGAGAAATATGTTTGGCAGATGTCGACTATTAAATAAAATTATCGGTGCCCCGAAACCGTGGCAATTCCAACCAAACAGTGGGGTTTGAATTCTCTTGAATCAGGGAACATTCCTTCGGACGCACCTGCTAGTCAGCAGTCATTGTGCCAATTTGTAATTCTGGCTGCATGACACCGGAGATATCCCGCGGTGTACGCGAAGTAGGTAGGCCGAGATCTTGCGCTTTGACGTCAGGATCTGCATTCGGAGTTGGTCCACCGAACTCCTCCGTACTGGCCACTCTAGTAACACGTTTATCGCCATACATGGAAGACATTTAGGCTTATCGTGGGGTTGATTTTGGGCCTCGTGGTTTTAGGGTAATCTGGAAGGATCTCACGAGGGCAAGGATCGACGATCCATTGATTAATTACTGACGAAGTGGCGAGTTAGAATCTCCGTGAAGGACGGGCAAAGTCAATCTGGAAGATTTAACTCAGGTCCAACTACCGCCCCGAGCCCGAATGTCGGACAGCCGTAAATAGTGGCCCGAGATGAGCACGTTTCCTCGGACGGCATCTTCATTCTTTATGGTGAGGAATGGTTGGATTTATGGTGACAGTATACCTTGTCCGGTGTACATCAATGACCCTTCTTGCAGATGCTAATCGCACATTCTCCAAGGCAATGGTTCGACCTTCAGCCGTATAGGTATAGGTGATACTTGTGACTAGCATTTTCAGAGCGTATTGAGCCCCACACACGAGCTCCGCGTAATGAGTATACGTTAGATGAAGTAAAAGAGTTCGCTCTATACCTCACATTGTGCCACTATTTCCCCGCCCCGAGAGATTCAAAGTCGGATACGATCAGCTGTCTTACAGCTCGGAATGATGTCCTTCCTGTAATCCATTCGGAGCACAGGGCACAATACTTCGGACTACCCCCTTCTAGACATGACCGGGAGAATATCACCCACGCACCGACGCCAACAGGTGACTCGTCATGAGTGGCAAAGGCGCCCAGCGGTAGAGGGGGACCTGCATACTTATACTTGATTAGTATTTATTCGTGCTTTTCTTTCATCCGTCCGATTATAATTGAAATATCTAGAGACTCTTGTCCAATTCATGCCTCACTTACCTATTTCTCTCAATTCTACGATTATCATGTCGCCACATAGTACAAATGGATGCTCATCACCATCACCCAATAGGGGAAGCAAGACCAAAGCTGTGAACGGTGTGCTGGATATGCCAAACGAAGATATCACGCCGGTAAATGGCAAGCAACAGTCACACCCGGTGCCTATCGCCATTTGCGGCATGGGGATGAGGCTTCCGGGTGGTATCAATGATGCGTCAAAATTGTATGATTTTTTGAGAACAAAGAAAGACGCCCGACAGCCGATCCCCAAGGGTCGATTTGACAATGATGGCTTCTATGATCCCCACAGGCGTCCCTGCAGTTTACCCATTGACCATGGCTACTGGCTTGACGAAGAGGACTTAGCTCGGTTTGACCCCTCTCTTTTTTCAATGAGCTTGGCCGAGGTGGAGAAACTGGATCCTCAGCAGCGCGTGCTTCTCGAAGTGGTGCGAGAAACATTTGAAAACGCAGGTGAAACTGGCTGGCGGGGGAAAAACATTGGGTGCTATGTGGGAAGCTTTGGTGAAGAATGGAATAATATCCATGCGAAGGATAGTCACAACCGTGGCTTCCTTTCCATCACAGGCTATATGGATCTTACTCAGGCCAACCGGATTTCGTATGAATATGATCTGAAAGGACCTAGGCAAGTACAACAGCCGTCATTAACGCGCATGGAAGTACGGAAGCATGGAACTAACTTAATTTCTACATAGCATGACCGTCCGTGTTGGCTGCTCTGGGGCCGGCTTGGGCCTCCATTTAGCCTGTCAGGCGATCCAACTAGCGGAGTGTTCGTCAGCTATTGTGGCTGGATCGAGTGTCATCCTCTCTCCTGAAACCACGATCCTCATGGCCGAGGGTGGCGCCCTTTCCCCTGATGCTTCCTCCAAAACATTTGACGCTAGCGCAAACGGCTATGCGCGGGCGGATGGAGTAAATTGCCTGTACATCAAGCGACTGGATGAGGCCCTCCGTGACGGGAACCCCATCCGGGCCATCATTCGATCGACATGTACCAACAGCGATGGCAAATCACAAGCACTGACGGTCCCGAACATCGATTCCCACGAAGCATTGATTCGATCTGCCTATCAATCATTGGGTGATCCTTCGCAGACGGCGATGGTTGAGTGTCATGGCACAGGCACGTCTGTCGGCGATGCGATTGAGGCCAATGCAGTGGCAAGGGTATTTGGTGATCATGGAGTATACCTTGGCGCAGTAAGTTTATCTCCATTGATCCCACTTTGTTTTAGGGGGTTGGCTAACATGTTCAAGGTCAAACCAAACCTAGGCCACTCGGAAGGCGCGTCTGCAATTACTAGTATCATGAAGGCTGTTATACAATTAGAAAATCGTGTTATCCTCCCTAACATTAAGTTTGAGAAACCCAACCCTAAGAGTGAGTATTTTATGACCATATGTATGATAGCTAAATGCTGACTTTTATCAATCTAGTCCCATGGGTGAAAGCTCGTCTGAGGGTTCCAACTGAGCCAATGCCGTGGCCACAAGATCGTTTGGAGCGCATAAGTGTTAACAGCTTCGGAATCGGGGGCACAAATGTACATGTAGGGATTCGCGCCACCTCCAATGGTACCACTGTATGCTGACACTAGCTATAAGGTTGTACTGGATTCTGCTGCATCTTACGGATTGTCCAGAGCTCAGTCGCAGCTCGAACCCGATGTGGCAAAGGTGCACCCGACCCTCCTGTTCTTGTCCGCCGGCCACGAGAAGTCTCTAAGGCAAATGCAAGATAACTTCCTTTCGTATGCCCACGAACATGTGGACCAGCTGGATGATCTAGCTTATACCCTTGCCTATCGAAGGGAGTCTCTCCCGGTCAGAGGGTTTTGCGTTACCGATGGGACAGACAATTGCGTGGTATCTGCACCGTTCAAGGCTCCGTCGCCACGGCGGACTGTCTTTTGTTTTACTGGACAAGGCTCCCAATGGCCTCGAATGGGTTATGACCTTATGATGAGATATCCTGAGTTTATGCAGGATATCCATGATATGGACAAGATTCTTCACCGACTGGATAAGCCCCCCACTTGGACCTTGGAAGCTGAGCTTCAGAAACCTAAGGAAACATCGTTGATTAACCAAGCAGAATATTCCCAACCGGCTTGCACCGCCATTCAAATTGCATTGGTCAACCTGTTAAAACGATGGGGTATCGTTCCGGCAGCGGTGTTCGGTCACTCAAGTGGCGAGATTGCCGCCGCATATGCTGCCGGCACAATATCCATGGAGGAAGCCATTATTGTTGCCTACTACCGAGGATATGTGTCGCACCTGCAGAAAAGGCCAGGGGGAATGGCCGCTGTCGGCCTGGGACGTGCGGAGATATCTCCATGGTTGGTGCCAGGCGTTATCATTGCGTGCGAGAACAGTGGATCCAGTGTCACCATCTCAGGGGATTCCGAACCGTTGAAAGCAGTGCTTCACCAAATTCATGTCGACCGACCTGATGTTTTTCAACGAATACTTAAGATCGAAAAGGCGTATCACTCAGGTCTGTTTGTCTGCTCATTGGAGCTTATTGGTAGCTGACAAGATCTAGACCATATGAAAGAGGTCGGAAATCTATATCACGACCTCATTGCACACCATCTACATTCTAGAGAACCATTGATACCTTTCTTTTCTACCGTCACGGACACCGTTCAACAGAAGGCGTCTCAGTTCGGCGCTCGATACTGGCAACACAACCTGGAAAGTCCCGTCCTCTTTTATCAGGCATGCAAAAGGATCCTCCAAAGGGAAGAGCTACATGATTGTATACATTTGGAGATTGGTCCCCATTCTGCTCTCGCCGGTCCTTTGCGACAGATCTTCGCTGAGCAGAATGCTTCTAACCCGTACCTGTCCGTGTTAAAGCGAGATGGGGACGGAAGGACTTCATTTTTGAGTTGTCTTGGAGAGCTACATTGCCGGGGGGTGAGCATCACGTATCCAACTTGCTCGTTCCCTTATAAATCCCTTTGTGATTTGCCTTCATATCCTTGGCACCGTGAGACGGCATACTCGGACGAGACTAGAGTCATGAAGAATGCCCGGTTCCGCAAATTTCCACCACATGACCTTCTCGGAATCAGAACCATCGAAAATAGTGATGTTGAGCCAGTATGGAGGGGGATGCTACGCCTGAGCGATGTTCCGTGGCTCCGGGATCACTGCGTGGGAAACGATATCATTTTCCCTGCGGCTGGATACATCGCGATGGCGGGTGAAGCCATCAGACAGTTGACGGGTCTAGATGACTTCACTGTGCGCGACCTGTCCATCAAGACAGGAATGATCCTCGAACCGAACCAGCCAACTGAAATCATCACCAGCCTTCGCCCGCACCGGTTGACAGACTCCCTCGACTCGAAGTATTATGAGTTTACTATACAAACCTATAATGTATCAACGTGGACGAAGCATTGCTCTGGTTTGGTGACAGCCGGTTGCGCCTCGCAATATTCGGGCCGCAAAGTGTCGTCATTTCCTCGCGCTGTGGACCAAAAGCGATGGTATAATGCTATGGCTAGTGCTGGGCTGCGTTATGGCCCTCGCTTTACTGGCCTAGATAATATCTCTGCGGCAGTCAATGAGTCGGCATCGTTTTCGGTAGCTTCGGATACGAGAGACTCGACCGAGTCTCCATATGCCCTTCATCCTACTACGATAGATCTCATCCTCCAGTCTTGCATAGTCGCCCTCTTCCGTGGCCAGCCCCGCCTTCTTCGTAAGCCCCTTCTACCCACATTTATCGACGAGGTCTATGTTCGTGGTGGCACCACGGGAGAGCCAATCCAAATTAACAGCTGGGGCTCGATGGGAAAGACTTGTGCCGGAGGTAAAGCACACTCTTATGCAATCACGGCGGAAGGAGAGCCGGCCTTCTCTCTGAAGGGTCTCCAGTTTTCTGCCCTGGACAATGAAGCTGAAGCTGAATCTAAGCCATTGGAGACGGCACACCTGGTGTGGAAGCCACATCTCGACTTTTTCGATTGCAATGCACTAATCTCTCCAACTAACGACTCTGAGCTGAGATCTGCCAACTCTCTCAACGAGCGACTGTTTCTATTGTGTATCCTCGATGCGGCAGAATCAATCCGGGATGCGGCCGTAGTGCATGATCACTTGAATTCATATCACACGTGGTTATATCGTCAGTTGGATCGTGTCAAGGAACCTGGTTATCCTCTGGTACCAGATGCACAAACGCTAGTATCTTTGCCTCCGGATCAGCGAAAAGCAGAGATTCAGAGCATTCTCAAACAGGATACCTGCGGTAGCATGGATGCCACTCGAAAGGCCATTTTCCGCTGTTATGAGCATCTGCCTAGTCTATTAGAGGGTAGGACCGATCCGCTAGAACTGATGCAGCGTGATGGCCTTCTTGGCGCCTACTATGACTGCTTGCAGGACCGGCACGAATACAAGACCTTCTTGCAACTACTTGGTCACCTACGGCCGCAGATGAGAATCCTCGAGGTTGGAGCTGGTACCGGAGGCCTGACAGCGAATATTCTGGCCTGCTTAGGCTCGGAAATGGGCCAGCATCTGTATCAGGAGTACACGTACACGGACGTGTCGCCAGGTTTCCTTGTTAATGCCAAAGAGAGGTTCAAAGACCATCCCTCGATTACGTATGATATACTCGATATATCGCAAGATCCGAAAGAACAGGGTTTCCAAGAGGGGTACTATGATCTGATCATTGCCTCTAACGTGTTTCATGCGACACCGAGCCTCCATGAGACACTGACACATGCTAAAATACTCCTCAAGCCAGGCGGCCGGCTGCTATTGCAAGAGTTATGCAATACGTCCAAATGGACCAACTTCGTCTTTGGTTTGTTTCCTGGATGGTGGCTGGGTGGAGCCGATGGCCGCGCGGATGAGCCGTTTATTCAGCCGGAGGAATGGGACCGGAGACTACGTGACGCAGGTTTCGAGGGCGTTCAAGCAGTTGGGCTCGATGCTGAGCGTCCATACCAGCTCAACTCTATGATTGTGGCTCAAACTAGTGACCATGTTAGCGTCCCTCCAACCAAGGTCTCTCTGCTCTCCATGGACCAGGTGCACCCAGCGGCTATGGAAGTTGAAAAGCATCTACTCGCTGAAGGATATGAGGTAGACCACGTGTTATATGGTCAAGAACTGTCTCAGGAGCAGGACATCATTTCGTTTGTCGACCTCGATTGCCCTTTCTTTGATAATATACCAGGAGATAGATTGGATAGCTTCTTACGGACCATGGAAAATCATTCCTTGTCGAACATAATCTGGCTGACCAGGCCAGCCCAGATTCAGCCGAAAAATCCACGTTTTGCTCAGGTTCTGGGGATGGCACGAACTCTCCGGTCTGAATTGGGCCTGTCGCTTACGACTATTGAGATGGAAGACTTTGGCCCGGGCTCTGTCCAGGCGATATTTGGCGTTTTGCGCGCTGTCCAGCGGCATGCGATGGACGAAAGCGCATCTGATTTTGATCCAGACTACGAATACGCATGGTCTAACGGGGCACTTCAGGTCAGCCGCATGCATTGGTTTTCCCTACCTCAGGCTTTGACAGACGACATGAAAGACGAATCAACGACCAGCTTAAATATTGGTCAGCCAGGTCTTCTTCATACTCTCCGTTGGGTGGCGGAGCCCTTGGAACAGCTGCCTTCCGATGAAGTGCAGGTCAATGTCCAGTCGGTGGGAATGAACTTCCGGGACCTAATGTGTGCCATGGGTGTAGTGGATGACCGTGACGGCAATGGAAACCCACTAGGTATTGATAGCGCTGGTCTGGTTACCTCAGTTGGGGAAGAAGTGACTGACCTAGAGGTTGGCGATCGAGTATTACTTATCAGCCCCTCCAGGGGTGCTCTGAAGACCAAACTCCAAGTATCTCGTCAGCTTTGTGTCAAGATTCCCAACAACTTGAGCTTCGAAGATTCGTGTACCATGCCGACTGTCTATCTCACCGTCCTGCGCGCTCTTCATGATAAAGCCAACCTCCAACGTGGGCAAACGGTTCTCATTCATAGTGCAGCCGGCGGAGTTGGGATTGCGGCTCTTTACTACGCTAAATCAATCGGTGCGCAAATATACGCCACGGTTAGTACTGAGGAGAAGATCACTTTTCTTGTCGAGACCATTGGAATCCCGCGGCAGAATATATTCTACTCTCGTGACTCCACCTTTGTGGAGGATATCATGAAATCTACTAGTGGACGGGGAGTGGATGTCGTTCTGAACTCACTCTCCGGTGATCTTCTGCATGCCTCCTGGAAATGTGTTGCACAGGGTGGATGCATGGTAGAGATCGGAAAGCGAGATCTATTAGGGAGAGGAAAATTAGCCCTGGATCCCTTTTTAGATAATCGGACATTCTTTGGAGTGGATGTTGCGACACTTCCGACGATGGATATTGACAGTGTTCAGCGCTTGCTCGACATGACAATGAGACTTTATGAAAAGGGCGCCATCCTTCCTATTCACCCAATTACCATATTTCCGGCTGACCGCGTTGAAGATGCCTTCAGATATCTTCAGAAAGGGCAGCATATGGGGAAGGTCGTCGTCAATTTCTCCCAGGCGCTAGATTTGCCACGGGCTCCAACTGTGCCTGACCTGTCACTGCGTCCAGACAAGGCGTATTTGCTTGTTGGTGGTATGGGGGGAATCGGCGGTTCTATCGCACGCTGGATGACTTCAAATGGCGCCAGACACATCGTCTTTCTATCGCGCTCCGCTGGCAAAAAGGAGGAAGATAAAGCGTTGATGCATGAATTAACCGAAATGGGCTGCAACGTGTTAGCAGTCGCAGGCGATGTCTGTGACATATCAGTTGTTCGTAATGCTGTCTCTGCCGCCCCTGCACCAATTGCGGGTGTTTTCCAACTCGCTATGGTTCTGGCCGATACTGGCGTGCTGCTGATGGACATTGAAAAGTGGAATGCTGCGGTACGGCCCAAGGTACAAGGGACATGGAATCTGCATGAGGCCTTGCCGTCAGATCTGGGCTTTTTTGTCATGGCATCGTCACTGTCCGGCATATGTGGGTACTGGGGCCAGTCCAACTATGCGGCAGCAAATGCCTTCCTTGACGCATTCGCTCAATATCGTCGTTCTCGGGGGCTCGCAGCCACCGCTATTGACCTGGGAGCAGTGGACGAAGTCGGCTTTGTCAGCCGCAATCTTGAAGTGCGTGAGAACGTTCAGAGAATGCTAAACACATTGATTTCAGAGCAAAGCCTCTTGGACTGTGTCCAGCTCGCCATTTCCAGATCCAACCCATCAACCAAACTGACGATGGACGGATATTATAATCCGGGTCAGCTAGTCCATGGACTGATGTCAATTGCAAGCACTGAAGGCCAAAGCATCTGGAAGCGCGACCCACGGTTAGCTCTGAGCTATAATCTGGAAACTGGTCAGCCATCAGCAGGCAGTGGCCGCGGCACTGGTGATGAAGTACTGAAAGGCTTCCTTATGGCCGTGCAGGACAGCCCGGCCAAACTCAACGAGTCGTCTAGCGTCTCAATCCTGGCTCGTGAAATATCCCGCCAAGTGTCTGTTTTCCTAATGAGATCTGGCGATGAGGATGTTGATTTGGCACTTTCCCTGCCTAGTTTTGGGGTTGACTCGTTGGTATCCATTGAGATCCGAAACTGGTGGAAGCAAACCTTGGGAGTAGACATCAGTGTTCTTCAATTGATGAGCGGTGCAAGCTTTGCAGATCTCGGCAAAAAGGCCATCGACCAGTTGAAGGAGAGATACTTGGGAAAATAATAGGGGAACCTTTCCACATTGTGCCGGATCCCAGTCATTAAGCGCAGGCCACCGGGAAGATCCTTTCCAAAGACAGTATTTGTATATATTGTGAAAACATAGCGGTGTATGGCATCAAACACGTAGAAAGTTCCATCCATCAATGTCAGGATTTGCCACATAAATGCATAGATCAGCACCAGAATAGTGTAATTAACCCAGATTACGTATCGACTTAGTTTTATAATCACACGTGCGGCACTAGTTCTCTTGTTATATAAAGGATGACTTTTCTCCCCAAGTACCTTTCAATTTCTCTTCACTTTTCCAACTTCCCAAGCCTGGAATAGATTGACATTATTAGTCATGGGCTCTATTGGAAGAAAGTTCGATGCCTTTCACCGAGTGGACAGGGAGTACGGCGATATTGCCGGCCACCCCCTGGAGGCAAGCCTCTTCGTCCCAAAGACTACAAAGCCTGGGGCCTCCTGTCCAGTGCTTGTGCATTTTCACGGTGGTGGGTTCATTGTTGGCCATCGACTCTATGAACCGTGGTATGCAGACTGGTGAGTCTATCTTCTTTCCCTTCCTTTATACAAGCAAGGGAAAAAAAGAGAGAAGGTATCTGATAGCATACGTTACAGGTTATTGGAAATGGCACTGTCTAAAGGGGCGGTCATTGTCAGTCCGGACTTTCGTCTCCTACCCGAAGCGAGCCCTTTAGAAGTGCTTGACGACATCCACTGTTTCTGGCAGTGGCTACATCAGGATGCTGCTGCAGACGCCATGTCTTGGGTATACTGCCCAGTAAATCTGGATTTGGGGCAAATTGCGCTACACGGCGAAAGTTCTGGTATATCCTTTATCATCACCCCCTTTTAAGATTCCTACTCAAATTGCTGATAAATGTCCAGGCGGCTGGCTCGCAGTTCAATCCTGTCTGAAATTTCCTGAAGCCCGTATAAAATGTGTGATTACCAGCAGCGCAAGCCTTGACAGCCAAATACCTTATCTCACAATTCCTGGACCCAAAAACATCATGGGCCAGCCACCCATTCCGGCTCGCCAGGCGGAATTGACGATACGAAAATACATACGTGGGATTGTCCCCGGTGCGATCCGGACAGCTACCGAGCCCACAGAGTCATGGCACCTTTTTATCTGTATGATCCAGCAAGGCTATTACTCTCGTATTTTCAACACACCCCATCACGAGGACCTCGATATTATGAAAGCCGTGTCTGGTATGGATGATATCTGTCCAATCTGGCTTATGCATGGTACTGGGGATACCCTTGTACGTTTTGCTTTCCCTACTCCTTGAACTCACACCAAAAGCCTGAAAATGGGTTTGGATTAAGGAATGTTCGAGCCATGGCTAATATAATTCAGGTCCCCTCTGAATGCTCATCAAACTTCGCGTATAAGATGAAGAAGATAAAGCCAGATGTGCCGGTCCTCTTGACTCTGCGGCCTGGTGAGCATGGATTTGATAAAGCATGTTCCATGCAGGAGGAATGGATGGAGGAAGGGGTTTCATTCGTGGAGAGATATTGGCCTTGATCACTGAATGAAATCAGCGTAGGATGTCAGGTGGTCTTCCTTCCTTTTAGGATGCTTGGCCCTTCAAGCTGATTTTAGGTGGTGTATCTGCTAGACACATGTGGATGGTTACTTCAATAACATGGTATTTGGATCGCGAACTCTCTTTGATGTAATATGATAACTCATCCAATATTATACTATACTTCTTCATGTAACATGTTCACATCATCCCATTCTCACCATGATAATCGTTTGATTGAATTGTTTCTGTAGGTCCCGGACAATACTCTCATGAGAGGACCACTGCTGTAACATAACGATCTTCTCCAGTCTACTTAGTAGTGAACTAAGCTTCGTGATCCGCACGTTAACCAAGCTCCGTAACACCTGCATTTCATCTTCACTGTCTAGCTTCCACCGCCTGATTTCCAGCCCCGTGTCCCGAGGATCACTGTAACTGCCTGATTGACTGCTAATCAACTCATCTTTGTTAAATCCTACAGATCTGGTCATAGATGAAGCTGAGACTAAATCTCGGATACTGGTCAACATTTTGTCACTGATGTAGGTCACCATTGTGATATGCTCAGACTGGGAGCTGCATAGGGGACACTCCAAAAGTGTCTCACAGCTGGCTAGAGCATCCTTTTGTAAAGAAAGTGTGTTGCGTGCATTAGAATAAAAGGCTTCTGGGGTGTCCTGCAATCCCACGGCCGTGGCCAACTGGACCGTTTCGAATGTGCGTAGGATCTGACTCAGGCATGAACATAGGGTTGATTTGGGATTGGTTCCGGATTTAAAGGCAATCTCTGGCTGGTATCCGGCCCCATGAGCTTTCTCTGAGTCCGGTTGTAAATCGCGAAAGAAGGGTATAGAAAAGAAGGATGTGTCTTGGGTAAGATAGTCAATGGTGTTCGTGTCAAGATTGTGAACTTCGTCAGGGCTGCTTTCTAACGAGACAGAAAAGACCAAATCAGTAACCACAGGACTCGAAGAGTGCAAAGAGGCACTGCAGGTAAGAACCAAGCTTGTAGTTTTAAAACTCACCGTTCCAATGGTAGTAATTGGCAGCATCAAGCGTCCCTATTTGGCCAAGCATATGATTACCGTCCGCCAAGCCCTCCTCCATCATCACACCATTTGTAACAGTCGGCTCCCTGATATATGCAGCGCCACCATGGTTGCCTGCTGCTAATGGACGCCGCTCTGTATGGGATGTTCTTTCTTGGTCCTTTGCCTTGGATAGAGACTTTGGACTGGAGGGACGGGGATAAGTACAGTCGAGCTTTTTCAATCGGCATCGACGGCAACCATTACGTTCTCCAGTACATTTTAACTGTAGAGCAGGCCTCGTCAGGGACGATGACTAATAAAGAGACACGGTGAAGATAATGTACCTTTTTTGATCTGCAATGGATGCAGGCGACACGAGTTAATTTGCCCTGGCGCTTCCTGTCAAAGGGTGGAAGGACGCTTTGCCAAATGTCACGCCTGTTCTCTAAATGGATGTGTCGAAAAGTGTTAAACATGGTGAACTCTGGAAAATCAATGCATAAAGAGGCTGTGTTGAGTAAACATAACTGGGGATTGACTGGCTTTATGAAACCAAGGGAATCTATGTATTTCAATTTACCCTTGTAATATGGTCTGTAGAGTTTAGTAAACAAATATACTACCTAGAGGTAAGTTTAACTGAAGCAGATCTATGAAGATATGGGTAGTGATGAGCCATGCCATCAAGCATGGTCAAAGCTTAGCGTATAGAATTGAGTATTTGACCTGTGTTAGCCGTTTAACCCCGAGGGAATTTCCTTAACCGGTGCTTTTAACCCCCAAAATAGAGGGAATAGTTATGTCAAGAGTCCTTTATGCAGCACCTAGTCCTACTAGTATACGGAGTTGCATGTATCGAATACTAGCACGAACTACTACAACCGAGGGGGGCTACAAAGTATGCTAGGTAATGCGATTTGGCATAGATTAGGGCGTGACCAATGCGCCGGGTCTTCTTTTCTGGGGATGTCCAACAATTGGGCCACCTGGTCTGTTCTTCAAGGGTCGACCCGCACTTGAGAATGGCGGTTGAACGTTTATTGAAAGTGCGTGGATCAAGCCGACGTGTACGCCCATAAAATAACCTCTCATAGTTAGAAGGGCTCGCATAATTGTGGCGCAGCAAAGATTACTTCTCTGAAGACATGATGTATCCAAGTAATCAGTCCGGAGCGCCGGGGAGTGGATACCGCATCCATAGTCCAGATTCCAGAAAGGTGCGAGTCAGTTCAAGATATATTCTTCAATTTATCAAGAGTTTGCACGTGGGACAAAGCGTACCAGCGCAGGCGGCTTCTCCAGAATCCCCAACTTCGACTTTATTGGTCTGGGCAGGGTAGATCATGTTCATCGTTAAGGTCGATGATTCGTAATCCCGTAATGAGAATCGGCATAGGGTGCAGAAAGATCATGTTGATCCCTGTGGAGCGGTTCGCTTAGAGATCGTGAGCAGAACTATTCGAACTACTGTGCCAAGGGTGGCCCTATTATATGTGGTATATGGCTAGCAAGATTCGTAAAAAGGGAAATGATAGACAACCACCCCCCACAGAGATATAAATCCCAGTCGCGGCAACTCGTGACCTTTCTCAACTAACGGGACTAGCCTCTGATTGGTTAAGGTCTCCCCGTCCTCGCTTAATCAGTAGGAATTACCTTTTTAGGGCAATCATAAAGCTTGTTAGTAAGAAGGTAGAGATAACGTGTACTGAATTTGATTGCTTCGAAATAGTGTTCAACTAAGATTTTTAAGTCCCCCGATTCATGAAGAATTCATATGGGCCACCAGATTTACAGGTGAGAGTCTTCCGTTTTCGGGGTTCGATGATCATTTGTATGGGGAATTGAATTGGCCACCGTGGTGGCTAAACCTTTCATAGAAGTCCCTCAGTTACCAGGTATGGTGGGGAGAAGTCACCAGTCTACATTTAAATGCTTAAGTATGAAGGTTGACGGTGATAGTCTTTGTATTGGACGATGAAGCTCCAAAGTAAAGAGGCAATATACAGATAGATATCCTCTATTAGATTAACATCATAACATCTAATCCGTTTAATATGAAATTGAGCTATCTTATCTCACATTTTGTACGAAGTATGACATTGGTTAATTATATAAGTATTTTGACATGGAACTAGGCTAAATAGAGGTAAATAGGCTAGAATAGGTTGTAACTATAAAATCTACTAGGTGGCTGGGTTGATCATAGCTAAAACTACCCACGCCACGCGATTGACAATCTAGTAATTATATGGCGATCTATCTTAACAGGTAATATTTTCCAACACAGTGGCAACTTTTTGAAAGTAAGTTAAACCAAAAGTATTCAAATGCCGCGGTTCTGGTCCTTTTTTAATGGTCTACCTTCCAGTCTATCTATTAACTGTATGCAATGGAAGGTGACGTCCGATGCTTGCTGCCTAAATGTACATTTCGGATCAGCCGCAAGGTTGACAGGTCTTCCCGAACCAGTTCGGACCATATTATCAACTGGCATCACTCAGAAGGACTCCAACCGCGAATGGCGCCTCCACATTCCGTGGATTTCACTCTTGACGCCAATCCCTATGTCGGTTCGAGCCACGTGACGATCGCGTGAGGAATAAGTCATTATATGGACCGTCTCGGTATTAATTGATTGGGAGTATTTCTGCCTAGAATTTCAGTTGCAGTCATATAGGTCTCTCTATCAGTGGATTCAGTATATCCCAACAACGGATCTATATTGCTATGGCTTATTATCGGCGAATGCAAGTGCCTTACCTATATAGTCTGTAGGCTTTCTTAGAAACAGTGTCAACCTTACTATTCTTGATCAGCTTAGGGCTACTTATATTTATATAGAGCCTATCTGCTCTCTCTAGGCGTTTATGTATTGAATCATAGTTAGGGTAAGAGTTATTGATAACTGGGAGGCTAGCTGTGGAAAGGGCAGTATAGCTCCCAGTCTGGTTTCTGAGAACTATGTATCTGGAACTTCTTTCAGCGGATTTGAAACTAATAACAACGTGATCTACATAGACTAATCATATTTCCAAGCCACGGCTTAGGATATATCCTCATTTAGGTAGACAGATACGTGAAATGGGATGGGTATTCACCTATAATATTGTCAGTGATGTATCTAGCAGGCAATTGAGATACATAGATTCGCCCGGGCCCGAATCACCAACCCTATCTCATTTGACGGATGACTACAGAAATGTCACCCACAATTTTCTGCAATGTTGTTTATGATACAGTGAATAGCCTACCGCGTTTCCTTTTCAAGCCCAGTTAGCCAAAGCGATTACGTATAATTCCTTACCACCTTTGACTGCCTCTTCGATAAAGGATATTGTCCCTGGTGTTAATATACATATGGCGACTACCAACGATGCCGGACAATCTAAGACTGAATTTTGTAATCTGTCCCTCCTGTCATGCCACGCCGTATCTCGTTAATGTGTTGGCCATATGTTGTGGAATTATATGGCATGTCTACAATCATGTCTTATCCCCACGGCTATAGGAGTTACCTCGGCCTCAGTGTTATCTAAAATATGCTTGCTTCTTTCCACCAACAACCTAGACTTATCAAGCATCGTATAGATGTAAGACTTTCGTGGGTGGTGAATGCGCGCTTATTTGAACTAAGTAGCGTTTTATCTGCCAACGGCTGCAGCAAGGGTTACATCCTATGACAAAACATCCACGGCCAGGAGCTTTCCAATGGTCTTCCACAGGTACTCAATTTTATTACTTTGGTGTCTGGGCCGTTGCCCGATATATACGCCTAGATTACACCAGTATAATTATGCCATCGAGAATGCATCTCTACTCTGTCCTCAGCAATCCAAACAAAAGTCCATACGAATTGGGCAAAAGCATTTCTCCACATTTCGACCCTCCCTGCATGTCAGCAAATAAGGCCCTATGGAATACGAGCGACCAGGGGTATGTATCTTGGACTTCTCCACCCGAGGACTTCATGTGTCAGGACGAGCCATTCCAGCCTACCAGATCTCAACGCTCGGATCACACCGCATGCTCCGAACTTGCAGCTGAATCCAGGCCAATGGGGGTGATAGCTACAGCAAAATGCAGGAGCTTAGGTCCACAACTTCGAGAAGATTTGCTGTGTTCCTGAAGTCAGATTTTAGGTAGTTCTGGGCGTCGCGGGGAAGGGTTCGAGGCGCAATCTTTCTCATGATGCATATAAACCGCGTTTACCCAATTCTTGGGTTGAGCGCGGATGTGATCTTGTCAACTATTTTCTTGACTACAGGGTCAAAATGATCCCGGTGATATTTGTCCTGTTTCTTCTGGGGCCAGCGTCTGGTAACTCTGGTATGGCGTATCATCTTTCAATGGCCCTCAATAACGGGACTAATTCGAAAGGTACAGTAATTCCCCGCGATACTCCATCCGGGTCAACCGGCTCCCCAGCACCGTCATCTGCGCCAATCACTCTATCGGTCCCCTCGTCTGAACCGACCTGCTACACCAGCAGCCAATGGCTTGTGATCTCCAATACCAGCGTCTTCTGGCCCACATCCACGGACTACCTTTACGGTCCGACCACCGGACCCGGTGCATCTGACGTGATATGCGCTGCGCAATGGATGCAATACGATGAACGGTCAAGGGGGCTCTCACGTCTAGGCCCAACCAAGACCACGACCGTGACATTGTACACTCCCACCAGCACGGGGGCCTGCAGAACGAGCATCCGCCCCGAACTATACTCGGATGTTCACACTGGCCCAGTGACCACCCTATGCGATGGGGTTGCCCGGGCTCTCGGACCACGCGAAACCGCAACAGAGTACTTCCCAGGAACAGGACCATGCAGCTCATTCAGCGAGTCGGAGATCAAAACGACCACAGTCAACCGAGAACCCTCGGCATCCCCGACATGCCGAGGGGAGCTAGAAGGGTGTATCGGGGTTTGGCAAACATACAGTAGTCTTTCCAGCGAGTATGCAGCATCAGTTACATCCCCGATTCCAGGCGATACAAGGAGTCCATTACGACCAGCTCACTGTCCCAATACGGCACGAGAATACCCCGAAGAAAATCCTTGTTCCCAATGCCACTTCATTCCAGGTACAGCGACAATGTTCTACTGGCCTGTAACAACGGCCAACGGAGACCTGTGTGCTCAAAACGGGACAACTATCCCCGCTACGCCGACAGGCGATGGCCCTAACACTGCCATCCTGGATGACTATACCCTCGTCTCACCCAGCGTATATATATCCTTCACCTCTATTAATGCCTGGAGTAACCGTCGTCATGGTCATCAATGTGGGGAGCGCCATCTCAACCAGCTCATCTCCGTCCATCCCACTGCTGTTACGTCGCTCCGTGACCACCGCAACGCCCGCTACCCCAGTGAGGGCACCCCGTATCCGTTTAACTTTGCCGAGTTCCTGCCCCAGACTATTGGTAATTATACCCAGTCCCTGATCCCCTGGCCCCAGTATCGCGGTGGCTCGCAGTGCCCCCTATATGATCCCTCTTGTACTATGGTTCGGGATGATTATCTGCCGTATATTGAGGTGCCGAACGAGGCGGCCGAAATTGATCCGCATTGGCAGAGGTGTGATCGGAGATGGCTTGTCCCCATGGTTACGATGGTGCCGATTATTGATGGCACTGTCGTCGCTCCTACTCCTACGCGTGAGCCGGAGATCATGTCCATCGACGCAGATGCTATGCCAGAAGGTATGGTCGAGGCGCCGACGCCGACGCCGACTGCTGAGCTGGGGTGGTGAGAATGTAGACAATATGAATTTTTAATATGCAGACTGGGGAGATGGGAGGAGCTGGTGACTATGGGTTGTGTTTTGAGTGGAGGCGAGTACTTAATACGTTCGCCCTGATTTTGGATTGGATTCAAAGTGTTATAATTGAGATTAGCTCAAAGATGTGAACCTAGCGGAGATTAGGAGATTCATAATTTGTTTAGGACATTCGGTATTATGATATTTTTCATACAGTCACATCACCCCTAGAAGACATCACCACTGAGAATATCCTCCCGCTTCCCAAGATGAAACACAGGAATATGCTCCACAGGCGCGGGCACAGTAACTGTATGACCACCCGCATAGGTCTGATTGGTCCACCAGTACGTCCAAGGCTTGGTACCATTCTGGCCTGTCTGCGGCAGATATACCGACCATTCAGTGACATTCGGAGTGGTAATAGGTGACACAAGTAATCTCGGGCCGAACATATACTGCTGCGTGGTTACATTGTTGTTAGCCTGCGTCCACTGCGAGACTTTCGGATCGGTCTTCTCGAAATCCATGTACAAGGGACGCATGATCATGCGACCGGTCTTGTGGAACTGGTCGAAGAGAGCACGGAGATATGACCCCAGCTGGTACCGGAGATGGATGTACGAGAGGATAATGGGGGTGTTCTTCTCTCCGTACGACCACGGCTCGTTGTTACATGTGTATGCATCTTGGGTGTCACAGACTCGCTGACCGTGCGTGCGCATGAAGGGGACAAATGTAGCCCACTGTAGCCAACGCACGTACAGCTCGCGATATTCTGGTGTGTCGATGTTAGCGCTCCATGGTACTGTCGGATCGGGCTGGAAGCCGCCGGCGTCCATGGTCCACCAGCCCCATCCTGTCGCAGCGGCGGACAGCCCACTGGCGATTTGGAGCCCCAGTGTTTCCCAGACGGAGGTGATGTCTCCCGACCAGATCATGCTGCAGAATCGTTGAGATCCAATATAGCCAGACCGACTGAGTGAGATGTGCTCGCAAGCTTCGCCTTCCTTGCTGTCGGTAACGTTGCGGAAGCCCTCTTCGATTGCCTGCTGGTGGGCCCAGGGGTAGTATTTTCCAGCGCTCAGCTGGGTACCGACTGCGTAAAGGACATTGGGCAAGGCGAAGGGGACAGACTGGATGTAGGTGCTTTGGCCGTTGTTTTCGTAGGCTTCGCCCAAGGCACCACCGTCAGCTTGGTCGATCCAGAAGTTCTTGATGCCTTTGTCATAGTAGTTGCGCTTCAAGGTTGACCAGATGAACTTTCGCGCACCTGGGTTCGTGGAGTCAACGTTGCGGATGTATGAGCCGTTCCATGAATCGGTGGTCCCGGGCCCGTCGCGAGTTGCAGATAGGTATCCGTTGGCCTGCAGCTCCAAGTAGTTGTCGCTAGCGTCAGATACACTGGGCCAGAGAGATGCCATGATCTCCGCTCCCGTGAGATCCTTTACGTTCTTCGCCATTGCTGCTACGTCCGGCCAGAGCGCTGGGTCAAGACCCCAGTCGCCCTGATTCCGCCAGGATTGGTAGTCGATGACGAACATTCCGACGGGAACGTTGTGATCCTTGAACTTCTGTGCTAGGAGTTCTAACTCAGTCTGGTTTTCATAGCGGAGCTTAGACTGGATGTAGCCGAGCGAGAAGTCAGGGGGAGTAGGTGCTCTACCCGTCAGCGCGGATAGACGTGTCTGCAGTGTGTCGTAGTCACCTGGCGTTGTGGCCACGATGACATAGTCGACGACTGTAGTGGAGGCTGCGGTGAGCTTCGTGCGTAGTTGTCCGAATTCCATGCGACCTTCCGCTGGCATATTCCAAATAAATGCATAGCCCTTGTTGCTCATGAACACGGGTGTGGGGATGTGGGTATTGAAATTGATCAAGTCAATGACCGTTCCTTTTTTGTTGACCAGGTGGTCCTGTTGCGTGCCCGTGCCATAGAACTGCTCGCCGGGTGTTGTACTAAACGAGAACTCGGCAGAGAATTCACTCCCAGGGCCGTTCCAGGAGTAGTAACGGGGATTGACCGACTTGAGTGGCGCATACTCGTTTGTTAACAGGGTCTCCGAACCATCTTGCTCGACGCGGTAGAATGCCAGCCGATATCCTCCGGGATTTCCACCCCAACCGGAGGTCCGGACGATGGTGTTTCCATTGCGGATAGCCACAGTATGGTTGCCGTTAAATGCTGTGTCGAAATTCAATCCATGCGCTTCTCCATTCTCGAAGCCTTCCAGTGGTGGATCGTAGATGAAGCTGATCTCATGGCCCGTAGGAGGCCGGAAGGGCCAGGCGCGCACACGGAACCCATCATAACCAAAGGGTTGCACCAGAACAGTCTCGAAGCCATGCTGCATGCGAAATCCCGTAGAGTTGGGCAGAAAATAGTCCGATTCCCGCGTCTGGATTGGGGTCGCCTGCACCAGCTGTGCGGCACAGACGGTTAGGGCCACCAGCCAGCGATACATATTGCTCAACAGCCTGGGGATTGAAGCCTTAGCTGGGATTCTCGTCGGCCTTAAATCTCGGTGATATGCATTTTATCCATTCAAATAGGCTGAATAACATGAGCCCAAATACTCGTGACATCATGGCTCGCGGTGAAGGCCCGGCCACTTTATGCATCGGTCGGATCGAGAGACACTGGGAGATATGATGATTGGCAAATTTGGCCTTGAAACGGCTCATAGGAGACCATCACAACCCCCCACCGGAGACCGAATGTGGAGTACATGAGGAGACTGAGGGGATTTCGGCGTCTGTTCTTTGGAGATATTCATTCCGATTGCCTTGCTAGTCGATCAGATCCACATGGCGTCCTGTCGGCTGTGATTTAATTCGGCCAGGACCCTGTAACTGATGCATTTGTTTTGCTGGCGAGCACAGACGCTTGCTTGTTTTCTGGAACGACCGGAACGACCGCAAGAAATGGTCTCATCCATCACTCCTTCAGCGTCAGATTGGTCGATTTCGGTGATATTGTTGAGCGAGAGGCTTGGCTGTTTCCACCTGATCTCCGCTGAACCAGTGCCTTGAAAAGCTTTATCATTTAGCCATTTAGGCAATATCAATGACCAGGGTCTTATTTGGTCCTTAGGTTCTCGTTGTTGTTCAGCCAAGACGGTGTGTTGTCGATTGTATAGTGGGATGCGATGAAGTTGTGTTGTTAGTGAACGCCCTGGATGTGCGTGATTCCTCCGTCTGGATTGACTGAATTATGCATCATTCCACTTTCCTCGTCGTTACCTTGGATTCTTCTTGCTTTCCACCTCCAGCTTCCCTCCCTCTTTAGCCTCTGCTTTCGTGACTTTTCCTTTTTCTTACTTTTCCTTTTGTTTCTCTTTCTGTATTTTTATTCTATTTTTATTGTAGGGGGTTTTTTTTTTTTTTTTTTTTTTTTTTTTTTTTTTTTTTTTTTTTTTTTTTTGCGCTTTTCCCTGTTCCCTCAAGACTGTCATGCCGTGCCAGATGTTTCCCGATCGGTGGAACAGAAGATCTATTCAGAAGCAGTTACCGGTACTGCAGTGGTCATGACCATATTCTCTGGCCCCATACGTTGATATCAGTCTTGATATATCAAATCCATGGTTGACGCGGTCAATTAAATAAATCCCGCCCGGTCTCACCGCTTGGAGCCCCACTCATCCGGCGACTTATTTTATGCTCCGGAGATCAGACAACAAAACAGATATCCGTATACTGTATGAACAAGACCTCATACCAGCCAATAGCGACATTATAGGAGTTGAAAGTTGAAAGATTTAGCCCGGGGAAAAGTGTTCATCCCCACAACGCTTAGCCGCACAACCCCGTGGGGAGAACTGTCGCCTTTCTGTCACCCATCCTGGGACAACCCCCCTGACTCACTCCTCCATCCGATCTATCCATCTATCTCAAGGACCAATATCGATAGAGTACTCTTTACACTGTATCCAAACACAACAAGTAAAGTCATCATGCCAATCCCCTGGCCACCCCTCTCCATTCCCAATGAATTCGGCATCGCCACCCTCTCCCTCGGGAACTGGAGACACCATAAACTGCAGCCGCGACTAGAAGCAGCGGCTAACGCGGGATACAAATGCATTGATCTATTCGATGAATGCTGGGCGGCCTATCTTGAAGAACATGGCTTACCGGGGGATCGATTATGGGAACCAACGAAAGATAACCTCCGCGTTGCCCGGAAGTTAGGTCATCTGGTGAAATCGCTGGGAATGCGGATCGCGTGCACACAGCCGCTTCGAAAGATCGAGGGCATCAAAGATCCAGGTGAGCGACGGGCATCGCTGGACTTGGTGGCGAAACGGTTCCCATTCATGCGCGCATTCGATACCGATCTGGTATTTATGTGTTCCAATATCCGGACGGACAATGGCGTGACCTCCGATTTGAAGACGGTGGCCCGAGACTTGGCAGAGTTGGGTGACATGGCCCGTGCTTTCGCCGAGGCCGACGGGGGACCGATGCTGCGGATTGGATATGAGGGGCTCTCATGGGCCACGCGAAATACATGGGCATCTACGTGGGAGGTAGTCCGGATGGCGAACCGCCAGAATGTCGGGCTGATCATCGACGCTTTTAATGTGCTGGCGGTGGAGTATGCCGATCCGTATAACCCCGCTGGTCATGGACGGTTGTATTCGTCGCCCGAGGAATCGGTCGATGTACTTTGTGCGTCGATGGCCGGGCTGGTGGCGTCTGTTCCGGGCGACCGTATCTTTTTCTTCCAGGTCGGTGATGCCGAGCGTATGGACCCGAAGATATTCCGACCACCGACCGACCCGGACGTGCCGGCTTTGCTGCCCTGGTCGAGGGGTCACCGGCTGTTTCCGTACGAATGGCAGCGAGGGGGTTATATGCCAGTGGATGTGGTCGCTGCTGCTGTGGTTGCGACAGGGTATCGGGGTCCCATGTCGCTGGAGGTGTTTAATAATTCGTTGAATCAGCCGGGTGCCGGAGTTCCATTGGCCCATGCTCGTCGGGGATTTACTGGCCTTCGGAAGTTGGCCGATGCTATTCCCCAGATGCCGGCATTTTGGGAGGAGATGTGGCAGCATGGCCGACACAAGTTTGGCGGTTCAGTTATTTCTCCGCGGGTACAGCGTCTGTGAGTTTCTTCGGGTTGACATTTGTCTATAGTGTAGGTGTGATATATCTATTCGTTCAACCCGGCCACTACTGAAGAAGCATAAGGTTGTTTAGCTACCTTTAGGGGCCTGACATGAGCTACTCATAGAGTTTTACGATCAATAGCGATGATAATATATATCCACACCCCAATGTGATCCATTCTTCAAAGCATATTTAGGCTAAATCACGCAACGGAAAGGGTTTCAAGAAAGAAAGAGGCAAGGTTAGACATTGCCCAGCTCAAGGGAATTCTGGATGGCCCGAAGATTCGTGTTCACCTTCCATGAGGCGGAGCGTGAACGTCAAACAAAGAAAAGGCAGGACCCCTCGTGTAACCGCGCGTAACAAATTCTGTTTTCAAATATAGCCGTCGGGCGACTGAGTCTAACACAATGGATGTACCTCCTGTGACTGTGGATTTGTCCAACACAGCGAGTGAACTGTACATGCATTCCGGCCGGGCCTCGGACAAAAGGGTGACACAGGAGGGATGAACACGAAATATTTCCTGGTCCGAATCCGAGGCGGCGTAAGGCACTATGGACACTATCGACGGGGGCAAATATATGTCGCCATATCTGGTCTATTTATAAGATTTGGTCCCACAAGGCTTGAAGGCGGAGTCCAACCCACAGACAAGTCATCGCTTGTATTCAATGTCCCTGGACCGGTCTAGAGCATTCGACTTGAGCGCGCATTCATTGCCCCAGAACTTGAGTCCCTGGTTAGACGCCAGACTCATGGTCAGCTGGTTGCACGATCGGATATCGCACCTTGGTTGCGGGTTGGTCTATGGCAGGGTAGGTGTGAAGAAGAGCTCGAGGACAAGATAGGTTTTCAAATATGGGTTGGAACATTACGCGTAGACTATGGAAGGATGCTGCGGTTGATCAAATCGAAATAGGTTGCCTGCCGCATCAGCCACACGACGCCGTCATGAAGACCTCGTTTCGACGGTGATAATGGTATTATGCTTGGGAAATAACTCATGTCATTCCATGGAAGGCCTTTTCCCCATTGGCAGAACTATCTAGTTGGAATCAAACATCAGCGATTATGGTGCTAGAACAGCCGTCGACGGGCCAAAGCACCGGTTATCTCGCCACCTGGTGGTCCAACGGCGGTCGGCTGAGCAGTAGTATCGACAAAGATTCGGTCATCACGGACAAAGGCTGTATAGACGATGTATACCTTACTAGGTCGAGTCTTGACGGTAGGGCAACGGCAAGTTGAAGAATCGAAAATAACAGTGCTGGTTGGGAATTGTAACGAGCTATATATTTGATGACGGCGAATAGTAATTAGCGAGATGGTATTGTTGATGTCATATTTGAAGCCTCGGGCGTTTCGACTCGTGAAGGCAGAAACCGGTCGCTAATCCTTCGCTTGGAAGATGAGAGTAGAGGAGCCGCTATTGGAATATTATATTATGCTACCAGAAGCCCAATGGGTTTGGAAATGGTCAGAAGTACCATTCAATGCACAATATACACACATGTCTCGGCCAAAAGAGATTCTCATAGACGACTGTACATCTTTTGCGGCTCAATATGTTGAACGATCTCGTGGCTAATGGTGACTTCAAACTTATGACGTGGATTGCCAACATATATTTCGTCGTTGCGATAGTACGGCTGGCCTACAGCAGTCACTGTGTGCAGTGGCAAGGTGTCCCGTGCCTCGCTGGCCCCAGTCCCTCGTCGTGATCTCGAGCGACTGAGTCTGGAAACTATCCGGCTGGATCCGACCTGCTCAAGAAGTGGTCTATATGTGGGCAAGCAGGCCGATATCAGGTAAACCCCAGTCTCGACCTGGGTCCAAATAATCAACTCAACAGCTACCCAGGTCCCATCGGAAAAGGCGTTGTTTCGGAAAAAGATCTGGAAGCGCATAACGGAAGTGACTAGTCCTCTGAGGAACAAGCGATTTCAAGTCAGTATCAGTGAGACTCCAGAGGTTAAGATTATTTATCTCACATGCTGCCTACTGCGAATGTGACGGTCAGCCCCGCTTTCAAGCGTGGACTGACGTTAAGTGACCACAGCACCGGCATTGGAAGAAGCAGTAGAATTATATCAGTCACAATGTTAGGGAAACTGGCCCAGATGTAAAGAACCTTCTTGTTACCACAGTTGCCAGGGATAGGGCCATCCCAGTTAGTGGAGAAGGGTCGGCAGACGAGACTCGCGCCAACAATCGTACCTATCGTGATGAGCCCCAAGACCACCATCATAAATTTGATGATCGCGCCCATTTTCTTGGTTGGGAACAGCCTATTGTACAACAATAGGATGGAGAACTTGGGAAGGTTAACGCTTCCTAAATAGAGAAATGACAAAGCGAGGAGGTATTTCGCCCAAATCCTCAGACTGGCTGGGTCTTTCACCATTAACCATGGGATATGATGTCCGACGCCAGCGAACTTCACAGCACCTAGAGCAAGAATCAGCATCTCTGCTGCAACCCAGCTTTGGATATCATCTCCACTAACCGATACTAATGCCTGCCATACCCATCTGCTCAGCGAGCGCAAGCAAGATCACGACATCATCCAAGCCCCATGGTGTGTGAACTTTATGTCTAGAAATGAAACGTAGAGCAACGCAGAATATTTGAAGAGGAACGAAGAGAGCCGTAAATATCAATAGCCGGTCCCCGATATACACAGAGACTTCTTCAGGAGGGATATTCAAGGACCCCATCATGGCCGCACACCGCAATCAGTGGTGCGATGAAGACAGTACAAGACACGGATTGAGGTGAGTTGAAACATGGAGAGGTCTGCTCCATGACCAGTATGGTGGAACCTCACACATGCCCGGGTTATGTATTAGGAAGCAACTCCGGGCGTATGGTGGTGGATAAAGGCGCCGGATACGAGACAGGACCGATATCGTTAGATGCTGAATCCCCACCGAGTCCATATAGTTGGTAGGGACTATAGTGTCCAGACTGCGAAGCATAAGCAATAGCACAAGACTGCTGCCCGCTGTGCCGAGGAACAGGGCACGATGTGACATCGGGCACGGATCCCGCATTAGAGTCTGTGTTAGTACATGCGCTAAGAGTCGGGCGTGCCCCTGGCGGGCCCATTGCCCTATTCAAGACGTTCAATGCAAAAGCGGTTTTCCTTGGTTTGTCAATCAGTGTCCTTGATCCCTACGTGCCATGCAAGAAACACGATGATAAGCGGAGTCCGAACCGGAGATCTGCAAGTAACAAGCAACCCTTATCCACGGCTAGAGGCCGGTACCCCGCGCGATTCCTGCACTTGGATGGATTAAGCAAGTCGGTTTCATGTATAGATAGCTCGGTACCTAAGCCAATGATTCGAACGACTGGGGCACGGAAAACTCCATGTGGACAAGAGCGGTGTGATTAAACGCATAAAGTTTTCATTTGTTTCAAGTCTTGAACTCAATCCACGATAACATCAGAAATCTAGAATGAGAGCCAGGAACAGGCGTAAAATAGGGGACTGTTGTACTTGTCCCCTGTCTGATATGTAGGGCTCTGTTAGTCGGAGTCTGTCGCTTCTTCCTGAGACATCAATATATAGTGTGCTGCATAGCAACAAAAAGACCCACTTTCAGACTCTTTTCGAATTTTTAGTGCGATTAGTGAAATCTAACGCGACAAGACAAACGATCTCTCTCAGCTCATGCGAAACCAATCGCCGTGCACTCCCTCCTATCATCGTACCTGTGCTCCCAGGAACAACTCCTCTTTTCGACGAGCGACCATGGAATTCAAGTCATGCGAGGGGTTGATCTTATCGAGAACGTTGATCGCGACCGTGCGCAAGTACCGTGACCCAACGGCGCTGATCATTTATGCCATAAAAGAATTCGTTCCTGATATGAAGCACAACAGAAATGTCCAATGCCTGAACGTGCAGAGACCCTAAGCCATTTAAGCCGCGCCGTCGCGTATATCGCGCGCATTGGCACTGCACGTACGGGCTTCAGCTACTGAATGCAGCAAGTCAATGTGGCTTCGCCATGGTGTGGGTATGGAAGGAGATATTGTATTCTATGAGACAGGCGTGAGAACTGACTTCAGATCTATGTCGATGGGTATCCATAAGGTTCACCATTGCAGTGTCGTGTAGGTGATTGGCGAGCATAATTCGGGGAATAACCAACCATCTGGTTTTGCAGCTGCACGTCGGGAAGAAGTATGTCCTGCAGTCTTCAAAAGTAAAAGAAATAAAGTGAATTTACTGGAGATGTGAAAGTACCGCCCAATGCCAGGGAACAATTCCATAGTGCCTTTGATGTTTGAAGGGTCAATTGGATGGACAAAAACGGAAAGCCAAACACATGTGACAGCACATGATATGGGGTGACGTGACCTACTCCGGAGTAGTAGCCACGTGCAGCAAGGAGAGGGAAACATTCGAATGCTTCTTGGGAAAAGGAACTCTCTTTGTCAGGAACGAGTCGTACAACGACGAGCTTTTTCAAAGCCAAAGAAGACCATGACGGATCGGGTTGGTTCGACTTGTCCCAAAGATCTACATGTCTGCCGGACCATGTAACAAAGACGCGGAAATTGATCGTGGCCTTGACCTTCCATTCCGTCACACGCACCCGGAATGGAATTATCTGACTCAGTCGAAAAAGCAAAAGGTTATCTCAAAAAGCGGGAAACAGAACAAAAGTGAATGAGAAGAAAAAATAGGTTTCGGGCTCGGTGCAATGGAGAAGATTGCTTCGGGGAATGATACTCTCCCCTGAGAGGTTCAGCTGCAACCTTGCTTATTGTTCTTGTGCAACAGTACTACCAGTCCGAACCTCACCAAGGATCCATGCAGCTCACTCTATGGTACTTTCAAGCCATGAGGAAATTAATGGTCGATCGTGCAATTTCCTTGTCACCAATACGACACCAGGGAAGAAACGCCATCATGTCAGGTCCAGTGGATTGAATCCAATTAAGTGATTGTTGGTGTTACCAGAAAAAGGAAATATCCCTCAATTACGGAACAGGAAGAGACTTGGGGAGTTCTTCCAGTCGTGCGGCCATCTAGACTACATTCAACTCAATGCCTGTGTTACATGACTCAATTTCTCTGATGAGCGAGCGGAGTAGCACCAACAACCATCCTACCTTTCATTACCTTTGGTGATTACCTTCACTTTATCCTGGCTCAGTGAATCAGCAGTGAGAATGGTAAGCCACGTAAGAAATGGTCCCATAGCACTTGGCTTCACGGTACAAACGCCGATTACAGCAATCAGAAGTCGCAGTTTAAGACATCCCAGGAAACGTGCATGTCGTGGCTGAGGCCCTTGCTTCAACTGAGCCACTACCCTTCACCCACGCTATAATAGGATCTCCTTATAATAATCAGAGATAGTAACATTGCATTCGGTGAACAACAAGTCATGACCAAAATGGTTTCGTGGACGCAAATCTTGATCAACGCCCTTGCCTTGGCCTCGGTCTTCGAAGGTGGAAGAGCAAGCCATGTTTCTCTATCAAACATATACGAAGCAGCTGAAGCTGTCACCTATCAACTGGGCGACACTACATATCTTGCCAATGCAAAAAGTCCCCAGGGTACATTGACAATCATCAACCCCAAAGATAATAATCCCCACGCTGCTGGCAGAATCAAAGCATTGACAGTCATCATTGCAAACGAGACTATCGTGACTGCGCACTACATCAGCGTCATAATCTCGAGCTATCTGGCCAATGACGACGTTTTCTCGGCAGGGTTTCTCGGTTCCGTCTATATCACCTCATCAGCCCCCAATGCCAGTATACAGGCTGATGCTTTGGAATATCTTTCGAGTGTCGGTGCTGAGATCATCTTTATTGACTCCAGTGTCTTCAAGATCCAGAGTGGACGAGCAATACTGGTGCAATACACCTCCGCTAAGATTCTAGCGCCTGGTCCATATACAGCCGTAATGTCGAAAGACAAGGTTAGTCTTCTAGACACGTACCGCCTATACCCAGACACATACCGTGATTTTGTCACCGGTATATATCCATCGAATGATGGCAGCGGCTCCTTTATGCCACTTCAATCTATGTCTTCCAGGCTCTGGGCACCGTTGGTCCCGGTTCCGAGCCGCATCCAAGCATGGGGAGACTCACGGCCGTTGGCTGGCAAACGGGTGGCTGTCAAAGATATATTCGACATCAAAGGGCTGCAGACATCAGCGGGAAGCCAGGCCTGGATTCAGACCACGTCTCTTGCCAACAGAACTGCGCCCGCGATTCAGCGGCTGGTGGATCTGGGCGCGGTTCTCGTAGGGAAGCAAAAGCTGGCACAGTTTGCGTCCGGTGCGAATCCCTGGGATTGGACTGATGGGCAAGCTCCTTTTAACCCAAGGGGTGATGAATACTTGACTTGCGCAGCATCAACGTCCGGTGGGGCCTGCTCGATTGCGGCGTACGACTGGCTGGATGCAGCGATTGGGAGTGACACTGGTGTTTCAATTCGTCGCCCAGCAGCTGTGACGGGAACCTTTGGAAACCGACCCAGTCAGGGAATGATAACGCTGGAGGGCATGCTTGCCCAGAATTGGGCACAGGACACAGCTGGTGTCCTCGGGCGGAACCCAGCCGAATGGGCCAAGTTTGCCAAGGCATGGTATACTCCAGAGCTTCACCAGCCAGAATCGATTACTGGACTATCTCCTCTGTCGGTGCAGGACACGACGACATTCCCAGCCCAGATCCTGTACCCGGATGAGCAATTTCCCCTTCTTAATCCCGCCGCCCAGGAGATCGTTGACACTGTTCTCTCGAGCATAGCAAACGCACTCAACATGACTATCAAGCACACGAACCTTAGCGCCACGCTCGTCGATGCACCTATCCTTTCGGACAAGAAGGACAGCTTGGACCGTCTGCTAATGGCAACAGCTACCCTAACGTATTGGTCATCACATGTCGCTGTCGCCGACCCTCTCATGACTGAATGGGGACGCCGTTACGAAGGACGATTCCCTCCAGTAGATCCACTGTGGCGCAAGGAGTGGTCGCAATTCAACGCCAGCATGATCAACCAAGCAGCATACGACCAGGCCTTACGGGATAAAAGGAAGGGTGTCGACTGGTTCGAAAAGAATGTTCTGCCGGAAACCCCACAGTCCTGCTCGGAGTCATTATTGATATGTGACATTGGCACTGGTGGGCTGCCCAGCTTCCGGGAGAAAGCCCTCAACGAGGGACCGAATGCCACGTTTCTGGGAAGGGTGCCAGACGGGGCTGCGATACCCTGCTCCATGATATGCCCTATTTTTGGGTGAGTCCGGTTAATGCGCTAGTATTGCGAAGTTGAAATATGAGCTAATATTTTGCTACAGCTGTGCCGACTTCACCATTCCCTTGGGCCAAGTGCCTTACCATTCGCCGGTGTCGAATGTGACTGAGCAGTTCCCCGTGAGCATCAACATGATCGTGCGGCGGGGATGCGACTTTGTATTGTTCAACATGGTTGAGAAGCTGGCGCAGGCTGGTGTCATCCGAACCGTCAAGACTGGCAAGCAGGCATTTTAGTCAAGGGGCTTTTGGCCATATCCATGCCTATTGGTAGTTTAGTATCTCTTTCCAGTGTACTATAGAGCATATACAGACAGGACTGTAACAAGAACATTTACGACTGACCGTGAGCACGCAGGATATATATTGACTGACTTAAAGAAACCATCTCATTCGATGACCTATAGATTGCCCAGACACGCAAGAAACCTTGACATAGTATTTATAGTGCTACTTCATGTTCACAATATATATAGTAGCTCCAGCAATATCATTTTCTCTTCATAACCCTTTCAGAGGTTAAAACAAGTAGCTATGGCGAGTTGAAGCAAATTTAAGTGAGATTCAGGAAATTGTGAATCAGCAATAGTATATTGCTCGTTTAGGTCAGTCGGTACTTATAATATTAAGTCTATGATATATTTTCTATGCATTAAGCCGTATGGATGTACACCCAAGATAGACATTAAACATGCAATGTATTATCAACAAACGCTCGCTTCAAAAGAAAGTCCCACTGGTTCCGCATATATCATACACATAAACTGTTTTAATACCACCTGCCCACAAAACCTTGTCCTGTAGACAATCTTCTGTACTCCTCTAGTGCTGGACTCACTGACTTTGGGCGTTCAGATTCGGTGGACACCTTTGCCGTCGAAATCAGCGGTGTGTTTTCCTCTGCCTTGGTGCGAATATAATAATGCTCGTCGTCCTCTTCCATACCCACGAACCATTTCTCCTTGAAATGTGGACCTTGGGGCCCGGCACCGCAAGCGCCTTCCAATCGTGATGTGGCCGGGCTGTTGATGGCCAGAGCGAATAGGTTTTGCGGCTCTGTGAAGTCGGTAAGCTGCCGTCCCTTTTCGCTCAGAAGATAGCCTAGACAGAGGACACTGGTCGCAAAGGTGAGGAACAAGACTGGAAAGAAGGCGCCCTGCCACTTCTCTGTCCCGCTGGATTGATAATCGACGACACTCATGGTGGCGTTGAAGTATTGAGTCTCGGGTTCGGCGAGGGAGGCTTCAGAGTGATTCCAATAGGGAAGGAAGGTTGCGTTCTCCGTCCCCATAATCAAGGTATTGCCTGCCATGACTGCAAGTGCCTCCGCCAAAGAGGGTAGACTTGGTTCCAGGGAGTAGCCGGACGGGGTGAGCTGCATCAGTAATCGGTCATTTGCGGCCCTGCCGTCATTGATGCCGGCATTCAAGCTCAAGGAATTACCCCATTCCGACCCAATGTTCTTCCAGTCCAGGCTCCAGTTGCCATCCTCTGCATCTGGGAAGAACCGGTCGAACTGCCATGGGTTATCCGGCTTTTCACAGTCTGTACTAAACCTTGCTCCACTGGCCGATGCAGTGTATCGCACCGAGCAACGTGGTGTCTTTTTCGCCTTCATTGAACAGAGGGCATAGTCGACTCCAGTGGCGTTTGGAGGCTTCCCTAGTAAATACATCGCGTTGCCAAACGGTGCCGAATGGTTGAGGATTGTCTGATACTCCGCGGGAAGCCTGCCGAAGATTGGAGGACGCCATCCATACTTTGGTCCCCATCCGAAGATATCGTCCACGACAGTTCGATTTAGCCAGGAGTGTGGCCAGCTAGGTAGCTCCTTCTCTTGCTGTCCCCATTTCTCCACGTCGAATTTCTTCCCAGGCCACATGTCATATATCAGTGGTTTCAACTCACTGGCATTCATGCCCACGCAAAGAACATTCACTGCAGGACATGGAGCAGCAGCGATCATGTCAAATTGACCCTCTGATGAATTTTGGGGCTGTTTAACTCCATTGACGGGTTCCTTTGCAGCAGCCAGAACTCCGGCATGAGGCATGGCAGCCGTCACATTCAGGACCATCCGGTTGTAGTGCAGTGACAACTCCGTCATATTGCTGCGATCGATCCAGCTTCCAGTCACGGTTGTATTATCATGGATCGATCCCGAGGGAGGAGGTCGTTCTTCTAGTACGGCCGACGCATGTTTGCCGTTGGTAACCATCTTGCTCCAGCGATTCAGATAAGCCACGTAGTTGTGGTATGCCTGTCCGACGTGTTGCATTTGGAGGCATGTTGTACCACGGTACAAGGGGTCCGCCTCGTAGGGGATCGGTGATTCGCAGTTCACCCCCATGTAATCTGGATTGAAGAAGTCGGTGGACACATTCGCCTTTAGGGTTCTGTCTTCATGCGGTCCTTCGAGCAATTTGGGTGATACTACGTGATAGGGGTTAGAATCAGAGATGCCACGAGCGTCATTGTCAATCCGTCTAAACCTGCTTACTTACCCAATGCCTCAGCTGCAGTTGTATATAGCATGGCGATGATGGTCGCCGTGAGTGTCATCGCACCGAGAAAGGTCAATGCCGAATAACGCAACGTCTCCCAGTGAACTATCATGGATCCGGGCTGCATGATCCATGTCCGCATACTCATGTCTGAAATGGTGATGCCGTTAGAGTCCTTTTGGAGAGCTCGTCGACTCAAGAACTGCCCCAGACAGGCGACAAAAACGGTAACGTACGCCAATTCAATCGTCTTGGCGAACATTGCACTGAGTAAATTGGCCGTCGAGGCCGCGAGCTTGCCGTCCACACCAATATAGTTTCCATATCGCGGCTTCAGACAGGCGACAAAGAAATAGAGCCCCGACCACACGGTCGCATATACCGCCAGCACCAGAATGGTCATAGGCACCCAGCGAAACCATCGCTGGGCGATTGTATCTCTATGAGGACATCGCACCTCGCTGTCCACAAGGGGTGTTTTCGAGGTATGCGACCGCGGCGTTGCCTGCTCCGACAGGTGCGGGGAACGCGAATCTCCCCGGGGACGCGCTTCGTCCAAGTCCTCAACGAAGTGGATGGACGCTGGTCTGCGTCTCGCGTTTCGGATTCCTAAGCCCACCGTTGGAGAGGGCTCATGGTGGGATGTTATGTCCTGCTCCTGGTGCGAGGGTGCGCGCTCATAGCGAATGTGGGAAAGGTCGGAGTCGGTCGGAGGGGCCGGATCGAATGGGCTCCATGACCTCTGTAGTCGGTGGGGTTCGGGGTATGATAATCGCGACAATGGCGGCAGCAGGTATTCTTCTTGATCTGAAGGCATGGTGCCCAGTCAGTCATTGACATACGGGTGGTCAATGAAGACCTTCATCGAGGGCGAGAGGAAACCCACGCGAAACAGACCCTCCACTCTAATATGTATTCACTCTATTCGCAGGGACAACGCGGCAATGTCCCCAATTCTCAAGTTAGAAGTGGCACAGCTAAGAAAGGAAATGGTCCAGCCTCAAATCCTTTGGCCAGGGCGTCTGTCAAGTCCGACCAGGGTTTCTTGTGGATCTCTGCCCAAACGGTTTTAGGGCCCCGACATCGTGAGAATTTCCACCAATAGTCCCCATAGGCGAGTCAGTCAGCTGTTGGTTGCCAAGAGGGCCGTTCAGTAAAAATAGATTAGCGGTGTTTAGTTCGTAAACGAAATTCACAGGAGGCTGAGTTATCCGTCCGGGATCACTAATGGGATCAACCTTTGGCAGGTCGCCTTAGGGTTGTGGGGGGTCAGATGGCATTTCCGTCGCACGCATGCGTTGGACCACGCTGAGAAAGAGACCACATCAGAATGTCAGTTCAAACTCAAGGATTCGTAATCACGCCAAGTTACAGAGTACAAACCGATGTGTCTGACATGCAGGAATCGACCCCACTATTCACGGGAGCTGCCAATCCGTTCAACTCCCACCTCTCATCAAGAAGCAGCTATCTCGTTAAGGCATCGGGGGGTCCCACTGCAGCGGCTCAACTTGGCCTAGAACCTTACACGCCTATATTAAATCAACTGTAAACAGATGCCAGAGTATAAGCTATCAGCAACAGTCGCAGCGGACATATTTTGTCTAAAGGGAAAACAAAAAAGAGTCGTTCCCCCATGGTCTACATACACCTTGCGACGTTTTGACTCTTATGGATCGACAGTACCGACACGAAGTAGATAGAACGCTATTATTGCCCTGCCACATTAGCCCCACGCTATTCCGTGGTTTATAAGATGTGCAGTCAGAGCGAAGGAGGGCTACCCTGGCTTTGAACAAGGCTACCAAGCTTCTCCAAAAATATTAGTCTCACAAAAGCCTTAGTGGCACGGAATCCCTGCTCTAACCTCAGTTGGCTTTGTCTCCGGATAATCTGTGGGACACACCTGGCTTGAGCCCTAGTATATATACCTAGATAAAGGCCTGGGTCAATGTCTCTGCAGCATAACGAACACAACGTGCGACAGTCACATTATATTTTGTTTACTGTACGACTTGGGCAGATATTCAAACGTTACTGGGTGGACCCTTGGGCATGTGAAAGATGGACAACTTGGCAGACTAGCTGCATAGTATTCTGGATTTCCAGCCCTACTCCAATGAAATAGTGCCTTGTTGGTTTAACGGTGGAGCAGTCCCGGCGTCTATTGGACGAAAAAATATGGATACGAATAGGATGGTCTTCTGAATTACAGGAAAGATGACGGTTGTAGTTGGCCCTTGGAAGGTGGTGCAGGTTCCTACCCACGCATCCACGGGTATACGAAGACCCTGAGCGACCCATAATGGACCACCTGCAGTGCCAGGTGACCTTTGGAAGTCCAGGGACTAGTGTAAAGATATTGCATGTAAAAGAATGATCTAATTGTCAAAATTTGGGCCAAAGTATGCATATTCCCGTCAGTAATTCCCATAGGATTGAGTAATCCCTTGGTACAGCATAGTAAGCTTCATCAGCAGCTGTTCAGCGTTCTGCCACTTGACCAAAATACCTGAGGCATTTGGTCGTGCCTCCAACCGAACAATGACCAACAGCAGTCTTCAAACGAATCCTGACGAAGGTTTGAGAAATTGTGCCACACCCATTTGGTTGTTGTATTAATCCCCATGCAATGCAAGTGGCCGTCCATTGGGGAGTGAGTATGTGGCGGAATCTTAAGGTCCCAAACAGGTTGTAATCCGAATTGAGGCACTCGCTAGCGAAGTCCTCCATGCAGTCATCATTGATAAGTATTTGTAACAGACCCCATGTCGTGACGCGTTGTTATGTCCTCTATACTAGCCCAGCCTGAACTGGACGCAAAACTAGCCCCCAAGATCTATGCTCACACTTGTAGTGGATAGTAGCCGTGGTATTATTCTGCGAACCGCTTTGAATTTCCTATTTAGGGGTCCCACCGCTCTTATGGGAGTCTCACGTGCGCACTCAGGGAGCGCAGGACAGGTACCAAATGCTCACTGACCGATCCCGGATCACTCCGAGAGTAAGTATGGGGTCATTAATCCAATCCACTCCTATAGACTATATAGGATATACTACTATGTTGGTACGGGCTTCCATCTGGCGCCCTAAGGCCCGGAAATATGGGTTCTCCTGGGGCCGCTAAGCGGGCCTACAACGCCGAGCAAGCTGGAGATAGCGAGCTTAGATACTAGTAGTCAAGAATTCAAGAATGCATACGAAAGGTCTCTATATCGCCCATTAAGATAGTATCTATTGTGTAAATTAGTTATTACTTATATTTTTTAGTCTATCTTTTACTGTAACAGTTTGAACTTGCTTTCCAGAACTAAAGTGCTTTGTTAAAGCAATTGCTGTAAGACTCTTCCAACCATTAATATTTCCAAGTGCTGCGTTTCCGAGACACCGAGCTGTTATTGCTAAAATCCAAACCTAACCTCAGCACGACCCCACAGAGTAGTATAGGCAGTACGTTACGTCTTCCATCCTCGGTGCTATGTATAGATTAAGTGGGCGCTAGAAATCATGTCACGTACAATGCGGTGTATACTCATAATTGAGATTGCCTTTACCTTCGGAAACAACAGCATTGATGTTGAACAACGAGTTTATTACTAGATCAAAATATACAGGTGTTTGATGTTCTGTATAGGATGCTCATTACTGAGCACAAATGAGGACGTTTGAAAATAGCCAGAATAGCCCATTAACGAGATATATATACAGAATGGATGCATGAACCAAGCAGTATTGTAGTGATACTCTCAGTAGGATCAATGTCACTCGGGTTCAAAATATCCTGCTCTCGCCGCCTTAACAGCATACTTGCCGCTTTAACCAACAGGATGGTTTCTCTTTAACCTTCATCCGATGAAAAGAATGCCAAGATTTTACTTGGAATGATTTAGCACATTTAAGCCCTTAATGCAGTAAAATTTCCGTGACACTCCTAAGCTTTTTGGCTTTTTCCGAAATATATAATTTTGTTGAAAGCTGAACGACTAAACAAGCCCAGTTTTGGTCTAGAACCGGTGCTTGACTAAATGAGGCATAGCTTGCGGTCAACCATCAGCATCAAGATAACTCGCTTCCTCTTCCTCTTCCTCCTCTTCTGCTTTGTCTACCTCTTTGTCTCAGTGATCCCCCTATCCTGCGCTTTCCATGAGCCCTCTGGCGTTCTTTCCCCACTGTGCTTGATCAATGCGAATATGTCCCCCGTATTGAACAGTCCAATCAAGCCGCTGAGATCAAGGCTGGGGTGTAAAACGTGCAAGTAGGTGCCTGCTTTCTTGTTATAGGTAGGTTATAAGTATTAAGCGCTTTCTAGAATTCGAAAGGTCAAATGCGGAGAGGAAAAGCCAAGCTGTGTCCGATGCACCAGCACAGGCCGTAAGTGCGAGTACGAAGGCACAATTTCCGGCACGTTCTCCTCTACGCCTTCCACAATCTCGATACAGGACTACCCGCTTTCATTGTTACCAAATACAGTGTGGCGAGAGCGCCGCGCATTTGCCTACTACTTTCAGCAGGCCGCTCTGTCTATCGGCGGTGGCCTGGATGTTGATTTCTGGCGCACTTTCGTCCCGCAAGTCTGTCGAAGTGAACCGGGCGTATGGGATGCCATCATCGCAATCGGTGACCTGTTTGAGAGTCCCAGGAGGGATTCTTCGTCTCCTAATCAAAAGCACCGAGACGCATTGAGCTGGTATTCACGGTCGGTGTCTGCTATCCGTCAGCGGATTGAGCGTGGTAGCATAGATACTTTTGTCGGACTAATAACCTGTATCCTCTTTATCAGCATTGAAGCCATTCAGGGAAATGAGCAGGAGGCCTTGCAACTGTATGGTCAGGGTGTGCATCTCATACGCACGTTGCGCGCTCAAATAGCTTGTGGGATTGTGTCAGCAACCAAGGCTTCCTTCTTGGAGGATGCAATCGTCCCAATATTTGTGCGTCTAGGAGCAATTGCTCTCACCATTGCTAATCTTCCAGTGAGTGGCCTACTGCTCGACAATGATTCCGTGTTGGTGCAAGAATTTGTCTCTCTCAAGCCAGCTCGGGAGACCATTGCTCGCTTAAGTACTGAGATCCAGCTTCTTGAACGCACTTGCATAGAGCATCGACACGAGTCTCGTTCCTCTCATATCCACCCAGAATTGATGGACCGGCAAATAGTCCTGTCTGCTAAGTTAAAGGACTGGCATACTGCCTTTACTATTCTCATAGAACGCCTGCAGACGAAGGGCGTTGTATCACCGCAACAGGTTGGCACTGGTGCTCTTCTTTTAGCTTACTATGAAATGTCATTCGTGATACTCGCAACCTGCGTATCATCATCACACATGATATACGACGCTTATATACCAAACTTCCAGAATATAGTTGAACAGTCTAGTATCGCAATCAATGCTTTAGCACAATCGGACGGCACACAACCGCCGTTCACATTTGAAATTAACGCCGGCTTTCCGCTTTGGTTTACCTGCCTCAGGTGCCGCGAACCCATGATCCGACGCATGGCACTAGCTTTATTTCGTCGAGGGCCTCAGGTGCAGGGTTTCTACAACTCCGCCGGAGCAGCAGCCCTTGGTGAAAGTGTCATGATGCTAGAAGAAGCGTTCGCAATCAGAGCAATTCAAGGCAAACCCGAGTCTCTCCCACTGGACTCAACCGGTCCAGAAACGGAACATGATGCCTATAGCCCAGGTCATAGTAGCGAGGTTTCCAGCGAGGTTTCCAGCTGTCATCCTGTCCTTCAAGGCTCTAGACTTGCGGTACACTCATATCTGGAGCCGGCAGACCGGGCAGCCACAGCTCCGACCACACTATTCGTCCCGGAAGAGGCACGCCTTGGGCCCATTGGTATTTTTCGTTCACAAGACGGATTTCCGCCGGGGACGAAGGACGAAGATGTCGCGAAGTGGAACGAAAGGCGCGATCAGACCTTTTTGCGATTCTCACGGAACAAGCATGACCAAGTCAGCAATACTTGGCATATTGTTCATGAATTTGTTCCTATAGATACTTAATTATAGCATGAAGTATCTTGAACTGTGTCGCATAATTGTGAATAACCGATAGTGCGCTGCATGAGGCTGCATCGAAGCAATTACTCACCACCTAGCCTTTGTGGTCAGTGAATAGCTTCTCTCAGCTAGAGTGAGACATGCAAACCTGCATATTCATTCCTAAAGCTGTGAGTACCACGCCAATATGTGCTGACTATGATTCTGGGCTCCCTGCATATCTTGTGCGTATCGAAATGCACGTTGACGGTCTTTGTGGGCTGATGAAGAAGGTGTTCGGAGGAGATATCACCTTCCAGGAGCTATTGTTGGTTTAAGGCACATTCAGCAAATGCCTTATGCATAAAGTCTGCAGGTATCCCGGATACCTTAACCATCAGGACAGGATCCAACATACTCTACGGAGCTCAATAACTAGATCAACAATTTCGATCACTGCATTTATACAAAGGCAATAACTTCACATTCCATCTGGGCCATTATCAATATGTGTAAATGCAAGTCCATATCCTTGAACAAAAGCACTCCTATTTGCGACCGTCCTACACCCCCTGCGGGCCTTAGTCAACTGGGATCATGGCTGCATCATTCCGCCTCTATGTATGTAGCCAAAGCGTTAGCTTGTTATCCTTCCATAAGAGGAAGTCCAGAGGCAATCAAGTGAGAAGAGGGATGAGGAACAGCTAAGTGGAACAATGCATATGTAGGAGTATTCTAACACTAGCGGCTTTCTAGTTGGCAATCATAGATAACGATGCACAGTCCGCTTCGCACAGGAGCCTCACCAGTCAGAGTATACACGTGCATTGGCTAGCTGAAGCTCATCGACCTTAATCTATGTTATAAACATCAAGATGATCAGCGGAATCCCCGTTCACCTTCCGTGGCCCTATCATCATGGTCGCACCCACCGAATTGGAGGATGGCTGACAGAAAGCTCCGACACAATCGTCAGCTTCGTTCGAAAGGTCTCGGTCGAAGAGGCCAAAGCTCAACTCCCCTTCCACCCAATCATTCAAGAGTTTCAGGCAGCCGTTTACAGTTCCTCGGGTCTTCATATGTTAGCGTTGGCCATGTTCACTGAAGTTCCCGACAAGCCTCCATCTATCAATGGTCCAACTGGCACCCAACCGATTCGGGGCTTCGACCATCTGCACCATCTTTTTAATTACACGATGCAAAAGGTAGCACCGCAGCGGAGTATCGATAAGTACCACATGGACCTTATTGGATTCCCTTTCAACGCAGTGCTTGACTGGCCCTTAACTACGCCGAGCGGATACGCGCTCTTCCTGAACAAGACAGTGAACGTCCATACCAAGAATATTCTAGAGTACTGGAGAGATAATTTCTTGACCATGTCAGCTTCCGCAGGCGTATTAACTGAAGAGCCAAACAGCTGGCTGTCCGAGGAAGCCCGCAAGGTAATCGAAGATGACATCAACCTCGATCCAAACCACTGGTACAGCTTCGAGGAACTATTCGGCTACAGCAAGAAGGACGGCGAGCACTGGGGCTTCAAATCCCGGGGCAGCTTCTTCACCTGCAAGTTCGCAGATTACCATAAGCTTCGGCCTGTCTATGCACCAGACGATGACTCCTGGGTAGTGAGTCCCTGTGAATCGAAGCCGTTCGCACTCCAAACCAACGTGAAGGCCTACGATATCTTCTAGCTGAAAGGTCAACTCTACTCTGTATACGAGATGCTAGACAATGAAGAGGAGGCAGAGGTATTCTTCAACGGGACCATCTATCAAGCCTTCTTCAGCGCCACATCATACCATCGCTAACATTCTCCCGCCAACGGCAAAATCAAGAAAAAAGTGAACCTGATTTACGGGACCGTGTTCTCCGAACCGACCATTACTGGAGTCATGAACCCCGACGGCCCCGATCCAGCTGCCCCAGACAGAGCGCAGAGCTATATTGCCCATGTTGCGACGCGAGCCCTCATCTTCATTGAAGCACCTAAGCCTGTTGGTACAGCAGATATCTCAACTTACGAGGTCACCGTCAATCCGAGTGATACCGTGTCTATAGGCCAGGAGATCGAGATGTTCCATCACGGTCGATCAACGCCCTGTCTTCTCTTCTGGAATGGCGTCAATTTCACTTAGGTGACGGATGCGTTTCAAGGTGTGAGCAGGAAGACTCTTTCCTTATGGGGTGCTTTTGCGCATGTTTCGACTGCATCGGATACGCGGAAGTGTGACATGGTTATGGGGAGGATGCTCGTCATGATAGTTCACACCGCCAGGATGATTACTCCCAAGGATTCCCAGAGCGTCATCATGGTGGTGGATATAGTCATCTTTATGGCCGAGCATACGGGGGCCATTATGGGCGAGGGGGACATGGTAGTTACCATAGGAGCGGTTACCCTAGGTATAGCTAGATTGAAGTAGATTTTCAAGGATAATGCGTAATGGCATCTAAGTTGGGCTATGATTGCATGATGAGAACATAGAAAGTTGTGGGATTGTTAGCTCTGTATATATTTATTGATTCTCGTCATTGAGCAAAATAGTTTTTCGCTAATTTGGTTTTTTTTTTTTTTTGCTTTTTATTTTTCCTTTAGTACCTTTGAAGGCCCCCTGTATTCGACGGTAGCAAACAGTAAAGAGTAATTCTTGCGCAAAAGTCAGCACCCATTCTACATCGGCATCGTTCAAGCAATAATATGCAGCAAGTTCACCTACCAGACCTCTTTTGAGAGATCTATCATGGGCTGCCTTGGACCCAAACAGCCAGCGTAGCAAGGGTCGTGTAAATCATAAACACGAAACCAAGCGCCATCATAGTAATATCACCCCGTTTCACCCACGGAGACTCAGCCACGCCTTTCCAATGCAAATACGCCGGATAGATATAGACTAGCGGAACACACGCAAATGACCCGATAATGGAAACAAACTTGTCCAAGTCACCGGCGCCAACGGAGGAGATGAAGCCGCAGCATAAAACGAGGAACATTCGGAAGATATTCTTCTTCCATTTGATCGACGCGTCGCCTTTCCCGGACTTGTGCCCGAAGAGTTTGCCCTCCATGATACGGGTGGCTGGAAACAGTTGAATTGGAGCCCCCACGAGGATTGCGAGAGAGTAAAGGAATTGAATCGTGTTGACGAGTCGGTCTGTTTGGGGAAAATTGCTGAAGATCTCTGTCTGAGTCCGGTTACCGAATGTAGCGTAGGACAAAGCGCCCACTGCTGTGAAAAGCGTGGTGATGATCGCCATGACGATGTATAGAAGACGGTCAAAATGCTGTGGCTTCCTCATTGAGGACTGGATCGGCAATACGAGACCAATACCTTCGAAGGTGAAAATCGACGAACCGATGGTCAGCGTGAATGACTGCGGGTTGAATAGCTTGACGGTTGGGTCTACTCCTGGTCGCGTTAAGAGAGTTGCAACGTCATACCAGTAGATGTATCCTAGTCCCAGGAGAATGAATACATCGGAGAGCAGCGCTGCCGGACCTAGCTTAGAGATGTTTCGGATCCACGCCAGAGGGACGAGCACGAGCAATTGGAGTAAGATCAAGCTCCCCGTCGAAATGTCCGTCGCCATAGCCTTTAAGAAGGCCTGAATATTCTCCGCGGTGAAGATGAAACACGTGCATACGAAGCCGAGCTGAGAGATGGTGATGGATGAGAGGATAAGGGACCGGAGACGAGGCCCTGCAATCCGCTCCCCGATTTCGCCATAACCCCCGCCATATTGTCGACGACACTGGAGGAGAAGGTGAAAGCATACAGTGGTGATCAACGCCACCGTCACTAGCGTGATCGAGGAAAATAAAATTCCTCCGTTGCGGAACGCTTTGGGCAGGAAAATGATGCCTGTGCCAACGAAGGCCTTCAGTAGTGTAAAGAATGTCTTCATATTGGACGCGTCGCCGGGACGGCCGACTCGTGAGCGCCGGCGTGTCCTCTGTATCAAAGGGGTTTGCTCCCATGGCAATGTCCTACTCTCCCGGTCTTCGCTAACCATGGAATCCTCCTCAGTCTCTGCTAGATCCTCGCCAGCAAAATTACCATATAGATCGAGGAAACCGAGGAAGGATGTCGTCACCCCCGGATAATCGAAATTGCCGTTCTTGTGGTGTTGCACGAAATGGCGACGGAAGCTGCCGGGCTCCATAGCCGCGACGCCCTCTTCTATTGCATCTTCGGGCTCCCTTGGGGGAAAGGAAAAGCTTGCGGCTCGTTTATCTATCTTCGCCTGCTTGGACTTGGCTTCGATCCGGTAAAGGTCACGGTGTACGTCGCCGCCTTGAAGTAGGAGGGACGATTGCGGCTCCGGGGTGTCGTCCGCATCTCCGTTGGCTGTTTCTGAGGGAGTAAAGGTCTCATCCTGCAGCGAGGCTGTAAACTGCGGGTTGAGGTGCTGGGCCAGGATAGCCTCGCGCGCCTCGGAGTCCTGGTCTCGAGGCGTGGAGCTAAGGTACTGGTCGGACATGATGAAGCTGAGCGGTTACACACGGTCTGTAGAATGAGCGACGGATCGAGGAATTCCCAGGAACCGACGCAGGGAAGATCAGTCACATTCTGCGGAATGCGAACAGAGGAAGAAAACCTTTCTTTTCGGTACGGCAAAGAAGAATATAGAAAAAAGGACGTCAGAGGACGACGTCACTCTGCAGTCTCTACGGAATCACTGCGGTCACATGATGGCGCTATACGAAACAAACAATAAAAACTCCTTCCAGACTCCATGCCGCTAGACCTCTTCGAGACTAGGACATCACACCGCTCAATCCGTATCTGTCATTGGTTGAACCCGGTTTGCATTTCATTGCATCCTTGCATCACGGGTTGTTTTCCAGGCCATTCCAATGTGACAATGGGATCGAGATACGGAGTAAGTCTTTGCAAACAACCTGAGTCGGTTATTCTTCTTTCCAATACTTTTCATTTTATTCCGTTACTTTAGCCAGTTGTCTTTGTCGAGAAGCTCCATAACGCAGGAACTTATAATTTTCCGGCTTCGTTGCTCCCCAATGGACACGATACAAATACGTATATAAAGAAGTAATGATGTCATCATATATGTTCGATCAGTGAGAGAAGAGACACGATGATAAGACTGAGGAATAAGGCGTTGGGTGGAACGGTGAAGGTGGGGCTTATTTGTGATAAATTGGAATATAAATAACAGGAAGTTGTCATCTTTTCTGTGTTTCCCCTTTATGTCCCTTCTGTTTCTTTACCAGAGAAGAAAAGTGAAGGTACGAACCTGACACAGGATTCCTGGAAATGGGAGGCCTTGGTCGCGGGCGAGGGCATAGACCTGCCGCGATGTCGTCGCAACGTTGCTGATGGCAGCGCAGAACTGCATGACCATAATCACGACGGTCACACCAGTTGCGGCTTTTACAGATCCGGTGGAGTTTAAGAAAACTTGTATAAAAGGGAAGCCTGTCTGAGATGCCAGCACTTCGTCAATGTTTCCCACGCGGAACGCATGTCACATTCATGACGAACCCCATCGCGCCGTTTAGAATAAGGGTCCAGATCATTCCTCGCGGAAGTACGCGAGACACATCCTGGTGCTTTGTCGCTGAGAGTAAAAGGGTTTCTTACACTTGTGAACAGCTGAGTCGGGGCCTTGATGCAATACAACCGCTGGTTAGAACGCCCTTTCCCTCGAGCTTCTAGAGACTTACCAATCAATGCATATATCGCCCAACTAGTCCTACTAAGCACGACAAGCCATTGTTATCCCACCCCCCGCGATCCTCAATGGATCCAAATACTTCGGAGGGTGGTACTGAAGGTGACAAGACCCACAGGGGAATCGGGATGCCGAAGAAACCAAAACAATGGACAGTCAAAATAACTCCCTCGATCAAGGGTAGCTTCTGGGCTAAGAATGTAGTAAATGCCAACGCGACCACTGCCACTGCGATAAGTAACAGGGTGACATGCCATGGCTTATACGTATATGAATCGGGGTAATTGATGGCAATCACACCCATCAACATGTTGGCTACCATGTATGAACAGCCGGCGATCCCAGTATGTCAGCCTAACACGCACACCCCCCCAGTGATGTAGCTCATGGGCTTTTGACAACTCCGCGGTACGAATTCTGATACCCAATGATATTGGCCGCCGGATGTGGGTGCCCTAGACCTTATTGTTAGTGACAGACCTGACCTGATTATGTGACTCAGAAGGGTGATATATCGAAGCCATCTCCACCATCGAGAGAATCACAAAGCTGAATCCTATCAGGCCTCCAAGGTAGGAGTATATCATACCCCCCTTTCCGCCATTGGCCAAACCATTCGAAGAGCCACTGGCTTAATGTCAGTCATATCTGCACTTTTGACAACTTCATAATAAGGTGTACTGACAAGAGCGCCGTACTGAAACCGAGGACAGATAGAAACCGAAAGTTTCGCTATAAGCCGTTAATAAGTTCAGTATATTCCATCCTAAGAATGTATTTGGCAGTTCTGTACATTCAACTCTTGATCCCTGCCCACACGCCACATGTCCATCTTATCCTGCGCAGTTCCATGTTTATTGGGAGGACCGTCTTAGGGTGCCGTGGCGTATTCCACTGATCCTACTGCTTTCTCGGTCAGCATTGTCTGTGGGCTATATTGGTTCAGACAGTACCGAGTTACCTAGGGACGGACGAACGATCGAGATGGTGACGCAGACTCAAATTATTCCAGAATTCGACCAACAATTGCACACGGTCCTTCGGATCCGTGCGTCTTTGGGGAATTTTCTACATTGGCCTGGACAGGGAGTATTGTTCCGACAGTTACGTTACTCGAGGGTCCACCGTGAAGCCACGCATATGATTCCTGGTAAACCGCCGATATCCCTGCAAATTGTGACTTATAGCCCGATATAACATTGAACAACTCGGCTAAGGGAGCCAGGCCAAGAATTAACATCTCGGAAAAACACCTTCGTGTCCAAAGGGCATGTTTGACTGACAACACTGACTATACGCTATAGCATATTTCAGCCTGTCCCCACACATCCAATCGGTTATGAAATATACGGCCGACACTAAAGCTTGGCCTAAAGCCCACCGAGCACCCTAGTGAATTCCTCACGGCCGTTAACCAGGGTGGTATGGTGCCATCCACTTGAAACTTCCTTCACCTAGTTCTATCCTATGATCTGGCCCCATATTGCTACTTATTGGTTGAGATATCAGTCTAGGTGTCCCCGTTAGGTACATAGTCACTAAAGGCCCACCCCTCCCCTGACTGGTATTGAAATCTCTTGGATCTCTAGAAGCTGAACAAGGCTTGGCCACTGATGAGTGCGACAAATCGCGAAGTGCAGTACCGGTCGGAGAATGCAGCTTGCCTGCAAAGGTACTTAAATACTATCTACTATAATGTATCGCGAATTGAATTCAGTAAAAGGTCTGGTTGATGTTACCCTAATTTTGTTAATGGTCAGTGGATAACCATTGACCCATCACTATATTGAGTCTATTAAGCAGCATGCATATTGGGTTATATTGTAGCCTCTACACTCCGAATGGCGGGGATCTGAAATTGCATTTATTTTCGATTGGAAAGAAAGAGAGAAATGCCTCCAGCGCACTTATCCTCCGCAAATGTTCTCCCCGGTCTCTTTTCTTTGGAGAATGAGTGAGATAAACCATTGGAGGACCATATGCGATAGCGCCAACAAATCAGAAGAGGGTTACTTATGATCACTGCAGCACTGTTCATGTCATGGATGTGTATAGTGTGTCTATTCCGGCTTTACATGAGACTTGCGATGAACGGTCCCTTTGGGGCGGATGACTTGGTAGCATTTGCGGGTGGTGTATGCCTACATCAAGCCGATGATATTCCCTGGCTTGTCATTCTAGCTATTGATAGTAGACAGCATCCCAGGAGTTAATCAATTTTATAGGCGCTTGGAATAGGCCATGTGGGAGCTATCATGGCTTCCGTTTCGGACGGGTTCGGGAAACCTTTCCAAGAAATGCCAACAAGCGACACAAGAAGCGCACGAAAAGTACCTAAAGTCTTTTCCGGTCGGTGAGCCTACTGGTGGTCATTTTTGTCCTTTATCTAGGCCCTATATGCTGCCGACCTGCTTTTCCTGACCGGTCATAGCGCCGCAAAAGTCTCCGTCTGTCTCCTGCGTCGGTTGGGACGAGTGACGACGTATATCAATTGGTGCAACATTATACAGATCGTGATGGGCCTGTGGACAGTCGCATCAGTCTCCGGAACCGCAATCAGCTGGCAACCTAGCAATCACTGGAATTTGAGTCGTGGTGTCATCGATCGTGTGGGCAGCCCCGTTTGCTTTTTATAATGCACAGCTGTTGAGGAAAGGGTATAGAATACGGGATGCAAGGCTCTCACAACGGTGGGTGTCATGATAGAGGCCTTGTGAGTTTGAGTATTCTCCTTGTTTGGGGTATTCAAATGCCACGAAAGCAGAAGGTGGCGGTTATCTGTGCGTTTAGTACGAGAACGGCGTAAGTATTAACGTGAAGGACATGGCTACTGGTAATGAAGGCTAATTCATATCGCTACGTTTGACGATCATAGTATAATCGTTGGGGCTGTTGTCCGACAAGTATACATCAACCGCACATTTGAGGAACCCCATCTCCCAGTTCGCGTGTCAGAGGCTGTGATTGCCACGGAAGTGCTTCTTCACTGTAGCCTCATGGCCGTCACCATACCATGCATCAAGGCTTTCATCGCATCTTTTGATACCGGATGGGGTCAGGGAACGACTAAGAGAGGAGAGTCGTATTTTGCATAGTCAGCGGGGCGCGGCTCGCATAATGTACCATGCCATTCTCAAGGTATAGCGGAACTCGATATGGTCAGTCCGGGCTCGGCACAATCCTAGGATAGTCAAAGCTCGCGCCAGTGTATAATCCACAGGGAGGAAGAATGGATTTTAGAAATAGAACTTATCGATATAGACAGGCTAAACGTGCAACATAGGGAATGACACACTAGCATGCAAGATGTTTATGCTGGAATGTCTACGTAGCATCTGAAAGGCACTATGCAGGGGGATAGGTATAGGAAAAGTAATTCGCCAACGCCAATACACCTAACCTGGTTGAACAGGAGACAAGGACCATTGTTCTCTCAGTTTGCCATCCTCGGCTCTCTGACCATGGGATTAGCTCCTTCAGGAGTACCGTCAAGGCCTTCCAGCAGCTCGAATCCAAATTTTCGATACAGCCCAACTCCCTCGTTACTGGAGGCTACGTAGATTGCGGCCCCGTTGCGGTCAGCTAGATCACATCCCCATTGCACCAACAGGGAAGCCGCACCTTGCCGTTGATATTCAGGATTGGTTGCCAGCATATCAAGGTCTATAGCGTGGTTAAAACAAACATACGCCAGTCAGAGGGGGATCATGTACAGTAGTGCTTGCGTCCATGCATCAAGTTCCTGTGCTGATTCACTATCCCCCCGAAAAACTGGTTACAGAGCTCGGCATTTGACTCCGGATGCCATGGCGGATATCGTTCGCCACACTGATCCGGCTGCAGGTCCCATTTCCCGTATGCGATGATATCGCCGGGGCGAGCGGGATCGACTACCTTCAAATACTTCTGGTATGGCTTGTTCACGAGGTCATAGTAATTGGCTTCATTCCACCACGTGCGCACGGCGGGGGTGTCAGGGAATAACTCCAGGTTGTGTGGCGTACCGAATGCGCGGAACCAGACTTCAGTGATCTTGGGGATGTCGTCTGGAGTAATTTCACGAAGTTTGAGTGTCGACTGATTCGCCATTTTCTCGAAATTACCTGCTGTCTTCAGAGATAGAGAAACTGACATAACAGTTACGCAGGTCAAATACTTATACTGGCACGCTCGTGCAACTCTCTTGCCCTTTTTTTCAACCATTCGCACAGACAGCAAGGAATCCCCGGCGGATCCACGGATGAGCTGTACCGTTTTCCGTTCCAACCATTGTCTTGACCCCAAAGTCAATGATGTCAGGAACATTGATTTTAAGTTGCAAGCCTGGCATGTGGAGACTCTAAACCATACGCAATTTGTGGATGATTCTGCCGAGAGGTCGAGACTAGGCGAGGCAGCCAGTATGCTGCCTGGCTTTCATTTCACTGTCTTCATCGTGTACAGTCACGAGTGGAAAGGGAAGATTAATGGCAAGTTGGTTCGTTTTGTGAAGTACTTCCTAACTGTCCGAGCGGTGTGGTTATAGCTCCTTTTCTTTGTTGGGACCAATAACTTTATCTCCGGTTCGTAAAGACTCGCATATGTGGCGTTCAATAGTTTAGTATAGCAAATCCCGGTAACTTTTTCATCATTCCATGACCTGCCTCCGTTTGACCGTTCTACAGTTTGTGTATATATATAGATATCCTTTTTTTTTTTTTTTTTTTTTCTTCTGGAAAGGGAATATTGCCTTACAGGAAGACCATGGGATGACACTTGACGCAGAAGGCACCCCTTAAAACCCTAAAAGAGCAGAGCCGACAGAGCCTCTTTAGTTCTACATCGTCAGTATCCACAATTTACATAGAAGGGGTAAACCAAGTTTTAAATACAAGGACTAAGCTTTAATAAGTCTTGGTTTGTGGGGTCTGGAGTGGATATATAGGAAGTTTAGTGGAGTCGAAACCTCGATTAACCTCATGTCAAGAACTAGAGAGGCAAGAGACTATCCGATCATACTGGTTTGGGTAGGAGACTACAATGGGAACATGAGATGTAACGCCCTGATTGCTATATATTTGACTACACATATTTAATCAGTGATCCTAGTATGCTGATAAAAATTTGCCCCGGGTTTGTTCTGATGTTGATAGGCTTATTAGTCTTGAATCATATATGCCACAACCAGGTCATGATTGTCCTTGTATTGGGGGATCCCTACGGTGGACTAAGGAGCTTCCAGACATCCTCCTATTTAATAAATAACGTGAATATCAGTACCTACGAACTCTAATTATGAATAGGCTTATTAACTAAACGTTCTACAGGTAGAAATCCTTCCTCGGCAAAGGATGGACGTCGCCAGTCAGTGTGTGCGCAGATTTACCACTACAATAGTAGCCTTAGAAAACGCACTCTTTCCCAGCCTGATAGATAAGCTTTTGGTGTCGCTATCCTTTAAGAGCCAGTGACGCAGTGAGATAAAGTACGAAAGTGACTTATAGACTTCCGATTGGTGGCTGATAATTTAAATGATCACGCGAACGCAGAAGCCCGAGCTAAATGATACTTGTTTGAGGCAACCTGGATGAAGCGCTTATCATTCTTGATAGGACACTCTTTTTCAAAAGGTCATGTGAACTTTGGGTCAGATTTGTAAAGTTTCCTCTTTCGTGAAACTAATATCCACTGCTGAGAAGGCCCCTAAAGATGCTATCTTTCCGATTACTCAGAACCAGGGGCTCATCTGTCTCTACTACCTTTCCCCGATCTAAACCAACGATTAGATCATAAGCCAATAGACTGTGGACACGATGTGCAACTGTAAGGACTGTGCATGAACGAAAGGGATCCTGTCGCAGAAGGTTTTGCACACGAGCGTCGGTTTCCATGTCGACGCTGCTGGTGCCTTCATCTATCAACAAGACCCTAGAATTCTTGGCTTGTATTTTCAGCATTGCACGAGCAAGCTGTAGCAGTTGCTGCTCGCCTCGAGATAGCGATAGAGTGTCGGTTATTTCGGCATCCAGTCCCCCCCTTTCGAGTAGTACACCTTCCCAGAGTCCAACTCGGACGAGAGCCGTGATGATCTCTGTGTCAGGTAGGCTTTCGGTGGGATCTACATTAAACCTCACTGTACAACCGATCATGATGAGAGGTGTTTGAGAAATGGTGACAAGCCGTTCGCGGACTATATCTGGGGGGAGGGTAGCAAGGTTGATGTCGTCGATAACAATCGAGCCGCAGGTCACGGTGAGCATGCCCAGTAACGTTGACAGTAAAGAGCTCTTTCCACTAATTTATTACGCGGGGGACAGGTAAGCCAAGACTGGGAATGCCTAACAGCGAAATAGGACTCCAAGATGATACTTACCTCCCAGTCCGTCCGCAGATACCGATTTTCTGACCTGGCAAGCATTTAAGAAAGACATCACTCAGTACTGTTGTTTCAGAACTGTTCGTGTGTTTGTTAGTAAAGCGAATCAAAAGTGACGATGGCCCATCTTATGAAATACATACGTGTACTCCGCAGCCATCCCCGAGATCTCAATAGCCCCCCGGGCTGGCCAGTCGATGGGAATTTCTTCTTGCGTGGTTGATAGTTCACGTGGCATTCTAAGTTCAAAATCTTTGACACGTAGGATTGAGCCAAGGGATATCTCCAACTGTGTCCAACCCGATATGAGAGCTGAAAGGTTACCATTGAATGCTTCGTGGGGTTGAGTCAGCTGGAAGTGTAACGATACATGTCACGACATCAAAGAGGCAGCATCTGCAAAGTAAAGTGCCAATGGAAACACATACCAAGAATGCTGTTGAGTGATACTCCAAGCAATCCGACACTCGTGGTGTGTCTTAAAGACACTGCTAAGCTGACGACAATGACCGCTTCGGCAGCGACGACCAGGTCCAAGACTAAGGTGAGCCAGCGCTGAATACAATTAAGCATATAATACGTGCGTTGGGTAACATCCAATAATGTAGAATTGACCATTCGAGAATCTATTTCCCAGCCGAATGCCTGAATTGTAGCGAGGCCCTCGACAGTATCAAGAAGATGGGAGTACAACGGACTTCTGCTTTCCAGGTCCAGTAATCGAAGTTGCCGTGATGTCTTCAGATAGAAATACTGTAAGAAAAAGACAAGGACGATCAGGAAAGGCACAGATATTGCCATGTACTTTGATCCTGTCGCAATAAGTGCAGCACTGGCAATTGAAGAAAAGAGATCTGGTTTCATTAGCAATGATGTCGTTGGTTGGCGGCCAATAGTGGTCAGAAGCTCTTTCCGGAGGTTGAGTGGAATGGTAGGGTCTTACTTGAGACCGTTATCAAGATGCCAATAGGCAGATCGCTTTCTATCAAGGTCATATCCTGGCTAAATCGGTTTAGTATACACCCCATGTCAACAGTGGCTAGAAATCGAGGCGTTGCCCTTTAGATGTCAGCAAATGACCGAGGCACGAGAAAAAGAACTGAATGTACATTATGACAGTCTTCAGCACGACATAATGGAGTCGGCGAGCAGTTGAGGGTGAGATCAGAATGAGGATCGCCCTAGCATTTTGTTAGAGGTCGTGGTTCCTGAGATACAACCAGACAGAACACCTTACCAAACATAACCACCATTTCCGACGGTGTTGCAGATGGCAAGCAGGATATACACCGTGACATAGAGTGCCCTTCGGGAACCTCCATGATCAGCCCATCGCTCAAGCCATATTTCTAGTAGAAGATCAACGTCAGTCGTATCCAGAGTGGCACAAGTGAGAATCCACATACGGCTGTACGTGCTAGAGAAGACATTCATTGTCACGAAGAAGACAAAGACTGCAGCCTTCGTCCACCCAATGTAGCGCAAATAATACATATAGACAGCAGAATCCCCTGCTGCCCTCCTGAGGTCGTTGATCTCATTTACCTCAGAGATCATGGCGGCCTTATCTTCTATCGCTACTTCTGTGAATCCCTTCGACTCCTCAGCTTCTACGGCGTCAGACCCCGTGTCTTGATAGACCTTCCCCTCGCAGGGCTCTTCCTGACGAAGACGCCCATCTGAGAGAATATAAGTTTGATCCGCAAAATATAGCTGCTCCACTACTTGGGTGTTAGCCTGTAATAGGCGACAAAGAAAACTTGGTGGGATCTTACTCTCATGTGTCACCAAAACTATGGTGGTATTTACATTTCGGAGCAGTCCATCAACCCCCAAAAGACGCGCTATGATTGTAGTTTTAGTCCTTCGGTCCAGTGCACTGAATATATCGTCTAAAAGCAAAAGTTTCCTGCGAGAGTATACGGCTCGAGCAAGAGCGATCCGGTGCATTTGACCACCACTCAGCACATGACCGGACCCGTGTCCTATTCGCGTGGCGTCTCCCTCGCGAAGCAAATCCAGGTCTAAATTGAGAGCGCATGCGTGAAGAACGGTCGCATACCACTTTTTATCAAATGCACCCTCCCTCACGGTACCCGCCGAGAAGGTTCCACAGATCGCATCGCGGATAGTGCCACTTGGGACCCACGGAGTTTGCGCGCAGAAGGCCGGCTGTCGAATGGCCACTGCCGTGGAGCCTGTCTCGCAAACGGCTTGGCCAAGTATAGCCCGAAGCAGGGTCGATTTGCCTGATCCAACTGCCCCTCGGATCATGGCCAGCGCTCCTAGAGGGACTTCTAAGTTAACATCGCTTAAGATATTCCTTGCCGACGGGGATGGGCGAATGCTGAGATTTTTCATGGATATGACAGATGTTTGAAGGTAAGTAGTGTCCGGTGAGCCCTTGGACGTCATGTATTGCACTTTGGCGATGTGCGGAGTTGCATCAACTTTCGTTTCCCTCGTGCGAACAAAGCCCTCCCCTATATGTTGAGGACTGGTTGCCAGCAGAAGAAATGCTTGTATTCTATCAAAAGATCCTGTCGCAGCCGCTATGGTAGGAATCGCGCTTAATAGCTTAGAAGCTGGACTAGTTAGAAGGGTTATGATGGACAGACTGCTGAACGCCTCGGTAACGTTCAGTTCATTTCCTTGAGCAGCGTAGGCAACGAAGGTCAAAGCTGGCGCCAATGCCCAAGGCAGATTCTGGATCATATTCTTCCAGACCACACTCCAGCGGTACTTGGCCATTCGGTGTGTTTCTTGGGTCCTTTTCCTCTGTAAGAGCTGAATAAGGGTTTGACCTAACCCCGTAGCCTTGACGGTTTGGATACCATCCAGCATTGAACGGGTGATCGCTATGCGTTCCTGTACAGCATCCACCCATATTTTCTGGTGTCCTCCTATATGCTTCGAGATATAAATACTTCCTCCACTGGATACTATTATTGACTTTTAGCAGATTGAAGCCATATATGGTGAGACAGGAACCCTTACTGAGAACGACCACTAATGGTATTAGGCAAACCCACCCTAACCGAAGCGCGAGTAACGCAATGCCAATGCCCACTTCAATCGTCCGCGCCCAGGATTCATTCAGAGTTATTAAGCAGGTGATGATCCGGTCAACGTCGGTAGTCATTAGAGTAATTGTGGCAGAACGGTCTCCTAGGGTGCCATCTGGAATGTGTAAGGCGTGGTCGTATATCATCGAGGAGGCTGCCCCTCGGACCATTGTTACAAACCGATACAAACGCTGGTCGTATATGAGGTTTGACAGAGCCATTCCGAAGTATATCAGAAGTGTGGCCCCAATGAGCCCGTAGCCGTCATTGTTCGCGCTATGGGAGCTATCAAGCCAATTGAGAATAGACGTGATCAAGAAGGGCTGTGAGAAGGTAAATCCGATCAAGAAGAGGCGTGGAAGTATCGTTAGAGTAAGAGGGCCCTTGAACGCTCGGCCCATTTGCCATGGGAACTCGAAGCGGCGCTCGGGACGCCGGCGTTGAGCCCAAGCTCTCAATGCCTTCTGCGCCGTCCCCGCGGACTCCAGGGGCTTATCGAGATGGTCAAGATCCTCCGTCATCAGTAAAGATCGAAAGCCCCTGAAAAACAGACGGTTCAGCCACCACATGAACGATCGATTGACAATTCCACTCGTCGACTCTGGAGGGAGATCCTGGTAGGGACCCATGAGGTGTTTCTGCTTCCCTAAACTCTCAAAAAGCACCATTACTGTTTTCGCAGCAACACTGGCCGTGAAAAGACTCGGAATCAGGTAGTTCCCGTGGGATAACCACAAAGTTCTTGTCTGCACAGCATCGAATAGTAACGAGAAGAGAAGGTAGATGGCGAGGAGTGATGACGGTCTAACGGATCGCTCATCTTCCACCCACGTCAAGACCACAATTTCCACTGCCACTGCCAAATTGATTGCACTTGATGCCACAGAGACCTTTGTGTTTGGCCGAGCTTTCTTTGCCCAGCTGATAAGCAAGGCAAGTTGAATCGCGGCGAAGATCAAGGCGGCTATCTGACATGAAATCCACGTTACCGCGTGTTTCACTCTGCGAATAGGGCGATGTGAAAGTGCTTACCAGCTTTGCCAATCTCATTATGTGAGGCTGAGTCCGCACATTTCTCTTAACCAGGAATCTCAATCGAAGAGGACACACCAGGAGAAATGCGACCGCCGGAATGAGGCCAAGTATGGCTTGCTCGAACAATAGCGTGAAATCAAAGCCATCACGGCACCCAGGATCTATCGCAGGGCCAAAACTGTTGTCCGCCTGGATCGAGCAACCTGGTGGCATAATGTTGTGTTGCATTCTTTTGGCATTCCTGTTTATCTTTTGACGAGATAGCGGTAAAGGAAAATTAAATCAATATATGTCCGGATGTAAGCTAACGAACCCCTGTCGGCTATTGCGCCATCGATGCCTTGTTATCACGAAGGATTTATCTTATGGTAATTCAAGTATATTGGAAGTTAAACCACACTATAACACATCCCTGTGGGTCTCAATAATGCTCATACGCAGAATCCCCTACTGGCACCCTATACTGTCAAAATGAGTACACTACATATCTATATCCGCCTGCAACACGACTAGAATAATTCACCCTTTGCTTCTTCATCTTACTCTTGACTTGGCTCACTCGGGCATGGTTCTAGAGACCGCAGATTGAGCGAGACCCCGGGCTTTAGTGTTACATCAATACCAACCACAACGATTGAATCCGGCATGAAGTTCTGTCGTACGGCATCCACCCTCCCAGTGATCGCACGGCACCGAAATCCGGGGGTCATAATCATGAAGAAAAACAGTATCGCAGTGAAGCGTGTGCTTCTGCTCGAGGATATCATTGTCCATGGGCATTCGGTGACGGAAGGCGTCGTGAAACTTCCTCCAGGAATAAGTACAGTGGAATTGATGCCACATCCGTGGGCCCCAGAGAAGAGAATGATCTCCACGCTCCCATTCTTCGCGTGGCACCTCTTCCGTTGGGAGGGTTTCATTGCTTAGGTAGAAATGCCAATCCATTCTCTGCAGGAAGTCGTTGACCAAGTCCGCGTGGTAACATTCTGGCCGCTGCCACGCCCAGGACATTGGATCGAAGATGCAGCCTAGTTCCCGGGCCTCTGCAATGGATCTGCCACAATGGCCAAATTCATCCCCAGTCGATTGACCTGAGAGTCGACGTAAATCATTTGTTGCCAATGCCATCCGGATGGCTGCAATTTCGTCACCCGTCTTTATTGTGACTTTTTCGACGAACGAGAGCATAGCAATGTTGGTACCTCCTATGATGAACGAGAGAATGGCCATGACAAGCAAGCCACCACTTAGGAGGGATAAGCGCCTTCGGGCCTGCGTCCCAACCTGCTTTTCATTCTGTCCTAATATCTTCTTATCCCCGTCGTCTAAAAGGGGATCACATTGATCTGAACCTTTCTCCGCAGAGACGAAATATGGCAGCGTTTCACTGCCCATGATTATCTATGTTTTGTCGCCAAAACGAACCACCAGACTCAATATCAATCTGGCAAGATGTGGACGTAGGAAACGATCGATACAATTCGGTATGAAAAACAGTTGTAGAGAAGAAACAGGGGGGGAAGAACTGGGCTCGAGAATAAGACCAGATGTCACGAGCTCCCATCAGCAATTTTGGTATCTCGCCAGGACAGACGAAACGTCTAGATGCCTGATACATTGATGTATAGGCCTGTGAAGGCTCATACTCGGCTTTTTTTCCTGGATCAAAGTCTAGACTGATCCGATCAAAAGCTAAGAAATGATCTGCTGGAGTCGATTATTGCGTGCTATTAGATTGTGTCGCTCATCATTTGTTCTTCAAAGATTTATTTGGTTTCAACTAGTTCAACAGTTATGCAGATAAGATATTGTGATGTGAGCTACAGGATCGTTCTTTGTCTGACCCTGCGGACTCCGTCGTTGGTCCGTCTTACACCCGAGCGAAGTACCCGACCGACTCCGATCTTAGACCGTTTAAGACAAACAAATCACTATCTAAGTTCCTCCCTATACTGTCATTAATGGGGGGCACGCCTAGTATTAGGAGAGCTAGATCACTTCCACTAGTAATATCCATCATGCATATCTCCATTTGCTGAGATTGAGCACGGTGTTACGTTACTTATTCTTGCAACACAATTTGATAACCCTCGGGGATACCCGGCAATGCCGGCGATCACGTATACTTGTTTGCTATACACTAAGAATTATCCAATATGGCTTCAACAGTGCTTAGCTTGGTGCAATATACACGTATTCTCGTTGGCAGGGGGCACGGAGCTGGCTAAGAGCCTGCTTCAAACCCACTTTCTATCGCTGTATCTCGTGCTCAACCATAGAGCCGTTGTACCCACCTCAAATGGAAAAGAAGTATAATACATTCTTAAGATGAGCACGACATACATGCATCGGTGACGATGAGAATGGAACGGAGACGTACCGTATTACAGAAGCGCCGTCACTGGAGCAGTTCAGCGACTTTCTGCTACCCTGATTTGCTGAGATAGAGAAGACGTTTAAACGAGCTCTGCAGGTATTACTATTCTGCTCTATTCGTCGATATTGCACAGGGCCTTCTAGGATGGGAATGGGCCAAACACGAAGCCTTCAAGGTATAGTAGAGTGTGAGAGCATACGCTATTATATCACCGTGACGCGTGATCTGTATGATTTGTACGCTTAGTGAATCACACTCCATTGATGCAAGCTCTCTATCTGGGCCAAACATGCTACTGACACGGTCCGCATACCGTTGAGATTTAGCAAAATAGGATGTATACAATGAATTGCCACTTATTGTGCTATTACACCCAATCTTGTCCCGTTGTCAGTGGTTCATGTCGCCTTTCTGATCTGCAATGACTCGAGTTGCCATGACTCAAATTCGCTTTCTTGACTCATCTGTTCACGATCTCCACTCTATCCTTTGGGCTCATCACCCGAAGTCACGCCGCGATATCATGATTTTGGGCCTCACGGTAACCGTGGACTTCCATAAAAGCCTTTATGGCGTCCTGGACATGACATTAGTCAGGCTTAATATGACGAGCTGGAGTAACCTTCATATATGGAAAGCCTTACCTTACTGGTGCAAACGTGAGGAATACCCCTTCCATCCGTCTGGAACCGTCTTCCATCCTTCTCTGTTCTCGGCCATTCTAGGGTCATATCGGCAGAACATTCAAACGCTTGTCTCAGATAATCAAAACAATGACCTGTATGCTCGTTACGGAGTTGTCGCTCTGCTTCTTTTTTGACTGCGGCTGGAGCATCATTCTGAATCCCCATTGCCAGGGTATAATAATGTCGACGAATCACACCGAGACAATGGATCTGGTGATACATTGAGACGCCATATATCTCACCGGATTCCTTTTCCACACCAGGTTCCATGCCGTATTTGGCGCCATTTTCGACGTAAATATATCCCCGTCCGTCCTGCTTCATTAGTGGATAGTCCATGAGCACACTGTTGGAGTAGAACGCACGGGTAGTAGCTTATTCCATGCCATGTCGCTCTCTGGGCTGGGTGGGTTGACGTAAGTTTGATTCCATTCGAAAACTCGAATCTCTTTGGGAACTACAGACTAGTCAGTCAGCTTCCGGTTCCATCGGATGAATCTCCTGTCAAGGCTTACAGGATGGAACTGGCGTCTTCAAAAGAGGTTTCTGCAAGCTCGAAGAGCACATATTCCATCCCAGGAATGTAAAAAATAACATGGCCACGGCGATCCCAGTGCTAATGGTGGCAGCAACAATTATGGTTTTCCACCAAGCATGTCCACCAAATCGCAAACCGCTCCCTTGGGTAGAAAGAGTTGGCGAGGGCTTAGATGACTCAACATCTTCAGGATTATTGGAGCTCAAGACGGAATATTGTTGTTGGGTCTTGTATTTATCACCAGTGAGGTACTTGATGTTCAGACCCATGTTGTACGCCTGCTCGTGCGAAGATCGTGGAAGTAGCGAGAGGATGTAAGTACTGTTGGGCTATACACCTAGTAATCGGCTCCACTGGCGCCTTTTAAGTTTCGTACAGAGCAATTTGTAATCCAGCATATTTCCCCGAGCGAGCAATAGCCAGTGTTTCCCCTGGCCATCTAGTGTGCTTACCGAATGGCTCTTCTCTTCTCGTGTACCTTCTACTCCAACGGAGGTCACTTCCTAATTGGCTGCATAATTAACTACAGCTAAAGTGAAACCGCATTGACGATTCCATGAGGCTTTATACTCGATGTAACCCTACCACTGGCGCTAACTGACTAGTTGCGTTAGTGTCTGCTTCACCTTACAGCCATTATGCTTGTCGTGCCTTGGCTATAGATCTGAAAAGCTTTTCTCCTATACGAAGACCGACCTGATCACGACATAGGCGGGGAAATGTTAAAATAGATGTAATCTTGCGTCGAGTCCTGCGCCTCTCTACCCCCCCCCCGAAGAGTAGGTAGCTCTCTTAAAATACCTACATCTTTATTCGCAATCTTACCTCAGTACTGTTCTTTTTTTTTAAAGCACATCATGAATGGTTCGCAAAGTGAAATAACGGAGGAAAGGCCTTTCCTCCTCAAGGAGCCGACATCCCCAGCTGTAGATGAGAATGGTGAATTTGGTGGCACCTATTTACATCCACCAAAAAGAAGCCCTTGCGAGCAATGTATTCCATGGCTCATCCACCTTTTAATTCTTACCACTTACACGACAATTTTCATTCTTTTTTGGGACTATTCACATTATGCAAGTTGTCCAAGGCTGGATAGCCGCGAATCTTCCCATGTTTACAGTGAGTCTGGGGTCGATCATTCATCTATGCCCTGCTTACAAGGAACCTTAGGCCCAGCATCAGAGGCACTTAAGTGGGAAGTGCGAACCTTTCATAATCAACTTGAGGCATCAAATCCATATAAAGGACCACCCAGGCCGGAATTAGAGAAGGCCTGGCACAACCTTCTTCATCCGTCTGCTGCCATCCGCGTGAGCAAGGAAGCGCTCCACAGAATCAATCGAACCTCTGTAGAGCTTCTGGATGGATCGGGTTATATGGTTGCATTGGATGTCTATCATCAGCTACATTGCCTGGTATGTATTCAATATAGCACTGATGGAGTATGTCTGCTTTTGGATGTTGTACTGATAGACCTATCTCATAGAGATGGGTGCGCAGATACCTTCACCGAGACCACTACAATATGACAGAGAAAAATCTAGGCCAGCACATTGGTGAGCATTGTCACCCTGTTTGATTCCATGCCAGCTGACTCCCTCATAGACCATTGCTTGGATGGCTTACGACAGTATGTCATGTGCAACGCGGATTTGGCTCTCAACACCTTTGAGTGGATCCCAAATTATCCCAGGCCGTGGCCTAATTTTGAGGTTGTGCATAAATGTGCGAATTGGGAGTCTATTGAGGAATGGGTTTTGACGCACAGCTTCAATGGATTTGACCCTGATCTGATCAGCCATCCGGATTATCATCCTGAACTACGTAAGGGCATACCGCTTGAAATGAGAAGGCTGAAATGATGCTAACTGATGTCTATTCTATGACAGCAAGCCCATTCAATTTCACTGTCAGTGGTAATTCACCCTGATAACGTATTCCGTTGAACGGTTGAGCTCGATATATAATTTGTTCAATATAGCAATCCGATGTTCTACTTTGAAAATGAAGTGTGGCACAGTAGATCCGGTAGTGTTTAATTCCATCTTACCTTCTAGAGTCGTCTTCTTGTTCTTTTTTATTGTATTTTGATTTATCCTTTTTTTATATTTTGCCCCCGCTGGAGTCAACAAAGTCCATACCTCCCTCCTCCTTACTAGGGGATTGCCTAGCTGTGAGGGGAACTCGTATCGGCCGTCAAACTTGAAATGTTTAATGAAATGGATAAATACAAGGGTTTACCATGCCGTGCATGCGGCTCTCTTCATTGTATTTCTCAGTTGCAAACACACTCTATCTCGCGTCTTAGTATACTTTGTAGTATAATGTACACCCGCCAAGCCAATAGCGATTTTTGTGTTAATGTCTCCAAAAAGACAGTCAATAGTCTAAGCTGCAGGTAGAATCACGTTGACATCCTGTATGACAGCCGTTCAACAAGATCGTCTAGCTATCTTACTTTACAGATAAAGAGAACAGCGCTTACATCGTCACATTCCTCACTCATTTGAGACATTGCTACGTGGTAAGCGCTATTCATGCATCTGCTTGATCAGTCACACAAAGGAGTATCGGTTTGGTTGAAGATAGAGGGGATACGAGAAATCCGCCGGAGTCCGAAGGTCAGCAGGCATTTCCTTCGCCTTATGCATTATCAATATACACAGGTAGATGCTACATATGAAGGCCTTATCGGATTACATAGCACGAGTCAAGCCAGTGAAAGCACGTCACCGAGAGGGGTACAGAGGGATGCGGTCATATTCACCAAAAGCCAGGAGGCTGTATGCAACCTTAGTTATCTATAAAAGCCCATTCAGCTCCGGTCTCTAAAGCGATATCACCCTTTTACGAATCTGCTGGCCTCTCCCTTATCCATACCACGCTTACATACGCACCCCCCCCCCCCCCCCCCCCGAAATCCTAGTCCTAAACTTGCAATACCAAGATGCGGTTTATTTACCTTCTGTTGGCTCTACCATCCTTGTGCCTTGCAGCACCAACTAGTGGTACATCTCTCTTTACCATGAACCGGGGATTGAGACACTAATTCTTATCATAGCTCATGCTTCACCACGGGACTTGAACACGTTTGCAGGAAATGAACATCAGGGCTACGAATCCAACGGAGAACACCAGGTTTCTGAGCGGGACGTTGACGACATTGAATGCGGGGGACACCAGGCCTATAAGAGGGACTTTGACGGCTGCTAGAGAGATGTGCATGGTTTAGAGATAACAAACATAAGCTTTCCTTCGAATCACAAAGATTGTGGTAGCACCAAATGAACTTATGATTTGAACATTGAAATTGATCGATGACGATGAATTCATTTGCTCGATCTAGCTCGCTCTAAGTGTACACTACCATGCGGGAGTTCTCCTAGACCTGCTGATAGTGATAAAGTTGATTCATAAGCATTCGCTCTAGAATGTGGATGAGGTAGATGAAAAGTAGGATAAGTATAGGTACAAATATGATAGATACAAAGGAAATCTTAAATAAATATGATTTTACCCCTTTACTAGCTTCACGCCAGTTGCACTCCCTCTTCCTGGTAATAGTCTATCTGTTGGCGAGTCCAGTGGACCTAGCACTGCATTTATATTGATCTTCATCCATCCCACCGTCCTTAGGGTTCCTGTCTCATCCCCTTCTCACTCCTACAGCCGCTCCCTAGGGCCAGAAGGGACTAAAGTATTCCTTTATTTTTAACAGAATATATTAACTTGTGAAAGAAATATAAGCCTTCTATATTATATAACTGTATAAATATCTAGGTCTGATTGGTGGGCTATCCTTTAGGCATATATACTTAGGGATGTATCGGATATTACATAAGCTATTTTCTATTTGCCTAGCTTTAATAAGACGGCCCTAGTGTATTTGTGTTAATAAATCTCATATATAGCCTCATCCTATAGATCAGGTAATTTTTGGCGAGACGAGCAGGGGAGATGACCACCGCACAGACTGTGGCGGCTTACAGCACATGGAGCCAAGGCAGAACACAACGAGACTGGAGGTCTATCGCTGCCTGACCTTTAGTTGTTTAAATACTGTTCCATACGTTAGACCCTGGGGAAATCCTTGTAGTTTGTTTTCGGTCGTACTTGGCAAACCCTCAAAGCATAGAAGCTTGACAAAGCGGAGGTAGCAGTCATCTTTCTACGTAAAGCCTCCTCCTGGGAATATATCCCCGGTATGGCCGACGAAAGCAAGCCCGTGAAAGTTGTGCACAGTTGGTGGATGATTTTTTGGACGTGGGCAATGCAACTGTACGCTACATCATTAAGCCACTATCACGAACCATGACTAAAAGAAAGGGAAAAAGATACTTTGTACTATACATCAACACACTGCGATGGATGCTATCACTTCTGCTCGTACTCACACCCACTCTGTGGGGTCCGCGATTATGGTTTGCTCTCCTCGGCGCCAGCATGACCGAGCAACCAGTTTATCTAGGTGACACTGTTATGAACACAATGTCACAACAGGATTCTGACGGTCAGTGCAAGACCTGGACGGAAAAACGAGAAGCAATCTTAAACTCAGCTTCCAGTGCCTCGGGATGGTACGGTCCTGGTGCTTATCTCGCCTGGTTAATAACCGCCTATGCCACAGCTCTATCCACAATATGGCATTCTAAATGTTCAGAGGGACATCCAGATGTGAATAAACTCGACGCAGAGATCCTCCTCACCATCGGCTATCCTCTAGTCGCCCTCGGCGATGTTTTACTCCGTCTGGTACGATGTCAGATCGACCCCGGGATGACCGCTGCTGTATTTGTGCTCGTGTCAACACTGACTGTCATTGGACCTCTGACCAGATTATCATGGCAGGAAGACGGCGTGGAGGTCGAGATCGATCCGCCCAATTTCCCTAGGACGGTGAAAGAGTGGACGTGGAAAACCTTCCGCTTCCTCTGTCATACTGTCGTCTATGCCATTCTTTTTGAACCGTATCTTGAGTCTCGGGTCATGCTGGCCGTTTATGTACTCCTGTTTGTGACGGTGTTGTACTCTGGGATTTACGGGGAGGCTCGATTCGACAAGTATCCGTACCGGCGGATTGTCTATCGGCCGAGGGGAGAGCGGATGGTGGTTTTTTGCGTCGTACAGCTTGTTTTTAATATCGTGTTATTCTCGGTTTCCCGTTCTGTCTGGCCGAAGACTGATGCTAGTCTTCTGGATCTGGATCAGGCCGCGGGTGTATTCCTTACTACATCGACGTTGGTGTATTCCCGGCGAGAGGGGATTATGGCGTTTGTGAAATGGTTGAGATGTAAACGGTCTACTGTTGAGGTACTGTCAGAATCTTGATCCGGGTGCTGTAGTGTAGGGCGAGGATGATCGAAACCATTGATATGCTTCCCATTGGCAGATGATTGAAGGGTCGGGTTAGTCAAGTTAGTGATATGGTGTGGGTCGATTGAAAGGAAGTGGAATCTGGATCGGTAGCGAAGAATACAGGAATAGTAAGGGTTCGATCCTTGTCTTTTTTAAGTTAAGCGTATTCTCAACCCTGTATACTGTGTGCATATTCAGGCCTGAGGCGATCGCTCAGGCAACACATTAAAGCTCGCCAAGTCATGACATCATTCTCGGCCATTTAAGGAAATGCAACCCTCCAACTTCACTGCAAGGTATCTCCCATATTTCCAACAGTCTACTTCCGAGGTCTACTCCTAGCATGACTACAAAGAAGCACGGTCTAATTCTCGAAGCCTCTAACCGTCAAAATGGGTGGTGGCGCTCAATTCCCTAGTTACCATCCTCAAGAGCCAACCGACAACAAAAACTCGCAATGGCAGGAACCAGGAGAAAAGCGATATCTTCACGGGATAGTGGACATGGGCAGGCAAGAAACAAGTTACTCTACAAAATCACGAACCATTCTAATTTTCACTCCGTTAGTAACGGGATCCGATGCTCGATTACAGATCTCTCACCACCGACCACCCGTATCCTACCAACTGTTTATTCTCAACGGTTCAACATCTCACTCTACGATGCGCAATATGACTCAGAGACTGGGGAGCAGATTCCAATACCGAAGAAGGTTATTGATGCGGTCGTTGCAGGTATACTTCGCTTCCAGATTGTCTGTCTAGAAGTGGGTGTGCCGGCGAGTCAGATGCTGATTATTGCGACTGAGGCTACGCGGAAGGCGATTAACTCGGAGGAGTTTGTTAAGACCATCCAGGACAGGACCCATGTCAGGGTGCGAATGCTGCCGAAGCATGAGGAGGGTGTCGTGGGTGCGTGGGGGATTGCGAGCGGATATTCTGATATCGAGGGATTGGCCATTGATCTCGGGGGTGGAAGTATGCAAATGACATGGATCGTTTCGCATGGTGGAGATGTGCATATAAGTCGCAAGGGGTCTATTAGTTTTCCGTACGGTGCGGCTGCTTTGACGCAGAAATTGGAAGCTCTGACGAAGGATAAAGATGGGGATGAGGCATCCAAGGCGAAGGAGCAATTCCGCCAGGAGATGACTAGCCAGTTTCGTCAAGCGTGGGAGGATCTAGAGATTCCTACGCACCTAGTCGACAAGGCGAAGAGAGAGGGAGGCTTCCAGCTTTATCTCTCTGGGGGAGGATTCCGGGGATGGGGCTATCTTCTTCTCTATCTTCATCAAGTCCGAGGCGAGTATTACCCCATTTCGATCATCAATGGATACTCCGCTGGGAAGAAGGACTTTGAGAACACAGAGGTATTAAAGAAGGTTGCTAAGACTGCAAACGATATCTTCCGTGTCTCGGATCGACGCCGAAAACAAGTCCCCTCGGTCGCATTTCTCGTGAACGTGCTCGCGAAGGCTATTCCTCACGGGATTAAAGAGGCTCATTTCTGCCAGGGAGGCGTTCGCGAGGGTGCTTTATATCGCAAGATCCTGCCTGTTATCCGCCAGCAGGACCCGTTGCAGGTTGCGACCATGGATTTCGCCCGCGGATCGGCCCAAGCGATGGCCCTCATGGCATTCTCTTCCATTCCTCGTCCAACAAAGGAGAGGTCCTTTCCTCATTCTATCAGTCCACATGTTATTCAGGCCTTTGCCAATATTCTTTATGCGCATTCGACTATGTCTAAAGAGACAGCGGCCACAGCCGCGCTGTACAGCACAAGCACCGGCGTCCTGGCGGAAGCGCATGGTATACCGCATTCCGATCGCGCTCGCCTGGCGTTGATGCTGCAGGAGAGGTACGGTGGCGAGCTACCACCTCGTGAGATGGACTTTAAGAAGAGCCTACGGTCGCTTCTCACACCGGAGGAAGTCTGGTGGACGCGGTATCTAGGGAAACTGGGTCTCGTCATCAGCCGCGTGTATCCCACGGGTGTCATTGACCCATCCCGGCCTCGCGCACTACCGAGAGCACGCTGGGCAAATGATCTGGGGAAGAAGAAAAACAAGAAAGGAATTGAATTGAAAGTCTCTCTCCAGAAGGTAGGGTTTGACCCCACTAGATTAAAGCAAGAGTTGGAAGCGGACCTGAAGAAGCTGCGGAAGGTCGGGAAAAGGAAGCACTGGATTGGGGGTAGGGATGGATGGGGGATGAAAGTTGAAGTCATTCTGGAGGAGGAAGACCTGCTTTAACAGTGATCTTACAAGGAATATCTTATATGGGCTGGTTTTATTGGTGCATGCTTCGATGTCTTCTCGGTGTTCCGGATGCAATGTCTCGCTCATGATTGTTGCATCCTCTACCGCGTCACCCTTTTCTTCGCTCCACCCGCTACACCTACAAGGCTCCCGTACTTCAGTGTGTTCATAGTGGCGGCGAATTGCTCCGATGACGGTGACACCGTGAGGATCATAGCAGAATAACTATCAGTCGTATTCGTACCCAGGAAGTGGTCACGCAGTACCATGGTCAGGGGTGACGATCGAAACGGAATGCGTGCCTGCTTCGACGCCCGTGCTCGGATAACCTCTTTCAATGCCAGGAGGTCCGTGTTAATCTGCCGGCCTTCTTGTTGCTCCTGGAGTGTTTGCTTTGGTCGCGGCATGGTAGAGATCGTCTTGTCATGATAATACTCGGAACCAGCCAGATCGACAAAAACCAGTTTGCCTCCGAGACATACATGGCCCGATGAGTTTAAGACATGACTGACTTTGTCCTCGGCCCGCTGCACGTACGATTCGAACTCGGCCTTCTTGGCTTCGGCGGCATCGATCCGTGCCTGGTCGATTTGGTAGTCAGGGTTGGGAATATATTTGCCATCTGCATCTTGAATATATCCCTTCGTGTTCTCTTCGATGTAGATATCAGTCGCACGTTTTCCTACCGGGACTAATTCCGATTGCCGCTGAACAACCGCATCGCGAGCCTCAAGGAGTGCCCTAGTCACAATCTCTAATTCCAAAACAGCGTGTGTGCGCGAGCTTTGGTCATGGATCGTGGATGTTCCCGTCGCTCTTAGCTTGAGCCCCGCCAGCAGCTCCTGGCGCAGGTCCTCGAAGCTCCAACATGCTTTCGTAACGATCGGACGAACCCGGACTTTGCCCTCCTCCAGGAGTTCAGTCTCACCCCTGATGTGTGTTTTCCCGTCATGCCCTTCGCGGACATAACATTGGCACCGTCCATTGAGCAAATCAAAGGCTATATTCTTGCGTAGCTCGAACATCCGAATTCCAATAGCTAGTTCTTCAGCAGGGTTATCAATGGCCCGGTTGAGACCTGCCAAAGTATCGCTGAGAAATCTGGCAGCTGCTAAGCACAACCCAAATTCATCGGGATTCTCGAAATCATATCCAATAATCGTATGTGACTTCCCGCTTCCAGAATGTCCGTAAGCAAAGAAATTACATGATCGTCCGCTCAGAACATGAGGAAGGGTTGGTGCAACTGCGGCTTCAAAGACCGATTTGTTCTTATCCGTTGCTTCGAATAATTGTGTGAATGCAGCTTCGCTTTTCCACGGACGCTCAGTGGCAGAGCGTGCAGAAGGGGTGAGTGAGATAGATACTCGGCCACTATCTTGTGGATTGTGTGTGCGTTGAATCTCTGGTGTTGTTGATTCGCTGGGGGAGAGAGGCCGCCAGCGGGTGTATACTTTGAATTGATGCATTATTATCGATAGGACAATTGAGATAGAAGAGGAGAATAAGAAGAGTTGTCACCTCGAGTCGGAGAGGCGGGGAGTCCTTTAAGTATATCTTATTTCGTAGGCGGTCACTTATCATGTCTTAGATTGTCTCCATATACAGTATTATTTTATTTCCCTCTTTCACTTGGTCTTGGTGGAGTACGAGGTCTTTGACTCCCCTGCCACCCACTCAGAAACACGAGGTCATCTTCAGTGACCCACTGGTTGTTCGACAGCCGGAATGTGGCAATCTCCGAAAGTCCGGCACGAACATTGGATGCCTCAGGCATGAATGACAGGCCATGACAGGAAGCATGACATTCTCTCGAGACCCACACTTGCATACGTGATACCATAAGTACTCAATTAGAACGATTCGACACTATGTATCTCACCTCTATTTGCTATTGCACTACTCATTTAACTGTCCCAAACCTATATTCTTGGCCCAGCGGAATTTGGAACCGTAGAGAGCAGTCACTGGTGGAGATATTGAAATGGACATCATCTTAGTCGTAGGTCCCGAATTGATACAACTACTCAATTCTTAGATTTTTTTTTTTTTTTTTTTTTTTTTTGGTAAAGAAATATATAATCTAATGGTGTTTTAAATGGGTTTACCATTTTTTTTGAAATGGCAAACAGCAATGCGATGCACGTAAATATATTAGGGATAAAAAGGCATTGACAACGGCTAAGAGCTATGGGAACCCGAAATATATATAACTAACGACCCAAACATATAACACCAACTAATAAGTGAAGTATACCTGTGTGTATGTATCCTTGTTGAAGCTGACACTACCAATGCTACAAATGTCTATCCTATTGGGTCACACTAAGTAATACCATGAACTAGAAAGTGCACTCCTGCTGCGATGCGAGAATCCACGATACGAGTGCGGGTTGAAGTATATTTCATGAACCTGAGGCAACACAAAAAGGAAAAGACAGAAGTAACGGACGGTAAATATTTAAGGACGTAGTTGGCTATGATAGAATTTACTACAATCTAATGAGAACGAAAGTGCGAGATTCAGGTAAAGATCTAACGGTAATATTCATTGTATTGCTAATGTGTTCGGAGTCTAGCTAACTATCTTGCGCTATGATGAGGTGGAAAAAAAAATATAGTCTTGGTCTAGTCATGGATCGGTAATACTGGTCAAGCACAGAAAAAGGCTCCCAACATCAGGGAGCTTTTCCGTGTTGCCATGTTCATACAGATGCCACTTAACTCCAACATCATCCTCCCTAGATTCCCTGCCACAACGTCACAATGGAGTATACCTCGATTATATTCTAAAGGATGTATACAACACCGTGCCGCTGTGGCCGAGAGCTGAGAAGGAGATCGGTACATGGAGCTATGGAAGGCTCTACCTGAACCCGCAGCAGAGGAAAGCTCTGGGAAAGAAAAAAAAGGAGAGAAAAAGCCACAGGACTACGCGGTCTATGACTGACCTTTTATACCTGCTCGGTGACTACGGAACGAGTCTTAACTTGATGGTTGCAGAAGCCAGAACAAGGAGCGCCTCTCCCCTCTACAGACGTAAGCAGAAACTCGTGAATTCCTTCAAGTACTACATTTCTTGCAAAGCTACATGACTAACAGAAAAGGCAGTAGTCTTCGATTCATGCAGGTTGGAGTACTAAGACATACACAACCGGAAGCAGTAAGCGACGGCATTCATGCCAAGGGTCATTCCAGGAGGCGCCAGAAAACATGACACTCCAAGGTTCCCATCATGTTGCAGAGAAAGAAACTGAAAGCTAAATAGGCTCTAACCACTCGTCTAGTCTAGATGGATGCGCCACCATGGAAGAATCCTGTACAGGGGTGGGGTGGGGTGTAGCTGTCAACGTAGCATACAATGCTTTGAATCATGACGATCGTTCTCAGAACGGAGATGGCCCCAAGTCCGACAGATCGGATACGTTGTAACGGAATTTGTGTATTAGGGTTGCATGCCGGGAGATATCACTTGCTGCTTTTGTCCCCATGGCCCGTTTCTGGATGTATGGAGTGGGAAATTATTCCCCGTCTCGTGTTGCACCCAGGCATTGAATCTGAGCTGCAGGGGAGTTGACCGAGTCTACTGTATCTGATAAAGATTGCACATAATATACACGATGAAGCCCTCCCATACCTCATCTAACTTGCTTTGCGCTAAAATGTATCATATCATTCCTGATGAATATGACTTTCTCGCCTCAAACCTAGAAGTCCTGGGAGACAGGGGTATAGCATTGGCGACCCAATCCTATTGCGAGAAAACTGGCCGAGGTTGGAACCCCTCGCCGACTAGGTCATGCCAAATCCGGACATGGCTATTCAATCCAAGCTTTTACTTGGCTCAGTCCCGCTATAGACATTCCGTGGAAAGGGAGAGAGTGGCGTTGCATCTCCGATTTAGGTTATGGAATTAGAAGCAAACGCTTGCATAATGGAATGCACCTTAGGCTCCTCATCAAGTGAGACTCCCATGGCTACGGAGCAAGACGATGCATCTCCACACTCCCTGTTCTCGTCAAGATGATAGATGATCATCTCCAAATGACACAGGAAGAGGCAATACCAAACCTCAACGTAGGATTGCTTGAGATGAGTTTTTCACTGATCTACAAAAGACTTCACCTTTAAGGCAGGACTCAGATGAAGTCGTGGACTCCACCGTGATCTATAAAGAGCCCTGTCCAGCTCATCTGTATCAGCTTCTCATCATCAGCATCATCAGAGTTCCAAAGCAATCTCTTCTCTCGCTCTTTCCACAACAAAATCGATCTATTTAACAGTCTTTTCCTGTTACTACCTCGAACCATCACCATGAAGTTCACCGTTGCTGCTGTCCTTGGCTTTGCCATCACCGCTCTTGCCAGCCAGGGAGCCGACGAGCCCAAGGTCACCCAGGTCTCCTACCATGAAGCTAAGGGACAGTGCACTACTGGCGATATCTATTGCTGCAACAACAAGCACGATGAGAAGACCGGCGGCCTTCTCAACTTGCTCAATGAGGGCCTCATCAAGAATCTGGACGGCCAGAGTGACTCCAGCTGTGCCAGCACGAGCCTTATCAAGGAGCTCAACTTGCTTGGTAAGACCTTGGACCCCCTTCCCATCACCCTTACCAAGGGTATCCGGATATGAGAGGTAAAAGCTAACACTAATTACAGCCTTTGCCACCCATGGCAAGGACGACAAGGACAGCTTCTGCAAGAACACCATTGCCTGCTGCCCTGCTGGTGGAAAGGTAAAGTTTTCACCCCCCACAGGGAGACATCGGCGTGTACTAACATTATCGTCACCTAGTGTGAGGCCATTAGCAACTAAGTGGCGCAACGGCTTGGACCTGCCGGTTTAATAGGCATATCGGATGCGGAGTGGTGGAAGTAGGTTGTTGAGTTTCGCATCCCAGGGTCCGAAAGCTCAGATTGCGCTGTCATCAGTTGGCCATCTTTCGGCAGGAATCAAGAGCCTGCCGTTGTCTGTGATTTGCAATGGGGATAGTGTTAGATTAGATAATGCAAGAATAGACGGGGATTGTTAACATCAGAACACTTTACCTCCTGGCTTCAATGTAGGAACTCCACATAGATGTAAAAACCATGTTGCAAGGAACCGTTGTAGCTTTTCAAGACATCAGGATACTTGATCTCTAGTGAGCCATGTCACAAGCACAACTAGAACCATCGCTATTTTATTCCACGTCCTCAAAGAGCAGTCGAGTCAAAATGCTTGATACCACTGACTGTGGAAAAGGAAGGCTCCAGACCATGACAGCACACAGTTACTATGCGCATTTGAACTGAGAAATAATTTTTTTTCACTTTATTTTTATTTATGCCATGTAGTGGCATGCATACTGGCCTTAATTAGAGGTTCTTCAATACCATAGACGACTGGGCTCCCTGCAGCGAATCTACCCCTTGTAAAAGCCATAGCCTGTTCAGCCAGAATCGTTATTATAGGATAAACAGTGATATATGTCACGCATACGGTTGGCATTTAGCTATTTTAAAAAGTCACCCCGCACTTGTCAAGGTCTCGCCCAGTCTAGCTGGACTTTTTGTGTTTTGATATGCAGGGCATCTGATCATTGGTACCGGCGCTTAATTTCATGAAAGGGTCTCTTTCCGAATGGAGGGTCGAGGTTAGAATACCCCAATGCAGGGGCCAATCCGTAGTTCGGCAGATTCGGTTCTCCACGGAGATAGACCCCTGTGGAGTAATGTTAGGGTTCCGAACTTTACGAAAACGGAAATGATATGAGGCATGTCAAGATGACAGATGGCATGGGGATCAAACCCCGGACAGCGCACGGATCGCCCCGCCGAGAACGTTTGGAGCCGCCATTACCATTAATTACCCTGCGGTCAGAAATGTGTATTTTTCAACCTCGGATACCGTACAGCGACAAGACACCAATGTCTACTGTAGTTCCTTGAGTATCAACATTTGACTTTGCATAGGTCGCAAGGGCTCTGGTTCTTCCAAGCTGAAATGTCATAGAGAGCGAGGTGTTTTGCCTTGTCTGGTGTATTCGGTATCCTGCCGCTCCCATACGCCAACAATTTCTACTCGTCTACTCATGGATTTGGTATAGCCACAATCCCCCAGACCTACCCAGAAGTTTTCCAACGGATTGCACAGGAGTATAAAGAAAAAATGAGTAATGCCAAAAGCCTCTGCCCTATCGCTCGTCCCGAGTACGGTACATCAGGAAGTCCTATCATCCTGCGAGCAAATCACTTCGAGGTGCATTTACCGCACGACTTGCACTTATTTCGATACAGCGTGCATGTCACTCATACATCGAAGGACGGGCTTCCAACGAAGAACGCACGGAGAGCAACTCCCCAGGTCATTCTGTTGCTGCTGAGAGATCATTTCTCCGACTACTGCCAGGGGATTGCCACCGATGGATACCAAACCCTCATCTCCAAACACCGACTGATGTTACAGGACGTTCCTTACCCAGTGTTATACCAAGGGACTGCCTATCACGTCACACTAACATTGATTGGTAGTTTAAACTTTGCTCGCCTTCACCGGCTACCGGTCCTACCGGTCGGTCTGCAATCAGCGGCGCCCAGCAGAGCGGAATACCTCCAGGCATTGAATATCATTCTCGGCCATCATCCCAAGTTCACATCACCGGCCTTGGTCTCCACCAGCAACGCCTATTTTGACCGGCGTGCGGCACGCATCGATTTAGGCTCTGGTTTACACACCCTCCGGGGACTCCATGCGGTCATTCGAGAAGCTCAAACCCGGCTTTGTCTCAATGTGGCTCCGAAGTTTTCCATTTGTTACAATGACGGTCCACTGGACCATATCCTGATCGACTACATGCGCGAGAATGGCTCGGATCTGCGCAAGCTCGCGGCATTCGTAGGTAATCTTCGTGTGGAACTCATACATCTCCATGGCCGACGAAGCGCTGGAAGACGATCACCGCGGATCAAAACCATCGTTGGACTAGCGTCACCAGATGATGGGCGGGACATGTTTCAACCCCCCCTCGTGCGGCACTTTGGGGCTGGGGCCAAGGCTGTCGAATTTTACCGCGATACATCGGGCGATAAACCGGGACTCTCCAGTGTCACTGAACCAGGAAGCAAAAAGAGAAAGGCCCCGATGGACAATGGATATGTGAGTGTGTACGACCACTTCCGGACAAGTATGCACCCCCCCCCCCCTTCGCGCATTGTATTCCTCCCACCCTTGTTCTTCGGCGCTGACCTTTGCGTTTAATCCTTGGCCATAGCCTATAATATCGCAATCCGTGACCCATGGCTCCCGGTGGTCAAGGTTGGCAGTATCGCCAATCCTTCATATCTTCCCGCCGAGGTGTGTCGGGTATTGCCTGGTCAAGGCCTTCGCCGTCGTCCAACTACTGCACAGTCCCAAGAGGTCTCCCGTCTTGCCGTGGGCCACGCCCGTTCACGCTATGGACTTGGATCGAGCCCGGTTGAAATGGGCGTCATCCTGGGGTTGCATGGCTCTCATGGACCCTCGTTGGTAGGTCGAGCTATCTCCTGCCCTCTTTTCCCCCCGTACAATACGGGGATTCTCAGCCGACCTAGCTAATTCCGTTGTGCCCGCTGGTCGGGTGCTCCTCATCTGTAGAGCTCGTTCGGCCTGACAATCTCTTCCGAAATGATGACCGTCCCCGGTCGTGTCCTCCCCGGTCCATCGATCGTCTACCGGCACGGCAAAGAGGCTGGTGTGCGGTCGGGAGCGTGGAATTTGCTGGGCCTGCGGTTCCAGGAAAGCACCAAGCTGGCGGGATGGACGTATCTATACTTTCCAGGCACCTCGGACCCCGGCTGGTATCGCCAGGATCAACAGTTGATGGAAGGTGCCTTAGGCAACCTTTACGCGCGCATGAAAAACGCTGGAATGAATCTTCCGCCACCCCGTCTGCCCGGGATTCGCGTCTCGCCATCCAGAGATGATGATGGGTTGGACCAGGCGATGGACACTTTCCTTGGTTTATCCTTGACCTTTCTGGTGATTATTCTTCCACGGCAAGATGAAAGGCTGTACAATCGCGTGAAGTATCTCTGTGATGTGCGGAAGGGTATTCCCAATATCTGCGTCGTCTCCCATCGATTTTTCCGGGCGAAGGATGAGTATCTGTCGAACGTGGTTTTCAAGATGAACTTGAAATTTGGGGGATTGAACCACACCCTCCCTGTGTCCAGTCTCTCCATCATCCACAAGGGAAAGACGATGGTGGTCGGTGTAGACGTGACCCATCCGACATCTAGTAACTCCTTGCCGGACACCCCGAGCGTCGCTGCGATGGTCGCCTCGACCGATCCATTTCTCGGGCAATGGCCTGGCGCCGTGCGCGTCCAGCCGGCTCGTCACGAAATCGTTGATGAGATCGACCAGCTCCTCTTATCCCGACTCCATCTGTGGCAGCAGCGCAACCAAGGTGCTCTGCCCGAAAACATCCTCGTGTACCGCGACGGGGTGTCCGTGACCCAATATGGTAGCGTCCTCAATACCGAGCTCCCTCTGTTGCAGAAAGCGTGTGCCGCCCTGTATGAGCGCCATCATCGCCCACCACCTCGCTTCACCATCGTTCTCGTGGAGAAGCGACATCAGATCCGGTTCCAGACGGCCGATGGCAGACCATCCGGGTCCAGACCACCGCTGCATCGGAGCAGTAACCCCCCGCATGGTACAGTCGTAGATCGAAGGATCACCGACAGCCAAACCTGGGACTTTTACATTCAGTCTCACGCGGCCCCTCGGGGTACTGCTCGTCCGGGACACTACGTGGTGCTCTTCGATCAAATCTTCCACGGCGCTCTCCAGCGCCCTCCCCGACGAGGAGGGGACTCGAATGTGGCCGATGCGCTTCAGGCGCTGACGTATCACTTATGTTACCTCTATGCTCGGGCGACTCGTGTGGCCAGTATCTGTCCACCCGTGTTCTATGCGGATTTGGCCTGTTCCCGGGCACGCTGCTACCTGCAGGAGGTGATGAAACCTTTCTCCGGGAAAGCCTCCTCCTCCTCCTCCTCCTCCTCCTCCTCCTCCTCCCGACCACGGCTCCTGGATATCGACCCCCATGAGAAGATCAAGGATACCATGTTTTACATCTAGAATTATTCTATCGGTTCGTCTGTCCCGGTGGCCTTTGCGTTGTGGGGTGGGGATCTCTGGTCCATCGTCGAACATTACTAATTCTCTCTCTCTCTCTCTCTCTCTCTCTCTCTCTCTCTATATATATAAGTTTTCCTCATCTATACTAGTATTTCGATAAAGCCAGTCACGAAGGTCGAGAGAAATAATCATATTTTCATGTCTACTCTTCATTATCATGCATCAGTAGTTGATAGTTATGGGTTTCCTTTCGAGCACCGCGTATTTTAAAAACCATGATGGATCCATCGTATTGTAATTTACTTTGTGACAAAACCGTGGTATTGACTTCTCGAATAAGGTTTCGGTCTGGATTTCTTTTCCCTCCGCATTTTGATGTTTCAATTCCGGGGGGCTGAATCAGGCGGATCGCCCCTGGCATGTTCCGGAAAAGCAAAAAGTCAAGGGCTGTCACTGCTGTCACGGTCGGTTAGCTCTGTCAATCTCCCATCTTTCTCCACTTCTCCCATAGAAAACATGGTCCCCCCCTCAATTCAACACTCGATTCAGGGAAGATAATGAGGAGGGCAAAAAACAAAAATCAAAAATGCAAAGAAGTACCTCCACAAAACCCAGTGCGGACGTGAGGTAACGTAATGCGCTCATTGGCCCGCGGCATTCCGGATGTGATACGCGGGCCAATGAGAGCTGGCGATGGCGTTGCATGCGAGTCAGGACAACAGAATTTCAAAAGGTCGTCTGAGTGTCCAGCCCATTCATTGCATTTCCCTTTCGACTTACTAACTCCGTCCACTTGCTTACTTGGGAAGGAACACAATGCGGCGAACTGAGAAAAGTTATTGGATCTTATCGCATACTTGGGCTCAAAGTTGCCTTGCGCCTATCGAGGGCGAGTCAGTACGATCGAGCTGGGCCGCAAGCAATGGTTCGCATACGAGCTGCGGCCCTGGCCCAGACCTCGAACGTTCGTTGTAACGTCGCGAATGACTTTTGCGGCTGAAAGTGTCAATTCCCACGAAACATGGCCCCTGGTCCTGCCTCCCGTCCGTGGCCATCTCTTGAATCCGGCCGGCAAAGGCATGTTGAACTGCCCAATGCTACTCTGGGGCTTTTCTCCTACGCTGTCCTAACCCGGACCTCCGATATCCGTCACCGAGGACACATGTCGAGGTTCGTCGCTTTGCGCTTGGTCCCCCGTCCGGTCCTCGGAGACCCGTGACTTTCCAAGAATTCTCTTGATATCAAGTATGGAACCACTCCATGGTATCATTGAGATGTACCCCAGAATACACCGTGCATTCCCCAGCAAACGCTAAACCATGCGCAAAACCTCTCCAACATGGCCTGCGCGACGAATAAGCGCAATCTCCTCGAGTACCTGACGTTCTCGTCGAGCCAGAATTCCGTATTCATCCCAAAGGACTTCGGTGGTTCCCAGAGAGAATGATCCTATCCTCATACCGACAGATTCGGGAAGGAGACTCCCCTCCGGAATGACTTCTGGATCCCAGGAGAGGATCGACACGGATGGAAACGGAGAGTCTCCCTCACGTCGACATCAAGCAGGGAAAGAGGGCATACTGAGCACGGTTGGAAATGATGGCATGAACCGGTAGCGTTTCAGTTACAGTCCAGGAGAATGTTGCGAGCAGACGTTCCAAGGGTTGATCTGCTATGGAGCCACCAGCCAACTGCATCCCCGTCGTCGTTGTCGTCGTCAGTCAACGGATCACACAGGCTGGGGTCTCATTCCTCTCAGAAGGCATGGAGGGGGAAGGCAAAGACCGGACATTCACCCTTCGAAGTTGAGCATCGCAGGCCCCTCGTCCACAACATAAATAGGCCCCAAACCCCAGCTCTCTGGGTGATTTTTTCTTCATCAGCTCAAACAATCTCTTCTAAATCATCAGTTCTCAAAGCCTCTTCTCAGTTTCACCACAAACTATCAAAGCTTCTTGCCATCAAGATGTACGCCACCACCATTGTCAACTTCTTCATGCTCGCCGTCGCGGCCTCTGCTGCTGCCACCGCCAAAGCGGCCGACTCCAAGGCCTTGCAGAAGGCTGCCGAGGGCAAGTGTGACATTGGCAACATTGCTTGCTGCAACTCTGTGCACGATGAGAAGGACGACACTCTCGTCAGCTTGCTGAAGGATGGTCTCATCCACAACTTGGTCGGCAATGAGGATTCTCCTTGTGCCAAGGCCAGCCTCATCGATGAGCTGGGCCTCCTTTGTGAGTGGTCCCCGCAGCCTGGATCTGCCCCGAGCCCGTGAACTAATACAATGATTGCCAGCCCTGATCAAGCACACCAACGAAGGACCCGTTTGCAAGAACGTCATCGCTTGCTGCCCCGGTGGCACTGTAAGTTGCTTCAACCGTCTCTGAGAGCCCAAGTTTCGAGGGGTAGCTAACATAGTCTCCAACAGTGCGTTGCCATTGACGGTTCCGCCGAGAAGGAGAAGTCCAAGCGCGGCGACGACGACTACGACAACAAGGGCCACAAGGGCCACAAGAACGAGAAGGACGACAAGCACGAGAAGGATGACAAGCACGAGAAGGATGACAAGCACGAGAAGGATGACAAGCACGAGAAGGGTGACAAGCACGAGAAGGGCCGCAAGGAACATGGCCGCTATTAAACGGCTTTCCTTCGGGCGCCTTTTCCAGCATGTCTCATGCTCGATGGCCTTCACGACACGTCCCCACGTCAACCGGGGAATAATGGATTGTTAACAAAGTCTACTCTTGTGCCAATATAGACGGGCGACTTGGTGGTTATACATCGGATAGCCACTTGGGCCTTTTTGTCGCTCGTTCAGCTAACTTTCGATGGCGCGCTCTTGTTTTAGACATTATCTGCTTTAATACTATCAGTCACTCGTTTACCAGTTAAATACACTGGACTTGATTATCAATTGCAATCCTTCTCTTATCTAACCGTAATATTCAAAACATCTTTCATCATATTCTCCCAGTAGTATGTTGCTAACACCTTCCATCACATATGTTGGCGATTGACATAGTAAAATGTTCAGACTTCAGCAATTTACCTTGTAAGGCTCTTTGAACCGGTAGACCATCAGGCCTAATGGAATTGTTACTATAACGGAGTAGCCCAGTTGCAATCCAGATAAACTGTTCTACTGCAAGCAACAGCGACTAGTAAATGAAAATGAAAGTATATACTCTAGTCTCTCAAGGGAGACCATAGATAGAATTCTATCTAGAGGTAGAATAAGATAACAATGCGCTATATCTACTACAGGCGACATCTAGCGGTCGTTACTCCTCTAAAAGATATATAAATTCATTAGATATTAGAAAAAGCGACATTGGAGTGGATCGAAACATATATATACGACGGAGGGGCAAGGTTCCTTTGCTGTTGAAACAGGATGGACTATGATAGTATCCAAGATATATATATATTTATTTATATACATAACGTGGAGAAGTTGTCTCGATGGAGTCTGGACCCAACAAACTTTGCAGTAAACAGTGATGATCAATCACAATAATCAAGAGTAAAACTCGCTTCCCAAGCTATCTTTAGTCTCTCTTCTAGGAGAGCAGGGTTACAGCGCATTATCCACCACACTGGATACATTCGAGTCTACTTTTCGGTGGCTTATCTGTCACTCATTCCCTCCTTGCCAAGTGGCAGTACTAGAGGCTGCCCTTGCATCACCAATAATTTCCTGTTTCCTGTTCTCCTCCTCCTCCTCCTCCCCCTCCTTCTTCTTCTCATTTTTCTTTCTTTCTTTCTTTCTTTCTTTTTCAAACTAACTTGTCTTATAGGGCAGGGTACATAGGTCTTCGAATGCTTTCCTTCAACTGCCATGTAAAGCACGACGATGACGACTGTGCAACAGAAGACTCGAAACAAAGACTACGCCGCGAGTGCTACCGGGTAAGATGAATCTACTCGATGGGAGTGGAACAGGTTGCTCCATTGCAGATCCTGGACAAGGAGCATGATTGTCTTCCATTACCCTGCAGCTACTATCCTTTTTCAAATGAGGATAGGATACCCAAAACCTAAAACTCGACCTCCTAAGTGGTATCGGTGGTCGGGTACTGTATCAAGAAAAGATATACTCTGGTTTAGTTTGTCCAGGACTTGTTCTAATCCCTGAACCGATTGGTATAAATCTGGACTAATGCAGTATGTTCACAGAAAGGCGAAGATGGGTTCATTTCGAAGGAATAGGGCTCCTGGCGCCTTCGACTAAAATACCCTTCTTAAGATAAGAATCTATTATCTGGGGTTTAGTATCCTGGCTGTGGCACTCGGAAATCATTCATGAGCGTCAATATCGACGTTAGTCCTGCTCTCCTCTTGTACGGGTTGGGAAAGAAGACTAAGTCCTGGAACCACTAGATGGATATAAGGACTTATTATGACCGCCGTGTATAGGGAGAGATGCAGTATGGATCCGTGTCTTTGCTTCAACAGACGCTCGGGATTTGAACCCCGCAGGTCTCTGGCCTTCAAGTCTGTTTGATTCGCTCCAATGACGTGGTAAAACAAGTTAAAACACTATAGCAAGCATCTAGACTTATCTGCAAGGTAGCTGCATCATTTATAAACCCTATATCTCGTAGTTGGTAGTCTCTTTTTTTCACCTCCGTTCAACCGGACGAGGCTCTCACTTGGCTGTGGATCATCACGAATCCTCCAGGAAGCCATTGACCACCGATAAACCAATCTCTAGAGGCTTGTTGAGCTAGACAGCAAGGCTATCGGTATTTGATCAGTTTAAGGGGATTATAGACTCGCTGATCTGGGGTCTGGGGTTGACCTGCCCCGGTTTGATGCGAAGCTTTCCATTCCGTTCGGCCGGATGGCACTACGTTGATCTATATTAGGACAGTGTTATAGCTCGATGTTGAGACGTACCACCAGCGATTACAACGTTTAAATCTTATTCCAAATGGCTGGTCCCAGTTCTTAACTATTGTCCTTTGCTTGTTCAATTCAGTCCGTCCTCGACGTATAAAACCATGGCCGACCATAAAGCGGGCAGCGAACCAGATCTCAATCCTAGCAGGGCATCTCCGCCCCGAGAAGGAACAGCAATGCCAGCATTAACAACAGTTCCGACCTCGATCACTCTGTCAACGGAGCATTTCGAGAAATTGTACCTCACCCCACTGAGGCATCGACAGCCAGAGTTAACCAAAACATTTGGAAACCCTACTCCACTGTGCGTAACCGATCTACTTTTGCTTGCTACTCATCTCGAATACTCATACGAGACTTGTAGGGCCCTGGGTGGTTTCGTGGTAACCACGACGCCGCTATCCTGTTGCTTGATGGCCTGGCGAGGTGCTGGTGGGAATGGGATTGCATTCACGTAGGATTGACTATTCGTCTGAATTCAAGCGTGCATACTCTAACAGACTAACATACTTCAGGGGACCCATTATCTTCCTCGGCGGAACGTTGCTGGTTATCACTAGTATCCTGGAGTTTATCCTGGGAAATACATTCCCCTGCGTCGTGTTTGGTACTATCGGTAATAGTCTCCAAGATTTATAAGAAACACCAACCCAACCCCCTATTAACTATCTATTCACTGACCTCATCCACACACAGGAGGATTCTGGTTCGCCTTCGGAGCCACCCAAACCCCAGCTTTCAATGCCGCCGGTAAAACCAACATCTTCTCCTCCATCTCCCATTCAGAACGAGAATAACCATCAACAGCCCCATACTCCACCTCAACAACGAACACAATGGAAGGCCTCCACAACCCCGAATTCCTCAATACATACGGTACACCCTTTTTCTTTCCCTTCCCTCTCAAGGACAGACCCACCGTCTAACAGAAAGCCCAAATAAATCAAGCCTTCCTCTTCATCTCAATGGCCACCCTAGTCACCATCTACATGATCTGTGCCACCCGCACAAGCGTAGTCTATGTCCTCATCTTTGCCGCCCTCATCGTCGTTTTCGTCTGCCTAGCCGCCGCATATTGGCGTCTAGCGGGCGGGGCTGCTATCATTGGGAATCGTCTGATTGTTGTATGTTTTTCTTTTTTTTTTTGGTCCCTCTTTCCTCCCTTCCCAACCCACTAAAGAAAAGGATAGGGAGCCGGGGCTGCGCTGTTCGTAGCTAGTCTTTTGGGGTTCTATTTACTCCTGCAATTGTTTGAGGCTTCGGGGTTTCCGGTTAATCTGCCTGTGGGAGATCTGAGTGGGTTTTGGGGTAGGGGGAGGTATGTTCGTCTTTTTCTTTTCGTTTTTTCTTATCTTGATTTTATTTTGGTCTGGTCTGGTCTGGTCTGTTTTGTTTTGCTAAGATATAGTGCTGGTATTGCTTGTATCTATAGGGACGGTGGACGAGATGTAGAAATGGTCGGTGATGTTGGGGGAGAGGTGTGATGGTTGGGATTGGGAGCCATACTTATCAAATTCAATGGTTTATGGAATTTAATTTATACAAGACTCGTTATATAGTACAGTTAGCTATAAGTGCAAAATAATCTATAGTCAAAGATATATTAAAAAACAATATGATTAATAGTAGAATAGGCAACTCTAATTGACTTAATTAAGCCACAAGGTCGGTAACGGGGTCAAAAGTACTGGAAGAACAATATTTACCTAGAGTACTGCTCTACACCGTATGATATCAAATTCTGAACCCAAAACAAAAAATAGAACAATGTAAATATAGATTCACATAGGCAAAGAATACGGACCGGGATTGTACACATAGTGCCAAGAGGGTAGTTCCATATGAAATACACAATAGTTCACGAAGCTAGGGTTATTAGGTATGTTTACAATTCTGATAAGATAACTAGTACAATTCAATTGATAAAAGAGCTGCTGGATGAGGTCGTCGTTTGTCACAAATCAGAAGACTGTCCACCCGGACATCACTCTAATGTACATGCATGATAAATCGTCCTTTCCATGAAGAGAATATGAATCTCACGCCGAAGACGCAACACCAACCGTGCCAATTCTGTCCGTGCAGAATTGCATAAGCCCACCGGAAACGACAGAACTCCATTATCATGGTAGAATGCTTCAACAGACAACGCTGAGATGACCAATACCCAGGGAAAAACCGTCACCAGCAAAGCAGAACGCCGTGAACTCGCCCGTTATGCACATTTATGTGTCAACATACATTAGCAACAATTCGGAGAGAAAAGAAAAACGAATATAGAGACAAAGAGCATGACAATATAGACGTCCGTTATTGTAGGGAATGCCGACAAAAGAAAGGATAGGGGTATCAAGAGTTTGAGGCACGAGAAGTATTATTAGTTAAGTGGATCGTGACGGAAGGTGCAGTCGTTGCCTTTTCTGCATTTCCCTTCGGGCCAGTAACGACAAGGAACCAATCCAACCTTGGGCTGTCGTATATGGTTAGCAACTGGTTTCCATCAACAGATATGGAGGTCTTGGGCAACTTACATGACTCTTATTGGGCCCATTCGGCTTGTTCCGCTTGAAATAACCATATCTGTCATCCTCTGAACCATCGAAGCCCGGACCATCACGCGTGCGTTTGCGTTCGGGGTCATCAAATTGACCAGGCATTTGGGATGGGTTCGGCCCAGATTGTTGGTTGGCCCCAGCAAACTGTGATATGAATGCAGCCAGGTTCGGCGCAATAGCGGGCTGCGACGGTTGAACAGGGGGAATGACAGGTGGTGGCTGCTGCATCTGCTTCTGAGCATTGAGAACAGCAAGGATTTTCTGGAAGTCGAGGCCCTGTGTTGCAGGAGCCTGGGTAGTGGCAGGGAATCGAGGCATCTGGAACGGTTGGGCTGGAGGTTGTGGCGGCTGTTGTGGCGGCTGTTGTTGACGGAACATACTAACGGTGCGCTCCAGATCTGACATCGGTGCCTGCGTTACGGGCGGAGGTGGAGGTGGAGGTGTTGACTGCTGCTGAGGCGCATTTTGTATGATTTTGAGCAGGTTCGAAATGTCAAACTGGTTGGATTGTGTGCTTGGTTGAGGTTGAGCTGGAGTTGGAGTTGGAGTTGGCAGGGGATTGATAGCGGAAAAGTACCGCTCCTGTCGAACCTGTCACAATACAGTTAGGTCGAATCTACAAAAGGGAATGGGAACATGAAAGGATGATGCTTACCTTAACGTGATCTGGGAGTTCTCCAAGGGCAACTGTTTCGGCCACCGGCTCATCGTCACTAGGCGGGGGAGGCTCCTTTGGCGACGGGGGGACATCCGCAGCGGAGGTATAGAAAACCATAAGCGTCGTGGCTTCACGGTGCTCTTGTGCTTCCTTCTCAGCACTGGTCGGCTGCTGAGTGCCGGCGCGTTTGATGTTATTCCGAGAACGGTCCTCAGGTGTGATGTCCGCAAAATCAATTTCTGTCTGAGTTAGTGTGGGATCTCTCTTGGGAGTCTGGGCCCTGAGCTTACCTGAAGGCTCATAGTAATCCCGCAAACTTTCTTCACGCACCCCGCCGTCCTCTTCCTCGTCGTACTCATCCAAGTCTCTGTGAAGTTTAAGCACACTACCCTCTCCCTTGACATCACCAGCCTCGCGCTGGGCATGGTCCCCGGGTCCAAGTTCCTCGTCCGGATCATGCGTGAACAAGCGCACTTCAGTCAGAGACTCATCCGGCTTCCACGTGACCCGCAGCTTTCTTCTGGCTTCTTTGCGGAGTCGCATCTTTCGCTCCTCTTCCGTCTCCGGTGGTTTGTTCTCGGCTGGCTCAGATGGAGGTGATTCTTTCTGCTTATTGAGATCTGCCATGATATCGCCAAAAGAGAAGGTCGGCCTGGGAGGCGCGGGTTGAGACTCTTTCTTTTCGGTCGATGTGCTGCTCAAAGTTAGCATCGAAGGATAAAGTTCAATCAACTACACAGATCTGCTTACCTGGACTTTGCTGCGGCCGCGGCGGCCGCCGCTCTTTCTGCATTTGAAGTTCCTGGCCTCTTCGACGCCGACGACAAACTTCCGAATAGGTTAGTCGGCTTTGGGGCAATGATATTAGCTTTTGGGCGTGAAGTCGCTGCCGCTGCTGGCTTGACGGCCTCTTGGCCGGTTTCCTGGGGCCGCTTGGCGGGGACAGTCACAGGGCCGTTGGTTGGCTTCTGGTTACCCTTGAGATTTGACGTAACAACCATTCGCTTTGTGGCTGGTTGGCCATTGGCCTCGGCATCTCGAGGCCGTTTGGATCCTGCTAGCTCCGTACGCTGACCGTCGGCCAACGCAACATTGGGGACGGTATTCACACCGGGAGATGCCTCTTTGGGCGCTGCCTTACTGCCCTCCTGTTTTCTCTTAGTGGAAGTGGCAGCATTGTCCAAAATCTTCTGCGCAAGGCCTTTAGCTACTTGTCCGCCCTTTTTCACGAACCGAGGCAGTAATTTGGCAACGTTAGTTTTTTGGAGCACATCTTCATCCATTGTCACAAATCGAGCAAGTAGCTGATGAACATAAGTTAGTGATGTGGCGAGGCCAACCTATCGCGTCAACTTACCCTGAGTAGGTTGAGGGTGAATGCCCCATCGATGTCAGAGGCCTGATGCCGATCGAGAAGGAACGAATACATGGCAGCCACCGCCATGGGGTGCTCTCCTAGCCTAAAGAATTGGGTTAGCCAACGGACATTGCACATGGCATAAAACTTGTATCGGCTGGAAAAGGTATGACACGGTGACTTCGGAAGAGGGCTAGTGTGGCAGGTCAATCTTTATCACTTGGAGTCCAAGCCTCGCGACTCTTCCAGATAGGTGATTATGCGGCCATCCTAGGATCGCCCAAAGGGAATTGTTCTTTAAGCAGAACCTTCTCCCTTTACTTCCTTTGTTGTTTAAGGACATGTAACTAGGTATGTACTGTCCTTGGGTGCAAGGTAGTTTCCACCCTTACTTATAAGCATTCTTTTTAAGAAGATATGCTGAAGTCCACACTAAGGAAATTACGCGGGAGAGGCTCTCAATTCGTTTCTGACTTCTATGGCCATGACAACGATATGCCAAGTTGTTAAGAGAAAGGAATAATGAAAGAGAAAGGACATACTTCTCGACGATCGTGGGGTGGCCTTGATCCAGAGTGGTGCTAATAACCACGTCCATCAGGCGCCGCTGAAGGACAACATCCTTCTTGATCTGGGCCGCTTTATCGTTTTCGCCCTTGTTTTCCGCCATCTTCATCGTTTGTGACTTCTCTTTCCACGTGTCCCTCACGGCTTTGACAACGTCTTTGAACGCAACCAACGCGCCTTTGACTTTGTCAGCATGAGGCCGCCTATTACGTGGCGACCACACGGCTCGAAGGGCATCGTATTGCGCAGCAGCTTCCGGTTCATTGGGACGAACAAGCGAAAGGGGGAATTGCTCCTCTGGCGCCTCAATTTCCAGTTCCGAGTCAGAGGTATCGGTCTCGGATCCAGAAGAAGCGGACCTCCCATCCGGCTTTTTCGTCGACGCTTTCGCCGCGGGCTTTTTGGTTACCTTTTTCAATGTAGTCTGTTTCTTTCCTGGTTTTGCCGAGGTATTTGGTAGGAGCTGTTGCTGGCCTGATGGGGTCAGTACGCAGTAAACAGGCGCTAGATCAAGACACGTACGATTCATTGGTATGGCCACTTCAACGCCTGGAGCTTGTGTACCCGGGACACCTGGGCCGTTAGCAGTGGGCCGGTTCAGGAGTGACGGCATTTGTAGGTCGTTCCGGAAGTAGTCGAATGTCCTAAAAGAAATAGTAAGTAAACGCAACCGTGGGCATTAGGAAACTAGACTTCTTGGACTTGATACTCACCTTTGGCTATCCTGACGTTCGAAGCCTGGTGGATTAACGTAAATGAAATTATTAAGGGAGGCATGCTGGTTGTTAGCTTGCTGAGGGGTATTAAGAAACTGGGGATTAATAGTTTGATGCTCATGCACAGTTGGCGCCGAATCAGAGAATTCGTTTGTGTACTGCATTTGACCATGCTGTTATCCATTAGCTACATCATTCATATAGCGAACCTTGTGTCGGACTGTCCTACCGAAGTCTCCTCCGAGAACCCTGTGGGGAGAGTGTATGAAACTATCGGGGTTTGGGCCGTATTAGACTGATAAGGAGCTGATTGAGACGGCTGAGGTTGAGAAGCTTGGGGTGTTGGCGTTTGAGAAAAGGTGTCGGGCAACGAGATGTGCTGAGCAGGGTAGTAGTTTCGAGGAAACGAATACGGCTGATAAGACGGGTTATCCGACGCATTGAGCGACTGGGACTCAAAGGGAACTTGGCCCTGTGAGTACTGGGGCACTTGGCGATATTGTACAGGCATCGCGAATCCTTGTGGGGTGGACGGCATGATCTGTTGAGGATGCAAAGGATTGGCTCGCCAAGATTGAGCAGTGGATGAAGGATACAAGCCATGACCTTGCTCCTGTTGAAGTGGTAAAGAACCGCGTTGCTGAGGTGTTTGAGCGAACACTGGAGAATCCCAGTTTATACCCATTGGTGGTGGCTGCTGTGGTTGTTGCGATTGCTGGAGCTGTTGTTGTGGAGGATGCGCATGCTGATGTGGGGGTTCCGGGTTCGCATATAGTGACTCCCAGTATTCCGGCGGCAATGAGCCCGGGTCTACTGGCGCATGAGGCAGACCGCGCATCAAGTTTTGCGGCGGCGACTGCTCCATGCTGCCGTTCATTCAGTTCTGTGCTACCCGAGGTTGATTTCTTGGGATGTTGTCGCAGAATTATTTGGTCAAAGTACTAGAAGGAAAACAACCCAAATTGGTAGGTATAAGTCACATGCATCCACGTGCGTGATAGTCCAAATTAGGAAAGGTCTGGGACGCCCGCCGGTCTTCAGTTGGTGGGAAGCCTGCAAGTGGAGTCGCCAATCTAAGTCGTTCTATTGGACAGAGCCTCGTGATAAAACGTTGGAACAGTGAATATAAGGTCTCACTGGTCCAATCCGAATTCTGTCAGCGCTGGAATATGCTGATTCGCTGAGTAGGGAAAGCGGTAAGCGAAGGCAAAACCGAATTTCTCGCAAGTTGTAGCAAAGTTGAAGCAAATGCGTGTGTAATAAATGAATGTATGATCCGGACAGTGGCAAACTGACCTCCGCTTTGCAAATGTTAAGGGGATTTGGCAAGTTCTAAGGCCTTGTCCTTGTAGGGGGTTTTTTTTTATTTTTCCTTTTCCTTTTCTTTCTGACCGTGCCAAAAAGACAAAGAGAGAAAAAAATAAAATAAAAAGAACAGTTATTTTGCCTGCTTGCCTGGGGGATATCTTAGTGACGGTATGCCGCGCAAGTCGCGTTCAACGTTGTGTTGCGCGCCCAATCTTTGCACCCTTTCTTTTTTTTTTTAGGAAAAGAACCGCTCTTGCTGCACCAAGTAGGTCAACCCTTCGAATACACCGACCAAGTACTCCGTATAGTAGACGTAAGATAGATTTTGTCTTGTCTTTCCTTTTCAACCCCGTTCCTTTTTTCCAGATTCCTTTTTATCTTTGCTTTTCAATTTCCTTGCCGCCTTGTCACTCTCTGCACTGTTTTCGCAGATGACAATCCAGCCTGTACAACCTGTTCTTGTCGACCTTTTCTTCTCTTAAATATGTCTTAGAAGATGAAAAGAAAAGGCTCTCATACAAACAAGTACTCTGGACTGTAATTAAGCAGCATAGTCATTCGCTTTACGAGAAGGGTGGAAGGGAAGGGGGGGGGGGATGGATAGGTAGGTGATGGTGGTGGTGAGACTTGGAAAAGCCCAGCTCGGTTGGGCGACTTTGCCTTTGGAGCCTTGGCTAGCCACGCTACGCCTGTTCAGTCTAGCGTTGGCACACGTGATTCTGCAGTCCGAGGCCGCAGGGGTGGTCTACGTTTTCTTTATTATGAAAGGGGGGGCAATCTGTACCTTATGAAGAGGCTAGTTTAACCTCATCGGGACTAGCCTAATTACGTCAGCTTCCATCAGGCGGGAGCTTCTCTCACGGGATGCCAAGTGGAGAGAAAGAGGGTGTGTTCTGGATCGTTGGTTATGAGTGGGTAATAACAACTGAATTGTGCCTCAACAGCTCGGTCTGGACTGATCAACTAATATTGTTCTGCCTGCTTGGGTTCTGTCAGCTTCTTTATGTGTCATGATTCTCGTTTAATACAAGTAATTGCTGTGAATATCGTCCTGGGTGCAGACTATCCTACTTTACTATGGCGTCGCACTCAATGTCTCTTCGCGACCGTCAGGTCGGTAGGTATCTGGTTTCCTCGTTTGCACATTTCTGAGTGGTGGGCGCATACTGATGATAACAACTGTTCAGTTTCCATTCAGAAGATCCTCAACCTAAACCACGATCCGCAGACCGAAGAGAGTCATCATGAGACCTCCGCACAAGGCCTCATCTCGACCCCCATTTTGAACGAGGATGGCGACCCAATCTGGAAAGTCCTGGTGTTCGATAGTATGGGACGGGACGTTATTAGTAGCGTACTCCGGGTTAATGACCTTCGGACATGGGGCGTTACTATTCACCTGTACGCGCGTGTGTTATATCGACTGTTTAACATGGGAGGCTAACAACTTGTGCTAAGAAACATCAATTCCAATCGATACCCTATACCCGACGTCCCCGTCGTCTATCTTGTCGAACCTACCCAGGCCAACCTTGAAATGATCACCAATGACTTGGCTCGCGGACTCTATACACCAGCCTATGTGAACTTCCTATCCTCCGTGCCTCGGCCCCTGCTCGAAGATTTTGCTTCTCAAATAGCGACAACAGGAACATCGGAGCATATTGCGCAAGTCTATGACCAATATCTCAACTTCATAGTCGCCGAACCAGACCTTTTTAGCTTGGGTCTAGGGCATGATGCCTACTGGAAGATAAATAGTGCGCAGACAAGCGATGAGGATCTAGACGCAATCATCGATAAGATTGTCAGCGGCCTATTCAGTGTTAGCGTCACTATGGGTATGTGTGGCCAGATGATGTACTCGTTCGTTAGTAACTGATTGGGAAACAAACAGGGGCGATCCCTATCATCCGATGCCCTAAAGGCGGAGCAGCAGAGCTCATAGCCACAAAACTCGATCGCAAACTCCGCGATCATATCCTTAATTCGAAGGACAATCTTTTCTCAACCAACAAGAAATCTACTCCTGGGGTTCCCTCATCCCGACCTGTGCTGGTCATTGTTGACCGTAATGTGGACTTGGTTCCGATGCTTTCTCACTCGTGGACGTACCAGTCGTTGGTGCAAGATGTCCTTCAGATGCGCCTCAACCGGATTACAATCGAGACGAACGATGAGGCAAACCCTGGCAAGGTGACCAAGAAAGCGTATGACTTGAACAGCAACGACTTCTTTTGGAAGCGTAATGCCGGAGCTCCATTTCCACAGGTGGCCGAGGACATCGACGCTGAGCTAACGAAATACAAGGAGGACGCGAACGAAATCACAAAAAAGACTGGCGCGTCATCCATCGAGGATCTCCAGAACGACACCAGCAGCTCTGCGCAGCACCTGAAAGCTGCCATTACTCTACTTCCGGAGTTGCGGGAACGCAAATCTATTCTGGACATGCATATGAACATTGCAACTGCACTTCTTCAAGGCATTAAAGACCGCCAGCTCGACAACTTTTTCGAGCTTGAAGAAAACATCACGAAGCAATCTAAGGCGCAGATCCTAGAACTGATCAATGACCCGGCAAAGGGGAGCGAGCCGACGGACAAGCTTCGGCTCTTCCTGATCTGGTTCTTAAGTACCGAGACCGAATTAAACCGTGCGGACATGAGTCAGTTCGAGGAAGCTCTCACCCGTGTAGGCGTCCAGGATGTCAGTCCCATTGCCTACGTCAAACAAGTTCGCGAAGTGACTCGCATGACCATGATGACCACGGCCGCACCGCAGCAACAATCCTCCGATCTGTTCCGTGGCTTTTCATCACTCTCCAATCGCCTGACAGATCGCATCACATCTGGTGCGCTAGGTGCCAACTTCGACTCTTTGATTTCGGGTGTCAAAAATTTCCTCCCTGCAAACAAAGACTTGACCTTGACCAAGATTACCGAGTCACTTATGGACCCAGCCTCCGCCTCCAGCTCCGCCATTGCCAAAACCGAAAGCTACCTCTACTTCGACCCTCGCAGCGCTAACGCGCGTGGTGCCATGCCCCCCGCTTCTGCTTCCCGCAATGCCCAGTCGCCCGCTAGTTCTGGGGCTCCCGGCCCAGGAACCGGCGCCAGCTTTGGTCAACGCCGCCAGGCCTTCAACGAAGCGATTGTTTTCACCGTCGGAGGTGGCAGCATGGATGAATATGGAAACCTGCAGGATTGGGTCCGTCAGACCAGCGGACAGCCCGGCAGCGACGGCGCCGGGGCCGGCCGGGGAACTGCGTCTCAAGGCGCCCCCAGGCGGAGAGTTGTATATGGTAGTACGGATCTAATGAATGCTAATGAATTCCTTACGGAATCGTTAGCTAGACTGGGCCATGAAAGCTGAAACGCAAAAAGCCCGAGGCAACCCCTGAACTTGAATGTAGCTTAAACAAATAGAATTTGTGACATATATCTTTAATGCATCTTTAGGAACCCCTTGCTGCTTTGTGGTCACGGGTCTGGGAAGCTCAGATCGATTTTCCATCTACTACTATGCACCTTTTGTACCCGGCGCTGCCTATTAGTATCCATGCGACCCTCCCCTGGCATACCTGGAATGCTACCCAGTCCTGGGCAGGCATACAACACTATTCACATGCCATCCCGGACTTGATGTTTGCTAAGATCGACATCGTATTTGCCGCATCACCACGCTTTCTCTTCTCAGTCCAGTTTCAAAAGAATGCGTCACACAGCTCGATCCTCGAATGGTATCTCACCAGGGTCCTCAGCCACGGAGTTGACGGCAGGACACACCATGTGAATAATCTGTTGTGACACCGCTTGGTTCCTCCAAAAATAGCAAACGTCGACCAGTCTCCGCAAACATATTGTCTCAGTGTTACTCAGGTGGTACATTATACCCAAATGACTACAAACCAGTCTCTTCGGCTATACAATGCATGCAAGCCAAACGGTAAGGGGCCAGCCCCAAAGAGAACCAAATTACCTATGGTGTTTTAAAATAATGAAATTGCTGACAGCTCTCCTGTAGAGTCACCCGTTTCCTCGTTTCTGGCACCATGCAAGGACGACAAAAGAAAATGACATGAAACCCTGAAGCCGGATAGCTCGGAATCCAATCACATTCCAGCACTGGAATGATCGACAGCAAATAATGGATAAATGTCCAGGATGCTGTGAAGAAAAAGGATAGTCCGGAACTTAAAAAGCTTCCATGGAACCGGAAGCGCGTTGTGGGCCACCATCCAATCTTTAACTGCTGGTTCCCGCCTTGATATTGTTCTCTTCGTATTGTCTGTCTTAACGGCGCCGACTGTGAGCTCGGCTACTGCCTAGTCTGATATATTCACAACGTCATGACTAACCCATTGTCTAGAACAAGCTCCACTACGCCGGACAGATAGTATTGTGCCCTCTGTCTCTGTTCAGCCGTATAGATATTGTCTGTTTCACGTGTTGCATGGACGGTGCAACATCCGGTCTGTTCTAGCGACCAATACGATCGACGTGGAGGAACAATACCGTCGCTCCCATCATGTTCCAGTCCCTATACAGGAGCTGGACGTGTTGTTCTTCTAACGTAGCTTCAAGCAGATTCGATTACTTGTCTCTCAGTGCCTCATATATGACGCTCCTCACAACATCCCACGGGATATTCTTCTTTACCTACCAATCCGCAACCGGTCGCAACTGTTCTATACATTCTTCAGCTCCTGCGAGCCTCTCACGACGGTTATCATCATGGGCTCCAAGTTCGATCCATACTCGCAGAACCTCACCTTCCACGCGGCGGACGGGACCCCGTTTCAAGTACCCGTGATGACGTTGGATGACTTCTACCAGTACTGTATCCAGATCTGCATCAACTATGGGGCTCAGTTTGGTGCTTCGGTCATTATTTTCATCGTCCTTTTACTTCTGACTAGATCTGACAAGCGTGCTTCTTCGGTCTTTTTCCTCAACGGCGGTGCTTTGCTGCTCAATATGGGTCGGCTCCTCTGCCACATGATCTACTTCACGACCGATTTCGTGAAAGCTTACCAGTTTTTCTCCGGTGATTATTCTGGGGTACCCACTTCCGCGTACGCCAACTCGATCCTAGGGGTCATTCTTACATCTCTTCTCGTGGTCTGCATCGAGACATCGCTTGTGGTCCAGGTCCAAGTCGTCTGTGCCAATCTCCGCCGCCGGTATCGAACCGCACTCCTCTGCGTGTCGATCTTGGTTGCCCTGATTCCGGTTGGATTTCGCCTGGGATACATGGTTGAAAACTGCAAGACAATTGTCGACACTGATAACCCCTTGTCACTTTCTTGGCTGGAAAGCGCTACGAATATTGTGATCACTATTAGTATTTGCTTCTTTTGCAGTATCTTCGTTACTAAGCTTGGATTTGCTATCCGTCAGCGAAGGAGACTGGGTGTGAGGGACTTTGGACCGATGAAGGTAGTATTTGTTATGGGTTGCCAGACCTTGACCATTCCAGGTATGTCCTTTGCATCTGTATCGGGATGACCCGCGTGTGAGAGCTAATCGATGTAGCGGTGCTTTCGATTCTTCAATATGTGGTCTCGGTGCCCGAACTCAATTCGAACATTTTGACCCTGGTCACCATCTCTCTTCCGCTATCATCCATCTGGGCGGGCGTTTCCCTTACTCGCTCATCCTCCACCGAGGATTTCCCGTCTCGTGGAGCCTTGTGGAATCGTCTCACCGACTCAAACGGCACGAGGAGCAACCAGGCATCATCTACGGACACCGCCGTCGCCATGACCTACCCAAGTAACAAGTCGAGCACGGTCTGCTATGCGGATCAGAGCGCTGCCAGAAAACAGCATGATCCAGAACATGGGCAGGGCATCTCTGTGGCGCACGATGTGTCGGTTCATAGTTGCCAGAAGCTCTAGAGTCGATCGGATGAAGGTGCTATGGAGGTCGTGTTCTGGACATTGAGCCCTGAGGGTCGAAGGAAATCTGCCGATTGTCTTTGTATTCATACTATCTTCGCTTCAGCGGTCCATCATTTAGTACTAGCATAGGTGAAGTACTGTAATACGTTATTGTGACATTTTTTTGAGGTTCATAAATACATGGCGTCCTAATAACTCTAAATACTTTAATTTATCTATTTAATAATTAATGTCACGGGGGGTGCATTCTGCCAGTCATTCATTTCATGCCAAGAACCATGCGGGGAATGCGACCTGCGGAGTTTCCACCTTCCCACCTTAATGACACAACTTGATAGCACGCCATGCACTTCGTCTATCAGCTCCTTCGACATGGCTGCTGTGCCGCAGAGGACGCTGAACTGGTTATACAGTGTATTGATTCGGGTAGATTCCATTGCCTTTCTCTTATCTTTCAATGCAAGGTACTGACCCAGCGCAGGATCATTACGATCCCCGACAGACGTATCAGGACCCCAATCGCACCTACCATGATGTGGCCTCCGTGCTTGCTCAGTATCCTTCCCTGTCTCCACGAACCGAAGTCTACAGTCCGTGATATCCCCGGTCACCTGGTGTATATGGTCGGTTATTAATTGTGTTCAGCATACGAAAATGGGTTCTCGGCCCTCCTCCTGCAACTCACTGGCACGGTCCCCGTCACATTTCGCGGCACGGTGTACAAGTTTCCCATATCATTATGGGTCCCCAATACTTACCCTCGAGAGCCGCCGATTGTTTATGTGACCCCAACCCAGGATATGGCTGTTCGAGTTGGCCAACATGTGACGTTGGAGGGAAGAGTGTATCATCATTACTTGGCACACTGGGCAGAGGCCTGGGAGGTTCGTTGATCCGCAAAACTTAGCAAGTATGTTTGCTGATAGGATACTCCGATTAGAGATCAACTCTCGTCGATCTCGTATCTATACTACGTGAGGTTTTTGCAAAGGAACCACCGGTCCGATACAAGCAACAACAGCTACCACCACGCCCACAACAACAACCCGAGACAACTCAAACACCACCTCCTCTACCTCCACTCCCAGCAGAACTCGGATTATCCGTGTCTCGCTCACCACTGAACCAGAGTGTGCCTTCGCCAGCGCCGGCAGCTCAGGTGCCACCTCCGCCGCCTCCCAAACCTGGACAAGCCGCCTCCGCTGAACAACGGCAACAGATTCCTGCGGCGCAGCATAACTCTTCGTCACCTCTTCCTCCGCTGCCGCCAAAGCAACAGGATCCTCGGTGGCCACCTCGACCCCATGCGAGTACTAGCACCCCTTCAGATCGGCCATCACAGTATCCACCAGAACAAGGTGGCATCATGGAAGGCCCAACCCCAACACATCGGCATCCTCCGCGGCAGCACGCCATGCCACACGCCATACCAGCCTATGCACAAGGCCCCCTACCTTCCCAAGGTGACAACCGAGCACCGCCTGGCGCAATGCCGCAGCAGTTTCCCCGTGGGCCTCAGCAACAGCCACCCTATGGCATCCCTCAGCAAGTTTCTCCGCATCGCCCGACACACCACCAAGCAAATGGAGGATACCAGCAGATACCGCCGCTGCAAATGCCTCAACAGGTCCCTCATCACGGTTTGCAGCAACCATCTTCAGCGACCCAACCGGCGACGAAGCCCAGGGCCGAAACTCCTGACCTTCTGACTTCCCCTTTTGAGGTTGAGCTTCCATCATTCGCCTCCGGACCTGCACCACCAATTCCCCCCAATCCAGAAAAGGATGCACTGTTACACGCTGTGTCGAAGGCATTGGCCGATACCCTGCAGACGAATGTATCGCAAACCGAATCCGCGGCACGATCTCTACTGTCGCAGTCGGACTCTCTGCACGCCGCGATCGCCACCTTACAAGGCGAGATCTCATCTTTAAATACCCTCAATTCAAGCCTCCAGTCCAACACCTCCATCCTGCAACAGTCCTTGCATCGCGCCGATGCCGTCATTGCCGATGCGCAAAGTCGCATATCGCCATCTGCTGCACAGTCGAGCTCGGATCCAGTACCCTCCGGTCTTCCCCCGATTGATGAGGTCCTCGTCGCCCCAACCGTTGTGGGCAAGCAACTCTACGACTTGGTCGCAGAGGAACGCGGTATCCAGCAGGCCATCTACGCCCTACAAACCGCTCATGTCAAAGGTGTGATCGGGGTGGAAACATGGTCCCGGCACACGCGGGGGTTGGCGCGCGAGGCCTTCTTGAAGCGAGCTCTTATACGAAAAATCGGGAAGGGCATGGGTCTTGAGGAATACCAAATCTAAGATGGCTTGCTACGACGATTGAATCTTTTTTTATATACCGTTAAGTAGAGAAACGTTGACGAGAACCATGAACTATATAAATGTACGTATCCGCGCCTGTTCTTTTTGGAGTTATTGTAGCCTTCCTCCTCTGGATGCTGCCGCTTTTCTGGGGCCACTCGGGGGCTGGCAGTGAGCATTCAACCGACAATCATTTTAAAAGGAACCCAACAAAAAAACGGTTTCACTAATTTCCCATGCAGTTTGAATCGCAGCCGGCCCTTCGTATTTGCCCCTGTTACAAGCTGCTACCACTCGTACGAACTTACTATCGGTTTATTGTTCTAAAGAAACACCCATCACCATTCCTAGCAATGTATCAGCCATTTCTCACTATGCAGGGCGAGAATCCCATTGCAACGGTTATCCTAATTGAGGTACAGTCCAATGGAAGAAGCCCTCGGGGTCATATTCCTTCTTCAACGAAAGAATTTCCTCGGCGTGAGAGCCATAGAACTGACTCAGCGGGTCAGTCCCGCACCCAGGAGCAGAATGTAGAGAGATATACGTAGTGGGAAGGATATTCCCACCGTCGGTCTTCAAGATCGCCTCCTCAATGTCAGATGCCCATTGCTCGGCCTCCCCCTTACGGTCCTCCACCACTGCGAACCCAACGATCTCGAGCATGTAGTGTGGCTCTCTGGTAGCAAAGACAGAGTTATCTTTCGGCTCTGCAGAGGGACCTCTTAGCTGATGTATGGAGACCATGGTGCCTGGATCAGTCGGTAGCGCGGTTAGACCGCGTCCGATTGCCTCGGCGACTTGAGGTGTGACGCTGTACAGATTCAGTGTGCGACTGGATCCATATACACTTGACGGGACCATGGCTGCATTTCCGGTGAACCATTCGGGGATTGTAGTCTCCCCGACTGTGCTCATGAACAGTGGTGCCAAGCTTGCGATCTGGTTGCTCCAGTGTTGGCCCTCTTCAGTGTCATCGCCGCTCCAGGCGAAGAGAACAGCGAAGACGCGTCCAGGAGGCGCGTTGAATACTGCTTGTTGGATGGTGAGCTGCTTAGGGATGCCGTTGTGGAGTAGCTTTTGGTATCCAGTGTTAAAATTGGCAAAAGCTTTGTTGATATCCCGGGAACCAAAGAGAATTACACCGGCCAGAAACTAGATGAGGTTCAGCACCTGTCATTTCACACAAGTGATATTGATAAATAAACACTTACACTCTTGAGTGGATACACTTTTATAGTCAGATCAACAATCACACCGAACACACCTCCCGCCCCACGAATGCCCCTCAGGAGCTTCTCATCCGCCTGGAGAATCTCCCCATCATGATTCACAATCGTCGCACCAAGAATCTGATCGACCCCGAGTCCCCAGTGTGACGAGAAGGGTCCATATCCTCCGTACATGGCCCACCCAACATAGCCAACGCACGGGATTGACCCCGTGGGTGTGGCGAGTCCTTCGGCCCACAGCTTTGTGCCGAGCTCTCCCTGGAGGATTCCTCCCTCTACTGTAGCCGATTGGCGATCTTCGGCTATCTGGACCCCCGTAAGCGCCCGAAGATCGATTACGAGGGCGCCATCTACGAGAGCCCGGCCTTCCATATTGTGACCGCCTACCCGGATGGTGAATTGGATCCTCTGGGACTTGGCGAATTGCACCAGTACCCTCACATCCTCTGCGTTTTCAGGATGGACGACGGCAAGTGGAGTGTCTAGACGAGCCAGATTCCATACCTTACACACGGTGGAGAACTCAGGCGACGAGGGTGCTGTGTACTTGATACTGGGATGGCCCAGGAGGAAGGCCTCCAAGCGAGCAAGCTGAGAGTCAGAGTCTGCCATGATTTTGCTTTTCATATCTGTTTACTGGGATTGGAGCACCAAGACAGAGGAGACATTCTATCTATGTATCTCACGAAAAGGATATTCCTGGCACCTTGGTTTGTCTCCATCAAGTTCCTAGGCATTATTCTGGGGTAGTGCCCAATACTCCAACGGGTTGGTCTTGCACCATTCGCTCCCTCGGATAAACAAGTTAGCTAGTGCTTACCAATTGGCCATTTTACCTTGGCTAAAGGTTGTCTCCGTCTTATCCCCGCGACTAGTGGTCCCACAGCTTTATCCCGGTCGGCCAGATGGGCTTAGTCGTAGAGCGTCATTGGTAGAGCCTTGGGGTAAAAAGAACTAATTGGGGGCCTTGGGGCCAGTGGATTCAAACCCTGTGGCTGGCGCAATAAGCTACCACTAGGCGCCTGTCGAAGAACGCTCTATCCTCTAGTCACTAGTGGACTAAGCTAAGATCTAGATGATAGACCGGGGTAAGATGTAAATCTACTAAGGAAAGACGGGAGGGGAGTGTAGTCTTCTAGGCTTTCTAATATACCTATAAAACAGTAGGTGCCTATCACAACTGTACACGAAGCCTTATATAGAGAGAAATATCGGAAGATATTATTGGATTTTACGTGGTCATAAATATGTCTTACAGGTCCAGGGGGCGCCCCAGGACCGGTAGAGAGATATCATAATATCAAGGAATTATATTTATTCAAGGCCGTTTGAAAATTCAAAGATGGCCTATCCTATTTTAGTCATGCTATTGCTCTTCATGGACTAAGCGAGTGACCCTCATGGCTTGGCTCTTGATATGATGCATACAATCTGCGACACGCGCTGCCCGATAATTTCTTGACATAGAAAAGAAATACTTGCACGCGGCAATTGCCCAAATCCATAATGACATGTCTCTGAACACACTAGTAGAGCCTTCTTGCCCTAATTGCGCCGCTAGGGGACGCGTCTTTCCGATGCATAGACTAAGCACGGCTTATTTTATACTGTGCGGCTCTCATCTCACTGCATACGCTAGATAATGCATTTATATCTTGATTTTACTAGTTTTCTCCCTAGAATTACAACTATACGTAAACATTTCAGCTTTCGAGCTAGCTAACATACCGGTTGAAAAGCATCTAAATATCTAGTATATTTGGGTCTTACGAGTATTTTCATGCTTGGTAGGAAGATACAAGGACTAGTAGAATCTCTCAGGTGCTGAGCTACTTTTTTTCCTTCATAATACTAAAGGAAAATATAGTCTGGCTAACCAACATCACAACTTTGGCTTCGGCTTCTCCTCCCGCTTCGTCCCAACAGGCATCTGTGCAATCTGAAACGCCATCTCAGACATCCTCACTCCCTCCTTATCAGAACCCCGGTTCTGATACTCTTCCCAAAACTTCTCATCCTCCAACCAACCCCGAAACCACCGCTGCGTCCAATCCGCAATCCTCGAAGCGCACCAATCAACCTGCTCACACACAAGAGTATGCCCACCCTTCGGCAGCACAGCCTTCTCAACCATCCCTTTAGCCACCCCACCACTTCCCCCCGTCCCCGTCCCCGTAGTCCGCATCTTCGACTCCTGCGCATCTGGGAGAGACAGAAAGCTCCGTCCCCCAAACACCCAGAGCACACTTGGCCGGACATAAGGCAGATTCCGCATCGCTGACCAGCACTCCGGACGGGAAAACAAATACGGTCGCTCTTTCTCGACATCCCAGTCTGGTAAGAGAAGTCGGTCGAGTTCCTCCCGTTCGAGGTTCGGGGTGAAGAAGTTCCAGGATTCTTGGTGCTTGGTTGTTGTTAGTGTTACTGCTGTGGGGGGCACGTTGGGGTCTGTAGCTGGGTTATAGAGCCGGGTGGGCACCGGGCGGAGTGCATGACGGAAGTAGCGGTCTCGAGCTCGGGGATCCCATTTCGCTAGGCCTTTGGCAAGAGATGCAGTGGCTTTCTCGGGTGATTCCCACAGGTCCCTTCGGCGACTGGCCATCATGGCTGGGTTGGGGCCGCCGAAAGCTACTTCCAGAATGACTGGTTCGATCAGGACCAGGGTTGATAGTAGACGCGGGTGGATAATTGAGAGATTGACCCTGTATCATAGTCAGTTAACAATATTCTATAACTGACTCCATCGGGAGAACGAATTGACTTACAGTTGAGCACAACCCATACTATGACCAACACCGATAAGTGGCCTCGGCATTTCCTCCCGAAAGTGATTAACCATATGTAGGAGATCGCGCGAATGATCATACCAATTAGCTATTAAAAAAAAAAAACCGACCCAATTAGCATGTTCCTTCAATACCAGAACACAAGTTCAAAAACGTACTTTGATCACCTTGAATATCTTCATTCAAGATAGAACTAACACCTTGATTCGACGTATCCGCTACCCAGATCCCACGCAGCGGCACAGAGAGCTTCTTCAGCTGGTTATAGAGGTCTTCCCATAGAGGCTCATAGACTTCCTTGGGGGACCCATTTCCGGGCACCCCGATTATGGTAATTGCATTGTCGGGGATGGGGTCTGGCCTGTCGGCATCGTTGGGGACATATTGTTTTATGGCGATTTGTACGGGCGTCTCTTGGCGGCCTCTGATGCTACGGGGGGATTCGCGGATATGTTGGCCTGGGATGACATGTTCGATGATTTGGAAGGGGAAGGACATGGTGGTTTAATTGGGTGGTGGTATCCTTTCTTTCCTAGTGATAGCAGAAGATGAGAGCTAAAGCACAATAGAGCTACTTAGAGAACAGCCATGCGGAGAAGAAGGGGAGGATAAAGTAGTTGTATGCATAAATCATGAACAAAAGTGAGCACAGCACGTGCCAAGCCAAAGTAACACCTCGGGAGCTTTGACGGTTAGTATGTGACTGGGATGTAGATTTGAGTATGCCAGGATGTTTGGAGCTCCTGTTTTCATACCGTATTGTTTTGTTCGAGTTTATTACCCTTCCCATCTTGGCATGTGACTTGTTTGCCCTACTAATTGTGTCACTGTGACTCTGTCGACAAAAGGTGAGAAAGATATTATTGGTTCATGCTGACTTTTGTGATGAAATAAGAATAATAGCGATAAATAATAATATATACTATAAAATATTACGACTCTTATCTGGATTGGGAAATGGTCTATATTTATTCTAGACTGAACATGATATAATTCTACTGTGATATACCGCGGTTTACATGAAGCATATAATATGAAACTACCGCTCCAGCTCCTCCTTCGTCAAACACTCCTCCAGCAGCTCCTGGATGACTGGCAAAAATTCGCCCCGTTGAATTGCCCGGTAGATGAGACTTGTATATCCACCCACCGTGGGCGCCTCTTCCACCTGCCCGGTAGCCATTGCCTCCACAGTGGGCGTCAAGATCCTGTTCGTACACAACATCGGCACCCCGAGAGTCTTCCGCACGAAGTGATACATTTTCTTAGATCCATCGCCCAACACAGGGCTCGCATCACCGTGAACCAGATAAGCGTCCCGGTTGGTGCACCATGCTTCGTGGAGCCAGGGACCGAGCTGGTCGATGAACGACTGCATTTCTTCCAGAACGACACTTTGAGAGGGTAAACAATCCAGAATGGGCACGCGCATCGTCTTGGCGATATGAGGGAACCGATCTGTGCTGTCCATTGAGACGGTCTGTTCTAGCCCTCTCTGAAGATGGGCCCATAGCGTGGCCGGTAGGTTCTCACTGGCGTCTGTGGCGCTTGGGCTTTGCTTCTCCACCATTGAGACAACCCGGGCGAAGAACTCGGTCTTAACTCCCTCTAGGAATTGTAATTGCATGGCACGAAGATCCAGAGCCTGGCATACGGAGAGGAGATGCGCCGAGATAATCTCCGTTAGGACCTTCACCGCCGTAGCAGTGTATCGACCGGAGATCAGAGCCAACGAGTTCAACGACTGGTTGCCCAGCTCAGCATTGTACACATGATTAACCGGACCAGCCAGGAATCCCAGCTCAGAAGTCAACGCCGAGATGTAAATGTCAATAGCCTTGAAAATGCCGGATTGACTGGGTTCGTCTGCAACCAAGTTCGGGGGGAGACCCCAGCTAGTGGCGGGATTGATCATCTCCTGACACTGGGTGAAGAGCATGCGGCCGATCGCCTGTACGGCCTGGCGGCTCTTCTCCATCGAAGAGGTGACGGCCTTGGCCTGGAAATTGCCTCCATGGAGGAACTGTCCGTCGCCGTTAACGAGCGGGTTATCCGTGGCCGAGTTGCATTCGATGCTGATTTGCTGATGGGCTAGTAGCAAATCTTCCAGCACGGGGCCCATCCATTGCGCCGCAGTGCGAATCGAGTATCGATCCTGGCGAAGCGAGCCATCCTTGCCATCCTTCTGTAGTGCGAGTTGAGAGCCACGCAGGAACACGCGAATGTTCCGTGAGCTCTCGATCTGTCCTGGGTGCGGACGCACCTCGGCGAAGAAGGGGTCGAAGCTCTCCGGCGAGCCTAGCAGTGCTTCCACTGTCATTGCTGTCAGTATTTGTCCCAACATGGCTAGCTGATGTGTATCATGCAGCACGAGCGTGGCGCAAGCCGCCGACATTGCTGTTCCATTGACAATAGCGAGACCTTCTTTTGCCGTCAGGGATATTGGCTCCACACCCGCCTGCGCAAGAGCCTCGTCAGCATACACATCCCGTCCAATGCCTGGACGGAAAACTCGAATCGTCGGCTTGCCCTGAAGTACACCGCTAATATAAGCGATAGGACTCAGATCCCCCGAAGCGGAGATACTCCCCCGCATCGGAACCATAGGGATGATATTCTTCAAAAGAAGATCCCGTAAACGATCTACGATAACGGGTCGAACGCCTGAATGGCCTTTGACCAGCGAATTCAGACGCAGTAAGACTGCAGCCCGCACCCAGGGAAGTGGCAGGTGCTGAGATTCGGCTGCATGTTCGAGACTCAGATCGAACGCGTGATATGCGGGCTTCTGGCGATCAGAAGGAGAGCGAGGATCACGCGCGCCCGGGGGTAATACCCCATAGCTCAGCTCGCGGGTTAAGACGCGCTGGAGGGCTAGGACGTCATTTGCGCGTATATCTGCTGAGCCTCCGAATCCGGTATTTACTCCTAGATCAGATAGTCAGGGATTTATTCTTCATGGGTGTCAAGTAAGTAGAACGGAATATACCGTAGATAACATCCCCTTTGGAAAGGCTCTTGGCAATGGCACCATGGCTTTGATTGATTGATTCGTAAGACGTCGGATCTATGCTCACATTGCCTGCATACCTTATAGGGTTTTAGCGATAGATTATATCAACGCAGAATGGACGGTGAAATCGGGATTTCTTTACCTGGCAATATACACCACATGAGGAATATCTAGTCCGGTGCCATTGAGGGTCAAATCTCCGGCAGCACCGCGAAGTAATTCATTCAGCAAACTCCATTGCTGCAGCACCAGTGAAGTATGAAACTCGAACGACTTTCCCATTTCAATCTCTATGGTGTAATCAACAGCTTACCTCGCAAAACATGCACGGCAAAAAGCAAACCCAAATAAACTAAATAAAACCAAGAAGGAAACCAGTAACAAGCAAACCAAGAAAGTTACAGTCGATGCCAAGAGGCGCGACCAAACTCCTCCGAAACTCTCTAACCGATGATCAGGACCGAAAAGTACCTTAACTCCTGCAGCGCGGAAGGATGAGTTGGCATGGTAGCATCGTGTCGCTCGGAAGTGCTTGGATAGGCAAGTGATCGTCGTAGGTTCATTTATACCTCTTGCATCTTCAGTACTTTTCTGTATTGCACGTGGGGGCCAAATCATAAAGAGGAGGCTTTTAATAAATATTTCGATTAATGCCTGAGAGAACTAGGGCTTGGAATGTCAGCACTAAGCCAGGTAACTCTGGATGTCTGCCGCATTAGCGCCAATAGTGGAGTGAAATTCACCCTATCGGGCCAACCACTTGATGGACAATAATCATTCCTAGTTATGTGTACAACATTGCCGTGTCCGGATTCGCTGTTTTATTTATTTCTATAGGAGGGATATTTATGCATCCCTGCACAGGACCACTTTCACGCCATTTTTCGACTCCAGCGCGATACTAGACCCTTCGACCCATTGGTCGGGATCAACACTGGTGATACGCTTGAAGTTTTGCGCCATTCGTACCACGGCATACGCCACTTCGTTTAGACCGAAGTCCACTAACAGGAGCATGTTAGCCCGTGATCATAAGATGAGCGTGGATATCGAACAAAGGGGGGAAACTTACTGCCTACACAATTGCGGGGACCCCCGAGAAACGGGATATATTTCTACTCCGATGGTAACACGCTTAGGTCAGAATATTGCAGAGAGGCTATCAGGATACGAAGTCTCTTACCCAGGTTTGCTTTTCGTACGACCATCGCTCCGGGCGGAACTCATCGGCATCCTCACCCCAGAGGTCCTTCCGATGGTGAAGCGCATAGATTGAAAGATGAACCATCATACCTTTGGGGACTAACACGGGCGAGCTTCCATCTGGACCACCGCCAGTGGGGAGGATGGTATCTCGTATGGCAACACGGGAGTTGGAGGGCTGAGGCGGATAAAGACGAAGACCTAAGTAGTTAGATAGAGAGAGTTAATCGCCAAGTGACCCCATAAGTCCATCGGGATACAAGAGGAAATCAATATCTTACATTCGCGAATGCAGTCTTGCACATATCGGAGGCCTTTGAGCTGTTGGAGATCGGGGGCTTTTCCTCCCAGCGACTGGACCTCAGAGCGTACACGATCCCACACATCCGGGTTCTTGGAGAACACAAAGAACAGGTTGATAAGCAAGGCAGCAGGGGCGTCTGTCCCTGCAAAGTATAATGTCGTCAGCTCATCCCGGAGGGCGGTGGGATCTTGCGTTCGTTGTCGAAGTTGGTCAATAAATAGAATCCGCTGCTCGTTCGGCTGATCCGAGTCCTTGCCTGGTGCCGTGGCTTCACGTCGCAAAGCCGCATCAACGTATCGTTGGATGAAACGGTGTGTCAAGCGAACATTTTTCCTAAATGTACGCTGGGGCCAGATCCATGACATGGATCCCAGCAGCCATCGAAGCTCACAGGTGCTATGGGTGTCGGCGAAAGCTTTCAAGGCACCGCCGTCGAGGTTCTGGGGGTTCTCGAGAGAATTGATTGATTCTCCGAAAAGGAAATCTGTCGAAACATCGGCGGCAAAGCGATGGAGAAACAGCGCCAGGTCGAAGTGCTGGTGATCAGGAGGGAGGGCTGCCAGGAGACGCTGACTGTGACACTCCAGGAGCTCCAGCTGCGACGTTTGCACCCGCGAGAAGCATAGTTGTAGCTGCGATCGTAATGTTTGCCAACGGGCTCCATCACTTTGAAAAATGCTCTTGCCAAACAAGGGCGCAAATGCGTTCCTACGCCGGAATCCAACCTCGTAATCGGTAAATCTAGTAGAAAAGAGAACTTCCAGGTTCTTTGGCTCAATTGTATTCACCATCCAGCTGCCTAACAACAGCGACTTGAATGTGTTGCCATAGACTTGGTGTAGTTGCTGCTCTCTTCGAAAATATTGGTCGGATTTCCTCGCCTGCATGGAATCTCGCAAGGAGTCCAAGCCCAGGAAAGGGTCCCGATGGGCATACCGTGGTGGTGTTTGACAACCGTGAGCGGAGGCGAATCTGCGACGAGCAATCCATTGTGGAAGGTAGAGCACGAATATCGCCACAACCCCAGCACCCACAGCCCATACCCACAAGTAAGCCCTCTCTGGCGAGAGAGATAACATAGTGGGGACAAAACCCGTTTCAGCCGTCATTTTTTCAAGCGAAATACGACCGACGCTATCTGAACAGTGTACCCAATAGCATCGATGTTGTGAAGGGGAATATGAACAGGGCTTAAATCCTGGACGTAACTGGGGAGGCTTGGGTCTCCCTATTTATATTTCTAAACCTGTCCCCATTTTCTGGGATACTTAGATCAACTATGGCACCTGTTATAGGGGGAAGAGGAATCATCGCCTCCGGCTCAACCAGGCCGTTTCAACTTCGTCGTCAGTTGAGTCCCTCCGTCGTTCTGGTATATCAGACAACTCTTTCCGTTCCCCGACATACTCGAGACAAACCACTAATTTCATGTCAGAAAAATCACATTTCTACGGCAATTGCCACCGCACCAAAGGACACAACATGCTTTGCCGACGAGTCTTATCTTGATTCGCAGTTTTGGGAGAATGCCGTGGGAACTGCACTGAAAACGCTCATGGGAGGCGCTAGATATGACCCTGCCGCGCTACAAGAACACCTCAATTTCGTCTCTCAGAGCGTGGCACCCGTCTTAGGTTCACGCCCCATCCAAGGCCAGGCGCCTCGATGGAAAAGCTTTATGACAGATGATTATTCTCCACTGGAATACAGTTGGAGTTGGGATGGGGAGCGGCCAACCATCCGATATAGTTTTGAGCCAATCGGCCCTCTGGCAGGAACGGAAAGGGATCCATACAACCATCAAGCCCCGATGGCATATGTCGATCACCTCCGGCGCCATCTGCCCGCCGCCGATTGGAGGTGGTTCGCCCACTTCGCCCGTGCTTTCTATCAAGACACTTCCGCCAAAGTAGCGGCCGAAAATTATGGGTCCAGCCCCTCCTCTGTTTTCATTGGTTTCGACCTCGGACGAGACGGTCGTAAGATGTGCAAAATGTATCTGGTCCCGGTAAAAGCGGAACAGACCCATCAGTCACGGCTGGCGGTTCTCAACGACGCCGTTCGAACGCTACCACAGTTCTCCGATTTGTCGGCTTATCCTCCGCTGCAGGGTTTCCTCCAACATCAGGAAGACATTGGCACTCCAGCACATATTATTGGCGTGGCTGTCGACTGTGTCGACCCATCCGCATCGAAATTAAAAATTTACTTTCGGAGTTCTTCGACCTCCTTTGCAAGTGTCAGAGACACGCTGACCGCAGGTGGAATGGTGTCTTCGTGGGACAATTGCGCACTGGAAGAACTGCACGAGCTGTGGTCTCTTGTTCTTGGTCTCCCTTCCGATTTTCCATGTAGCCAGGAGCTACCGTCGAAATCCCATGAGACATCGGGAGTGCTCTATAATTTTGATATTAAGCTTGGCAATCAACAGCCGGAAACGAAGGTATACATTCCTGTACGCCACTACGGGCAGAGTGATCATGCGATTGCCGTGGGTCTGGTGGAGTTTCTGCAACGTCGCCGTGGACACACCCAGTACCACGATCGCTTTCTCAAGGCATTAAAGCAATACGCCTCGTTTCGCGCGCTAGACCAGGGGTGTGGAGTCCAGACTTACATCGCCTGTGCCTTCAAGCGAGGTCAACTCAGCTTAACGTCTTATCTTTCGGCGGAAATCTACCATCCTGGTCGCTGGGAGGGGGGAAAGGGGGGAAATGATGTGGGAATGCCAATTTTCTAACATAAGATTTTTTTTCTTTTCTCCTATTATTGTTATTTTATTAAATTTATTAAATTAATTTAAATTAATTTGATCTTATTCAATTTCTATTTTCTTTTCAACAGACAGTCACACAGGAAATTACAACACTACAGTTGTCTGTACCCAGTAAGCAAGGTCCATGAGGGCATCCGCATACTTGCAGAGTCGTAGGGCTGGAGGATCTCAGTGCACAAAGCGATCGTTGCAGGCTCATTTGAGTACAAAAGTATCCTCGTTCTGCCCCGTGGGCTTTCCTGCACAGGCAATTTGGCCCCCAAAGTGGCTGCAGCTTAGACATCGTGGTGGAGAATATCCGCCTCTCAGTCCTCTTCAGGCCTGCCTACTCGAAGACCTGCTAGTCGGTATAACATATTCATAGTAGGTACCCTGATTAATTGCTTTCAGCATGTATGGCGTAATGCTAGTACATACATTGGTGACAATTTCGGTATCAAGCAATGAGGATCAAGTAGCTTTCAACGATCGACTGCTGACGAGAGTATTAACCTCATCGATAGATAGTCAATACGAGGGCCATACTAGCGCAGTTTTCTATATCCAATTTAGCGCTCATTTACCCCTCCGTCGGTAAAAATTAATACGGCTTTTCACTGCTGCTGATTGGGATCGACATAGCAGAAACATTTTCCCAAGATAGTATTCCCGTGCGTTGGTGTGTGTAGCCAACCCCTCAAATCATGCTTCAAACAAGGAAAATTGCCTTGAGGGCTCTGCAGCTACATGTAACTATGATGCTGGCAATGACTAGGATAGGACGGTTCCATGCATACACAGCCCATACCTTGCCGTTGATGTGACGGCCATAATCCCGGAAGATATGGGGCTGTGAACATGCATGTAAGCGCTTGGCTCTGGAACGTGCGGCAGATGTGGACAGCTGCATGGTCATAATTACTCATATCCGGAACCAAGCTGACTGACTTGACTCTTATTCTTCTCTGTTCAATGGAAGGAGCGCTCATACTATAGAATTCTTCTCCCTCAGAAGTGGGTGCGAAGAGGACACTGGTGACATCATGCCTGGCACACCAATACCAAGAGAACAAATCTCGTCCCAAGATCTGGAAGAAAATATCTCAAATCGGCTCGTCGCAGCATCATCGGTCATCTTAATAGTTACCACCGTCCTGTTGGCCCTTCGTCTTTATGTCCGCTCTCTGCCGAATGTGAAAACTGGCCTGGAGGACATCCTGCTGCTTCCGGCGTATCTCCTTTCATTAGCATCCTGTATTTGTGGCTATCGTGAGTTTTGTACCCTTCCGGTATCGTTTGTTCCATGTTGTTCCCCATTAATCCTGTTGCTAATTAAAATAAACTATCCAGTTGCGGTCACCCATGGCGGTGCCGGTCGCCATGTTAAGGCACTCATGATTGAAGACCCGGATGTCATAATTGTACGAGGAAAGCTGCTGTACTCACTCAGTTGGGTCTCGGCATACTCAAACTGCTTCTCGCGAGTCTCCGTCTTGGTCTTGCTCTATACCATATTTACCCCAGGCGTTGCTCGAAAATGCACTGTTCTCCTAATGATCTATATGATCTTATTCCTCATCTCCCAGACAATTGCCGGCGCCATAGAATGCAGGCCGATCGCATACTTCTGGGATCGCACCGGGGACGGAACATGCATCAATCTCTTCCTATTCTTTAAATTGAGTGGGATCCTAAATATAGTCGGGGATGTTGCTATTATGGTGCTCCCCGTGCACACGGTGTGGAATCTACAGGCATCAATCGCCAAGAGAGTCGCTATTTCGTTTGTCTTTCTCTCTGGTAGCATGTGAGTACATCTTGCGGGAAACGAAACTTGGTGATATGTCGTTCCTTGCCCTAATGCAGATGTCAGAGGCTTGATTGCGTCCTGCTTCCGAACCGCTTCCTTCTTCACGTCGCAAGAACAGTCCACGACAGATCCTACGTGTATGGATATCCTCCTCTCAACACTAGATAATCTTTGGGCTAACTGCATTTCCTTCTCTAGGGGCGGATATTGAGTTGATGAGCTGGACAATTGTTGAAAGTGGCATGTATATGGCCGCTGCATGCACTATGCGCCTGCGCCCACTCCTGAGAAAACTACCAGGGTGGTTTAAACAGTTCAAGACCACACATGAAAGCGGGGTGACAGTGGAGAGAACTTTCACTATAGAGGATGGGAAAGGGTATGAGATGAACTACTATGCCAAGCAAGGACATATCCCGCTCAAATCGTTTGACAGAGATCTAAACCGAGAAAGTATCCAAGGCCTACGGCGGCAGGAAGTCACTAGATAGATGCTTTCTGTGAGGGTATGTGCTATGTATATATTTGTCTATCGTTTTCTGGAGGTGTAAATATTAATCCTTAGTGAGTAGTCGCCCTACATGGGAGTCGATGCAATGCATGAATAATGAACAAAGATTAAAACGCAAAAGGGCATGTACAGTTGCAACTCCGGAATGATTCGGAAATTATTCTCAACTGTGATTTACTAATATTTCCATTTGGCTTTCCAACGGGGTCCACTACTAGTACGCTATTTAAATATAAAGACAAAGACACTCCCCCTCTTTCGCCCCCATCGCTTTTCCCTGCCAACCCTCACCACTGAATGCTCTCCGTGACCACCCATACTCTTACAGTAATCTCTACGTAAAGCCATGGTCTCTGCTACCTTTCCATTGCCTGGTGTTACCCACGGCAAACGTATCTTAGCCACTGTCATCGAGAACCGAGCCAAAGATGGCACTAACACTAATCCCTGGATATCGGTCCCCATCAACGACCAGGATCTTTCCGCGGGGTACCGGGACATCACTTTCCAGCAGCTGAACAACGCAGCAAACCACGCAGTCCAGTGGCTAAGTCAGGCTCTTCCAACGACGTCCGAGCCTTTTCAATGTTTTGCATATGCCGGTCCCAAGGATCTGCGGTATGCGATTCTGGCAGTAGCCGTGGCAAAACTGCAGAAAGTGGTATGTTCGGCAATTTCGCTAAGAGACACCAGGAATTGCTAGATAAGCTGATCACGATATAGATGGTGCTTCCTTCGCCGCTGATTACACCGGAGGCTCAGCTGCGCATCCTGGAAAAGAAAAACTGTAAATTGTATCTCAGGCCAGCGGAAATGGCTGGTCCTGTAGGTACTATTTTACAAAAGGCACCTCATATTGAAAGTATCACGGTCCCAGGAATTGAGGAGTTTCTCAGAGAGGATGAAGCATCACCAGTTGTTTATAGTAAGACATGGGATGAAGGAAAAGACGATCCTTGGCTGGTGTTCCATACCTCAGGCACAACAGGTATATCTTTCATTCAATAACCTCAGATCATGCACTGAACCCGTCCCAGGAAATCCCAAGCCAATCACATATACACATCAAATGATGGCTGGTGCCGATACCGCGGCTTCTTTGCCGGACATCGAAGAAACTCATATTCATCAATACGCCCAGCGGAGGTGGTACACCCCTTTGCCCTCGCTACACGTAAGTCCCGAGATGCCGGCGTCGTATGAATTCTGAATATATACTGACTAGTATAGTTTGTTGGCATGTTGATGAGTCTTGCCATGACTGGATTCGTGAATATGACATCCGTTATTGGGCCTCCAGCTCCTCCTACCCCCAAACTACTGATAGACATTTTTCGCTACGGCCGGATAGACGGTGCACTTCTCATGCCCGCTCTAATTGACCAACTCTGCCTCCTCCCCGAAGGCATCGAAGCGCTACGAGAGCTAAAATACATTCACTATGCCGGTGCTCCCCTTTCTGCTAAATCGGGAAATCTACTCTCACCGTACACTCAGGTTGTTCCGTGTGTGGGCAGCACCGAAGCAGGCGGGTACTTTACAACTATCCACCAAAACAAGGATGCATGGGATTACCTCTCCTTCCAGAAACATTCCGGGGCAGAATTCGAACACCGCATGAATGACCTGTACGAGCTCGTATTTGTGCGTCGTCCTGAATGTGCAATGCAGCAGATCTTCCAAGTGTATCCAGATCGCGAAACATTCGGAACCGATGATCTATGGATCGAGCATCCGATGCACAAAGGGCTATGGAAGATCATTGGCCGCAGCGATGATTACGTATATCTTGCCCATGGCGATGGACTGCATGCTTCGCTTCTGGAACCAGAGATCATCGCCCACCCGAGCGTGAAGTCGGCGATAATTGGAGGTCATGGGCAGATCTCACCAGTTCTTCTGGTAGAGTTAATTCCTGAGGTGGAGTTAGACGATACAGCTTTGAGGGAAAGCCTAAAGCCCTATATTGAGAAGGTCAATGTACATTGTCATGACTGTGTGAAGCTATCTTCGGAGCGGTTGATCTTCGCCACGAAGGACAAGCCTTTTGTCTTGACAGTTAAAGGGAGCGTGGCGAGGCAGCAGACTTTGGCTCTCTATGAGAAAGAAATCGCATCCTTATTCGCTTGAGGAAAAGCACACGTTAGGATATTTTCAAGAATTTAGTGAGCAACATTCTTCATAAATAATAGTGTCTCCTTTAGATGTCGCTGCTCCAGGATACCCAGTACTATTTTATCGGAAAGGCCGTAGGTCCCTAAGGCTCAAGTGACCACGACATAGCTCCCTCAAGGAGTGCTTGACCCACTTAAAGGTACCCTTACTTTTTTGAATACATACTACTAGTACAGAGTACAACTCTCTTATCTATTGTTAGGGTTTATAGCGCAGATAGAATTCTTAGTAAGCGATAACAGACCAACCACGTGACGCGTGCCCCTCGTGTCCGGAAAGGAAAAACCGAGCATGCCCACTGGCGGCGGGGTTCCGGTGCTATGACACACATCGGCGGGATTTCGCAACAAAACTTCCCATTCACGATACTCTACCACTGATCAGCGTTTGCACAACCTGCAAAGATAGCCACAATGGCCGACACCGTCGCGGAAGGAGTTGCCAAGCTCCAGCTCGACCCGGAGACGGGCGAGATGGTGTCCAAGGGCGAGCTTAAGAAACGAATGCAAAAGCGAGCCAAGAAGGCCTCCAAGGCGGCTGCGAAAGAGAGCCAGCCAAGCAAGCCAGAGACAAAAGCTGCTGCACCTCCTAAATCGGCCGAACCCACCCTCGATCCGGATGCCATGTTCAAGCAGGGCTTCCTCGCTGAAGTCTACAACTTGAGACCGTCGCCCAACGTCAGAACGAGATTTCCTCCCGAACCCAATGGCTATCTCCATCTCGGCCACGCCAAGGCCATTGCGATTAATTTCGGCTTTGCGCGATACCACGGCGGTGTGACTATGCTTCGCTTCGACGACACGAACCCCGATGCCGAGGAGGAGAAGTACTTTGATGCGATCGAGGATATAGTTCGCTGGCTTGGTATGGTTTCCCGCATATACTAGGTTTAGTGCGCTCCGCTAATTGGCCTACCTCCCCCAGGATTCACTCCTCATGAGATTACCTACTCGAGTGACAACTTCCAGCGCTTATATGACCTTGCCGAGAAGTTGATTCAGCAAGGCAATGCCTACGTCTGCCACTGCGGTGATGCTGATCTTAAATTGCAACGCGGAGGTGAAGATGGCAAATCGCCACGATTCCACTGTGCCCACGCCTCCCAGGATGTGGAAACCAACCTTACCAAATTCCGCGATATGCGCGATGGGAAATACGAGCCACAGACAGCCTTCTTGCGGATGCGGCAGCAGCTTCTCACCAACGGAAACCCTCAAATGTGGGATATTGTCGCCTATCGTATCCCTAAGAACCGTACCCCTCATATCCGTACTGGCACGAAGTGGTGTATCTATCCATCCTACGACTTTGCTCAGTAAGTGCTTTTTTCTGGCTTGAAGGTACTGTACGGTTACTAATTCAAGATACAGCTGTCTCTGCGATAGCTTTGAGGGCATCACTCACAGTCTTTGCACAACCGAGTTTGTTACTGCCCGTGAGAGTTACGAATGGCTGAACAAGACTCTTGGTGTCTATGAGCCGATGCAGCGTGAATATGGTGGGTTGTTGTTCCTGTAGTTGACCACACCAAGCTCCTGCTTACGCAACGTTTAGGCCGTTTGAATGTTAGTGGTACTGTCATGAGTAAACGAGTTCTGAGAGAACTTGTTGAAAAGGGGCATGTGCGCGGCTGGGACGATCCTCGTCTTTATACCTTGATTGGTATTCGCCGGCGAGGTGTGCCTCCTGGTGCTATCCTTTCTTTCATCAACGAGCTAGGTGTGACCACGTCACTCAGCACCATCCAGATCACACGATTCGAACAGTCGGTTCGCCGTTATCTCGAAACATCGGTCCCTCGCCTCATGCTAGTCCTAGACCCTGTTCGCGTCGTGATCCAAGACCTCGGCGATTTGGACGGACAAGAGCTAGTCTTGCCATTCTCACCCAAGCAGCCTGAATTTGGCTCCTATAAGTTGAAGATGACGTCGACTGTTTATATCGACCAGTCCGATTTCCGTGAAGTTTCTTCCAAGGATTTCTTCCGCCTGTCGCCCGGTCAGACCGTTGGTTTGCTCCAGGTACCCCATCCTATTAAGGCGGTCTCTTTCTCCAAGGACCCGACTACCGGCAAGGTAACCGAGATTCAAGCCGTCTTGGTGAAAGACGCTCCGAAGCCGAAAGCATATATCCAGTGGGTTCCGGAAGGCTCTCGCAAGGTCACAGTCCGGGTTCACAACCCGCTCTTCAAGTCCGAAAACCCCATGGCCGCGGAGGGTGGATTCCTCAACGACATCAATCCCGACAGTGAGACGGTTTACCCTGATGCACTTGTAAACGCTGGATTTGAGGAGGTTCGCCGTCGTGCTCCTTGGCCGCAGGCTGAGGGCGAAAAGACCCAGTCTGGGCCAGAAGGCGTCCGGTTCCAAGCCATGCGGGTTGCATACTTTGTAAGCTCATCGACTCCTTCCCATATACCTGCGCAGAAACTAGTTGCTAATATCTTACCCTTCCATAGGCGATGGACTCGGATAGTACTGAAGACTCAGTTGTGCTTAACCGGATTGTGGCTCTCAAGGAAGATGCTAAGAAGGAAGCCACGAGCTAAATCAAGCAGGATTGAGTTTACGTTCTCTCAGAAGACCTGAAACGAGACGAAGTATGAGATTAGAGATAATGACGAGCCATCCTGATATCCACGACTTTTGTCACTCAACCAACAACGCCTTCCCTCACTAAAGCATCTCCGTACAGATAGATATTGAGAGCATCAACTGAGCCTGATCAAGTCGGTCTGAATGGGAGCGGCTGAATGAAAGCAGCGGGCGACATATAACTTGGGGAACTAGAGTATAGAACAGAGAGTACGGTATACTACTCTCAGAGCACTTGTCAGGGTTATAGATAGCCGAGCCTGATCCGCGATATTTGATACATCAAAAGGAGGCAACGTTATTGATTTGTCGCGCTTTGGAGCCAGAATGACCACGACATAAATAGGCACGGTACATTTCATGAATCATGTTTTACTAAAGCTACTCGTCCCCCCTACAGTACAGAGCCTCTATTTTTTAATTGGTATAGACTACTCAACATATACTTAGAATTGTTGGATAATAACCCCAGCAAAAAATGAGCGACTTGGACCTAAGCATTAAAATCAAAAAGGGAAGCCAGTCATGCCAAAATAGTCACTAAGAATATAGCCAATGTCCGCAGCCAGAACCTTTATTAGGGAAAGTGTGCTATCTAGCAAGGATTATTATTTTGGATACGACATGTCTAGTCAGAATCATAGATGAAGTCCCCGTATCCTTTCCGATGATACTCAGCTAGAGAGTTACGAGTAAGTTTTAGTCCAGCGTAGAGATAAAAGAGACAAAGTCAAACACAGAAATACAGTTAATATTCATCAGCTATCCCTGCAGACGCGGCACACCATATAACGTCAATATGCAGAGAGTGTATGTCCAATAGGTCGGGGCTCTACTGAATTAAATCTGATGCCTCGGTTAGGTGCTGCCTCCCGTTCCCTACTGTTGTTTTATCGCTTTATTGGTCTTGGCCTCACCTATGCCCTTTTTTTTAATAGTCCGACTTACACATACATAGTCATTGGTCCACCAAACATCTACCATATCTGATCGTCACTGGAATCAAGGTGGGGGACTTGTTAAGGAGAAGTCGTTGTTGCTGAGTGTCCGCTAGGACCACGTGAGGCTGTAGGTAGAAGCTCCCCTTCCTCCCCCACGTCTGCCTGCTCACACCTCTATCCGGTACATATATAACTATCCGTAACTACAACCATGAACAACGATGATTTCGTGCTCGTTGAAAAGCAGGGTGAGTGATTCAAGTGGATGTTACATTCACTATCATTATGGATTGGTTCAAGCTAAATGATGTCCCACAGACGAAGAGTCAGCTCACAGCGGTGCGAACATCAGCTCTAAACCTACAACTAAAATCCACCTAATGCGCCATAGTGACCAGTCAAGACGTTGAAAAGATTAAATCCTGGCTATCTCCAACTGAGTTCGAAACAGAGGGCAGTGAATATCAGAAACATCTGATTGCCCATGCCTCCGGGACCGGAGACTGGCTGTTCCAGACAGAACAGTACCAGGCTTGGCATGATGCGAACATCAACACATTATGGCTTCAAGGCATTCCCGGCAGTGGCAAGTCTGTTATGGCCGCCAGGTTGATTCGTACCCTCAAAGAAGAAGGTATACCGGTGCTGTTCTTCTTCGCTCGCCGAATCATCAAATCAAACAGCGAACCTCGGCAGGTTGTTCAAGATTGCTTGTATCAGCTTTTGGATCATAGCCTTCTACTTCAGGCGAGGCTAAAGATGCTTGTAGCCCAACACACTAATGTGGATAGCGTTCCATTCCATGAGCTCTGGGACCACTTCGTATTTGGCCTTGACACCGTTCCCAAGGTATATGTATTATTCGACGCGCTAGATGAGCTTGCGGTCGAGAATGACGGTTTTCTACAAGAACTACAGAAGATTGGGCAACAGAGCCCAGAATCAGCCAGATTGATAATAACCAGTCGCCCGGAAGCTCATCTTCAGACTTCGCTTAGAGGCTCCTTCCAGAACCGTATCCGTCTTACAGGGACGATGGTGGACCAGGATATTGCAACATACATAGCCCACCGTGTAGCGAGTCAGCGCGATAATCTTGCTGTAGCAGACAGCCAGTCAGCTGTCCAGGACAGACTCAGCCGAAAAGCACAAGGCTTGTTTCTCTATGCCCGTCTCATGCTCGATCAGATACTTCTGCAATCTGAGCTGCCCGTGGAGCAACATCTACAACACCTCCCTAGCTCACTAGAAGAAATGTATGCCAATATATTGCACGAACACTCTTCGCGTTCTGGTGCTAGCCAACGCTTTCAATGCTGGCTACTGTCGTGGGTCACACATGCATGCCGTCCACTTCGAGTCACAGAATTAGCAGCATTAGTCAATTCTTGCTCTAATCGTAGCGGGCTAAGTAGCTCGCAAGATGCAAAAGACATGATACGTAGATCATGTGGTCCACTTCTGGAGATCTTAAATAACGAAACTGTGCAGGTCATTCATCACTCGTTTACCGAGTTCCTCTTAGACAGCAGCCGCAGCACTGCGACAACTCCCACTAAAACTAACAACTGGTTCCCCGTCTTAACACCTACTTCGACTCATCGGTCTCTCACTCTCTTATGTGTGAATTATCTCTTATCTGGTTGTTTTAAATCCTGGTCATTGCCTGAGCGTCCGACCAAACTAGCAGACCATGAGCCAGACCGCAAGCAGCTAATGGTCCACTTCCCATTCCTACAGTACGCATCGCAGAACCTACTCTATCATGCAGCCAAGTGCGATTCCAATGACCCAGAGTTCATATTAGAACTGGATGCTCTCTTTCAGTGTGGCACACACAATTTCGAAAGCTGGAAGGACTTCCTATACGCAAAAAGGAACGAGACAGTCCCCGATCGCCTTCAACCACTTCATCTCGCCGCTCAGGCTGGGCTTACGGCATATACCCAACACCTCCTAAAGGCGCATGGGGACCCGGATCTTGCCGACTCTTGTAATCGGACAGCAGCTACTTATGCTTGCATGCATGGACATTCTGAGACTCTGGCTATTCTTTTAGATTACAACGCCTCGATTACCATACACGATTTTGATGGCCTAGCACCCATTCACCACGCAGCGAGGGGTAACCACGTCAAGATCGTGCAGCTTTTACTTGAGGCTGGTGCAGACCCCATGTCTCCGAAGTCCTGTGAAAACCATGACCATTGGAGGTGGAGACCATCTACACGAGGGAGGACGCCGGTACAATATGCGTGTGAGCTAGGTCACACCGCTTGTGTCTTAGAACTGCTACGGAACCTGGATCTCCCTTCAAAGAGCACAGTCCTTCCTCACTGGGCGTCTGCTACAGGCCAATGGAAAACTCTCGAAGCCCTTCTTAGGCACCCCGCGGTTTTAGAAAACTTGAACAAGAGAGACGGCTATGGCAACACAGCGTTGTTTCTGGCTGCACGGCGCGCTAGCCCGGAGGCAGTTCGTATTCTGCTTCATTATGGTGCCGATGTGGATGGGAGATCAGTCAAGGTGGGTTACGAGGATCCACCTCACTTAGGTTACGCATACAGTGGAAGAGGACAGACTCCACTCCATGCTTGGACGGCCGCTGGATACAGAATATGGGGCGAAGGGGATATTTGCAGCATTAAGGAGTGGAAGAAAACAGGCGTTTTACTAATCGAAGCGGGTTGCGATCTTGAAGCAAAAGATGGTTCCGGTAAAACTGCGCTGTTTGCCTGGACTGGACAGTACATGTGTACTCCCCGTAGATCAGAAAGAACGGAGCAATTCGTGGAACTTCTCCTCAGACATGGTGCCAATCCCTGTGCGACTGACAACAAGGGAGATACCCCCCTTCACAACCTAACAAGACATAACATAAACTCTACGGTTATCAAAATGTTTGTGAAAGCTGGAGCCGATATCAATTATGCTCGGCAGGGGGACCTTGTAACCCCTCTCATTTCCGCAGCGAGGTACTATGACGCTGATGTTACGCCGTTTATCGAAAACGGGGCGGACCCCAACCTGCAAGACTCCGATGGCAACACGGCACTCCATCACATTTGCACAGAATGGGGGCTTACGTCCTCCCACTTACAGAAATGGTTGGAATTCGCAGATCCTACGATCAAGAATAAAGCCGGAGAGACCTGCATATATAAGCTACAGTTTGGACATGACGGCTACGAAAAAGTACGGGCCATCTCATTGTTCACGGAGAAAGGGCTAGATCTTGAATCTCGAGATCGAAGGGGACGGACAGCCCTACATGCTGCATGCGCAAATTCAGAGCCGCATTTTATCATCGGGTTACTGGAAAATGGTGCCAATGCAAAAGCAATAGACTTTCAACACAAGTCGTGTGAGTATACCTGAGAGATCATTGAACTTCCCCCTGTCCTAATAGTCCAATTAGGCCTTCACCTAGTTGCCCCAGTTCAACTAACGCTGCACGGGAATGAAGAGCAGAACTTGAATTCAGCGCTGAGAGTTATGAAATTACTTATTGAAGGAGGAGTTGACATCAATGGTGTCGACTTGGAGGGAAACACTCCATTTCATGACGCGGTTGTATCAGGCGAGAGACTTTTCTCGCCCCAAACTAGGCTCGAGACAATTCTTGGACTGGGCGGGCTTGCCAACACAACAGACCATCGAGGGCAAACAGCTCTTCACAAAGTAGCCAGTCGTACTCACCGGGGCATCTGTGACCGGATAGACTTCCTCTTGCGAACCAATATAGGCCTAGATGTGAATGCACGAGATAATGAAGGCCTTGCGCCTATCCATTGTGCTTCTTCAAAATCGGAAACCATCACATGGCGACTTATCCAGGCAGGGGCAGATATACAGGCTCGATCAAATGACGGTCGAATTCCGCTACACTTCGCCGCTGCCGCCGCGCAAAGCAATGTCGTGGGTCTGCTGTGTAAACTATATAAAGAGAGTTCCTGGTCATTAGACCAAACGGATGAGCATGGTTGCACTCCTCTGCACTACGCAGCTGGTTCAGGGAATTCTGAATGTGTCTATCACCTGTTGCAGGTTGGAGCAAATCCTAACATCACAGACTGCCACGGGAGGACCCCGCTACACATGGCTGCAGAGCATACAGTCGATGTTGCAGGACTAAGGAAGCAGCGTAAACATAGCGGGGATGAATGGTGGGACAGAATTTCTGATGGATCCAACACTTTGGGACCTTATATGCACCTGACATACCAGACCGAGAGAGGTGATGGCTATTGGAATCTCAGCCTCGCTATCGAGCGTGAAAGCGAAGCATACATGATGCAGGATATTGTCCAGTTACTGCTGTCTGCAGGCGCGGACTTCAATATGCGAGATAGCTCTGGCCAAACTGCTTGCGATGCCGCTCTACATCTAGGTCACGAAGATGTATGGAGTGTGCTCTCATGCCGCGGTGAGCCGTGTGAAAGCAGAGCCTTAATGGGTCAACTGTTTTCTTTGCAGAGTATGCATGCTGAGGAGGTCGTTCAAGCTCTAAGCCTAGAAAAGTCGGATGCCTATAGCCTTCTTCAAACTGCTATATCGCTGAGAAACCAGTCTACATTGGACGCTCTATTAGGTGCTGGGGTGGATCTTATGGCCAAGGGCCCCGACGGGCTGACCCCGGTACACTATGTTGTGCACTGGGGCCTTTTAACTACGATGAAGACTATGGCACCGTATGTGAAGGACATTAATGCTTTCTATCCCCCGTTGCTTCACATTGCAGCGAGTCGAGAATTGTCCAACTTGCAGATGATAGATTTGTTGATCAAACTGGGCATCGATGTCAATGCTTCGTATCAGGAGCCCTCCGCTGTGGACTCAGACGAAAGCACGGACAGACCAGGCCAACCAGTCCCAGAATACACGGCTACACATATTCTCGCAGTGGGCGGGCAGTGGTGGAACATCGAAGCACTTGAGACTCTCTGCAGCGCAGGAGCAGACCTTGAAATCACGGACTCGGCCGGAAACACCGTCCTACAGTGCGCGCTTGCCGGCAGGAGCCGCGGTCCAAGTAGGGATGGCTTCTTCAGAGATGAAACTCTGGAGGTAGTTCTAAGGCATGGCGCGAATATCAACAAACTATCGCCCAGTAACGAGTCCACACCTCTTCTCGTGGCTCTAGAGGCCGAACGAGGTTGTAAACTTGTCCAGAGACTCCTTGAACACGGCGCCGATATAAATCTGGGCCATGTACCCGCCTTATTTGCTGCCATACAAAGTCGCGACTGTGAAGCTATAGCCGTGATCCTGAATGCTGGTGCGGATGTCAATGCGGTATACTATCCAGAGAGAAAAGATGAGGCGATTCCCAAGGGGAAAACACCCCTCCTGGCTGCCGCCTTGGAACCAAGGGAAGTTGGAGAGACAATTATGACCATGCTCCTGCAGCGGGGGGCAAACCCGTTATTAGAGCTTGAGGAATGTAACAGTACAGTCTTCCATCAGATCGCGCACCACCATGGCCGCATTGGGCCTATTTTAAAATCTATCCCTGAGGCTCTCGACATCACAGACCGCAATGGCCTTACCCCCTTACTGAGTGTTTGCTCTTCTGTCGTTGGATATAATACAGGCGAAGAGTCGACATCAATTGAACTGATACATGCCGGCGCAAATCTCACCACCACAGACAGGGACGGCTCAACCCCTCTCCACCTTGCCTGTCGCTCCGGCAAACGCGCAACCGTCGCCCTGCTATTAGAAAAGGGTGCACCCTGTTCTACAACCAACAACGCCGGTTTATCCCCTCTCTACTACGCTCTGAGTCACTCCGATCATATCGAAAGGCTCGAAATGACCAACGCATTGCTTGCCGCTGGTGCAAATCCCCTCATAACAGGCCCGCACGGAGAAACAGCATTACACATTCTCGCCCCGCTTCTGGTAATTTTCAGCTCCGCCGACCATGAATACCGACCAGAATGGCGCATAGACTACCAGGCCGAGTTGAAGAGTCTATACAATCGCTTCGTACAATCCGGCTGCGATGTCAATGCCCGTGACGCCCATGGAAACACACCATTGTTTCCGTTCGTTCAGACAATCAACGAGCGAGATGAATACGGCATCGGCTCACCGCCTGCAGAAGAGGATGTCCGCGAGATGTGTGAAGCTCATGATATATTTGCGGTTAATGATAATGGGGATACGCTGTTACATGCCATTGCGGGGCGGAAAGATACTCGTGAGAGTGAGAGTGAGCCCGATGGCGTGTGGTTATTTAAGGAGTTGATGGCGCGTGGGTTGGATGCCAGGAAGGAGAATAAACAAGGACTGACTGCTTTGGATGTTGCAGCAGCACGTGGGATGCAGGGGATTATGAGATTATTTGAGGAGGAATAGACAAGTATATCTATCCTCTGGTGGAGGAACGCGTTTAGGGTTGTGGTCTAATCGAACTGCATGATAGCACAGACAGAGTACATGCATAGTTATTGCCACTGTCATTGGCTAGCTGCCACCTCACGACCGATACAGGTTGCTTAATTATTCCTCGTACCGAACCCACTAGGTTTATCTTTTCCCTAGTCTACTAGATATAAAATTATAAGGGACAGAGGGATAACAAATTCACAATCACCTACCTGTAACACTTTTGATCAAGTGCTGTCTTGGGCTTTTGGGCGTTAGGCATGGTTCGTAGGGACATGTTAGGTTAATATAAACTAAGGCGCCCTGGGTGTATTTATGGTTTAGGGCTAGCGTCACGGACCAGTGCCGTAATGACAGCTCACTGGTGTATAACTCCAGGATCAGCGACACCAACCGTTAGGATGGCAATAAATAGATATTCCAACGTCCACCAACCTGTCATATTAAAAGTAAGTACCAAGCATAGCCCAAGGGTCTCCACCTCAAGCCTTACTTTGGACCCCAAACACAGCCCCTCCCAACCGTACAACCGCAAGACTGCCGAAACGCCCAACGTTCATTGGGCTGTCATATCTGCGACTAAGGATGCTAGCACCAGAACTAAGATATCCCGTGTCATGCAGATCATACTACCAGTTTCATTAAGTGTAGAGCACAGCCTTGACACCGGAAAAATGGAGGAGAGGTGAATCCTCTCCTCCAGCGTGCTGGGGGATTACTCCACCACCTCTACATCAGCAATATGCCTCCAGGCCGGCAGAATGAGACTTCACGTTCGGACTCGCCCGTCTCGAGTGTACATTCTCACGACGAGTCCATCTCGGCAAATGGAGATCATGTTTTATATGCAGATGGGCTTCGACTGACATATCACCCACCGGCACCACAACCCCAGAGGCCCTCTCCCGAGGTCACAGAGAAAAGCAACCAAAGAAAGCTCTTCGGACGATCTATATGGACGCTGAACTCGGCCTGGTATGTCTGGGAAGTCCTCGCGGTGATCGTATCCGCTGCTACGCTCATCGCTATCATCGTCATCCTCGCCAAGTTTGACCAGCAGCCGCAACCGACCTGGAGACACGTATCCCTAAACTCAGTCATCGCCTGGCTGAGCACGATCTCCAAGGGATGCGTTTTGTACGCCATCAGCGAGGCCCTGGGCCAGCTGAAGTGGGTGTGGTTCGCGCAGGGGACACGACCCATGCCGAATCTCCGGGCGTTCGATTCGGCTAGTCGGGGGTTCTATGGAAGTGGGGAGTTGATATGGATGTTGCGGTGTCGGTGAGTAGATGGGCGCGTTGCTCTGTTTCCTGTTATTTGCTATTAATGGGTGTTGCCTATGTCTAGCCACTTCGCAGTTTGGGGTAGTTTGGCTGTGATTCTAGCGTTGGCGTTTGATCCCTTCACGCAGAATCTCATTCATTATTTCCCGAATTCAGTCGTAGACCCTTCTCAACGAGCCTTCCTGGCCAATAGTACATACTACAACACCACCGGACCCCCATTACAGAACTATGCCAGTAAGTCCGCCCAGTATACTCGCAACCTACATGAATATCACTAACCCAAGACACTTCCAGTCGTCTGGGTCGACCCATCCGTCAAAGCCAACGTATATAACTCGCTCTTCAACAACGACCAGTCCAAACCCTGGGCCACCCCAAAGCACATCTGCAACACGAGCAACTGCACCTGGGGCCCAACAGCCGCCATCGAAGTCCGCGCGCGTTGCTCAAACGTCACAGACCAACTCCACACAACCTGCTTCACCGTCACGAACAATCCGTCCGGATACGACGGAACAACCAACTGCACAGCAACCCTACCACTAGCAAACACAACAGCATGGTTCCTATCCGGCATGGACGTCCTCCAACCCTTATCCATTGCCACCGTGCACGCAACCACCGCACTCGTCTACAAAAACGCCACTCTGCCCCCAATCCAAATGGTCGCCCCGACCAATCTCTCCCGACACACCATGTTCACCGAAAACACCACAACATGGCACGCAACGGAATGTTCCATCCAGCCGATCGTCCACAGCTTCAACGCCACCGTCACCAACAACATCTACTCGGAGACCACCCTCGCAACATGGGAGAAAGGCTGGGCGACCTGGGACACCGACCTCAACATATCCGCATCGGAGCTCCAGAAAATCCCAACGGGAATGTACTTCTCCCCTCCCTGGGACCGCGACCAAGGCGTCACCCCAAACACCAGCTTCATGGTCTCCGGCCTCGCAGCTTCCTCCCTCGATACCTTCTTCCAGGGCCTGTTCACGGGGGTCTGGTTCATGCGGTCCATCTATAGTTCTTCATTTATACCGGGCCCGTTGAATATGTATGCCGCCCCGGATTTTATCCAGACGATGGCAATGGGGAATATCACCGGTTGTGATGAGGGGCGGAGGGATAAGTTGCAATGCGCGATGGAGAACGTGGCCGCGGCGGTGACGAAGTCGTTCCGGGATTCGGTGTTTCTTCGCACGGATTCCGACGACCCCGTGAGAGCGCGTATGGCGGCCGGAAAGGCTATGGCGAGTATGACTTACGTTGAGGTACGGTGGCAGTGGATTGTGCTTCCGGGTGTGGTGTGGGTGTTGGGTGCGGTGACGTTGGGTGGGTCGATGTGGAAGAGTCGGGGCAGGGCTCCGAAATGGAGGAATGATCCTATTCCCTTGTTATTTTTGTTTCGGGGTCGGGGAGATGGGATTGGTGTGTCTGAGAAGGAGGCGGAGGACAAGGCGGAGGGTTTGCGGGTGAAATTGTATGAGAGTCATGGTCGGATGGCATTGGGATGATCTATATTTGGGGAAGAGCATTTTGTTTCATATCTTGTTTGTGATGTGGTTATAGAAGATAGTTTAGTATATACATATATATACATATATATATATATATATATGTATATATATGTATGTATGTATGTATGTATGTATGTATGTATGTAATGAGATACCCTGAGATAATATATATGCCGCCAGATGCCTTTCCAATGTTATTATATTATATATTACTAAAGACAGCACAGATAATCCTAGGATACGTTCACCGCAAGAAACGTCATCAAGCATCTAATCTCGCCAAAATCGGGCTTGACAGTATCCAAAGAAGTGAAACCACAATGTCCCGTACCCTCCACACTCCCCTCAGAATGATCTGATACTCAAGCCGGCAGTGCAAATGTCTCCCCCGACAGCACCGGGCCCGGGGCCGCGGTCTCGATTTCATGTCTCAGTGAATGGCAAGCAGCGCTCATACCAGTCCAGAACGCAGATGGAGACGAATAGATGACGGAGCTGAGCTGTGGATTGTACTCCGGTTGTTCCAGTATGTCATACGGTAGTATTTGGAAGTAATACAGGCGGAGCGACACAAACCAGTGAAGGAGCATGTAGAGGACGGATACGAGATAGATTCTCCTGGACGGTGGAAGATAAGAAAAACATACCGACTACTAACGATATCATAGGGACCCACTGGCCAGAGACGGAAGGCACATTTACCCTACTACGGCACGGATCGTTGTGGCATCAACTGGTAAGCTATAGCAGAAGGAAAGTTCATCTGAAACAGGACCATCTTTGGGTCTATGCTTTCTTGTGATCCGTCGGGTCTCCGCAATCTAAGCGAAGATCGGGGATGATGTGGGGATTGTTTCAGGGTGAGATTTAGGGTTTCACCAAGAGGTGAAAGTTTATGTGCTGCTTTCCTAAGATTTGCGATTGTGTCGCATCTGGGAAGATGTTTACTTTCGAATCCGCACACGAACCACGTCGGGGACATGATTGGTCGTCGGTTCTGCTTGTGGTTCTGGTTCTGGTTCCGGGACGGGCAGATGGTTCCTGAACCAAGGGCTGGTGGTATTACAACTTCATTCTGATTCACGGCGAATCCCGTAGTAGTTTCTGAATGATTGATAGACCTATACTCGATCCAATCGCATAGCGGATCATAGATACAGGAAAAGTAAACGATAACATAGCTTCTATAACATGGTCAATGGACCCAAACGTGCTCATACGCCAATAGTCGCCAACCAGGACCCAGACTGAACCCACAAACAAGAGAGAAAAAGCATGCGCGAAACTCATTTGACCTCGTTGGCGTCGGAAAATGGACTCTCCGTTCGCTCGGGCGGGATTCGGCTGCTGCGATTGGATCTGGTGCCCTCGTCGGCCTCGAGGCGAGACGACAAGCGCGCCGACGCCCATCGGCTTGTCCGGGGATCTGGCTGATCATGGAAAGGGCTCTGCTCAACGGCGGGGGAATCCTCGATTACTGTCGGGCTCTTCGGCGCCCCCGTTCCGGGTGGGATGTGCTTCGCATGGGCTTCGTCCTCGTCGGATGAATTGGCGTCGAAACCCGAGGTCGGGCCAGATGGTGGCTTCGTACTTGATGCAGCCGAGGTGGATGATTCCGACTGCTCCTCAATCGTCTGTACGGCGGGCGAGGCGGCACTAGGGGTCGCCGTCTTGCTACTGTTCTGATCCTTGTTCTTCTTCTTAATGCTACCCCTCACCATAACCGGTTTAGCGGTGACCGTGCGTGCCACAATGGAGCTGCTGCTGTTCGATTCGGTGACCCCGGCGCGGGCGAGCTGTGCTTGCGTGATAGCGGGGACCGCAGGCGCATCGGGAGGAGCCAACGTGCTCCCGGATCCCGGAGGGTTACCTCCGTTGTGAATGCTGACCACCGCCGCCCGGGTGCGCATTGCCTGCTGGGCCGGCATAGGGCTGACAATCGCATTATCGCGATAAATCGTGGTGGCAACGCTGGAACGCAAACTAGGGGCGATACTGCGATGCTGGCGGGAGGCCTCGGACCAGGCCGAGTCGCGCAGGTCACCCGGCATGAAGAAGTGCTGATCGGGAGCGGCACCCGGAAGCGGGGGGACAGGCGGCACCAGGGGCGTTTCTGGGGGAGAGCGATTGGTGACGCCGGGGATGTAGGCGATCTGGATGACGTTCGACGCACGCGTGAGCACAGTAGAAGCGATGGAGTTGGTCGATTTCCGTGTCTGGCGAGCATCGGCGAAGGTGCTGGATTTTTCGCCGTCGCTGGTTCCTTGTTGTTCTGCTAATTCCTGACGCTTCTTGCGGACGAAGAACCACCATACCAGGAAGGTGATGAGGGCTACCGCAGCTACACCCCCCACCACCCCACCGGCGATGGCGCCCACGTTACTTCCCCCGGACGAGCTACCCTGCGAGCTCGAACCACTGGACGTTTTAATGCATTTGGTTGTAGCGCACTGGTCACACGACTGACTGATCATGGTACAGATTTCGCCCGAAGGGCATGACGGGCACGTCGGGGCAGTTGAATCGCATGAGACACATCGTTTGAAGATGGATCGACCGGACAGGACTTCACGTTCGATACAGTCAGTACAGCTATGCGGGGAACCGGAAAGAAGGACCTACCGTTAGAAGAAAAAGACGGGTTGGTTGAATCGAGGGACATGATGACGGTTTGAATACAAGAATAAAAAAAAAAGAAAAAAAAAAAAAAGCGGTTATTGGGAATCGTCGTTAAAATGAGAAGGCTGACAACACAGAAAAAAAGAGTGGCTGGCCGGTCAACGGCGTAAAGAACGTGTACTGATGATTCGAAAAGAGTGAAAGGCTCGAACGGACGTCAAGTCGTGAGCGTTACGATAGGATCATACGTCGGAAAGCGTCTTTTATGAAAAAGAATGGACGGAGGGATTGGGCATAGTCCTCCACGAACAAGAACGGTGATGGTGATGTTGGTAGTCAATGGTGGACGTTGATGCGGACGACCGGTCAAGGTCGAAAGATCTGGCGAGGCACGGCGCAGGGACAAGTCAATTTCTGCACATTGATAGGTGGGTGTGTTGGAAGGTTGACGCCGGGGGGACACGCGTTGCAGCTGCCAGGGGAAAAAGGAAAAAAAAGGATATCAGAGCGGGACCCCTGGGAAAGGGTCGAACGGGGGTATCCAGAATTGAGAGAAGAGAAGGGTGGAAGAGGGAATCGAACGAAGGGAGAAGAAAGGTGCGGCGCGGACAGCGAAAATAATAAAGATAATTTAGAATAACGAGGTTCAAACGAGGGAAAGAAGGAAGTGAGAGGGAGGACGGACGGACGTACTAATCAGACAAGAGGAGAGAGAGAGAGAGAGAGAGACGGACGGGTGGACGGTGGAATCAGGTGGAGAGCAAGTTGGAACTGACTTTCGTTTAATTAATCGGGATGCTTACGTCCACTCACTTCCGTGGTTTATCACCACCACCCCCGGCTGGGCAAGTGGGGAGAGAGTGCGTGCACGGGGACCAAGACGATGTAACTAGAGAAGAACATCATCTTCGTTTGAGTCTTCCAGAGTATCCCGGTTCCCCTGGGGGGCCAATGATGAGGATGACTGTCAACGTATATATCCTGGACTCCGTACATCTGTACTTCTACATATGGTTCTAGTGGCGGAGGCATTATTACTCGGACTATTGGGAAACTATCTCACGACCGAGAATGAATTATTAAATCAATGATATGATTCAATCTGTGCGAGTCAACCACATACATACATACATAATAACATGTACCCCTGACATGATCCATGGACCGACGGTTGCCTTTCCCAAGGGACGGAAAGAGGGAGAGGGGGGGGGGGGGGCACGTTACACTCCTCGGGGAATTGAACCAACCATCTCGTCATGTCATACACCACAGACCACACCTCATTCATCATCGTTAGTGCTGGCCGTGGTTCCAAGAGAGATACCGGGCGTGTCTGGAACTCGCCTGCTGGTCTGGACCCAATCCACGTTCCTTCGCCGGGAGATTAAATTGTGGCCTCTCCACCAATGACCGTTCTCCGTGCTAGCCCACCGGTTGGCCTGAGGCACAGTCACTTCGCAGTCAGCAAAGTCACTCGAAGGAGTAACAACATCGCAGGGCTGCATTGCACTGCCCTGCGGCTGCTTGCTGACTCGGCCAGTTAGACTAATTCTCCCCCGTCATTGGTTGACTGTTAGATTGCGCTGTTTCCTTCTTCAGGTTCCCTGAGAAGAAACTTTCTGTCCCTGTTCGTTCTGCTCACTTGAGGTCGTTTGTGGAATGTGAATCGTCCGAGGTTCCGCGAGAGCCTGGATCATTCATTCCACAGGGCCGAAATGCCCTAAAGGTATTTGAGAGCCTTGACAGATGTTCCTTGAACCCTCGTCCGACGAACATCTGCTGGGATACTTCGCAAATCGCTCTTGTCTGCGGCGGAATAGGTGTGCCGCAGTTTCAAGTATCAACCGGAGTCATCACCAGTTCCTGCGCACGATCCAAGACGGGAAGTAGACAATGACTCTAATAAGCCAAGCTCACTCCACCTCTGTCTGTCAAGCCATGTCCTATGATCTATCGCTCAGGAGGATATGACGCTTCGTATCAGACCACCTCCTTAACTCTTTGAAAAACATCCATGCCACGGGAGGATAGTTCATCAACCGCCTTTGAGGTTTGCGGCTTTGGCTGGAACTGCTTTGTGTACTCCGAATAGTTAGGACTACAGCGTGCTCCGTATTAAGTCTATTATAGAATTCAGAGCACACTGGAAAGGGAAAGCAAAGGATGAAGAGAAGGGCGAGGTCATAATCCGGTTAACATCGCAGTGATAGCGAGTGAAGTTTGCGCCATAATCGGGGCTACTGATATTATCGTCAACGTAAGAATGTAACCAGACGCCTGCAGAATGATAGATCCTACATTACACAGATCTGCATCGATTTATTTCGAGACACTTTCACGCTTGGGGTTCCTTCGAACTTGACTTGTAATGTGCCAATTAATGAGAATGTTGACATAAATGATTTGTGCATGTCTTGAACCTAGGCTTAGCCAAGTACGAGAACCGGCAGCATTAGAAATTCCACGACGGAAACAGTGCAATTGAGGCTATAGAACTTTAGAGAATAGAGCAAGGATCGCTACTTAGTTCGATGTGCCCGGTCTCATTGATTGATTCTTTTCGGCTTCTGGTCCATGAGATAAATGATTGTTGTAGAACCTACTCCTGAGGTACTAGAGAGGCCGGTCCCGCTCCTCGTCGATACGAGTCTTGGAACTGTGTTTGCTCAAGAATGTGGGATATATATATTTAGCTCTAGCATAATTCTGTAGGTTACAATGGAAAAATGGAAAATGGAATGAAAATTAAAGGGCTGTGTAAGTTATAGTTGTACTTGACCATTTACGAGTGTGAAGTGTTTCAATATATATTTCCCGACAAGGCCGAGCCCAACAATTTACTCAAACTGAATTGGAAACCCCGTTATTCAAGCCGCAGAACCTATCTTATACCATTATACACCCTCGATGAAATTTACATATCGTAGTAAATACATCTCAACTATCCCAATGTAACTTGAAGGATGCGGGTTGGCGTTTGAATGTCATGGGTGCAGTATCTGCCGAAGTCAATCGTGAGACAAGCATAGTAAGTATCGACAATGATCGACTTTGATCTCATTGAATGATCTTCTACGATAACCATAGGGCCACGACTGCATCAGAATTCCCAGTCGATCTTCTGCACTGGAGTGATACTGAGTCAGGAAACTGGGACGCTGATGTGCCGAGGGGGCGGGTGGCTGAGCTTCTGATCCCCGATATGATAACAAACACACCAGCCACACTTCCTGCAACAGAAATTTAAGGCTATTTTATTTTATTTGATATTTTTTTTGTGGTTTACCCCCCCCCCCCCCCCCCCCCATCCCCCCTCCTTTTAGACTACGTCAAACCAAAGTGAATGGATAGATACCATTCCATGCCACTAGTTTCACAATAGTGGCCGAGTACTCCGTCCAGTGGACTGTCACTCAAGTTTCCAAGAATAGCAAAAAACCAAAAGTCGAAAGAAGGGGACTGGGAAGATAGCTGAACCTAGGTTAGCGCAACTCCCCAAAGGTGTGGCAGTGATCGTCATTGCCTCCCGCCCAACTGGGAAAGCCAGAAAAAGGACCAAATCATGTCACCGTTTGTAATAAGTGAGAAGGTTGGGTGTGGAAAGTGGAAACGGGGGTGTTCCTGAAAATTACCCATCCTTCGCAGTGACAGCAAGTGTGAAACCGCGGCTGAACAGGCTGTCAAGGCTAAGGCCGTGTCCAAGTCGCCCATTGGACTCGTCGTGTGCTTCCGACGAGCTTGGCTGATTTTAAGGATTTGAAGCTAGCGTCCTGGGTGGCGGTTGGGCTGACCAACGGCTGATTCCCACGGCCTCCTGGGTGGGCAGCCACGGTCCCCGCACGGCTATATTTGGCCGTGTCACTATCCTCCTTTGGGTCTCGTCGAACGAGTCCCGCCCCCTGAGAAGAGGTGATCCAATATCCCAAGTGTTTGTCGGACGGCAGTTGGGGTACGGTACCGAACCGTATGGTAATTACCGCATAGGGCCCTGGTCAGGTTCAGGCGGTGTGAGAATCCACTCCCAGTCATGAATCGGGTCAGCAGTTCCACTATCAATAGGGTGGTTGGTTGTGTTTCGTAACCTGTTTGTGATTCACTGAAGATCGTCTTGAATCTGTACATGGGAGGAGACATCATTGTGGTGCTTGATGTGGATCAGCTGCAACACAACGAATAACTCCGAAGGTGTTTTGTCATCTCGCGATTTCTTGTGATGTCGTGATAGAGTATAGCGACTGTGACCATCACTACGGCTATCTCCTTCCCCTGGCAGTTCAGCCATGCTGTCGAGGGATGTGGAATGCTGGACCAGCAGGGCATGTCGGCCATTTCTCGCCAGACGCTACTACCAATGAACGGCACGGATCGCGTCACACTTGTTCCACTGATATGAGGTGGCGAGCTGCTTATATGGACCTTGGTCTTGTTGACCTCAGCTGAGTGAAGGCGAATGATCAGAACTTGTGGTACTCTGGAATACAAGAAGCAGAGCTCTGTGTATATTTAGTCTGATGAGAGCGGTTACCCAGGGTGCAGACCCTAAACAATCATCGGTTTTATCTATAGCCATTCGAGGGTAAAAATTATTCATCATGTGGAGTGCTTTGATGCTTGGCTGTATCAGTCAATAGGGGAGTCAGATCGCAAGTCGAGTCTTTCTCGGATGAATTACACATGCTGTATAGCTATGTCGAATATCTTCTCTTATGTATGGGCCAGGGACAAATTAGGTGTCATGTTCTCCGTATGTTTGAATGGAGAACTCAATACTCCAGCCGAAGCGACGTACTATTTCTCATTTACAATGGTTGAGGACAGACTTGATTAAAAGTGTATGGATTTATTCACCTCCTCCAATAAACAGGGGTGAGGGAGGAAAATGATTCACGGGGTAACATGAATTACACTGGTAATTAATTACCTTACCGGGATACAATACATGGACGGATGGTTGACCCTCTTGGTATGGAGTCTTTCTGGAATGGGTTCTCCCCTGATATCCAATTCATCAAGAGACCCCAAGAAAAAGGAGATCGCGTATCTCAAGGTATGTATTGTATGATGGCAAATCACCTATTGTCCACTGCGATCCTGATTTGGATTAGCTATCAGAATTTTCGTCAATAATCCTACTACTACAGATATAGTTAAAAATATCAATAAAAGTGATCTATGATAACCGAGGAGAATATTTTTGAAGATTTCTTTTCGTTCTTTTTTTTTTTTTTTTTTTTTTTTTTTCCCACTGTTCAAGATCACAGTCTAGTCCTGGATGTAGTTGTGGGACGCCCTAAGCCCGAACCAGAGATTTGGTCAAGAATCCTCGTCTCCACTCAATACCACCCCCAAACTTCGTCTTCCTCCCGACAATACACTGGCTTGAGGCTAAAAGACAAAAAAAATAAAAAAAAAAAAACACATAATAATAACTCGCCAGACGATTCTAACGGTGTGAAAGGGAAAGGCTGTCCTTCTCGTATCCAATTTTTTTTCTCATTCGTAGTTGGCTGTGCTCTGTACGTATGTGCTTTTGACTTGCCTCTCGTTAATAATTTTCTTTTTCTTTTTCCCTTTCCCTTTCTTCGATCACCCGTCCCCCCCCTCAAAATAAAAATATCCCAAACTCCTTTTTGGGAAAGCCTTCTTACTTGCCTTCCTCCGTTTCTACACGCCTTTCTCTCTTTTTCACGCTTGGTGGTGCATCCCTCCGCGATTGGGTCCTGGACAGTGAGAGCACTGTCTTCACTCAATCCCGCACCTTTCTGATTGAGTACGCGGGCTTCTTTTGATAGCCCTGGCGGCGTCTTCCACGTTCCTGCTGTGCCCGCAACCCCCCTCTCCGCCAGCTGTCTTTGAAATTCTTCGACATATTGGGTACTTTTTACATTTAAGTACCGACGACGTCGCCCTTTTGACCCGTGCAACCTCTTCGTGGTTCGGTTCATGTTTGTTGTCACGTTGACCGAGTAGTATACAAATTGTTCTGTTTGACGTTCCTCCGGTCCGGGGATCTCGTTTACCTCCTTGTTTTTCTGATACCCCTTTCCGTTTTTCCTTTGCGCTCAAGTGCCCGCCCCCTCTTCTTTACATCTTCGCGAGTGCAGTTCGCGCGTTAGTATCGGGTTGTAACCATGGCCTACCAACCGCCTGGGAATAATAATGGTGCTCAGTCACCAAACTACAACGATAGCGGTCATCGACTGGAAGACCTGCCCCAAGGCGCCACTGTAAGTGCATGACCGCGATGTTGCGTTGATTTCTTCTTCCGCCGCAGATCGCAGCGACACGCCTTGTGGTCCGGATGAGCTGACTCTGCCGTTCGTTAGTATGAAGAGGAAGCGTCGAGAGGACTGCTTTCCAACCAACAGGGCGGACCGTTCGGTGGTCCTTTCGACGACCCTCATCAACGTGGCACCTCTCCCGTTCGGCCGACGTCGGGATACAGCTTGACGGAAACATATGCCCCGGACGCGGGTTTTCATGACCCTTACAGCACGACGGGCTCAGTTTACTCCGGCACTTCGGCAGAAAATCCCGCGGCTGCCTTTGGCGTCCCGGGTCGTGTGGCTTCTCCCTACGCTCGGAGTGAAACCTCCTCCACGGAAGCATGGCGCCAGCGCCAGGCCCCCGGAGGTACCGGCGGCGGTGGCCTCCGACGTTACGCTACCAGAAAGGTCAAGCTGGTTCAGGGTTCCGTCCTCAGTGTTGATTACCCCGTCCCTAGTGCCATCCAGAACGCCATCCAAGCCAAGTACCGGAATGACCTGGAGGGCGGCAGTGAGGAGTTTACCCACATGCGATGTGAGTTGAAATGCCGTCCATAAATGTATTGCATGGGAGCTAATCGGTCATCTCGCGCCATTAGACACCGCGGCCACATGTGATCCGAATGACTTTACCCTGCACAATGGTTACAATCTGCGTCCCGCCATGTATAACAGACACACCGAGTTGTTGATTGCGATTACCTACTATAACGAAGATAAGACCCTTACCGCTCGTACCTTGCACGGCGTGATGCAGAACATTCGCGACATTGTGAACCTCAAGAAGTCCGAGTTCTGGAACAAAGGTGGACCCGCCTGGCAGAAAATTGTGGTCGCTTTGGTCTTTGACGGTATTGATCCTTGTGATAAGGACACGTTGGATGTCCTCGCCACCGTCGGTATCTATCAGGACGGTGTCATGAAGCGTGACGTCGACGGCAAGGAGACCGTGGCTCATATTGTAAGCGTCATTCGGTCCCGATGGACGAGCGTGAGCTAACGGGAAATAGTTCGAATACACGACCCAATTGTCCGTGACACCGAACCAGCAACTCATTCGGCCCACTGATGATGGCCCGACCACCTTGCCCCCGGTGCAGATGATGTTCTGCTTGAAGCAGAAGAACAGCAAGAAGATCAACTCCCACCGATGGCTGTTCAATGCCTTCGGTCGTATTTTGAACCCGGAGGTGTGCATCCTGCTGGATGCCGGTACGAAGCCTGGCCAGAAGTCCCTCCTGGCGCTGTGGGAAGGCTTCTATAACGACAAGGATCTGGGAGGTGCTTGCGGTGAAATTCACGCCATGTTGGGTAAAGGCTGGAAGAACCTGGTCAACCCCCTGGTCGCGGCCCAGAACTTCGAGTATAAGATCAGTAATATCCTCGATAAACCTCTGGAGAGTTCATTCGGTTATGTCAGTGTGTTGCCGGGTGCTTTCTCCGCCTATCGTTTCCGTGCCATCATGGGTCGACCCCTCGAGCAATATTTCCATGGTGATCATACCCTCTCCAAGCAGCTGGGTAAGAAGGGTATTGAGGGCATGAACATCTTCAAGAAGAACATGTTCTTGGCCGAAGATCGTATTCTCTGTTTCGAACTGGTCGCCAAGGCCGGCTCCAAATGGCACTTGTCCTACATCAAAGCCTCGAAGGGTGAAACTGACGTGCCGGAAGGTGTTGCTGAATTCATTTCTCAGCGTCGTCGTTGGTTGAACGGTTCTTTCGCGGCCGGTCTCTATTCGCTCATGCATTTCGGTCGCATGTACAAGAGTGGACATAACATCATCCGTATGTTCTTCTTGCACATTCAGATGTTGTACAACGTTTTCAACACGATCCTCACCTGGTTCTCCCTGGCATCGTACTGGTTGACCACCACCGTCATCATGGACTTGGTCGGAACGCCCAGTGACAACAACGGCCACAAAGGATTCCCCTTCGGTAAATCGGCGACCCCTATTATCAACACGATTGTGAAGTATATCTACCTCGGCTTGTTACTCTTGCAGTTCATTCTCGCGCTCGGTAACCGTCCCAAGGGATCCCGCTTCTCGTACCTGACGTCTTTCGTGGTCTTCGGTATTATTCAGATCTACGTTGTCGTCGACGCTCTGTACTTGGTCGTTCATGCGTTCAGTGGCCAGGATGCGCTAGGTTTCACTACCGATCAGGGTGTTGGCGAGTTCCTCAAGTCGTTCTTCTCGTCTTCCGGTGCCGGTATCATTATCATCGCCCTGGCTGCTACTTTCGGTCTCTACTTCGTCGCTTCGTTCATGTACCTGGACCCGTGGCATATGTTCACCTCCTTCCCCGCCTACATGTTCGTTCAGTCATCTTACATCAACGTTCTCAACGTGTACGCGTTCAGCAACTGGCACGATGTCTCGTGGGGTACCAAGGGTTCAGACAAGGCCGATGCGCTCCCATCGGCAACGACTACGAAGGAGGATGGCGGTAAGGATGCCGTCATCGAGGAAATCGACAAGCCCCAGGCCGATATTGACAGCCAATTCGAAGCCACTGTCAAGCGCGCTCTCACCCCCTACGTGCCCCCGGTGGAGAAGGATGAGAAGTCCTTGGATGACTCCTACAAGAGTTTCCGTACCCGTCTCGTGACCTTGTGGATCTTCAGTAATGCCTTCTTGGCGGTATGCATTACCAGTGACGGCATGGACAAGTTTGGATTCACGGTACGTCTAGTGATTGATTAATTCCCCTTTGGCCGAACGAACGGACTAACGTCTTTCCTTTTCTCCCTACAGAACACCGCTACCGACCGTACGTCCCGTTTCTTCCAGGCTCTCCTGTGGTCGAACGCTGCGGTCGCACTGGTCCGTTTCATCGGTGCCTGTTGGTTCCTGGGTAAGACGGGTCTCATGTGCTGCTTCGCTCGTCGGTAGAAAAGAGGCACGAATTGTAATGAAAACTGGGTGTCTTGTTCCCTATGTGGATTGCAGGGGCTGGAGGAGTTATTCTTTGGCACATTTTTGTCGCAATTTTGTATTCTACATACGATCCGTTCTTTGTGTGTTTCGATTACTTTGAGCTGTTTTTCGTTTCGCTATCATGGCTTGGTTTAAGCGGTCACGATGGCCGCAGGCACTTATGTTTTCTATAAAGTCTGAGCGGTTTAGAATCAATCGGGGGTGCATTGATGGCGCAACTTTACAAAAATCCTATGATAGACCTGAGGCTCTTAGGCTCCTAAAGTTTTACCTAGAATCGGTTAGTTCCGTTATCCGAGGGCTTGGCGCATGGCGTCAGTTCATGAAATCAACTTGTCGCTTCTCCGCCTTCGTGACTTTGCGCCTCATGGTGGATCGTCACTCATTGTTGACTCTGGTCCTTTTGTCGTCTCCGAGGACCCCTATTTATACCATTTTCTCCGCTTCCTGACGGATTTCTGTCCTTATACACCCACCCCCTTAAACGATCGTGACCCACAAGTCTGTGGTGGCGGAATCAATATGTTGAAGATATGGTCAATGGTCCGTGGATGACTCCAACGAAAAGCACCCTGGATTTTGCACTCCCAATAACTAACCAGAACCGCCCACAGAAACAACAACAGCAGCAAGCTGAAAATGCCGAAGGCGCCTCCGGCAAGAAGAAAAAGAAGGTCACCGCCGCCCAGCTGCGCGTACAGCGGGGTATGTCGAAAACCCAAACCCAAACCCCCCCGCCACCATACAACCCAGTGACGACAACAGGACCTAGACTAACAAGCAGAATCATGAACCATGAAAAAAAAAACAGATCTTCAAGAACTCACCCTCGGAAGCACGATGAAAATGTCCTTCCCCAACCCCGACGATATCTTGAACTTCACCCTCACTATCGAACCCGACGAGGGCATGTATAAAGGCGGCGCGTTCCATTTTAGCTTCAACGTGAACCAGAATTTCCCTCATGATCCGCCTAAGGTTAAGTGTACGCAGAAGATTTATCATCCGAATATTGATCTCGAGGGAAATGTTTGTTTGAATATTCTTAGGGAGGATTGGAAGCCGGTGCTGAATTTGAATGCTGTTATTGTGGGCATGCAGGTTTGTTCCCCTCCCCTTCTTTCCCTTTCTTTTTACTATTTCGAAGTTTCATTTGATGGCGGTGGTTTGAGCCTGGTGATCTGGTGTATGTTAGTGTGAGAGTGTACTGACTTTGTCTCGTAGTTCCTCTTCCTCGAGCCGAACGCTTCCGATCCCCTGAATAAGGAAGCGGCCGATGATCTCCGCCAGAACCGGGAGGCGTTCAAACGGAACGTCCGGACATCGATGACGGGAGGCTCTGTCCGCAACGTGCAGTACGAGCGCGTGATGAAATGAGAGCCGGATCGCGCATGAGTGGGATAGATCGAGAGATCGATCACGGCTAAGCATCAGTGGCCCTACAGGACTAGGGCTCGGAGTATCAGCTCGGATGTCACAATGATTGATATGTCCGGGTCTACATTCGGGAATATGCATATGAGATTGGAGGTGCTTGAGCTTTTTCTTGAGACCTTTGCATTACATTATACTATGGGATTAATTAGCGACTGGATAGATTCTTACGAAAGAAATGACTTGATTGGTTTTCCTGTCTGTAGTAACCCACAGTGTAGGTAGTGTTACTTCATCTACGGATCTGGTTATGGGTGAGATAGATACTACTGGTACAGTCGTACTATACACCCAGCACACGTGCATGCACAAGGATCAAAACCTACAAACTTACCACCGGACACAAAACCAGTATATATACAACCCTATTCAAACAACTAACCCATAGTAACTGCAAGCCTCAAATCAAATACTTCACATTCAATTCAACCTGACTGACTCAGTCCCATAACATGTCCCCAACCCAACCAAAGAGCCAACAACACCAGTCTCATTCCTTCTAGACATCTATAACGAGAAACGGACCGAAACGAAACCAAGTATCATCGGGTTATCCTTGACAAATCCAGCCGAGCGAGGGTCATGCATGGGTCATGATTCGAAAATTTACTCCTGGGCAGCGGCGCGCTCCTGCTCCAGACGGACGTAGTAGTTGTCACGGGCGCGGACGCGGGGGAGGTGGTAGCCTTTTTGTCTTCGTTAGTTTGGGGATCCCTTTTGAGGATTGAGTTGGTGGATCAAGGATGATACGTACCGTACCACCAGAGGTAGCCGAAGGTAGTACCGAAACCTGGAAATATAGACATTAGTTATCCGTATTCTCTCGACATGATTGTTCCAGTGATCTTGCGCATTGCTGGAGGTAGTTGGATCCGAATTCGAGATTCCGGTAGACCGAGTGACGTTCTGAATCCTATTGCATTGTCCGACACGGGGAATCATGGCTTACCGAAAGCGGTGCTCAGGTCAAGGACGAGGGTCCGGCGGAGCATCTGGTGTATTTCTGTTAGTGTCTTGGTCACCTTTACGGTGGGAAGTCTGGGGTAGGTCGAGGCAAAAGGCTGAAGGGTGGAGGGAACGTACGCCGGTGATGGGGGCGATAGCGGCCATTGTGAGGGATTGATGGTCTGAGGTGATTTAGAATGCGGAGGTGTAGCGATTCAGCAGATATTGGGAACTGCTGGAGTGCGTGGTGGTGGGGAGCTGGAGGAGGGGAGAGGGAAGGATTGGTGGTGATGTGATGTTGAAAGTCGAGGTTGAAGCTTTCCGTTCCGGGCGTAAGCGACCGCTTTGAGTGGCCTGACTGGTTGGTTGCCGTCCGGGTGTTTCCTTGTCGTTTAGTATTTAGTATTTTTTTTTTTTACTTCATTCTATTTTTTTTTATATGGGTGGAGAAATTCTTGGGGATTGGGGTATGGGGATTTAAGTGAGGGGCGTTATTTTTTTATATTTTCCTTTCTATATATTCTTTTGTATTCAGAGCTGGAAATCAATTGGACCTCATGGTCGCGTTACTCTGTTCCTGCCTCAGGCACAGTTTATACCACGTGACCGTCCAGCAGACTTGCTGTTTGTCTCCGTCACTTCGGCACTTCTCCACGACATCAACATTAATCCGCCATGCTCGCCGCCGAGCCCAAGATCAAACGTTCCTCCTCGTCGCTGCCGGAGCAGCTGAATGCCCCTGATGCCAAGCGCATAAAGCGCCCTTATCACCATCACCATCGCTTGCAAACGCCTGTGAATCCTGCGCTTCCGGAACCCGCCATCACCGATGATGCCTACGTCGACCACTTAATGAACCGCTCTATCGGGCAGACCTTACGGGAAACCGGATTTGATTTGGCCGATCCAGCGGCGCTGGAGAGTTTCCGCATTGCGACCGAAGAGTGTATGCTTTTTAAGGTGTAACTGAAGGTGTTGTGAGGAAAGATATTGACAACGTCTGTGCTTCTTAGATCTGCTGAAATTCGCGTCATATGTGCGCCAGTCGATGCTCTCGTCTCGTCGTATCCAACCGGTCCCCCATGATTTCGAACATGCGTTGAAGAAACACCGTGTGCGCGTGGACGATCTTCTGCCCCATGTGAAAACTCTACCGAATGTCGACCCTGTCCCCACGCTCTTACCGAGCCCTCCGCCCGAAGAAGATGACAGCTTTAAGACTTTGCCGTCTTTGGGTCCGCAACTAAGTGGCGAAGACGACCGTGCGAGAAGCGCATACATCCCGAAGCATTTCCCCGAATTCCCTAGTAAACATACCTACCGACATACCCCCGTATTCACGGAGCGTGAACAAGACCCGCGGAAGATCCGGGAGCGCGCAACGGAGGATGGGCGGCATGGCGAGGAGGCCTTGCGCAAGCTTGCACGCGCAGCGTTTAAGGATAATCAGCTTGGTTCGTCGGGCCGGGATAAGAAGCCGTGGGGTCGGAGGACAGAGACGATGGATAGTATGTTTGAGAAGACGATTAAAGGTATTGCGAAGAAGATGCAGAAGAACACGACGGCTCCGGGTACGGCCACTCCCATGGAGATTGATTCTGGCGCGGTCGACCCGGATGTGAAGGCTCGGAACAAGGTGTCGCTGAGCATCGAATTGCCGCCCATCATCAACTGCGAGAGAGATTTCTGGCGTCGGACAACGACTGGGAATCGAAGACCCGAGGAGAGGCCGCCGGGCAACAAAGAAGCTCCGGATATCTCGCGAGTGGATAGCTGGGTGAGCACATGAGCGATGGGACGAGGACAAATAAATCGGAATGGCGTCGGGCGTGTGACTTTTGTTTTATAGCCGTATTCGAGAAGATACCCATGCAGCAGAATTTAATATAAACATTGAGAGCATTATAAGCAGAGATCAGCCTGTCAGCGAGAGCCAGTAGAACGAACGCCAATCAACCCCGTAGCGATGCATGTAAGATCGAACGACCCTCGTTCATTTGTTGTCCACATTCGAGGTGCTCTCTGCAGCCTTGCGCTTCGCTTCTTGCTCCAATCTGATCGGCTCCCACGCGGTCGTCTCCACGGTCAACCCATTGGCACACCTAAGAATACCGTCAGCGACCGCAGAACCGGAATCAAGGCGCGCCAGGCATACCGTCTGAACAACCGCACGACGGGCTTGCAGACCACCACGCCCGGCGCAGGGATCCCATCCTGTGGCGGATTACACGAGTACTGCACCATTTCCAGGAGTTTGCATTTCTCCAGCTCGACGGGACCGCCCTTGCGACGTCGCTCTTGGAAGTTTTTGCGCACGATACTGACATGGTCGGGGAGGGCCTCGGCGGAGAAGATCGGGACGAGAGGAGCCATTGTTGAATTTCTTCGTATTTATATGGCGACCAAGTGGATAATGGATTTTGGATTTGGTTGAGGAGGAGAATTGTGGTTTGTGGCTTTGAGGCGTTGGAGTGTCGTTCATTCGAGTTAATTCGGGGGTGGATTTTGCGACGTTGAATTCATTTATCATGGGCGGGAACGAGCCGGATCCGATGCCGATGGGTTTGCATATCGCTCATCTTCCATCTTATATCACTCTCTTTCTCGATGGTTTATGGGTGATACACTCATCACCAATATATGTGGATTCTCTCATGCTTGCGTTCAATCGGTCGACTGCTGAGATTAAATCGTTGAAGTTTTAATATGCCATAGCATTCATGATTGTCCCGAACGGCCGTTACAATGGCCGCGAGCTTTGGGGAGAAATTGCTGGCGGAGGTGTATGAGGAGAGTTTAGATGAGGTTCGTATACTTCGTTTTACTTATCTGACATGGTGTATGCAGCTCGAGGCCTTAACTTGCTGTCAAACTGGCTGTTATGCGTTAAATGACTCGATGCTAATACCATGACAGCTCCTGCATGACTTGAGTTGCCTCTATGAGAGCAGCGAGAATACCCCGAGACAGCGTCTCGGAATCCAAGCACTTGATGACCTGCTGAGAGTCTTTATGCCACTTCCTGCTGTTTCTCCATGGGCACAAGCACATCATCCGCCTCCAGAACCGACCATTACTACTGGCCAAGACGAGCAAGAGCAAGTCTATCATGAAGGACCACCTATCCAATCGGACCTGGAACATGATCTAAACACCTATCACAGAGACCAGATCCTCCCACCGGCCCGTGTTAAAAGTACGGAGCCAGTCGTGGAGATTTCGAGCACGTCTTCGGGCGCCGGCAAAACCCAGACCCTGTATTACTTGACTGCCATCGCGATCTTACCGTCTGAGTTTCACGGAGTTAAGCTCGGCCGGGAATCTGTGGTAGTCTTCATCGACACGGATGGCCGCTTTGACGCCGAGAGACTTCTGACTGTGGCTCGGGGAATCGTGCACAAAATATGCAAGACCCAGAGTGAGAACGCCGAGTCCACGACTACAGAAAGTGTGCCTTGGTATACAGAGGAAGCCCTCGACAGCCTGCTGGTGACCTCCCTGCAACATGTCCACGTCTTCCGCCCTCAGTCCTCTGCAGCTCTTCTGTCAACCCTCCAGTCAATGGATACCTATCTCCTCGACCTGACGCGACATTTCTCATCCGCCCGCCCGCTCCACGCCATCATCGTCGACAGCGCAAGTGCCTTCTTCTGGCAGGACAAACTACACGACGAAGTCGCCCGCACAGAGGACATCGGACGCCCCTACGAAGAGATCGAGAGCGAACGGCGCGAGAAAAAAAGCTTTTATCTGTTCGACATGTATGCGGATCTCGTCGCGGAATTGAAACGGCTACAGCGACTGTTTAGCTGTGCCGTCGTTTACACCACCATTGCCTGGAGTGGGAGGTCCATGCCGGGTCAACTGTCTACGTCTGGGCCTTCTGGACCGTTTCCCCTGTTTGATCCCTCGGATGTCCCTGTCTCGCGGACACCGTCGTTCCGGTCTTCGCTTCCGGGACCCTGGGGAGTGTTTCCAACTTTACGGCTCGTTGTTCAGCGGGATGTGGTTAAGCCTTTCCGGCCTGCGATGACGGCTCATGAGGCGCAGCGAGAAGCTCCGATGCGGCAGGAGGTTGTCTTGAAGGGGCGATTTGTCGGATGGGTGAACGGCTGGGGCCGGGAGGACTGGCCTAGGAGAGTGGTGGAGGGATTGGACGAGAAGGATGGAGGAATGTTTGGATTTTATGTTGGGACGGACGGAGTGGACTTCAATTGATGTTCATGTGCTGTCTATCCGACATGGTATCTCAAGCGTGGTATGTGCACAGGAGACATGTTCTATACAATGAAACGTCTATCTATACCCACCATCTGTATCCTGGATCAACTAAACAACTTCCCAATTGCCTCGACAGTGGTATTTCCTCCACTGAACACGATGCCAATATCCCAACCCTCCTCACCACCCTCCTTCTCCACGATCCTCCGAAACTCCTCATTAAACAAACAAACCGCCAAACCCACCACCGCACTCGGCTCAACGACCACCTTCATCCTCTCCAACACCAGCCTCATCGCCGCCTTAATCTGCTCCTCCGTTACCGCAAACACCCCTTCCACCTTCCTCTTATCCGAAATCACCTCCCAATTCAACAATCCTACAGGAGTCCTCAAACCATCCCCAATAGTCAGCGACTTCACACTCGTCACCCGCTCCCCGGCCGCCAGCCCCCGTCGACAATCATCCGCGCCCTCAAAACTCGGCTCCGCCCCAAACACCTTCGTCTTCTTATCCGAAAAGAACGTCGCCACACCGGCATTCAACCCCCCACCACCAATAGGCGTAATCACCGCATCCAAACCCGACCCAGACGAACCATGGGCACTCAGCTGGGGGTTCTGCGCCAGAAGGTCCAGGTACTGCTCTTCGATTTCGAGACCTGTCGTGCCCTGGCCACAGATAATGTTGAAGTCGTCATATGGCGGAACTAGGATAGCCCCGGTTTGGCTCTGGACCTCGGCGACAACGGCTTCGCGCTCGGTGCTTGTTGACCCGCTGAAGACAACTTTCGTGGCGTAGGCTTTTGTGCCTTCGATTTTGGAGGTGGTGCTGATGCTGGGCATGACGATGTAGGAGGGGACGTTGAGCGTGGAGGATGCTAGGGCTAGGGCTTGGGCGTGGTTTCCTGGCGTTTTGTTAATGGATCTTCAACTGGTGATTTCAACACAATAACCCATTCAAGTCAATCGATAGACGGACCCAACAATAATCAAATAAAACTAATAAGAGAAAGCGAAAAGAGAATAGGAGAAGTAGAAAGGAATACCAGAACTATGCGTCACAACCCCCCTCCTCCTAACCTCCTCCTCACCCTTCTCCTCAATCAATCTCAGCAGAGCATGAAACGCGCCCCGGGCCTTAAACGCGCCAATCCGCTGCAGATTCTCGCATTTGAAGAAGAACCGGATGGTCGGGTTCGCAGGTGTCTGCCCCTCGTAGGGCGTGCCCTTCAACGCATCTGGAGTTTGGGGCGTAGAGGCTATTCCGTTGAGGGTTTTGTTGGTTAGTAGTGGCGTGCGGTGGATGTAGGGTTTGATGAGGGTGTGGGCGGCGTGCACTTTGGATGGGGTTAGGGATTGGGCTAGAGATTGAGGGTCCATTTTTTCTTATCGTTTGTGATTTTCCGGGGGTTTGGGGTAGAGAGAGGAGGGCTATCTAGGGTGGGTATGAGTCTATTCATTAAAATATACGTGGTGGGGTTGAAGGTGGTGGAGAAAGAATGAGGGGAGAGAGCTTACTTATCGGTTGATTGATAAGGCGGAGGTTATTACCGGAGTTTCTTCCATGGGTATGAGTATGAGGATTGGCATATAGATTATAGTACGGCAGTGCAAAACAACACTGTGGCTCAGTTCCTACTTTACTTTATGATATCATGAGGAGATGACGCTGATTGTGTCAAGAGTCGATACATTAAATAGTGTCTTGAGGCTGTGCACGCCTCAATCTTGGAGCCTGGACGGGCTGAAAAAAAGTAAATATGTGACCAAGGCTTAGACTTTAGGGTATAATACCTAGTTGTGATCGTTTCCTTTTCTCGTTGGATTTGATGCAGCACAATCAACCATATGCTCTACTTAGCATCTCGGCGAAACTATCGCTCGCAGTTTCCATATCGATGCTGCGGAGCATAACCTATTTCCTCTTTCCTCACATCGATTTGCTACGTTCGTCTCGAAAATGGAACAATCAGAAAAGCTCCTCTCGAACGAGATCCGACTGTTGAACCTCCTGCCTGGCAAGTGGTCCGACCCGATCCACTGTACATGGCGCACCGTCTCGCTCAATGGAAAGCCAGAATATAAGGCCCTATCGTATGTATGGGGCCGATCGAAACATTCGCAACCTATCTACCTAAATGGTTCTCCGGTACATATTACTAGGCATCTCCGACGCGCTCTACGGCAGCTACGCAGTGACAGCGAGGCTGTCTGCCTGTGGGTCGATGCTATCTGCATAAACCAATCTGATGACGAAGAGAAGACAGAACAGGTAAAGATGATGGGAAACATCTACGCTCAATGTCAAGAGGTGGTTGTTTATCTGGGTGATGCCTTGGCTCCAAGCTTTTCCCAATCTTTTAACACCCCTGCAAGGACGAGGGATGCCATATCACATACAATGACGCCTCATGAATGCTACTCCACGCTGGCTTTCAATGAGATAGATACGGGCCTTGTCTGGCGAAGGCCCCTGAGTCATCAGGATGGGAGCTATCTTTTCTGTTTCCTTCAACTTCTAGCCGACGGAGTGGACATGAACAGGTTTACGGCGGGCAAAGATCAAGGTAGCTTAGACGAAATCATGGAAGCGTTAAGGCTATTTCTTTCCGCAGTCACATGGTGGAAGAGGGTCTGGGTTATCCAAGAGGTGGTCATCCCCAGCAGGATTGTGATCTTGTATGGCTCTATGCTTGCTCCGTGGGAGATGTTCGTTAAGGCTGCGAACCGCGTGCATGTCAACTCTCAGATGGAGATTCGCTCACTCGCAGCACACGACACGAAAGTTTTGGCTGAATTTTCTCGGCGAATCCTCAGCATTGAGTCAATCCGAACCCGATGGCAGAGTCCTGAGCAGATAACATTGTTACAGCTCTTGCGTCAATTCAGTGGCAGAGCGGCGACAGACCCAAGAGATAAGGTCTATGCTCTGCTCGGTCTTGCAAAGGACAAGCCTTCTGTTGAGCCTAATTATGCGGCCTCAGAGCTGGAGGTTTTCGTTGACACTGCTCTCGATATTATATCTAGATCGGGGAGTCTCAGTGTATTGATGGGCGACTTCACAATGAAGAACAGCCACGCACTTCCTTCGTGGGTACCTGATTGGAGTTCACCCCTTGAGGCATCAATACAGAGCCGGGTAGCGAATGTGGAACACTACACCGCATGCAACAACACTTCAATCTATGTGCTACGGGAGGAATCAGACGACCTGCTGAGAACATACAAGTGCCGTTATATACTCCGAAAGAACTGCCTTGAAGTCATGGAAAAGTACTACAGGTCTCGGGAAGGACATATGTGCTTGCGCGTGCATGACCAAGGCCGTATCTCTCTGCCGGCCTTGATAGTTGAACCCATTATGGTTGTCGGAGAAGCAATGTGGTCTGATGCTGTATTAGTTTCGACGATTAGCTCGTGGCTTGCGATAATCACTGAATACTCGTTCCTTCTCGAGAAGACGATGCCCCGCGAAGACTTCGAGAGCACTATGTGCGCTGGCCTTGTGTCTGATACTACAACTGGCCAATCTCGACGGCTATCTCTACTAGATAGAGATTTTATTGGACGTTGGTTGGCAAGAGAAGTACCAGACTATAGAGAACCACTTTTGCTACGCCCGTATCGACTGATGGGAGATACCGCGGATCTCGGTGCTCGAAACTTGAACTCAAATAGCATTCGCCGTTCTATTATACAAGCAACATACCGTCGAAGGTTCTTCATTACAGTGCACGGTAGAATTGGACTGGGGCCTGCCAGCATGGAGAAAGGTGACCATGTCTGCATGCTACCGGGCGGTAGAACACCATTCATCCTCCGGGATAGACGTAACCCACAGATGTTAACACCGTTCCGCAGACAATTTGTGGAATTCCTAACCGCCTACGAACTTCTCGGAGACTGCTATGTTCATGGACTGATGGACGGCCAAGGCATGTCTATTTGGGAGGGTGTCGATTCGAACCACTCTAGATCTAGAATCGAGGTCCTGGGGAAGCCGGCCATACCTGGTAGCCCATACATACATTCCCTGGACCATGCGAAAAAGTTCGACGACTTGGAAGTGGCCGGTACCCGGTGGCAGGTCCAGGCGGGCACTTGGTATCATTCGGCAGAAACATGGCAAGACGCGTACTTGGCATACTTTGAACAACTGGAAGATTTAGAGAGTTTGCTTCGCGGCGACCATGCATATAGATGGCGAATTGCCAAGCAAGATTATGATATTCTTTGCCAAAGCTGGAAACGGGTTCAGCTGACATGGATGAAAGGCATGAAGGCGTGCCGGGAGTTTTGTGACTCTCTTTTTAGCTGGCAAACTACATTCCGAGAATGGCATGACACAATGCAGTTTTTTAATTCTGCCATTGTAACATGGAAGAGTGCTAAAACGTGCTCGCAACACTCCTTGCAAGCTTGCGAGCAGGAAATCCGACATTGGATCGAAGAACGGGAATTGGCAGCCCAGAAGCCCAAGGAGGAGGGTCCTGATAAGCGCAAAGAAGCGGTCGAAGCTGCAGACAATGCCTTATTAACTACGTACCCCTCTGACGAATGCCAGACGCGCCTAAATTGTTCAATTGCAGAAGTGGGACGAGAGAAATTTGCGATGGAAAATCTAGGCTCTAGGTTAGGCATGGAGGCCTTGGTTGTCGTGCTGGTCTGATAGGGATTCCTCTGTTTCTTCACGGTTGATATGTTGCAGGATATCTCTCTTATAATTTATCGTGCCTTACCACTTCTATCTCGACGAAAAGGGCAGTATGACAGCCCATCGAGGCATATTATATAGCATTCGGAAGTTGTTCCAGAAGTTGGGGCATCTATCATGTGCTTCCCTCCCCAGATCTCCTAGTCCTTAACTCTGGATGGATGGCCATACAAAAGGCTGAATCGGCGGCGTGCACTAGGAGTCACACCGTCCAAAAGAATGATATTTCTGGCGCCAGTGCTCCCACAATTCCGCCTTGCCGAGTCCTGACACTTTGGGCTTCGATCAGACCCCCTGGGCGGAATATTATTGTGGGGATAATTGTGCGCCAAGAGGCCCCGGTGCTTTTGGGGTTCTCCTCCACAGCAAGCCAATACGAGTTTTAAATTGGCGATCTGCATCTGAAGCCCTCGGCTGTCGTGAGATCCGAACGGGGATTTCTGCCCTGACTCCACTCCCACCTATAATCTCACCAACGTCCCTTCTGCGGCACATTGAGACCCCTTATAACTTGCTCTTAAGATCCTCCGGTGGTGACCGGTCTAGCTTACACCCTCACGCTGTGGTAAAAGATGGATGACTACTACTCCAGCCCGCCCGCTGGTTTCACTCTTCGGAGAAACGGCACCTGCGCCGCGAATGAGAAAGATTGCGGCAGCCCCTGGGGTGATTGGCATGATTGTTGTCCCGAGGGCACGTATTGCCAATCTGAAAGGAGTGATAATGATAGAAATGTCTGTTGTCGTACCAAGTCAGGGTGCAAAGCATTAATCGAACAAGACCCGCACTGCGCCAACAATGAGACCTGGGACCTGTATAACAATAATGGTGATTACTTTTGCTGTCTGCAGGGGAAGCGGGGCTTTGTGCAAACCTTTAGCGAAGGTGGAGCAGGTATTGCCTGTGCTGATCCGGGGAGCGGGGAACTCGATAATCCTTCGCAGAGTCTACTGAATCTCATTGCAAGTGGTGAGTCCCAGCTTGAACTTGAATGATCTGAAAAAGCATGAAGAGTTAACGTCCCATATCACTGGTTAACCGAAGGCACTCCATCCGCATCCGCATCCGCATCAGCATCAGTGACACCATCCTCGTCTGCTATACCAACCGAAACAAACACAGATCCCCCGGCCGCCACAGAATCAAAGTCTGGCACATCATCTAGCAATGCCGGCGCTATTGCTGGTGGTGTTGTTGGTGGTTGTGCTGGCGTTGCACTTATAATTGCATTGGTTTGGCTTCTGCTGCGTCGACGACGACGGAAAGAGGTCACTCCTATCATAAACCCCAGTGCTGGCATATCGGCTGCAGAGCACAAAGGTGTATCTGTAGCGGAGCTTGATATTAATCCGGCTCGCTCAGAGCTATCTGCCGATCCTAATACAATGGCCCACGAGCTGCCTGTTAATATGCGTTAATCGGAACAGGCGCGGTGATTGTATATGTATTTATCACATACAACCTCATCAACTTGGGAGCAGGAGGATGATCAAAGGCATTTCGGCTGTGATCCTCTGTGATATTAGGTTCTCTTTTCTTGATACCCCCTGGTGTAGAATATTACTTTCTAGCCTCATGCGACCACGTTCTTGTACATAGCTTTTATTGCGGTCAACAGCTTTGCATTTACCTCTGGCTTCTGTGACTGCCTTTGTGCTTTATGTATTTACAGTCTCGAATCTACTATCAATGTATAAATTTAAGATATATCCTTGTTTTGGGCATATCCGGAATGACCGGTCCATATACATTCGAATAATTGAATATGTCCTTTATTTCTCTATGAATCATAGTAACAGGCAGTCTAGGAAGTATATTGATAGACATTATTGTTAGGGTACTAATTGACTAGGAGCGGTGTGACGACTTATCTCTGCTTCATAATATACATTTCATTACTAGTATGAAAGACAGTATATAACATCTCATATAAACTCAATCCTTACACCTACCGCGTAAAGTCTCATTAACATGTAATTAAGAATCGAGGGAGGCTCTGTTCTGGGCTAACACGCAGCCGCCATGGCAAACTTAGTCGCCAGGTACTCAAAGAGGCACCCTAGTTCCATGCTTCTGTGTCCACCAAGGCGAGCGATCCGAGACCGGATTGGCAGGCACTTTGACGGTCATCTTTCGCGGAGCGGACTTTCTACTCCGGCGAGCTCTTGTAGTCGTCCGCTTCTTCAGATCGAGTTGTCCGTTGACACACTCCTTGTTACCCCATGCCGCATCAGCAGCGGCCTCCCACATCGCAGTGACATCTACGATCATCTCTGGTTCGTAGAAGAGGCGACAATCAGCCTTCTCGTAGACAAACTGCGACGGAAGTCCGTCCTCCAAGTTCTCCGGGAGGATATTGTCCCGCACGTTGATGGAGGTATCCGTCGAACGGGTCGTAGGTAGGTCGCTCAGTTCCGTCAGTGCGGTCCAGTTAGCTTTGTGTTCCTGGCCGGGTTTAGCGGAGTCGATGGCCAGCTGGGCGAGAGAGTAAATGTAGGAGAAGGCGAAATTGTTGGATCCCTTGATACCGCCGATCCCCTGCATCGGGTCCGAGGACGGACGACCCCCGATAGCGATGCTCTTGACACCGCCCTGGAGACGCATGAACTCGGAGAAGAGCGTGCAGGTCGATGCGCAGTAACCGTCATACAGCATGACGATGTCCTCGGCGGCAAACGGCTGCGTGAAGTTCCGGCGCGTGCCGTACCCCGTAATCTCCATGCCCATGCCATATGTCTCGTTGACAGTGGTGAGCGAGTCGTCCAGATCCCAGCGGATGATGCTCGTGTACTGGTCGCCGTTGTACTCGTGGGGACCGAACTTCTCCTCGAGGGAGCTGAAGTGCTTGTTTTGGAGGTTTAGGTCGTAGCGGTAGTTTGGTGGTGATTCGAACATTTGGATTTCGTCGAAGGTTGCGTTGTCGGGGTTGAAGTCTTCTGGGAGGACGGCGGAGAATTGCTCGGCCATGGCGGCGAGGGCTTCGGTGTAGCGGAAGCGTGTGTACCCATCTTGCACGATGCTGGGGAATAGCTGGCGGAAGGTGTCGTAGCCTTGCAAGATATATCCGCCCCCGTTGCCGGAGAGGTCGATGACGAGCTTGGTCTTGCCTGCAGCCTTTGCGTGGCGGAGGAATTTCTCAAGAACGGCTTGAAATTCGGCGGGCGTGCTGGGCTCGAAAGATAACATACTCAGGACGGCGACTTCGGAGTTCTTGTCTGAGTCGAGGAAGTAGCCGGAGATGACGTTGTCCGAGCTGATGACTTCAGGGTCTGGATAGCCTGGTGCCGGAGTAGCGGTTGCTGTCGCTGCTGGCGATGATGTTGCTGACGCTGCGGTTTCCGTGCTGGATGGTCCTGTGCAGAACTTTTGGTACATGCTTTGTCCATCGGTTACTCCGGTGAGATCGGCTTTGATGTGTGCTGTGGTTCGGTAGGATCTGCTGGTTCCGTTGGCGAACTCGATCGTCGTTGTATTTCCAGGGTAGATGTATCCGTAGCGGGCACTTCCTGAAAAGTAACCATCGAAGTCGGGGGTGCTTGCTGCAAAGGGCTTCGAGAAGAAAAGTGAGTTGTATAGTGCGTCAGGATCGTTCAGACTTCCTAGTTGCGACCAATACTCGAGGTATTTCACCGCGTCTTCTCCATTGATTGATTTAACTGGAGATGGATCAAGTCCGCTCTCTACCTTTCCGACAATATCGGCTAATGAAGTTAGCGCCATTGTCGACAGGGCTTCTGCCGGCTAAGTAGGAGAAGTCTTACTGTGCACGTAGATCTGAGGCGTCTCCTTGCCGTCTAAGCTGACGGAAACCAGACCAACGTTACGGTGGAACGTCAGCACCTTGGTGAGAAGGTCCGGGAAGAAACGGAAGTGTCCGTCATGGGCGAGGTTGAACGCCTTGAAGAGATCCGCTTGGAACTCATATTCACCGGCATATTTGTCGGACTTGATGTTGTCATAGACCTTGTTTAGTTCAGCCCAAATATCCACCGCCGGTTCGAGATAAGCAGAGGGCGGATCTTTGATATACGAAGTATCTGGTGCTCAATGTCAGTGATCTTTGGCTCTAAACCACAAATATGGGATGGCTAAAGTCAACTTACCAGACTGCCATTCCACATAGGGGAAAATCGACTCCATTAACTGGAGAGCCTCAGTCTTCCCCAGAGGAACTGACTTCAAGCAGGCCAGAGCAAGCTCACCATCCACGACCGGGGTAGCTACAGCATTATGCAAGTCAGTATAAAAGGCCCTGCAGCCAGAAACAACGCAGAATTCACACGAAACCGACCTGATGGCGAAGCCGCTAGAGTCCTAGATGCCCTACTGCTAATCTGTGCACATGCATTTCCGGTCCCATTTGTGGCAATTTGCCTCTTAAAATCTCCTGCTACTGCTCCTGCGGCCAGGGAGCCAACGATAATAAGGTTCTGTAGCTGCATATCGAGATCCAAGGAGGCAACGACTGGACACAGACCTACATCCCTCTGACCCTGTCGCGAGAACGGACAAAATTCGTCTTATTTATGCTCATTTACTGCGCGGGGAACACCCCGGTGGCCCGTCGGTCGTCCGTGGGAGCTAAGACAGTAATTAAACTAGTTGCTGATAAGCCCTGCTCGTGGCCCCATTCTGGACCTCATCTCCACTTTACCAATGCACCGTCGGGGTAAGCTCCGGTGAAGCTTATTCTGGAAGGTGATTTGCATTGAGTCATGATAATGGGAGTCCACTTGTTCTCTAATCCCTGGTTTTAGTGCTGAGATATATTGAGATTGAGTGAACGGCTCTTCTGTCGGGGAAGCTTGGGGTATGTTAGGGTATAAAACTCAATTGACCACCTTCCCGCTAAATGGCAGGGACTAATCCACATCCAGCGCTAGTCAAGTAGCCCGTTATCTCCACAGTTGGATTACTCCGGACTATCCGACGCCTTATCTGAGCTGCCTATTAGCAACAGTTTCCCAGGCATCTTTGATTATAAATTTATGAAATAGATAGTAATTGATATTTATCTCCTAGGTTTGTGACGGATATAACTTAGATGTAGATACTGTCTCGCGATTTGCACTCTTGATATGCATGCAAAAATAGCTCATAGGGTGTGGAGGCCTGGTTGAAAGCTGTAGGGAGACGTGCTGGGGACAGGGCACTGTCGGGAATTAGAAATTAGATATTACGAGTACATGTTCAATTGACGGGTCTACTAAACTACAGCGGGAGCTGAGTCGGCCTTTGGTTTCATACTTTGCCCTGTCTCGGTAAACCCGATTACTGGAGTGGACGATGATCAGCCATGCCAGCTTTGGCGGTGAACGAAGTCAACAACTTCATGCATGACAGTAGTTATCTGAGCTCACAGGAGACATAAGATGCACACAGCCGCTATTGAAGCGTCTGCTACCGACTAGCACCTTTCTTGCATAGCCCTTGCTTATGATCAGCACGACATTGCGTTGGAGGTTCTGGAGCATGTAGAATGGAGCTACCAACCTTACTGGCTTATCCTGTGCTTCTGATACTCCAGAATTTAATCAATTCAGCAGGTATAATGAACAATATCCAGAGTACCATGGTGGTGCTCCAGTAGCTCACACTAAACCCATTTCCATGCACAGTGCTCTTTGGGTCTCATGAAGATAACATACTTTTTTTTTATCAAACATATGGTAACATCATAAATTTTTGAAGAAGACCTCATACGGTGAGGGATTGATCCTTAGGTACAACCTCTCACGATCTGCACAGTACGTGTACTATGCCAATCTGGAGGCCGTGGTACGCGGCCTGCTGGTCACAAACCTCTCTACATTTTATACCGCTTCAAAACATTCCGACACTTCATATGCAAGCCATTGAGGCATTTAATAGCTGTTTGAGAGTAGATGAATGTCAAGCGGTACTCTGTACAAGACCCTTGGATCAATAACCTGAATTGTTGCTTATATAATTGTCTACCATGGCCTTTCGGGTTGACATCTTCTAACAACAACTCATTCTCAATTCCATTTAATCATAAAGTCCTTCCTCTGGATTGAATTTCTTGGTCACGAGCTGAAGCTTGTCATAAATCCATTATGTCGACCGCAGACATGAAGATCTCAATTTTAGCTACTCTATGCTATTATACTTGACTATGCGCTTCCACTCTTTATAATGGGGCCTCATCTCGCTGCTTCCAGCCACTAATGGTTGGTAGGAATGCTTGTACTAGGTATTACTACCTATAAAGACTCCATGGCTTCAATGCATCAGAAGATTAGTCTTAGATACTGTAAATACACGTTGATCGGCTCCATTTGATGCCTTTCTATCGCCATCTCAACTTGATATAGTGGCTTAGAAAGACCATGTGACTACCCTAAGGGCCGGGTATATTTTCAAATATTATGCAACTACCAGGCCTTGAATATGGTTACAAACTGGTATCCGCTAAGTGATGATAATGTCTATTATGCTGTAGAGCGTAGATAGGCTAATTATAGGCTGGTAATGAAGATATTCCATCGAGTACCCCTTGATGGCCTGCAACCTTAAAATTATAATTGGAAATGATGTATGCAAGCCTGGACCCGGTAATTTCAAGTCAAAGTAGGACCAGGGCTGTCGGGGTCAGCAGCAGCAAACGCCTCCGCACGGTTCGCAGTAGGTGGATATATCACGACGCGATTGATGTTTTTCTTGATCGGTTTAGCCACGGATGCTTTGAATCTGACCGTGCGATCCCAACCCTCAGTGACAACTGCCCCCCATGGGCCCAGATCAAGGCACGTTCCATAAGTAGGTTGAGAGTAGGGCTTAGTCGCAACTCTCAGCAAATCGGCAGCAGCATTGTGCCCGGCAAAGCGGCCAAGATACATGGCATGCTGACAGGACATCATTGCATAGTGGCCATCGCCATCTGTTTTGGCCAAGGCTGCATCACCTGCCACGAAGATATCTTTCGCGGATGGGACACGTAGATCCGCATTGACGTGAAGACGACCGCATTTGTCTTTCAGGCCTGGTATCTGCTGGGTCAATGGGCTTGCTTCTAGTCCAGCTGTCCAGAGAACCGTGAGGGACTCGATGCGCTCGCCACTGGTAGTCACCACACCTTTGCCGTCCACCGACATAACTGCTGCTCCAAGCTTCGTTTCCACCCCTTGCTCTGCGAGGGCCTGGACAATGACTGGTCGTGGGTTGGCTCCCAGTTCGGGGCCAATTTCAGCAGCCTGCTCGACAATGACGACACGCACTTCCGCATCCTGGCCGAGAATCGAACGTAAGCGGTTGGGAAGCTCGGCTGCGATCTCAATACCCGTGAAACCGCCGCCTCCAACGACAACCGTATTGCGAGCGGGGCTAGGAAGAAGGGAAGCTAGACTGTGCAGATGAGCCTCGAACTCTGCCGCCTCCCCAAGCTGGTCGATGCTGAATGAATGCTCACGAAGCCCGGGGATATTTGCACGTCTCAAGCGGCTGCCGGCTGCCAAGATGAGCCGGTCATAGGAGAGAGTCGAGCCCACTCCAGCCTGGTCCACAATCTTCACCAGGCGTTCCGGGACACAGATGGTCTCGACCGTGCCTTTGACAAACTGGATACCCGTGACACGGAAGAGGTCGTCAAGTGCAGCACTCATGTTTTTCGCGCCTGATTCATACAAGCGAGGACGCATAACTAGTCTTGGCTCTGGTGATATGACCGTCACTTCAATGCCGGCAGCTTTCCCTCCGTGTAGGTCAATCAACCGCATGGCAGCAAGGGCACTCCACATTCCAGCAAAACCGGTCCCGACAACAACTATCCTCTGCATCTTGAACTCTTGGTGGACTTGGCCGAAACTTTGGTAAGAGATGGTGTTCCGGATATTAAGATATAGCACGCTTCGAGGCTCTATGAGCGTTAGCAATGGGAGTGAAATTTGACCATGGCCATTGAGGTCCTTAAATAGGACTACCGAAGTCACTTTCCGATGGAGACACTGAGTAGGAACGGAAGGTTCGGCATCTCGCTATGTTGACAGAGCTTTTCCGCATAGGCTATTAGAGGACATTGGCTTGCCGTAGGCCTATCGGAAACCCGAGTGGAGTCATGGTACGGATATGCGGGCCGCATGTAAATGCGAGATCATGGCTATTATACTAACAGGTCCTTTTCATTATCCCTGACAGCATGCCTTCATAATAGTTGAATTTATTCTATTTCTAGATAGGGACCTTATATGGCAGGCTACTTCAGATGATCCACAAGAGCTTTACCATTCAACAAACCTGACTGTGGCCCAGCGGTGCACAGATAAATTTGATAGCTTTCGTACATAATAGGTGGACTTATTCTCAAGCCTGGTTATACTGATTATGCTAAATCCAAAAAAAAAAAAAAAAAAAGGAAATTACTGAAACAGAGACAATAAGAACCAAAGTTATTAAGCTTTTGGAAATGAAGCAGTTATGAGCTCAACAGCGTGGCGCCCTCCACATTCAAACCGTGAGAACCAATTTTCCACGACCAGAATACCGCCCATTAGCATGATCGTACGCCTCTTGTGCTCTTGCAAGGGGATAACTCCCCACAACGAAAGACTGCACCGTACCCATGTCCACAAGTTTAGCGAGATAATCTAAGGCCTGGCTACTACCTTTGACAATGAAGAACAAAGCCCGAACACTGTCCTTCCGAATACCACGTTTCTCATGCTCTTCGACAAAGTTATAACTCGCGGAATCCACCGAGACCAATACCCCCGTCTCTTTCACATAATCCCAACATTTGACCAATACTTCTCTCCCTACCACATCGATAATAACATCGAATGTCCCTCGGTAGTTTTCCAGCATACTGTACTCTAGCGTTTCATCAGCACCAAGGCCTCGAAGGAACTCCTCATTACGAGAATTTGAACTCGTGGAGGCCACAACATGTACTCCCGCAGCGCACGCCAGCTGCACGAGATAGATGCCCACTGCTCCAGCGGCACCAGTAATTAGTACCCGATGACCTTTCTGACTGGAGGACCCGGCCCTGTTCTTGATAGCCTCCTCTACAGAAGGAACAGGAATGCCGCCATGGTCAAACAAAGCCTCATACGCCGTCTGTGCGCTAAGGGGGAATGCCGCGGCCTGGTCGAAGGTCAATGATTTCGGTTTTAGCGCAAGTTCATCCTCGTTGACGAGGGCGTATTCTGCCCATACGCCTGCGCGGTCTGCAGCCGCCATGCCGAAAACTTCGTCCCCCGGCTGGAATTTGCAGCCCTTTGAGAAGACTTCCGTAACGACTCCTGAGATATCGTTCCCGATTATTGCGTATTCATGAGAGTAGGTTTCAGGCCATGTCAGCATATCGCGAATTGCTGTTGTGGCTTTGACGCGAACGAGGACGTCCCCAGCTCTTGATGGCTTTGGTATGGGGACATTTTGATCGAGGTGCAAAGCTGATGATGGAGCTGGATTTGAGGGTGAGTAAGGGGTAGATGCTGGAGGAGCCGGATGGACTCTAATGGCTTGCATGGTGGGGAATGAAGGTCGGGTTGCTGGTATTTGTGATGTGCTCAGAAGTGAGTCTTAGTGAGATTATGCAGTTTTTAAATCTGTGTCTTCTACATTATATAGTGAGCCTTTAACGAAGGTAGAAGTGGGGATATCCGACATAGGCTATTGATAGGCTAAGTTATGCAGATTTAATGAAAACTATTACTAAGCATGAAAAATATCCCCAGGATTATCACCCGGATATCATCTGGCTTACTGGCTTACAGCTTCTCGAATGATGGACAAGTAGAAATCTAACTCACGTTTGTGACCATCTGCCAAGCGGATGGAAGTATTGGTTACTCAACTAGAAGCTGATAACTTGGGCAAGACATCCAGGTGATACTTTTAGAAAGCGAAAGCGAGCCGCAAGTCAAGTATTGAATCGGCGATATTCGGTCACATATGTTTCTAGTTGCTGGAAGTCTTTGTATAATAGTCTAAACATTATTTATATAAAATTTGACTGTCCACTAATATACATATATATATATATTATTCCAGAGTAATTTTACCGATAAATATGCAATCAGTTAACCGTATATATATTTTTCTTATAGTAGTAGTTTCCTGCAGGAGCTAAAGCCAGTACGAGATGACTGACTAATTATAAAAGGGAAAGGAAACGCAGGCGCGGATGTATTGCTGGAGGTATACGAGAGCATTAAAAATGGGCTAATCAGATGCGCCAGATGCGAGATGTACCTACTTACGTATCTTATGTATTAGGGTGTATACTATAGGCAAAATTTAGCGATGTATATTCAGTGGCGATGGCTATAAGCGGACGTGGCAAATCACCGGGAACAAACCCCCGGCTCATACGCACTGCATATCAATAGACATTCGGGAGCGCTCCGGCCTATACGGGCTGGCAACACACTCACATAGTCCTGATCTAGGGTACAGTATTGGCATAGCATACATCAAACCCGCATTTTACACCTCAAAGTTGCGTTAACCTCGTTATCCTGACGCACTGGAATCCTTAAATACGCCCCCAGACCCTTGACCCGGACCCCGATTTCCGAGCTACACCACGCCAGAGACCAATCAAAACACATCCATAAGTAAAGGGACCCGATTACCCGCCGGAGAAGCATGCACTAGCTGTCGAGAACGCAAACGGCGCTGTGTGAGACGAAAGAGCGAGTTACCCTGCTCGGCCTGCCAAGTAGGAAATCACCCTTGTGATGTCTCAGGGTATGTGTACATTGCCCCCTGGTATCGGAGACCAAGACGTCGACGCGAGGGCCTTAATAAACGGAATTGCAAGCCACCTAGAGACCTGCACGCTTAGAGTGCAGAACCATTCAGCATGCACCAACAGCCAGACACCGACTCATGCAGCGATCCAGCACGAGATCGAAACTGACGAAAGTGGTTCTCAATGCCGCATGCTGGGTGACTCTCTAGGTCCCAATTCCGAGCCTCAGCCCGCTGCTTCTGGCTGGTAATGTACCTTCCGCTGCCCTGCTATGTAATGCTATTTATTGTTTTCGCGTGTGCTGCAAAGAATTGCAGATATATAGGATCCTATATAGTTTGGATAACCTACTAAAATAGGCTTATTATCATATTTCTGTAGAGTATTGTAGAGTATAATTGTTATGTATATTATTTATTATATCTTGGGTTCTTCCCAGGGAAGTTTAGGAATAATTACAATTACTGGAGACGTTGTCCAAGGGCCGTATAACTTATTTCTGCTTTATGTGTTTGCAATTTCGAATTTGGTCAACCAGTACTATCACACGGTTAAGGGTCCGTAAATCAAGTGCTATGGGTCCAACCTATCTCTCATAACCTACCCATCGGCATCTGAAGCATGGTATTTCGTTCGTATAAGCCGAGGCAGATTAAATTATGTTGAGCGTTCTGCCACTCGACCAAAATACCCTTGGCATTTGGTCGTGCCTCTAACCGAATAATCTGGCCAACAGATTACAGCTTTTATATGGTAGAACAGAAATAACACGCTGCTGGAAAGGTTTATATACACAAGCGCTTAGGTATACTAAGCGGGTGATTGTCAATCATGGGAATATGCCTGGTAAAAATATCATTAGGAGCATAGAACTTAAAGGATTAAATTAAAGAGAAGCTACTACTACCAGACAGGAGCCCTGCGATACCATGAACTCTGCTTGAGGCGTTTTGTCAAGACAGATACTAAGAAGGCTTTACTGATTGTGAGATCGATCGGCTCAGATATGTCTAAGCTATACTACGGTCACGGAATCCCAAACCGTTTTGACAATATGTGAGAGATTAAGATTCATTGAGTCTTAAATTTCATGCATATATATACATATGTATGAGGGTTTGTCACTATAGGCATCCATTCATTTACAACGTTATGGATTTCCTGTTGGAGTGTAAGCTGAATTATACATACTCCTCTCCAATAGGACCAATTTACCCGCAGGTATATAGAACATAGGGGAAAAAAGTAGACGATATATAGCTAAGTTTGGTGGTCGTAGACTTTGTAGCGACTATGCATAAACGCCCGCTGTCTCATGAGCTAAACTGGTCAAACTATCAGTCCTTGGATATCTCCAATGGTGCCACTCATGGAAACGTTTTATATGCTCTCGCACTACTATGCGGATGGAAGGTGCAGAAAAGCATAAGATTCCAACGTGAAGTTCCAGCGCCGACAGAATCCAAATTGGGGTTGAAACCCAGATCTCATCATAGGTTGAAAAAAGGATATAGAGGTATCTGGTTTTAACGGCCCCGCAAGTGCAGATAAGAAGGCCAAGAAGAAACATTCCCAGGACCCCAAGGCGTTGCTTTAGAGGTAGATCCAACTGCCACGCCAATGGGATTGGAATCAACATGATCCAAAAATCCAAGATAGTTGCGATGAGACTCCCAGTAAAAAGGATCATTTCACGGTTTGTGCAGTGGTACGGATAGTCAGGGTAAAATGATGGCGGATTGAAATCATACGCGGCTTTGACTGGGCTGTTACATTTAGTACAGAGAACGAAGGCATCTTCGGTAGGATCGATATATCACACGAACCTGCATCGAAATACTAGCGCAAATATGCACGCTACTGCCAACCCAGAGGTGACAAACATTGTAAAGTAAATGGTACACTTGTAAAATTGAGCCTTTGTATGGGTAACAAGGCGGCGGTAGAAGGCAAGAAACGATAGCCGGACAAATGTTGATGCCAGGGCGAAAAAAACAAAATCGACAGTAGTCATGATGTTTGCTGGTCTGAAATACTGTGGAGGTAAATTCCATGTATGCCTGTCGATTAAGTATTTCCATTTGGACAGCAGGACAATAATTGTGACTACTGTAGTCGGAACCTTCAATGAATTAGAAAGACAGGTCAAAGGATTCAACAGAATAGAAGTTGGGCTTACCATTGCGAGTATGATCAGGTAATCCTCAGCAAAGAACCGTCGAGATATTTTGAGTTTGTCATACAAACCCACGCTTAGAGCAACGGCTGCTAATGCGAAGAAAAGAAGAACAATCGTTGGCAGAGCTGGCCCTTTCGTCTCGGGGTTTGCGTAGTTTGGAGCTGGCCACCCAGCTACAATCTCGGGTGGGATTTCAATCATGCTTACCTCCCGGCCTGGTGGTTGAGGTACAGTCAAATGAACCTAGAGAGATAAAGTTGAGGTGAAGAGGACGTCATCTCCAAGCTTCCAGGGGAGATATGGCAAGGGTTGCGTGTGAAACCTGGTAGCCGGAGAAAGAAGCATAAAGGTAAAAGGATAAAAAAAAAACGCGTGTCTTGGATGAAAGGTCACGCTTTGCATATTCAAGAGGGGTAACTTTTTCATGACACTTGGATCTATGATGCCGAGGCCATGTTTGACCCACGGTGACCATGAACTCTACTGCGACATCTGCTGTGCAATCCACTCAATCCCCGTGTCCGAGGAGTAAACCCTAAAACACGGTTGAACCAAACTACCTGTTCCATGAATATTGGCCTCTCATCTCTCCTTGCCAAACTTTAACCCGCCTAGAACGCGGGCTTCCGATGCCGGCCCCCACTGTGCGTACTGGCAGCGTAGTAAACTTGGCTATAATAGAGATACTGCAAATTGCAATATAACAGATTAAGAGTCGTGTCAAAAGGACTCCCCCATAGTGCTTTTGCAGTGGACGCCCTACTATACTGTAAGTGGACTCGTGCCTATGGCGTCGCCAAAATGACGCAATTGATCTCCGTCAGGGATTTCCTTGGAGAAGGCGTATGCTGCCCACCTTCCTTCACCCATTCCTCCCGAATAAGTTCGCTATTGGGCTGACTAAAGGGCATGCAAGTACTCTACCTCGATCATCCTGCTGGGCTACGCCTGGGCTATCAACGACGCCGTTGTCATGAAGCGCCAGGCTGTTAGCGCCATCAACATGAGTATAGATAGGCCATATCAATGATTCCAGTACCAGTCAAGGACATACTAAACTGGATGTTGAGGCCAACAGTGGATCCTTCGGCGTGAACCCGGTCTACGTATGGGCCGCGGACCGTTTGTGACGTCTACCTTAGCTCCGGCCGAGTGCGTCATGTTGGACTACACGCTATAGCTGGATTTGTGAACTCTTGCGACATCAGAGGACCGGGTCTTTATTTTAAGAATACAGATTCCGCTTCTGATGCCCTTTTGGGGCCTCGGGGAATGATTTTAATGGACCCCGATTCCAGGTTCCAGCGCTGAATACATGCGCCAAGTCTATAGTTTGAATCCTGCAACCTACAGGCGCAAATTGCACGATGGTCTCTAACAAGAGGGGGCAGTCGCAAGATTCCATGATATAAATTGCACGACACTAGCAGCCAGCTGCAATTGACCCGGCCTTCTTCCCCGACAAATGAGAGACTCGTGTCTGCGATTCAATTGGTAATGAAGGACAAGCCCTCTGAGAAGGGCGTCGAGAGGCCTCTCTTCTATTTCATCTGTCCTGGCCAGCAGGATTTAGATATTGGAAAGCGAGCCTGTAAATTCTCCGACCGTGGAGGCTTTACCAAGCATATCAAGCGGAAGCATCTACATATCTCCACGCAATCAGAGATAAGGCGTAATGTCTGCGATGAGCTCTTCTCGTGCAGAATGCACCTCCAACGGCACGCATTTGATATGCATGAGACTGTGACATAAGGTCGCCGTCCACAACCACAGTCTCGTTATCAGTGAAGCGGATGCATTGCGCACCTCTTTGTGTCATACGCACATGTTTTTCTTGTATTATTATTCTCGAGTCGCATGCCAGGTCGGGACGAAAAGCTAGGCTCTTCATCAAGGGAATCTTTGGGTCAATTAGCGGGCTGATATCTCCATAAATCGTAATATTCGTTTCATCAAGCTTTCAATAAAAAGCCGCTTAGGGTGGTAAAAAGCAACAATCTTACTACATGCTATCGGACCGTCTTGGCGTTCAATTTGGCGAGTTGGATGCCAACGGTTACAGATACACTTTTCACAACTTGCCCGTGAACCATCAGTTCATTGGCTCATATCCTAGCCTTCGCGGGACCATCCCTCGGGAGCGGAACTGAAAGGGCAATGAGATCAGATTTACTTCGACAGTTGCGGACTCTTGCATGGGCTAGTCCTTTAAACTGGAGTGCCCTGCCAGGTACCTACCAAGAGGTTTGGGTAGTACATATGAATGGGTAGTAAAACACCTTTTGCCTCTGATTATCTTTCAAATCTTCATATCTAAGGTCTGCCTAAACATTGATATCCGTGCCATTCTTCTGATCATTTCGAAGCTCGTTATCTCGTCCACCTTTATCCATCATAATACTACCCAATTATCATGAGTAAGACATGTTGCCGCGGAGAACGAGAGCTTCGGACTAACTGACACCCAATATCATGCAATCCGGGGTGTTTGAATTCATTATCGGCAAAAACCGAAAGCGGTTCTCGATGCACGCTGCGTTGGCAAGTCTTTTTCCCAAGTAGATATTCAATTTCCCTATCAAGGAAGACGAGGATGAGGTTGACTTTGGTTGTTGCTGTGAATTCGTATATTGTGGTGATTGCTCCATTCCGTTGCCAACTTCCGAACTCCATTAAACAGATGACGACGAGCCCTTCTGGACTCCAATGAAACGTTGGAACCCTACGAACCTTTCCAAGAATGTTTTCCTCTCCGATATCAATTGATGATTGCAAATCTCACTTGATTGAAGAGCTTGGCTGGTCAACCTTGGACAGAAACGAAATGATGAGCCAACTGACACTACGGGACGATTACACGGAGGGCCTTTTGACTCATGCTAGGATGCATCGTGTTGTTCCCCGAACGGGCTGGACCTTACTACGCGTTCTGTCCCTATACTGGCTCACTCACTTGTTGGGAAATTTCACCCATGCTGAGGACCATACCCGGGATATTATGAGTATATTGAGATTTGTCCTTGTGGAAAGCGAACAAATAAAGGATATTCAGAAGCTGCTGTTTGTCTATGCGACGTGGAATGCGCAGGTTCTGATGCATAATGCTGACTTTCGAAACTCCTCCATTAGAACAAACAAACATCTTTCGCCTGATGTAGATGTAAATTTTATTTCGATAGGACTAGAGATATTGCGTACTGCCCTTATTCTAGATGAGGCTGTAAATATAATCTGTCCCTGTGTCATATGTCCCCCTTGCAGGCTATTGAGCACACATATAAAGATTACCACTCATGCTTTTCACTATTCATATTATATTTGGTTGCTCTTCTCCTATCAATTAATTGGCGCTGAACTTGGCCACCCTGGAAGTGTTATTACTCACCATCAGCAGTAAGTCAGATTCTCGACAACTTGTTCTGGCGTGTAAGGCAGATCATCTTAGCAAAGTAGAGTCAATACCCCTGGCCAATTCTGTGAGGCAGCGCATGGCATCGAGGTACACTTCCTTCCCTGGTATAAAGGTCCTGTCGCTGATTGTGGATAAAGACACCTCGCAAGAAATCAACAAAGTCCTGATATGCATTGCATGGTTGACATCGCTCATCGACAGTTCGCCTAAATATCTGCGAGCGAGATCGTTGTGCTCCTTATACGCATTGATTATTCGAGCGCGGCAGTCATCCGCATGATATTCACCTCTTATACGGGTCGTAGATGCCTGATAGAGTAATATTAGGAGCTCGTCTTCAAATGTCAGGATCTCGCGTATGGTAGATGGTGTTGATAACTGAAGGTGCGATGATTTCTCTTCTATATTGCGTTCGTCGGACACTAGATAAGTCTCACAGGCGAACCAATCCTTTTGCTCATTGCCGCGTAATATAAGCCACGACATTATGTGGTGATATAATGGGTCTTCTTCGAAATGTCGCTTCCAGAGAAACAAGACGGTTTTTGCGATAGCAAGACCACCAAAGGAATGAGCATTCCCAAACAACCGTTTTAACGACCCGTACAAAGCATGGAACGCTTGAACCTGTTTGCTGCGACTTTCGCTTGGGGTCTCGTCTGCAAACCCAACAAATTGCACATCAATTAGGCCTTCATATGGCTTTTCTAACACCCGTGAGATGAGGCTCGCAATTTGCCATGGTTCGTACTTGCCAATGTCCTCCTCTTTTCTTCCACCTTTTTTAAGACATAGCTTTCTTATTTCTTCTGCTGCTTCCGGAAGGGAAAACTGGTTCGTCAATTCCGAAAATGCTGCCACAAAGTGGTACATCAATAAGGCCCTGTATTCGGGCCTGCAATCCGCATTGTTCACGGCGCATGATGGATGAAATGATTGTAACACGACTGTGGGATGACCGTTGACAATAGAGATTTCCTTGCGCACTAGTTGATAATTTTCTTCTGGTAGCTCAATTTCTTTCAGCCATTCGTCGCAATATGCGTCACGGTGGCATCTCAATATGACTTTTGGTTACTTCGCTCTCAGGATTTGTGCGAGGACTTCATGACACTGTTTATCTTGCTCTGTTGCATTTTTATCAGGTCGATAAGAGAAAGCGTCTAGTACGGTGACAGTCTGTATGCTTCGGGCACCTTTGGTAGCAAAGCGAATGAGCTCGTCGACTGCTAACAGTGTTTTGGAACTTTTGACAAAGTCTTCGAAACTAACGTCGAATTTGTGGTTTCTTCTGTGGAGTGGACGTTCCAATATAACCACTATGTCAGAAAGGCCGGCTGCTAAGTTCTGCGCTTGAGTGATTTCGTCTTCGGATTGAATTAGAGCTTTGCCGAATTCCTCGAGTATCTCAATGGCTTCGTGATCTCCGCGGGTAGGAAGACACACCGGTGGAGCATGGACTAGGTCTTTCATCGACAGAGGAACAGGAATTTGGAGGCACGTTTGGATATCGTGAGGGCACATTTTTTCAAGATGTTCACTATCAAAATACACGCTCTGAGAGTCCCGGAGCCTACAATGCACAAGGACCGTAAATCTGTGTTCTTAGCAGGTAGCTGTCGAATCAGGTCATCCTGGTGTGTAATTATCACGGCTTTTGACCTGTTACCTAGCCACGTCCTTTCGAGTTGGGGGACCTTCTCGAGAATACCAGGCGCCGACGGTCACAAGGAATGGTTCATTGACCGATATATGCCTTCGCGAAATTGACAAATAACAGCGAAGAAAAGAAAAGACTTGTGGCTCTGCATAGGAAGGAAAAGAAACCAAACCTTGCCAAGTCTTACCCCGCCAGCCTGATCTTGATATCAAGAGTGCGACATCCCTGGGAGGTCGCTTGCCTTCGTGGTATATACTCTGTGTCTTATACAAACATATTTCCCGAAATGGCTTCACGCTGGCACTCCATCTACCAACCGCTGGATCCGTCTAGAACCTGAGATCCGGCTATTGAGGCTGCATCCCCGACCAACAGACATACATGGTGAAACACTGCAACTTACCAAGTTCACCACCTCGTTACAAAACCACATGAAAACCCATATTGCTCTCTCGTATGTGTGGGGTGAAGATACCCCGAACAAACTAATAACGATCAACGGCTATAACGTACCCGTGACTCGGAATCTATTGGACTCTCTGCGACATTACCGCGATGTGAAGGAAGCAAATAAAATGCAGGAGCGCACAGATATGTTCTTCTGGGTAGATGCTATCTGTATTAATCAGGAGGGCATTCCCGAGATAACCAGGCAGGTACGGAAGATATCGTTAATCTATCTTTGTGCGGATAAGGTGTTATCATGGTTAGGTGTGGATGCGGATGACAGCGACTACTTCATAGAAGTAATTGCTGATATAGCAGTCAAAATAGCTGCATCCATTGATAGGGACGACCCTCTTTCATGAATGGACCCTAGCTAGACCGAATTGTAGCAACTATACCTCCAAGATGATCAAAAAGACTACGCCGGGCTTGACTGTAGGGTCTGGAGTGGCGCTTTTGACCTGATGGCGCGCCAATATTGGAGCCGACCATGGTTTGTTCAAGAGACCGTTCTTGCATGGGAGGTCACGATACTCTGTGGCATGAGAGTCGCTCGTCTCCAAGACTTTGTCACTCTAGGAGCCTAGGCACATGGATCACGAGACTTCAGACATACCAGCCTCCATCGTTTGTTACCAAAAGGATCTGGTTGTTTCTTTCGGCGAGTTACACTCAGGAGCTAGTTGGATGAACACTGCTCATAAAGTACGGAATGTTGAGGCATTCGGTACAAGAGCTTGCAACCATAGAGGAACCCAAAACAGCAGATAGCTGGAAGGGTCTCCGCGTAGCCATAGGAGGAGCGCAGGCCCTTAGACCCTAGAGATAGGCTCTACAGTATGGTTGGTATTCTACACCATGGTGTCACTCCAGGCTATTCTACCTCGGTAGAGGAGGCATACTACAAATTGACAAGGATATCCCATGAGGCTGATAGTCATCTGCAAATACTATTATTTGCAGGTCACTGTCTCCTTGGGAGGAAACAGGTCGATCCGAGCACCATTTGTCCTTGCCATCGTGGGATCCAAATTGGGATTTACTATCGAAGGCATGCTCGTGGGCTCCAATTCCCGCTAAAATGGCGAATTTTTATGCGAGTGGATATGTACTAGACCCAGAATACACCACCATTCTCTTGATGGGAGTGGCTGCCTTTTTCAGAAAGCGAGGCGTGTAATGATTCTTTCGTGATTCAGGGCCGTGTCAACTTCCTTTGTCATTTCCAAATTCATGGAATCTTGCATTCGGTTGGGTTGGTGGGGTGGGTGGGTACCTAAGTACTAGTAGGTCGTATCGTGTCTATCTTCGCTCTGGCTCCTGGTCGATCACGCATGACTTCACCGTGCGTCGCCCCGCTTCTGGGAACAGGTGCAGAGATTTCCCTCTCTCACAACCTTTCCATTTGGGTGGAGGGTCCAGTAATTTCTGCAACATTATGTGGGGCCGGTTACTTGTTGGCTTTGACTGCCCCGTTCTTAGTACTAGTGCTTCGCCCCTCACTCACTGGAGTACCAACGGGGGCAATGTCTGCGTTGCTTTTATATTATACAACGCCACTGACGTGTACGTACGTATATAGTGAACTAGTGAACTATAGATACTTTTCCATCTGTGCGCCCGCGTCAATCCATCTCCTAATATATGGAGATACATATATATCTGGGTATCCTGTCAGCCACGAGGGTTTTACGATCAGAACTACCCAACTTTTCACATTGAACCTAAGCTAAACCGAATAACCAATAGACGTCAATTCACTATGCGTCCGAACCCCCCTGGCCAAGAAAAACTCGAAGTGGTTTGCTCATCTTCCTTAATATAAGCCAAATCCTCTGGTAATGATTTAAGCTAACCATCCATCTAGACATTCGATATTCGGTATGATAGTCAATCGGTCTACGACACCTATAGTCCAGACTGGAAAATACGAAATGCGTAATTTCCACCTTCCTTTGTATGTTAATGTTTGAATACTAATGTGCTTCGACAGTATATGTATGCTCTACTGTCAATATGGCATACGCTTGCCTGAAAGGATAGAACGCCAGGTCCTGTACAAAGAGCCGGTCATAAGAGAATATGTTATGTGTGTATTCGCAGAGCCCCTCTCATTATATATCATTGTTTATAAATTTCGGACATGAATAGGTAAACCTAGCTAATACTTGCTTTTACTAGGTGGATTATGCCAAAGGAAACACAACTCGATATCGAAGGCATGCAGAAAACGATTCCGAGACAGCGGAACCGCGATTACCAGTTCACAGCTAATATTAGTGCCGGTGTATATTGAACACCCGGTGTCAAAGTGTATGGGCTTGGCCTCTGGACCCAAATGGATGGAAACACATATTTATCCACTTTAGATGGCCTGCAGCATAATCTTGACGGTGGGACTTGAGATAGTTTCTCTGCGTCAAACATAGAAGTCAATTTTGAATATTGCTCTATCCGTGGCGGGAAGATAAGGCAGTGAGGGTTTTGTGGGCATTCGAGTGAGTTAAACTACATAATCAATTTCCAACCATGGTGTGTAGAACCTTGAAAGCTTATAGCCTGTTTACTACCGTATGTAATATTGAACTACACCAAATATGCACATGCAGGCGCTAGTAACGCTAACGAATCGAAGTTTACAAGAAAATGGCAGATCTCTACGTGTATGTCCCAGTAGCTGAACTTGCGGTGGGGACAAGTTCTTCAGCTGAGCTGAGCTACCCCCACGACGAGCCGTCCGTAAGTTTCGTGTTATAATAGGCCAGTGTGGATCTCAGAGCGGAGAATTGTGGAGCAATGTCCAAGTGGACTTGCGGAGTCTGGGAGAGAAGGGGGAAGAATGATGGATCTACAGACTAGATGTTTGAATAGGAAAGGGAAGTACCACCGCTCCATCATCGATTGAAACTATTGCCTGTAGATCGAGTAAATATCTGGGAAGTGTTTATGCCGTGGTAGGCCCTTCGGATCGATCGAACACAAGAGTCATGTATAAATATCCGTAAATTACATCTGCCATTTCGAGCAAAAAGACTATTTACGTTCCAATATCGGGCGATTTTTTTTTTTCATAATGAAGGCTTCTATTCTTCTTCTTGCCGCCTCCGCTGGCCTTGCCCTAGCTCAACCTGCTTCACTCAGCGAGCGTGCCGATTCTGTCTGTCCCTCCAGCAACGGCAATCCTCTTGAGCCTACTCCTGCATGCTGCTTTACCATGCCATGGACTGCAGAACATTATCCTTACAGCGTCTGCATGGCCCGTAAGATGACCCCCTAGTCACATGAAAGATACTTAGTAAGGACCAACTCTTGCTAACCTGCACTGAACGAACAGCTTCGAGCTCAAACAATACTGCCGAATTCGAGGAAAGCTGCCGCAAAATCAAAGCTACTGCCCGACCACGGTGCTGCCCCAAATCTTTAATCGCCGCAAACGAGAATGAGAATATTGGCGATGACCTTCTCTGTTCAGACCCAAAGATTGTCGCTTAGAGCATTTGACTCATGTGGCTCAAGGGGAATGGTGATATATGGGATGGATGCCATCATATATTGACACAAATAAACAAGATGAGTTTTTCTTCACCGTCTCTCGGCTATGTAACAATTGTAAAAAGCATGCACCTCGCTATACACTTCCGCCGCGAAGGCTGATTAGCGATGTCCTCCATCCTGTCACTGAGCTTTTCTCATGAGTTATGAACACGGCGTATTATGGTGACAATATCCGGATTGTGCGGGAATGGGACAGTTGACAAAGGGTTAGGTGGTATTTCTGATCCTTCTGAGAAGCGGTAGCTGGTCAGTCGACAATGAGGTTGCGTCCAGACCATTATTATTTACATCATTTTAGATATCTTTGAAATGATCAAAGAAGGGCATACTAAAACCCAGGTAGGGCTTTGTCAGTGGACCTTGCTGTTTGGTCTTATCTAGCTTGATACTGAAATGTATTAACGACTGGTCTTTTTGCAGAGTCTGCATCGAACTAGGCTGGAAATTGAGCAAGATCCTGTATCTTCCATGCTGACATTTTCAGGTCCACAGCCTTCCATCAGGAAGACGTAGGTTTATTAATCATTATTAAACGATATATTATATAACTGTACAGCTAGGGTCGACTAAAGTTACTATGGATTTAGTTTGGAATAATATTGATTTATATCAATTTTTCGTATGAAATAGATGTTCGACCAATACATGTGGAGTAGAGCTGTACATTGAGGTTTACCAGCCTTTGTGAGGGACTAACCTGGCCGCTGTTAGGAAACTCTACAAAAGGCTTGAACCACGAAGGGGAAGACTAAAATCGCTCATATTGCTCAAACAGAAGGTATAAGAATACTTCCCTTCATGATTTGTCTGGCCTTGCCCCCAAGCTGTACCTCTCTCACCCTTCTCGCCCCGTCCTCTCCAACATCTAGCCTAACTTCGACTTCAATATCACTCTGCCGTCCCATCTCAACGCCCTGCGTCACTTGAAACTGGATTATTGTCTCGCTATACTGATGAAGTGCAAGATAGCTTGTCAATGCACACGCCGCTGACCCTGTGGCCGGATCTTCTATCTGATCCTCCACCATCCTCGTTCTCAGCTGAACCGTCCTTACGCCTGAGTCTGAGACACTCGTCCCTACAATGACATAATAGTACCGACCGATGAAGGTCTCGCTCCACTCTACATCAACCAGGTCGCGCACCGCACAAGGGAAGCCGCCTGGGTAGACCTGAGATAGCAGATCCAGACCCGGGAGGGGAACAAGAGCAAAGGTCATACCCTTCACGATGCTGAAAATAGGCGCTTGAAGCTCTGCGGAGCGAATCTCAGGCGTGGAATGCAGGCGGTCCGCACGGAGGGTCGACTCGATGTCGCCGAGTACCCTCGAGTTGAGATGGGTGTCGTGCGGAATCGCAGCGCTAACGAGCCCGTCTTCTGCATTGGAGCGGATGGGAATAGGGCCAGCCTTGGTGATGAGCTTGTTGATCCCCTGCGCCTGGAGGTAGCTGGCCGTGCCGATGGTGGGATGGCCGGCAAAGGGGAGCTCCGTGGTCGTAGTGAAAATGTCGACGCGACGGGTGTGCGGATCGGAGTCGTTGCTTGGGTCAACATCGTGTATGAAAACTGTTTCTGAGAGGTTGAATTCTTGGGCGATGGTCTGTTTCTGGACCTGAGAGAGCGGAGCCCCAGGAGGGAGGTGGACAACGCCCAGGGGGTTGCCCTTGAACGGTGTGGTGGTGAAGACGTCGAGGGTGACGAAGTTGAGATGTGTAGCCATTGTGGGTGGTTAAGTCAGGATTCAATATCTAAAGAGAGGGGGAAAAAAGGAACCAAGTAGCAAAGCGGATTAAATGACATCTTTATCTTAAATAGCGCCTTGTGAGTCATCGACACTAGTCAATACGGGCTAACTTTACTTTAATTTAGATACTAACCGTACTATGGAGCTATTCATTAGGTAATTAAAAAAATGGTATGAGGAACAGTGAAGCTTGACAGGAAACATATCCACTAGTTGAACTGCCATAAGTCAGAGCTTCCAGCAAGGACTTATGGTCTATCCTATTCCTAGGACTATGAATGGGAACGGCCTTGGCATGCGATGGGAGAATGACTGCAAGCCCGATAAACTGGCTCAAGCAGCTACGATTGCTTTTGTGCACAAAGTTAGTAAATGTCTTCACTATGGATATGACAGGGTAACAGCTATCATTCATATGTAATTTGTAGATTTCAATATAATTGCTATATAGGAATCCGTACCAGACTAAGCTTCACTGGTCCCGTGACTGCTGGATGACTCAGCGTTTCTGTGACCGCATCGTCGAAACCGAATCTCCTCTTGACATCTCAATACCAGGGCACACTTTGCCGATGCCTCCCAGAAAGAAACGTAAAATACCACCTGGGGAGAGAGTTGGGGAAGGACAGAGTTGTCAAAGGCTGTCCTCCCCTAGCAAGAAAAACAGATTATTCCGTTGCCAATTCTGTGCTAGAGAATTTCAACGGAATGAGCACTTGCAACGACATGAACGGCTACGTAAGAATTCCACTTCTTTAGTACTCAACCGATGCGAACATTCACTCACCTATTACAGACACGAAGGAAAAGCCCTTTGGCTGTACCGTCTGCCCAGAAACTTTTACCCGAAGGTAAAAGCAGATGCAGATACTCCTTACTAGTTGCTTGTACCTTTGGCTAAAAAGATGGCTGAACCAGTGACCTCCTAGCTCGTCATCTGCGCCTCTGCCATACTGTTGCTTCGACCAACCTAAATGGTTCCGGAACACCTTTGAATTATCGCAGCAAATCGCCAGAGTATGCTAGTTATGCTTCCGATGCTGCAAAAAGTGCATCGGCCCATATCCATACAGGACCAGATACGGCACTTACTGCCAACGACTCGGGTCATTCTTCGTCCATATTGCCGCCCTCCGACGCATGCTTGATTCCCGTCTCAGATGCATTTTGCTCGAGTTACTCGAGGACTCATGCGGATAATTCAATCGCAATGCCCGTAGAGGCTTCTTCCAACTCGTCACCGGCGCCGTGGGATCATTCGGCCCCTAATTTTGGTGACTTCGCCCACATTATTGACAATATGACCGTGCCATCACAATTGATCCATGATCAGCCAAGCTTGCCACTATCAACATTCTCTCTATTTGATGAGCCGAGCCGCCAGCCCTCCAACATTCATTGGCAATTTTCCAATACCACACCATCTGAATTACCAACAAGCTCCCAGGTCTCGCATTTATTCGACGAATTTTCATCGACTTTTCCTTCCTTTGAAACATCGCCGTTGGTGAAGACCTACCAGGAACCATGGAAAGTTACGCAACAACACTGGGACAAACTCTTTGATCAAGTCCAGTTCTTTATTCCTCTTATTCCGCCTGGATTTGTGCTACAGTCACGCCACACTTTGACTCGCTACCTCGGGACTTACTTCTCGGGCTTTCATCGTCATTTACCATTTCTTCATATCCCTACATTCTCACTGGAGAGGTCTCCAGTTGAATTAATACTAGCCATGGCGGTTATTGGAGCCCAGTCTAACTTTGAACATGATAATGCCAGGATGCTCTTTGAAACGTCTTATGCCATAATACAAGAACGTCTGCGCAAACGCAAAGCTGAGCTTCGCCATAGGTCATTCCCAATGGGAGATGAGACGTCGACTGAATTGCATCCCGGAGGTCAGCCTTGGATAGGAGGGCCTTCCTCTGTCCTAGAACTCCCACTAGACTCCTCCGCGAGCCAGGCTTGCATCCCCGAATTTCATCCACTACCTGCTGCACAAACACTGCTCTTGCTCATGGCAATGGCAACGTGGGGCAATTCAAAAGCCATCTACAACAAAGCTTTTGGTCTGCAAAACGCGATAGTCAACCTTGTGCGTGAGGAAGAATTTCTGAAGGTGCAAACCCAGATACCGCAAGGCATTACGTGGGATCTGTGGGTTCAAATAGAAGGATTCAAGAGGACAATCGCTATCATATACTGCTTTTTAAATTTCCACACAATAGTCAATGATACCCCGCCTCCGATTCGAACCTCAGAATTAACTATCGATCTACCTTCGCGTGAAGCAGACTGGGCGGCCCAAACTGAGAAGGAGTGGCAGGAAATCCGGAGTAGGTCCGAGCCTGAGCCACAATTTCAAGCCTATTTTACGAGCCTCTTCTTAGAGCCAAAGGAAGATAACGAAATCCTCAAAGGATATTCCTCACTCGGTGGATACACCCTCATATTGGCATTGATTCAACACATCTATTTCCTTCGCGAGTTGAGCAAATGCAGACCTGGCTCTGAACAAAGCCTTTCTCCTTCAGATGCGGCCAACGTGGAGCAAGCATTGAGGAATTGGCAGAGTGGATGGTATACAGATCCAGAATCCTCCCTCAGTCCAGGAAGCCCACATGGTCCAATTTCCTTCAACTCGACAGCTTTGCTTCGAATGGCCTATATTCGGTTGGTCGTGGATGTGGGTCCGTGGCGCGCTCTGAATACTCATAATCCCTACGAAATTGCGATGTCCATGCACCAAAGTCCCCCACTAACACCCTCTCCTAAATTGACACACGCAGTGCTATATGCTGCGCATGCACTCAGCATTCCGGTCAAGATTGGTGTCAGTATCGTGACACGTAGTCAGGCTTTCACTTGGTCCCTGCAGCATTCGCTCTGTGCGCTCGAGTGCGCTTTTGTTGTTAGCAAGTGGTTACTGGTCATGCAACAGCGGGTATCCGAGGTGCTCCTCAATAAGGAGGAAAAATCATTGATCGCTTACCTAGATGATATCGTGACAGAAGCAGGCCCTGGAATCTGTCCGGTGAGAGGCGGCGGGGAAACATCGCACCCTTTTGAATTGTGTGTGCGGGTCATCAAGCTTTGGGCCAAATTACTGAGCGGAGAAGCACACTGGGATGTAGTACGCATGATTGGGAAAGTGTTAGAAGCATATGGTTACATCTTAGAGAAGGAGCTCCTAGTGTAATCGATATCATTGAACAATATAATACCTTGATATGGTTGCATTGTAAATTTAGTAGTACCTTCCAAACAAGCTAACTAACTCTCCATGTCAAACTGTTGCTTATATTTATACTACAAACCTTGCAGAACGGTATATACCTATAACCGAAGTAGATAGATCAAGTCCCCCAAAATGCCAAGTCATGGCGCCTCCCCACTTCGATCAGCCACGAAAAAGCCCTAATGAGGGGCACGAGAATGAATATATTCTTGGCATTATGGGGGGGCATTTACCGTGCACACTTACGGAGTACGTATTCCTTGGTCCTTTTATGACGATACCCACGCGCTCTGGAATCATGACATACCCGATGATACTGTTGAAGACATATGGGCTGCTGTTTTCGCGTGCAGACGAGACCAAAACTGCCGCTAGAGCCTTATGGTCGTCAACACGATCAATGATGTAGGGCCAAGCTTTGAAGCTCCGAAAGGCCGAGCCACGATATTTGCGTGGGACCCAGGATTGAGCTAACAGTATGCAGTTTAGCTCCAAGTCTCCAAAAAGCCAAGACCATGGATCGCAGAACAGGCGGGCACATAAAACGTCCGCGAAGGCAGGCAGCCCTTGCGACTGTACCTACTCAGTATAGTATAGTGAGCTTAGCAACAACTTGAGTCATAGTGTTAGTGTCAGTACCTGTCAGAAAACATAAATAGCGCTGCTTTCGGCCAACTTCCCACCAACTTCCCATTCTTATCAACGTCAACGTTTTCTACTTCAACATGTCCTCCCCATCACCTGTGGATGCACCATCCCATGTACTACAGTTCCTATCAAGACTCCATAGGGTGTCGCTGGAGCAGGAGGCTGCCATTGATAAAACTGGCAAGGTCTTCTCGGCCAAGGTCATAGGCGACTTCGAGGACAAGCTCCCCGAGAAGGATGCGACGGCCGAGTTCGATAAGCTCATGCTCGATAAATTCATCGCCCTTGATGAGGACAAGTGTCAGTTTGTATATCAGTTAATTAACGCGATGAGAGCCACCAACGTCGTGGAGGCGGGAACCAGTTTCGGTGTCAGTACTATTTATCTGGCCCTCGCGGTCGCTAAGACGAAGGCTGCGACAGGAAAGCCTGGTGTGGTCATCGCGACTGAAAAGGAGCCGGAGAAAGCAAAGATGGCAAGGGACTATTGGAAGCAGTGTGGTGCCGCGGTGGAAAATGTGATTGATCTTCGCGAGGGAGACCTCCTCGAAACGCTGAAGGAGAACCTGCCAGAAGTCGACTTACTCTTACTGGACAGTAAGTATACCCATCTCCACATAGTCCTATGCTTAACATCGCCGGGAAATAACTGATCGTCTTCGACCAGTCTGGTCCAAACTCGCCCTCCCAACACTCAAAACAGTCCAGCCACGCTTTCGACACGGTGCTGTGGTCCTTACCGACAACACTATCTCGGGTGCTCAGGGATATGCGGACTTGTTGGCTTACCTCAGAGAACCAAGTAATGGCTTCCGCAACATGACTTTGCCATTCACAAATGGCTTTGAGATGAGTGTTTACCTACCAGAGAGCAAATAAGCTACCACCACTTAATGCATGCTTCTCTGTCTTTTAGACATTAGCAATGGTGCCTTTTACCCTTGATTACCAACAAATGTATATACTTATGCCACAAACGTTAGATACTTGATGTCCTGTCTTTGGACATATACCACGGTAGGGCTTCCTATAGTCACGCGGGTTCCGCCCTGACAGCTATTGAGGAGTCTGGACGAATACCACTCAAGTCCCATGCTATAACGGACCTTTTTTAGCCAATATCCCTTATACAAACGTGTTCAGACAATCCAAAGTCCAATATAAAACTTCCTCCCGATTCAAATACCACCGTTTGTTGTAGAAGACATCACGTGACGTTCCTTCACAGCGTCTGTCCTGTATGTATTGTGCAAATAGTCCCAGCGGATTTCCAATGTACCCTCAAGAATAAATACATATAGTAGTTCAATATAGCAAGTATTGTCTAACGTAGTTATCTCTAAAAAATATACCCGGCGGACGCGAAGCATTTCTGTTGTTTGTTATGTCGACGTGAATATATGGTATTAAGGAAGTGAATTATGTACAGGGCGAAAACTACTCGTCTATCTAATTACATATTATTAAATTCCCATCATATCCAGCACACTGGAGGTATAATTCCACAGTGGCGTCGAGTAATCTGTACAGAAAGTATACCCGGTATAATACGTGCTCTGCTGCCCCTGCAAAGCATATAGCTTTTTATAGAACCCATCTCTCACATCATCGACAGACACCATTAAGGTTTCAGGTGAATGTGATGCAAATGCTGCAATTTCAGGCTCTTTAGTGTCAAAGGTGCCAGCCTCTCCCATGCGTTGCAGGTCAGACTTGATCAGCTGTTTCGCATCCTCAGCGGTGAAATCTGCTTCGGCCACAATCTTAACCATGTAGTATCCTGGGAGACCGGAGTTCTCCAACGCCCAGATGAATGGAGGCAGAGGGAGGCTGCCGGGTTGGTTATCGGGGTTGGTGTTGGCGACGTTGATACCAGGGGGGATACCGGTGTTGGTGATGGCAGCGGCGTAATAGTTCTTGTGGGTCCATTTGGAAAACAGTGACGATTCATCAGTACGAAGATCAAACCCCTGCAGGCTGGAGAGAGTAGGCGGAAATGTGACTAGGAGTTTCTTTGCTCTGATGAGTTTCCGGCGCCCATCAGCACTTTCGACAACTAACTCGACACCGGTGGAGTTACGTGTGGCCTGCGAGACGGTTGTTTCGTAGAAGATATTTTGCTCGTCGATATAGTTGGCGGCCTTGTCGAATAGCACGTCCGTGCCGTTCTTGGGTCGAATGTACCCGCCTTGCAGTAGCGCATCGATTTGAGGGATACCGAAGTTCTGAATTACGTAGAGCAATGGGGTTTCGAGGAGGTTTCCCACATTCTCTGCAAATGTGAAGATCACTTCCAAGGCACCTTGTATAGCGTGGCTCTCGACGAATTCCCGGAATGGGCGGAGAAGGACTTCGGGGACCTCGTCAGGAAGGTAATAGGCACCGGTGGCGAGATAGTTGAATTGCTCGATGGAGGCACGGTATAAAGCGGCTCCAGCGACGGTTCCTAGAATACCAGCTCCGGGAAGGACCCGTTTGCCCGTGTTAAAGTTGATATGTTCCGTGATGATTGAGCCAGGAAGGAGAGGTTCGTAGTCGACATCCAGCTGGGCAAAATAGTCCTTGGTAAGCTCATTGTTGAAAAATCCCTCTATCCCATAATTAACGTATTTCCCATTCGGCAGATACAGCGTTTCAGCGTGACCCCCTAAGCGAGCCTTTTGCTCGACCAGCGCCACGCTGTGTCCTCGTTCCCTCAATTGGACAGCAGCGTATGTGCCCGTGGAACCACCTCCAAGGATGGCGACATCCCGGGTGATGATATCCTCCGCTTGGAACTCAGACTCAGCGGTGGGAATCCCAGCAATGGGAGTTACCAGGCCAAACACACTGACTAACCAAAGTCGCAAACGCATGGTGTAAAATGTTTCTCCGCTAGACTTCCATCTTGTTGATGGGACGGCGCCATGCTGTTTTTATTTTCACCCCTGACGAACCTAACATTCCGTGCGTCATGGTCTCACTCCACATCGCGAGCATGAACTTGGTATTTGAGTTCGATAGTCGAGAGATCTTCTATTTGGTTAAACCTAGAGGGGTAGTGATCAGCAGTGCTGTCCAAGACGAAGCTATCCTGCGATTCCTCTCACGAATCGTGTCTTCCGATAGATCCGAAATTACCCTTAAGTGGGTCAGTCCGATCGGTTCCTGCATACGATGTGCCACGTACCAAAAATAAATCGAAATGCACTGGTACGCTTGGCATTTTGTTTGGTAAGGGTTTGACTACACCGTATACAAAATGCTATACTGAGTACGTTGACCATTCTATTGGTCTCATTATTACACTTCAACTGGTTGGAATGAAGGGCTAATTCAACAGTGGCAGAGACCCACAGTCCAGTTCAACACAACCACCGCACCGGATCCATATCGGCTCTTGCCTGCCCCACTGAACTCAGCCGAACATGTTTTCTTTCCACCTATTACTAGTGAAAGATGGTGTGATTGGTCCAAGGAAGCATGATCATAACATATGGTCTACCCCTTGACCCCAGCTTCAGTACCAAGTCTGAAACTGAACCGCATATGCTGAATGCACGTCGTTTGAAGTTCAGATGAGCTTAAAGTCAAATAATTTATTTCGGATATTGTGGCCTGCGGCATCGATGGGTTGTTGATCAGTAGGTATGCTTAGACAACACCTGTTCCTTTATCCTGGAAGAAACTTAACATTTTTTCCTTGTCCTTGGGGCAGCAAACGGATAATCGTCCTCCCCTTGACTTTATCGACATATACACTGGTATGAAGCTCTTGGTTGGTAGGGCTAAGAACTATGCATCTTTAAAAAAGCAAGGGTCTGGTTTAGAGGAAGTTGATATCCCTATCCCCTCGCCAGGTGGAAGTAGTCAAAACTGGCATAACAAGATTACCAAAAGTCTTAATACTATAATACTATTGATTCTATTGGTAGTCACCGAAATGAGACAAAGGGAAGATCACCAGTGGTATAGCGCCTAGAGGAAAATGTATACTTCTCATATCGGATACTACATCTACTAGCAGCCCAACCATGATCAATCACTAGTAGCATAAAATAGAGCTAGACTCCCGCTACCCTCCTTGAAGTTCTATCAAGCAAGCCTCATGTGACATTCTATGCAGAATTGCTTGTATTGTCTTCACTAGGGCGTTCGCTTCCTATCACGGTAGCATCAAGACCACTTCCAGTCAAATGCATCTTCCCATATGAACCCTGGAGGACTAGGAAAGCTATTCAGCAATTCTGCCCATAACTCGGTAATATCTTGGCCCGCAGGAGTGCTGGCCCGATGTTCAGGAGCACACGCAAAGTTATCCGCCGACGTAAAAGGCATATGGGCATGTTCCAATGGGTCATCTGCTCGCGCAGTGGACGCTGTTTGCCTTCCTGGGATCTCGGTCTCTTCAGATGAGAGGGGTTGTGTCGGAAGCCCGACACTATCAAGTGGCGTTGAAAGCAACGTGGGACAAGAATGGTTACCATTCGCATTCACAGATGGACATGGCTTCTGAATGATACCTATTAATTGGTCGAGGGCTCGGATCATGCTGTTTGTAGACTTTTCTAAGGATGTCTGCTTTCCTCTCAGCATTTCACACGCGCGAATCAAACTCTTCTTTCTGTCCTGCGCACGAGGCTCATCGCTATCCCGCATAATATCGATGGTTAAGAGAAGCAGGGCACCAAAAGAGTGCTGGTCTATACTGTGTGAATGGAAATAAAGGCAAAGATCTTCCGGCTCGACTCTACGACGAATATTTAATAACTTCTCGGCGCAGCGTATTCCAAGATTGACCAGATCGGAACACGATGGATGGTTCTCTCGGCGAATAAGAAGTGGCCTTAGCAGACGGCCAACTCGTGAGTATAGCCCAAACAATAGCACATGCCTTTGCCGGAGAATATAGGGGCGGCGGGCAGCCAATACCGTTGCTTCATCTGTGTTTTCTTCACCCATCTGGAAGAACCATGGCAGGCTTGCTTCGAATGAGTTAAAACGGGCGACAATCCGGCGGATTTGTTCGTGATCTGGTATATCTGTTCGTTGGTAGACGTTTTGCATAGAATCTATCATATTTCGACATAGCTCAGCGAGCTTAATACGTTGGATGAAAAATGACATTGATGTTGGCTGGTCCTCGGGTAGAGAAGTGGGGGATGGTTCCCCTGCACGAATATCGGTATCGTCTATGTTGAGGGGATATTTGACCGCCATGAGCTTTGGGTTGATGCTATATAGTCCCTCCTGGCTTCCTGGGACACTGGCAACAAGCCTCGAGGCGCATAATTAGTATTAACCAACGTGCAATTGAGATGAAGGGATCGAACACACCAGTCAGTAGACGCGAGGTGCCACCAGAGACGGCGCTTGAGTTCAGTTCCAATAACATCATCATTTTCTGCTGGAGGGTGCGCGTCAAGGCGATGGATCTTCAATTGAATCGCCTTCGTATGTGCGATACTTCTTAGGGCATGAAACATGGATGATTGGCCTTCCGTGTCCCATATTAAATATGTCATGATCGATATTGTCTGCAGAGATACTAGTGAGGACGAGCGCACCACATCTGGCTGCAATACTTCAAATATAACTGCCTCCTTCCATGCATTGTGCCACTGCGATGCATTCTTCAGTTGGTCAGAGATTGAGTGAGGGTGAGAGTGTGAATGGCAGACATAAAATGTACTGGATGCGAAGATGGATAGGAAGAAGGCAATCGTTTCATCTAGCCCCATGTTTGATCCCATTAGTTCATTATATATAGCCTCCAGAAGGGCACGCGTGGATGGAACATGAATCTCGCGGTGCAGACAGTCTGATGTCTGAACGTAATGTTCGAAGAGCAGTCGAGCAAGATGAATATCAGGCAGAAGACTTCTCAAATTTCTCCACTTGATATTATTCCCTGTATCAATAGCTGGCAAGTCATGACCCTGGAGTGCTTCGGGTGCTGCCTCTTTAAAAGCCTTGTTGTCATTCAAAGGGATAAATTTGGAATCACTCATAGATATCCCCCGTGCTGGTTGGTGTCGTCGAAAGCTCGGCTCGGTGGCAGAATGTGGATCGGAAGCAATGGCCTCAATATTGTCCCATGTCTTGAGACCATCTGCTCCATGGTAGCTTTCTGTTAGATCACAAGATGGGGGATTAGATTGGGGCGTTCTGTGGAACTGCTGTCCTGGCCCAGGGGTGGAAAGGAGAACGCTTTCTACTCTCTTCAGACGATCGTTGATTTCCCGAACAGTTCTTGGACGCGCGTCTTAGTAATGACTTACTATAGCGTTAGGGTCTCGCACCGTTCCAGGGATACAAGCTTGTCATCTAGGAGAGGACTATCGTGTTGCTTCTGAGTTGGGTCCTTGTTCGAATCTAAGAAGGACTGTGCAGGTTTAATCACTTCTGAAGGGCGTTAACAGTCTCGCATCAGACGCAATCAAACGGAGCAGGCACAGAGTTGGAGGATAGCATATCTTACTTGAAGCATATTGGCATGCAAAGCCTCTGGAAGCACAGTTATAACACGGCTTCTTCCTGTCGCATCGAAGCTTTTTCAAACGGCAGAACTCACAGGACACGGGTTGCTGCCAAGCACTGCGCTTGGGAACTGGTCCGGCTTCTGAAGCTGAACGCTTCAGGACATTGAGGGTGTTTTGAGTATGCATTTTCTGGCTCTCTCGAGCAGAGATACGATGGATTGACTTGAAGTCACAACGGTAACGGTATGACTGTCACTGTTTGGGTAGCTCGCGCCGTGATTGGCCCACTCGGACCTCCGCGGGGCTCCACAATGCCTTCACGCCCTACCAAATAATACCAGTTGGTTCAGTGAGAGGCATAAACAATTAAATTATGAGTCAATGGAATCGGCTTTTTGCAGACCGAGTTAGATGGAATCGTCGGAGTCTGTCCTGTTCCTTCGTGTATCTATAAGTACCAATTCAACTCAGTCCTTGATCGCTGGACTTGAAAAGCTTTAATAAATACATTCGTCTTACCTGCTTCAATTTCCTTCGTACACTATTTTGTTTGGTAAACTCCCAGTGCATATTCAGAGCTAACATTGAAAAAGGTTCTTTGCTTATACCCTGTTTTAACGTTTGCCGACTGCAAGGATGGCCGAGAGACATCACTCAACTAGAGCAAGTCAGGATGCGGGAGAGAAACGACCACCCTTTGACTGCGCTAAAGTAAATGAACCTCAGGCATTTCCTGATGGTGGCTTACGGGCTTGGCTGGTGGTTCTTGGGGCCTTCTTTGGTCTTTTTATTAGTTTTGGCTGGACAAATTGTATGAACCCAAAGCAACACCCCCGCGGAGAAATACAGAAGATTAACCCTTCATCGCACAGGTGTCGGCGTGTTTCAGGCCTATTATCAGACTCATCAGTTACAGTCAAAATCCCCAAGTACAGTGTCGTGGATCCCTGCAACATCAATGTTCGTGATTTTTATTACTGTGAGTGAAAGGCTCACCGATAGATGAAATGTCTACACCCGATTCTTAGACTTTTCAACTGACATTGACACCCCCAAACAGGGACCTGTGGTTGGAGGGCTATATGACAATTTTGGGCCGCGTTACCTCCTCTTGATAGGGGCCGTCCTACATGTTTTCGGTCTCATGATGACTTCCATTTCATCCCAGTACTACCAATTTATCCTTGCCCAAGCTATATGCAGTCCCATTGGCGCGGGCATGGTCATGTATCCTTGCTTCAGCTGTGTCACAACATGGTTCATGAAGAAGCGTGCTTTGGTCATGGGTATAGTTGCCAGCGGATCGAGCCTCGGTGGCGTGGTTCTACCTATCCTAGTAGATCGTTTGATGCCTCAAATAGGTTTCGCGTGGACTATGCGCACATGCGCCTTTTTGATGTTGGCGCTACTCATCGTGACAAATCTCACCGTGAGGCCAAGGCTACCTTCGCAACCCAAAAGCACCGGTATAATGGCATTTATCCGGCCTTTCAAAGACCTTCCCTTTGTTTTAACAGCACTTGCCAGTTTCTTCTATTCGATGGGGATGTTCATACCGATCACATTTATGGTGACCTACGGCAAATATCGGGGCATGTCGGTTGAGCTTGCCGGGTATTTGGTACCGATTTTCAATGCGGCGAGGTATGTACACACTACACAACATCGTCATCGGCCTTATAGATCGGAATCCGGTTAACCAGGCAGTAATAGTGGTATCGGCCGTATTCTTCCTGGATATGCAGCGGATAGGCTAGGCAACTACAATGTTTCTCTCTGTGCGGCAAGTCTCTCGAGTATCTTCGTACTGGCTTTGTGGCTCCCTGGAAAATCCCAAGCGACGGCAATTGCATTTGCTGCTCTCTTCGGTCTAAGCTCTGGCACCTATACAGCCATTAGCCCGGCTCTGGTAGCACAGATTTCCGATATACGGGAGATTGGCACCCGATCGGGTACGATGTATGCTTGCATGTCCGTGGCAGCATTGACAGGGAGCCCTATCGGAGGCGCTCTCATCTCGGCTGCCCGGGGAAGCTACTGGAAACTGCAGGCTTTCACGGGGACAATGTTGGCGGTGGGAACCATTTTTTATATTACAGCCCGGGTGCATTTGGCCAAAGGCAAGCTGTGGATAAAGGTATAACTTTTGTGTTTGAAAATACACAACTGTTGCAGGTGACATGACATATATACTATGGCTTCAACACCTTAAAATGGATATCACTCGATAGATTTATAGAATAGATAGGGACGGATTTTAAGAATATTATTAGGGAGATAACAGATACCTGTAGTCCCATAATCAAATCCATAGAGACACATTATGAAGCAATTCTGGCGACGGACCCCAGAATGCCTACGGCAGACTAAATCGAGGGGCTGACATTTTGCCTAGGTCATGCTGCTCATAACAAGTGAGTTGCGAGAATGACAATATCCTTGTACATAAAAACTGATGTGCTTTTATTCCCGTCTCTGTGGTTCGGCGATTGCGCATATTTTTATGCGGGCCGGACGATTTAATCCGGATTTACTCTACTAGCTTAGTAGGCAGTCAAGTCAAGTGACATAAAGCCAGCATTTCTCTCATCCCTCAGCTGTCTCAATCTAATCCACAACTGCTGGCACGCGATAAAATCAATTTTCCTATAAATCTCGTCTCTCTGCACTGTTGCATTCGCTGCTCTTGTCAAAGCCAAATTAGTTGACCTAGCTCTCTCTTTACTTGGCTCTTCTATTATATAGTTAAATTAGAAATAAATCTTTCTTTCATCTTCAATAGGTGGACTTGTCTTACTTGGCCGCGGCCAAGGAACCACCTCTTCACTGCTGGTGTTTCATAGAACTATGGCCTCGGCCAGATAAAGCTTCTCGGTACCTCTAGCCATATCCTTTCCTTTTACTTAATGCATGATAAGCCATAGGAAGATCCTTGGCCTTCCAAAATCGGCGTGTCACAATCATGCTCCCTCTCTAGGGCATATAACTGTACCATGCGAGCAACAGATTGATTCCCGGCTTTACTTCGGGTTAAATAAGTTCACTGCTTCGAAACTTCCAAGCCAGAAATTGTGGAGGTTGACAAGTAATAAATTACCGAGCTCAATTATCTCCTCAGTAATAGAACAGGGTTATTTATCTTGTGTCTCAAGTATCCAGTTTGAAACATGATGGGGGAAGTTCCTATTGGTTATGAGATGTTCCTAAACATACACTATTCGCAGGTATGCATATACGGGGTTCACAATGGTGATTTCCTGCGTTGTATGGATACAAAGACAAGACTTCATTATTTGTATGGAATTTGCGCTATAACATTGATAGGATATACCCATGACGTATATTTCTAGACGTAGAAGTGGATATGTATATTGCGTGGTGATAATTTACCTGACCATTCTGATGAGTCGTGATTAGGTGAACATAAACTGTTTCGAGGCGAATTGAATAAGATAAATCCACCGAAAAGGCTTTGATATTAGCTTATGGGAGAGCTTCTAGTCTATGGCCAAGCCAATACATTACATTCTGCAAAATAGGCCTAGATCGGGCTCGCTGTATTACATTTTCCATGTATTCCACCCGGTGGGGTCAATAGTGTCATCCTCCCAATGTGGAGAGTCAGTCTCTTTCTGAGATCGGATAATCCACTCCCAGCAGCCATCACCATCGTCTGAGATGCCCCAAGCGCCATGCTTCTCATTCGTACTATCCGTGTCGCCTATCAGAATTAGCGTCTGTCGACCAAGGCTCAGGGTGCACGGGGCAAGGTAGACTCACAGGAATCTACGGCAGACATGAACTTCTTTTTACATTCGGATCCAGTGGGGGGATCATAAATGCTGCTTAAGGGGGTACATCCGGATTGGTTCTCAGCAGGCCGAACCGTCATTTGAATATAGTGATCACCGATTGGAATCGTATAACCCGTTGTCGCAAACGCTATAGCACCCGTTCTAACGCCACGAGTCCCACAGAATGAGTCGATTGCTTCTTCAAACTTACTGCGCGGTAGGGCAATGTCACTGGCTCCCATATGGTCTCTTCGGCACATTCTAGTATTTCCTGTGCCATACGGGTGCCAGGACAATTTAACAGGCCCCACTTTAATACTTCCACCATATGTAGAGGTATCAGCCTTGTTGTTGCCACAGCCATCAATGGTCTTCAAGAAGTTTTTCTTGCAGATTCTGTTGGGGATAGGGTTAGTGCATAGACCACGTGAGAGGAGATTAGGGGGTAGGTTATATATGCATGGGAGCTACAACTGACTCTTCAGACATTGGGCGGATCACATCTTCCTCAGTTTCCGCTTCATCAACCTCATAGCTAATCCAGTTGGATGACGTGCCCCCGGAGTTTAACCTCGGCAGTTGTTGCGATACATCCTTCCCCGGAGGAAGATTGAAGCTCGGCACATTCTTGCAAAATTGCTCTACTCCCTTTAGAATATCATCGCGCAGCACACGTCGCTTGCTATCCTTATATGAAAAGCATTTAGGTGATTCTGTACTAACACCCAGAGAATCACCGGTCGTGTGTTTCGGCTTGGATGCTGTACACGATTCCGTTGGTCTGTTGACAAAGGGCGGGTATTTGGTCCCTTCCTCCTTGGCCCTGGCCTGAGACATCATGTTGAAGATCTTGTTGGCAATGAAATAGTTCGTGATAGGCGTAGGATGAAACCATTCCGCGATTATGTCTGGGATAAGTGACCGGTCCTGGTGCTCGTCGGAGTCAGATACAGGCTGCGGAGGAAGTGGATTTGAGAACCACATGGAATACCAGCGTCGTTTCCAGAGTATGGTTTCAATATTTAGTGCATGATATTCGTCCACACCCTCATCGCAGAACCGGCCTAACAGCCCCTGGGAATCATCTTCATAGTCCAGGAACGTGTATCCAGCTGCTGTGACCCATTTCTCTAACTTTGCATTGAGAGAAAGCACTAGATCGTTCATCTGGGTCCGGAGCTCTTGCGTGAGATATTGGTGGTGCTCGCCGAAGTTTGCCACTGACCAGGTAACATTATTGCAAGCTGTGGTTTCATTGTTGAAAAATGTTCCATAGCCAGTATAGTAAATGGATCCACTCGATGACAAGTGTTTTCCTGCTTCCTTCAGCAGCTTGTGGATATTGTCCTCAAACTCCTGGCTCTGTAGTACATCGTGTGCGTGATCCAATGACTCGGAGCAATGGGTTTCTGTGATAATTGACACCTGGTAGATGCAGTTTTGGACGATATCAGAAAAGCCTAGGTCATTCCCTAGGTTATACCATTAGTGAGAATGTATTGTGTGAGTAGGAGAAGGGAACCCACCACCTGCAGAAATGGTGATCAAGTCGTAATCCTTATCAAGTTTCTTGGCTTGCTCCCAGATTGCTGGCGATTCATCCCCTGAGCACGACAAATACGTAAACTCATGGGTGGCTCTGCCGCTCATGCGGACATCCCGGTTCATAATACTAGGGTACGACTGATCGTAACGACTGCAACTAGCGTCGCCGTCTCCTTTGAGTACCTCACCAGCTCCAATGCCAGCTGAATACGAGTCGCCAATAGCTGCAAACTTTTTGATGTCGGAGAAATCATCGTTCCTCATGTTGACGAATTCACCATGGCCATCTGACCTGCCGGCCTTGTTGTCTCGCAGGATATGAGGAATAGCATGACCAAGAGATAGTGAAGAAGGGAGGGTTACTAGCAACAAGGCTAACCAGGTGCGGTTTGCCATCGTGGAAGAAGATAACGAAAATGTATACACAGAGTAGCTTGTCTATACAACCGCTCTAGGGGGGTATCATGTCCTTATATACATTTGGATAGACAGTAATGTTTATAAATGTATATATAGAAATTTAAGATCAAAGATATAATCGTTGTTCTAGTTTCATTCCCAGCCTCAGCAGCAACGCAGACTCCGATGAAGTCTACTCTCTTGTGCCTGGATCGCTTACTCTACCGGCATACTTTCTACAGTAGGAAGCACGTGAGTTGGTGCACGGAGATTTAATGAGGCTGTAAAGCCAAGAGGCCTGTCATGCAGGAGAGGATCGCGGTCCAGACGAGCGCGCCAATGGTCTGACCCGCCCCCAAGCTAACGCTGCACACCCAACATTTTCCATAAGCGGATCCAACAGACTGCCAAGGCTTCAATTTCGGTTTATTTAGCACAGATGGGGATTGTAGCTCATGCTCATTAGCGAAGCCGTCTAGATCATAATCCTCCCTAATACTCGATTTACGTAAACCTGGATGTATCAGCCCTATGACATGATGGCGGTTCCAATCAACTGCTAGAAGTCAATCTCGCGCATTCCCTGAATGTCACCCCATATCATATACTAGTTTAGTACAGGGCTAAATTTGGACCACCAGTGAAGGGGCAGTGAATTGAGCCGCAGTCAGGCCTATCACTTCCCAGGGAAACACTTGGACGGGTTACCACCTCCTGTCCAAGTTGTAACCCAAGATGCTCCAGCTCTCGTGATACAACAATCCTGAGGCCAAGGTGAGCTCTCACAGCCAATACCCGCTGGTAGGAACTTATGCAACATTGGATCTAGCTTCAGGCGCCCAATGTCATACTAGACGGCGGAGTACGAGGAAATGGCGATGTGCTCGTGCCTCGGGGCGTTGAGGATGAAGATGAGGTCTCGTCAAATTTTCCCTGCCACAGGCATACGATAGATGTGGCGGATGCAAAGCCCCGATCCCTGGGGCTACTCGTGGGAGTAATCGGATAGTTCCAGTCTTAGGACTCGGTGATGCTGAAAAATGGTTTAAAACCTAAGGCTGGTTCCCTCCTTTGGTGGAAGGATAACAGGGAAAGCCACATTAAACCATCACTGCTGCCAGTTGGAGACAATCTAGAAGTCCTCCCCTTGCGGTTCCGGTTATCTGTGTCTTTTTCTTTCTATCACAAATCATAGCATTCATGGTATACCCCTCATCACCTGTGTTGTGATATAATTGCTTTGTCCGAGATATCTGTTTTCCCCTTGGCAAACTAAGGCACCCTCCATCATGTGGATGCTGAAGATCTTTCTGCTCGTTACCCTCTTCCTGGGATTCTCCACCGCCGTAGACCTACAGGTCTGGCGAGATACCGTTGTCAGATCTGAGAAAGTCGACGACGACATTGTTCTCTACAGTGCGAGAGCTACATTCAAGAGACAACTGAAGGATACACAGCTCGTTCAGCTAGCGAAGGATGCATATGATGCCATGCAGGGCGAAGCCGAGAAGGATAATATAGAGCCAAAGCTACGACCAAAAGTCATGGTGGCTCTTGCCGTCCACCAGGAAGTTTTCTTGACGTCGTCAGCGATGGGGCCCCCATTGCTGTACGACCGAACGACGAAAAGTGGCGACAAAGGCCAAACTCCGCAGGGGGCCCCTCCGGAGCTGATGAGGATGTTTAACCTCTGCAGCCAAAACTTCCTCGGTGGTGCCAAACATCAGTACGAGGCGTCATGTGGGGACATCAATGCATTTCTTGCGTATTCTGAACGGACCGGGAAAGATGTTCGAAATCTGGCGCAGGACGGAAGGCTAGTGGTATGGGGCGTGGGTGCCGATGAGGTTGGGGAAAAGGAAGCACATATCATGGAGTCATGCTATGATCAAAACGACTGGAAGTTCGGCTGTGACAAGGCTGTAAAGGAATTCTATGAAAAGATCAATGTGGTGAAGGATGTCGACCCAGAGCCCTACGACAAAGGGGATCTACAAGTCATTACCGCACAGCATCTTTGGCTTGCCGAACATACTTGCCCTCTACCCAAGGAGAAGGCCCTCACCGTTCAACAAGTCACCATTCCCAACCCAAACAAGAAAGGCGCTATATTTCTTGTCTATGGCACCCGCGTCACCTTCACAGATCCCCAAGAAGAAATTACGGACGCGCATATCGTAGCCCTGGCGCAAGCCGCGTTTAAATCGATGGCTGGCATGAAACCTCCCAAAAAAATCAGACAGCAGCCAACGGTCATGAGTGCACTGAAGGTTGACAATGAGGTGTTCCTTGCTTCCAGCATGAAGGGTGGTTTGGGCGCATACATATACACGGCATTTGAAGGCGAGCGTCCGGTCCCCCCTACTGGTCAAAATACGGGGGCAGAGGCTTACGGAGAATTTACCAACGTTCTGATCGAGAATGCACCGGACGTCCGGGATGCCTTGCAGGACTGCAGTATCAAAGCCGTGGATCAGTACGGCAAGAGGGATTGGGAATTCACAAACACAACGGCAGCTTCGATCACCGGTCAGGGGTTGATGAATACTAAGCAAAGTGGGGAGAGTCTTCTCCCACGGGGCCCCGACGAAAACATAATTCAACATCGATTCAATGCCAACTGTGGAGAGATCATGGTCTCTCTGGCGTATCGGATGGCCCACAAGAAGGAGACGGACAAGCTGAGACACTTGAAGCCGAAGCCCAAGATTGTTGCATGGGAAAAGGGCGAGGCAGAGGGAAACATCAAACCCGCTTGTGAGCATAGTCAGGGCAACAACGAGGAGGAGAAATGCGGCGAGGGTTGGGGTTGCGCGGCGTTTACCGGGGAAACGGGCATGGGTTTCGATGTGATCCGTGAAGTGAAGAAGGAGGATATGATTAGCCTGAGCGACCCAACCTTCCCGAAGTTCAAACAACACCCGGTAGAATTCCCCCGGCTGAAAGTTAAGAAGGAGACCTCGGGGCCTTCTGACGGCAAGAAGCACTGATGGCTAGCCTAAGGCATCATGAGATGGAGTGCAAGAGGCACAGGTACGTTACTGGAATGTAGAAGCTAGATGTGGAGGTAATTGTGGCGGTGCCTCGTATTTGATTTGTGAACATGTACCGAGATAAATATATGATATGTACTAGCCAGTTTTAGAGATTTTGAGTCGGACGGTGGACATCTCGACAGAATTAGATCGATCCTTGTCGTCTCAGGAGCACGAGCACGATAGAATTAGTGCTTACAACAACCCCACCGCCTTCAGCCGAAAGGCGGTGGGGTCGTTGTAAGCACTGATCTATCATATAAACCAGTAGTATCTCCACAACCACTCCTTGCGGATCTATAAATGCAGCCCCGTCTCCTGTCCGTCCGATGACTTTTGCCCCCTTTATAACCCACAAGCTACGGCGAATCCCCATTTGCGTTGTTCTGTCCAAAAGTCACTCTCATACCGTCAACCATACGGAATGGATGTAAATAGGTCGGGATCACACCAGGATGGGTACGGTCTCTGCATGGTGTTCTCCGACCTTGCTAATCAAATGTACTAAGGCCGTTCTCCAAGCTTCCCAAAGACTGTCTGGTAAATATTTTAGACCAGCTCTCTCTGAATGACAACTTAGCCATGTCCACCACATGCAAAGATCTTAGCACATCTTCGAAGCCATTTATATATCACAAGATCTCCCTGGACTGGACCACTCGACCTCTCCGGCGTCTTCTGCAATTACTCCGACGGATATTTCAGGACCCCGAGGCCGCATCCTACATACAGCATGTCAGCTTCCTATCCCTGGATTCGGAACCATGGCAGGATACCCAGCCAGAGATAAATTGGGAAGAGGAGTCGACGTCTTTTCAAGATGTGATTAGCCAGTCAATAGAGATTGTGCATCGTGCTCAGTTTCCCAATCCGGATACCTGGCACCTGCCTATCCAAGGTGGAAATATCTACTGTTTTGCAGCTATTTTTATTTCTCAGCTCCCGAATATAAAGTCGATTCGGCTAGATTATTCATTGGTATGGTGGGATGGATTCACCGGGATTATGCTGAAACAGGCCCTTCTCTCCCCGAATGGCATACTGTCGACATTCCAACATCTTGAGACAGTGGATTACGGGGCGAATGTGCCGATCGCTGAAAATGAAGATATGTATAGCAACAAATACCCCGACAGTTATCCTCCATACAATCCTGATCAGTTCATGGCTTGGTTCTGCTTACCGTCTTTGCGCTATCTCAGGATATGGCTTCGAGATATTGGAGAGCTGCAGGAAAGCAAATTTGATCTGGATCTCAGTAAACTAGAGACGTTGGTGCTCGCCCGCACTACAATTTCTGAAAAAGAGATAAACTTTCTTCTTTCCCGAACACCAAATCTAAAGAATCTACATCTTGGAATGGCGTATAGATATGGAACGCAGCTGGTACTAAACGACGCCCCGATGCTAGCGCAAGCCTTGGTATCTGTGAGCCAGACCGTGGAGCATCTTTCCCTGGGGATGGAGTATTACCCTTCAAATCTGGGCGATCGGTATTGGTATGAGGTGGATGATCATATCCGTGAGCCTTTTCTTAATATTCTGAACAAGTTTCCAAACCTTCAATCAGCAGAGATGCCGCTCTGCGTTCTTATGGGCTGGTATGTCGAAGATGCGGCGGAACTCGGCTCTCTATTGCCCAAGCCGCTCCGCAAGCTGGTTCTACGAGACGATATGATCAGCTTATATGACTTTGATTGGGAAGAGGATTATACGATTGACCTGCTCTATCGCTTCTTGCCCAATGTGCGCACCTACACTCCTTCTCTGGAGATGATAACCCTGCGTGTATGGGACCAGAATCACACCGACTACTATGATGAACAGGAAGAACAGTTGAGCCATGCTTGTGCAAAAGTGGGCCTAACGCTAGATGTGATTGTGGATGATCTGGGATCTGGTTTGTGGAGCAAAGACGTCGGCGCAGATGTGGAAAAAGATCTCGACACAGTCGGGTCTATGGATTGAAGATCATGATGCCTATTCCTTTCCGTTTGAGGTTTTGCATATAGGTGTCAGTTGACCCCTGTATTAGAAAGAAGAGAAAAGGACAAGAAATACCTCATGTTCTTCTACGATAACTTTCATTCATATAACTATATTGCCTGCCACTAAATATGATATGCCAGAAAGAAAATCATTTCTTGAGAGATGCTTTCTGAACTCCTGGCCCTAGTGTTGAGCATGGAAGTATCAGATTTGCAATGTACCATGGACAGCCTAGAAAAGGGGCGACTATAAGGCGAGTACAACCATACCCTACGTAGGCCACAGGTGATGTTAAATATATCACCATCTATATCGAATAGGCTGAGGCCTGAAAGGGAGACCGATTTTAGTCATCGACATATTCTGTTAAATAAGTATAGCTAGCGACATAAGATAATAAGCCGTGTCGTTATAACGCACAGTCCAGCCAATGCATTATTGACCTGTGCTAGCAGTGGCTGTATATATACACTGTGTACGGGCAATAATATTGTAAATCTTTACAGAAACTAAGGTAAGCTGAGGGAGGTAGAGGAGATGTATCAGCACGAATCGGCAGGCTATGCGGCTATACCACAAACACTGCGGGCTGTACACCTAGGACATAGCTGGTATACAAAATATTAATATGGGCATTAGGAGAATAGTTAGCTCTCAGCAACTTAAAATTATTGCTGGGACAGATCAATCCGACTGCCAAATACCCGGTGTATATAAATCCAGTATTGCTTTTTTTATTAAGCATTCTAATACTAAGGAAGTCTCGAGAAATCTATTAGCCTGATAACTAGACAAATATAATAAAATAGCAAACAGGCAGTACAATTCAGTGAATATACTCTATAAGATGATAGATAAAGTGCAGCACTAATATTCCTGGAGAATCTACCTTGCTAGTTACCGAAACCGGGATCAAGGTCTTAACTGCAGGACTGGAGCATTCTCCAGGAGGCCCAATCCCTATCTCTACACCCAACAACAGGAATACCACATAGTCAATTCCGTATATCACGGATTGAGCGACATAGCAGGGAAAGGGAGAGTTAGTCAGATACAACGGATAAAGGGAAATAGACATGTTTTAAGGCAACGCAGTACATAGGCTATATCGGATGACATCAGGAGCGCAAGACCTTCAGGAAGTCGGGCAGATACCGAACTGTCGGTCTACCCCGACAATCAAGGAATTGCTCACTAGTTGTTTACTAGAGACGACAAGGAACAAAATGAGAATTCGACGGTTATGACTATTTGGCAGGGACAACTCATGGCTTCCTATATTCGAATCTGGGTATACGATAACGATCATAGCCAGGGGGCAGAGGTAAAAGGTTATGGACATCATGGGGATGCAAATAAAAACAACAAATCTGCCACCCCTAGATCCCAACACCAAATATTCATAAACATCAAGCACAGTGGATCTTCCATCCCGTCACGCCAACCTCATCGATTTCGTTACAACCCCCCTGATACTCATTCGGAGGCAGTGCTTTGCCTGTGCAATTACCACCGGTATACAGCATCAATTCGGCGGTCTGGTTCTTGCATAGGTTCTCATTTTCGTTCAACCCCATCAGACGATACGCCCGCGTGTGCTCGGACTCAATCGACATACACATGTCCACTCCAGTGGCCGTAGTGTTTGATTCGGGTACGTCGCAGCCGCTGTCATAGAAGGTTTCCAGGTAGATGGGCTTCTTTTCTGGTACGTCTGGTACCCTGGGGCACTCTAACTCCCACGACTCATATATGAAATCAGTGATATTGGTCGGCTGGCATCCCGTGATATTAGAAGGGAAGCTCTGAGAATCTCCTGTACACCATGGGGAGGCATAGAGCCTGGCGACTGGCGCGGAGTTGTCTGGGCATTTCGGCACTCCTGGATCAATCTTGACGGAGTTGGTGTCATAACGAGTCAAAGTGAAACACCTGTCTAACACGGTGGCGGAATCACCAGAGCGAGGTTCTGTACACCGGGCATCTCGGAAAATCCCGAGTCTTGGTTTGCTTGCCGCCAAGGTGTAAGCTGCGTTGGCGGCGAGGAGGAGGATGGAAGCCTAGAGGGAATCCATGGATTGGACGGTTAGCTTCGGACGGTGGTTTCGTTGGGAACCTGTGATCAACAGATAGACGCCTTACCTTGAATTTGACCATGGCGAATAATGTGTGGTAACCTGATATGGTTGGTTGGTTGGTTTCTATACAGATGTTGTGGAAGCTGAGTTTTATGTAAGGTGTTGTTGGGATAGTTAGATCTATTTATGCCTTGGACAACTGAAAGGGGAACCATGCTACAAAATTAATTCTACGGGGACTGACACAGCTGCAAACATGATCTGCACCGACTGATATTTCAATAGTCTGCTATCCAAAAGCTGGGATGCAATAGTCAGCTCCACTCGCCCCAGATGCATGCCGATCATGTATTCACCGAACGGGCAAAGCTGCAGCAGATTCGTCCCCTGCGAGGCTCCACAGTGCGGCTAGTCACAATAGATCGGCATTGTGCAGAGTACGGAGTATTATTCGTCAAGGCGCAGGTGATCTGTCGACCTTTTCTGATCTCTCTGGATCCATGTTACACTACGATACTACAGAGTATGCAACAACAATATTATCCCGATGAACATATGGATTTACAGGACGCGGAATATAGTTCCGTCATGGATATGTTCCGGGATTGATGTACTGCTTTGGACTAGAGTGTCTTGGCATTAGCGCTTGGTGAGAGGGCCTATTATATACATTGCATCACCTTTTCCTGGCACTAGACTAGTGACACTTATCCAGACTGCCCAAGATCTAACCACTCCTAATCATACTCCGGAATGCTTCCCAACAACTGGCTCTCATGGAGTCTTACTCGGGCGAGGAGCACACCGCGCGTGCCATGATTCCACCTGGACCAAGGTCTGGTTTTTACTAAGCGGAGCACAGCCTTCAAAATTGTAAAAGGCGATGGCAGCGCCTTTACACTCCGCCTCGGGATACACACTGAGGATGGGAGCAGATCCGGAAGGACACTTGATCTCGCTTGCATCGGGGTCAAACGTAACTGGCCCCAGCTCGGACTTAGTTATACCGACACACAAATCGAAACTGCCAGTGCCGGTGCTGAAGGTTTCTGTTTCAGAAATAGCATCTATGTAGGCCGTCAACGAGTAATACCTGATGTTTGCAGGACTGAGAAGTCTAGAGATCGACGGACCCGCTCGGACTTGGCCGACAAAATAATTCGTTGGTACAGCCTGAGCTGATGATCTGTGGAGAAACTTCAGCCTCGTGAATGACACACATGGGGGATCTCGCTTAGGGAAGTGTTATGGTCAAGCGGCCAGAGAAGTAGGGATTGGCAGCGAGTGAAATTCTTATAGGGTACGGATACGCGTACAGCCCTGTATTCTGTGGGTACAGCCTAATCGGTCTACCAGAATTTATACATCATCTATAATAGTATAGTAATTATGTATTAAATTCTAGTAGTATATATTTATTCAACAATTAAATTGTTTGCTTCAGCTACACAGATTTCTATATAGAATTCTTGCCCGCCGCTTCGGGAGTTCCCGCTCTTCATTTATTCGCTCCTCAATCCAGGTCGTAAGCTCCTTTGGGCTGTCGAGGTTTAATGGCGCTTCTTAGCTTTCCACGGCCACCATAATGGTCTCGAAGGGCTAGGCTAGGAATGGCCCGGTCTTTGTCCCACCTTCAGGGACCGGGACCGAGACCACTGGCCACAGTTGATATCGGGTCGGGTTCAGATCCAAGATCTAGGACCTGCTCCTAAATTAGTAGTCATTCTTTACTCTGTATATTAAGCTAGTCTATCTATATAGATATATAATATACTATTTCTAAAAAAAGATATATCGAAAACACTTGTTTAGAAATACTACAAATACTCAGAAATAGTAGACATTTTATATAGTTCTATATAGACCTGTTACCTAAAAATACATATGTTCTGTATACAACAGCTGCCAAAAATCGAAGATCATTTTGCATACACTCGATTGTCCTAGCCTCCTCTACCAGTGGATGCACACAACCTGGGATTATATCTGGCTGCAATCGGTACTACACTGTTGTGGATGGGGATTCATGCGACCATATTGAAATACTGTATGGAATCACCTACGCTCAGCCGTATAGGTGAAATCCTGCCATTGGCTCGAACTGTCAGACTTTAGGAGTCGGGTATTCAGTTTGCGTCGGTATTCTCTCCTAGGTATATTATGTCATACACTTGAGAGAACCTGGGATTCTTGGGAAGCCGAAATTTTGCATAGAATGTTGTCTACAAGTACTCCATTTAAGCTTTCCAGCCTTAAACGCAGCCATGCCTTTGCTGCGCCAGCTCCGTCCTAATTCTAAGCGACAAGCAATTTATCCAGCAGCCTAGATAATAACCAGCTTCTCAACTTTACATGCGCTGGATTAGACCCTGAAAGAAATGTTGAGTTGGATTTATAGACGTGCTGCGCTAACATTCATCCGATCATATATTATTCTTCCTGTCGGTAAAATAAGAGTACGTTGCATGGAAATTCATGGTATAGTTTCGTAATTTTGACATATAAACGGGATCCAGTCTAGCTATCCACTATATTTTAAGTAAAAATCACATAAACTGTAGAATTATGCGTTACAATATTGTTGTCACATAATTCCCTCGCCCTTTGACCCCCTTGAACTACCTTTTCTACTCCTCCCCCAGTATCAACCACCACCGGACTCTCAATCAAACCCTCTCCCTAACTTAGGATGAACGCATTGAGATTGCTTCTTCTTAGCTTCCAGCAGCTCAGGCTCCCCATCCTACATAGCCTTCATTTTGTCCATCGTATCCCGGTCCAGATCGGTCGCACTTTATATCCCGTCAAACGCTAGTATTTCCACCCGGCACACACCACAATGAATTTTCCTTCCGACAATTTTCGGCCTGATGAGCCATCCAAACGAGACCCTACTATCGACGCATACTCTAGCCAAGCCGACCAACTTGAAAGGCTCCTACAGCAGCACGGATTCAAAATCCGGGGGCTTGTAGTTTATCGTTACACATATCAAAGCGATTCCGACTGGGAAAAGTCCATGACTCGGTTTCTCTACCATGTTACCAAATCGCTTGAGTACTACAACGGCCTTGACCTATTAGAAAGCTTAGCCCCTACGGTCGTCGAAGACGAATCTTTTAACGGCGCGACTACTGCTTTTTTACGCAATCATTTCCAAGAGTGGGCTGCAACAGTACCGCAAATGGAGCAGGGTGCTGACTATTCCCCCTTCGCAGCATCGGGTCGGTATCGCTTCTTCATCATGGTAGACCAAGAGGCTTTAGAATCAGTTCTAGGCATACCGAATCCACATTTTAGTGTCAGAACTGGATTCGTTCGTCTGGTCAATGGGGTTTGGGAGCCAGACGAACTGGATGAGGAGAGATTGAAGGAGTTTGGAATATCTAACCCGTCGGAACTTGAACCGGAGGAACCTCCGGAGGGATTTACATTAAAGGATGTCGGCTGGATGAAGGTGTCGTATGAGGACGCAGAGGCCTGGGCTCTCCTGGATTTTGAGTGATAGCTTAGACTGGTCAGACTTTTACCAGCATCCTCCGCGAGTTGTGACATGGATCTAAAGTGTATATCTGCAAAACATGAAAGTGCTGGCCAAGTACATTGGCATGTTTGTTCTGCTATGCCTTTACTTTTATTTCGAACGACCTATCATTTGCAACAAGAAACAGAATACTCCACGTCCCCGTTTTTCTTCTATCCTTTTGGTATTCGGTGCGGAGAAACCAAAGTGAGAGTCCTATCAGTTCTATAACGGGTGGGTGCATGATAATTGGTTAATGCAAGGCCTGAATGTGCCAATGGCTGTCAGTCAAAATCTTCGCGATAGACAAACTTCAGCTCACGGCCGAAAGGGTGAATATGCCACCATATATATAGTCTGCATTCCCTAACCCTCTGACCGATATCGCACGGCATGAGTCCCTATGATCAACTACATACATACCTCTCAAATATTTTCCACGTCGCTGTCTCGCTTCGACTCCTCAGTGCTGCCACCAAAGCATTTATATATCCTGTGGACTAGATCTAGGCCACGCCCCTCTGGCCGCTTCCAGGGAACCATCATGTATGTTCGACGGTGTGCCAGGCTTCGTAAATGATATTCATTGGTGCTATCTATTGAGAATTATAAGTGTCAGAGGGAAACCATAGAAATATATTTATATATATAGGGGAATATTATTTGCCCGTTTCTTACATCGCCAGAATACGGTGATGAAGTGGCCGAAGATGTAGGAGTTGATAAAAGTAATAGGCAATATGATTTGTTGCCATGAGATACAGCAGAGTAGCGTAATCAACATGTTTCTTCCGGGTCTCATCACCGTTAAGGTATTTATTTAATCCAATGAAGCATAATCAGACATTACACAGCCAACCTATTCATCTGTATCGTTGTGTTCATGGTTCACTGCTGATCACAGCAAAAACATTACTCATGTAGACGAGATTCCAGGTGCTCTTCGCGCATTGCTCCAGTGCCTTTCCAACGTCTCACTTCTGGCAGACAATTGTACTGTCTCCTTCGGGTAGCGCGACTTGAAGGGACGTTATATAAAGAAACCGTCCCGGGTTTATCCGCTGTCTATTATATAGTCCACCCGAGACTTTTGCGGCGAATACCATAGCCTTCGGGCTTATTATGTACAAACCATACTATGGTGAAGCGTGAGTAAATTCCTGGTAAGGGATTCTGGCAGTCATAAGTGGCCTGGAAGGGGGGTTTTTTCGGTCGATAAGTGGTGTTTGCGTCTACGGAGCGTAGATAGGAATAATCCATGAAGGATTTGTGAAGTGACAACTTGCCTCTTGAGGTACAATATTAAGCTTTTTGTATGCGATAGTATCATCTGAACCCGTGAACATCAGGCAAGGGGCGACCGTGGTCCCAGTGTTCATGCACACCGCTTTTGGGGAATAGGCAGGGAAATATGAACCGTTGTGATGAGGGTAGTATTAAGTTGAGACCTGGATCTAGTGATATGACTCAGGAGGGTAGAGGACAAGGGAAGGTCCACGGGGCTTTCGTTTTCTGAGCGAGTCGATCGATTCATTAGCCGCTGGCTTCAACGAGTCTAGTGTGGATAGAGTAGCCTACGCCATTTTGAGCTTTAGGGCTACCGAGAAACGAGACAGCGTCGTATTTGGCAGGGATCAGAACCTGGCTTTAGGCAGAGGAGCCATCAAGGGTTGATTCCAAGGCCCACAGGGTTTCATAGCGCCAACACAGACTTGTATGGCCGATCGATGGTGGGCTGAGCGGGTCAATTTATAGTAACCGGGCAAAATTCCCACAAGCCGCCCCAACCCACGCGTTCTCCAAATGCAATTCCATGTTGGGGGTTCAAGGGTTATGTCCAGTTTTCCCATTGTTTATAATAGCTAGCCATACATTATGTGACTTCTTCAGTGTCTATTCTTTGAAATAGTCATAATTGCGACAGCACATCACCCCTCAATATGTCTAGAACTTTGGGTTGGAAATCATTATCTCGAGTAGGAAAATTTGTAGTGCTCGTTGCAGGAACAGCACTTGCTCTTACGTTGACGCAGGGAATAGTGTCAATATCTCATCCAATTGCTGCCCATCTCAATACGCCTTCTATAATGCATAACAGCCCACAAAGCTCTCCCAGCACGACTCCAGGTAATGCTGCCTCTCCAATTGTCACAGAGCCTGCGGACACCTCCCTGAAGCCAAAATACGCCTTTGCAACAATAATCACTGGAGAAGGGGACGCTGAGACGGAGGTCAAGGATGCCTATTTCACGGCAACCCGACTACTCACCTACCAGCTTCTCTACAGTCCCCAAACAAAGTCGCGCTCAGGTCATATCCCTTTCCTTGTTCTGGTGACGAAAGATATACCGCAGGAGCAACGGGACATCCTTACAAAGGAGGGTGCTACGGTTATCCCAGCTGAAACCCTTGAACGAGAATGGATCCACCCAAAATGGAGTCGCTGGATCGATGTTCTTGCTAAGTTGAACTTGTGGAGGCTTACTGAGTTCGAGAAGATCGCGTTTATGGACGCCGATAGTATTGTTCTCCATCCTTTGGATGATATCTTTACCGATCCTACGACAGATATCCAGCAAGCCGTACCCACTCGAGAAGTTGTGGACAGCAATATGAACACAACTGTTCCTCTGCCTGAGGAATATCTCCTCTCTGGTATCCATGATCGGTGGGTAGAAATGGCACTACCTCCGGTCCCTGGGAAAGAATTCTATGTGGCGAACAATTATATGAACGCAGGCTTTTTCGTCTGTTCACCCTCCGAGTTACTCTTTAACTACTATGTTTCCCTTCTTGATACGCCGGACCGATTCGATGCATCGTACCCCGAACAGAATCTCTTGAACTTTGCTCATAAAACAGACAGCCGAATGCCTTGGCGTGAATTGGGACCTGGTTGGAATCATAAGCCGCTAGCGGTCAGTATGGATGATTTGTATAACTTCAAGTCCCTTCATCAGAAATGGTGGCGCCCGATCGCCGACAAAGATGCTGCTGAGTATATTCGGAATGCTGTACAAGAGATGGAAGACTTCTTCCAAAACTGGACAACATACTGATTTGATATGCCTCTCTAGAAAATCCAAATATGGTATAATGTACATGGATTTCCTGATTTGGTACTGTTATGAAGATACACATAGATCATATGTACTGGGCTGTTGACTTGGAAGTCTCCAAACTAGCCAAGAAGAAGCCGGAAGAGAAATCTCTCGCAGAGCTGAACACACGACACGGGAGTAGCAGGGGTATATGCTTAGCCTGCCGTTAGTTGTCAACCTGCGAGGGCCCACCATGCTATTTAGCGCTGGCCACCATAGCCCGTCTCTGAACTAATCTCTACCAGGGTCCACCAGCCCTCTAGGCTCTAGGGACAGCTGATTAATTCCGACTGTTGCAATTGCATTGGTCGCCTGCGTGACTAACGCCAGGGACCTTAGATACCTTCCCCTGTTACCCGAGGTAGAACGAGTGTGTGTTTACTTAACTCGCATAACAAGGCTAACGGTGGCAGCAGAGAGCTAAGACTTATTGGGATTGACTATCTCACTAAAAATGGCTTGAACTCTGGTCAAAATGTGACGCACACATCTCCAATCCTATAATAATAGGGGACGTACTTATGACGCTAAGGTATCTGGGTCTCAGCTCTGTGGTCAATTAGACCCCGGTCCGTGCCGGTCTAATGTAGGTCTAATCCGATCCGTCCTTGCCGCAGTCATCGTGCAGTAAACTAAGCACGCACTCCGTAGTTAGGCGCCGTTACGTACGTTTGGTTAGCCCGATGTAACCCTCCCATGCCAAAACGGTACTCGATATGGTGATCCCAATATTAATCTCAATAAGGGTTATATTGGCGGAGGATATCGTTGGTGTGTTGACATAAGCTAGTATAGGGCTAAAAGCTCCCGCCATCGTTCGTCTTTGACTAAGTGGGTACATCCTAAGATAAACCCTGCATTAAGTAAAACAGTCGTTGCGATCAGCCAGCGCCACGCCAGAGGGGAATTCCACAAGCTGGGTAGCAAAAACTGAGACCCTACTTATGATCATATGATGCTATCTGGACGGTGGATCCATATCGCCTGGTTGGCCAGCCTTACCCCTACAGGAGATAGTTGTCCTAATGACTACCGATACAGAAAAGCAAAGATTAAATAAACCACTTTTGTAGGTACCAGTACTCTATAGAGATAGAAAAACGGACCACAACATTTTGGGACGCAAGCAAACTTCACTTTGCTCCGTATTCTCGGTGACAGTCCCTTCCAAATTGTGTTGTTGTACGTCAACATGCATCGGTGTATACTGGACCCCAACAGCCTCTCCAAATTCTCTCTCCAATTTTATATCATTTGCCCACCGCTTTCCCTTCTTCTTACTTTGCCTATACTCTTTCAATGAAGTTTCTTTACCATTAATCAGGATCGCTGAGCTTCGCAACTCCATTCACGCTACTCGCCAGCGTTTATACGACTTCCTAAGTATAATTTATGCTGCTTTACTCACCTAGCCTCCATTCTCCCTCAACTGTCCACATGGGCTAAGCCAAGGTAGATCCAACCTCGGTATCCGCTACTACCTACGGGCCCATGAATTGCCTGTCTTAGATAGAGTTGATATCGGTTCAGGTTCGGGTAAAAAGTCTAACTCTATTGATACCCCCTTTACAGATCTACGATTATATCTATAGCTGTGGTATTGAAATGAAGCTCTACTTCCTTTTTCTGCCGGAAGTGGATAACAGACAGAATAATATCTTTCTATATATAGAAGTAATTTAGAAGACCCCGATAAGATTTAACAGTACTATGCCAAGGACAAAGGCCGAACTTTGTATAATTTCTATTGTTAAGAGTTGGCCCGCTACTTTGATTTAGATAATATACACAGATAATCTTTCTCCCCAGACTCTTTTCGGACTTTCATATAAATATTACCAAGCTTATCCGAACTCTCCAACTAATACTGATATTGGGGCTTTAAAGCCTCCACCTGATAGCTATTTTGAATAAAAAAACAAGTAAGAGGTGTATTCCTTCTCACGTCATATAAATTATCCAACACTGTCTTCCCAGTACTACTGGACAAAAGGAGCTAAAGTAAGCAGACTTTCATTGTATTTATCGCATAAAGTAGTAAGCATGAAGCTCAATAGTTATACCCACCCACTTAGTCGCTCAAAGTAGATATCCCATCTTTAGATGCTATACGGGATTCTAGGATATGAACATAAGAGGCGGGGATGTCTATGTTCCTGAATCAGATAAAACGCAGTTGCCAGAGAGGCGACGTTGCTGCCAAGAATCTGGCATGATTCACGATATTCTGTTTATTCTTATGCTACGAGCAGCAAAGGTAGAGAGTGAGAGAAAATTCCGCTGCGCATCTAGGGGGAGCGAGAAGTCCTCCCCATACAGATATATCTACATGAACACCATACAAGCCAAGACAGAGGGTCATACAGATATATATTATTATCTATATTGGTCTCGCTATGGACGGGTCCTTGAAGGAACTTTACAATGGGTTAAGTGTTCGGTTTGGGGAGAACCGACGCTCCTTGTAATTTGTCCCACCGCATGAAGATTATTTTCGTCTATATTGATTGACCTCTGCCCAAGTCATATCAGATCTTCACTCCCATTAACTGCGTTTATTTCCTAATTATTCGTTATTTCGCCGGTTTAAAAGGAGACTCATCCCGTCTCCACAGTCCCGTCCCAAGATCATCGACCACCAGCTCCAGCGTCAGGCCGGCATCGGCACAATCCTTGCGCAAATCATCCTGGAATTCCTCCCACCCTTCCATATAGTTTTGGTTCAGCAACCGCCAGGTAATACTTTGCAACCCGGGGGTGTGATCACGCCAGGTGGGGAGAAATGCATGGAGGAGCTTTTTCACTTCTTCTTGCTCCCACTCGAAATCATAAAAGATCCTCAGATCTTCCCGTAGACACAGTCTACGCAGAGACTTGGGCAGCAGAGGACCGAGGTCAGGCGCACCTTCTACATACCAGCCCAGGAGGACGGATAGGGATATCTCCGCTGATACTAGGTGCGGGAAAGAGTGTAGGATACCACGGAATGAATCGCGGATGTGGTCCTCTTCACCGCCCCAGAAGCGGTCGCCCAAGCTGCCAGGGTATTGTTCCACGCCGAGGGAGAGGCTATGTACAGTATTACCTACGGACTTCAGGGCCTGGGCGAGCATGGGTGGATCGGGGACAATTTTCTCGACACCGAATGCGTATGCCATCCCCACGTGGAGTGTTCGGAGATTGGGGGTGCGGGAGAGTAAGAACGCCACATCCGCATCGGATATGGTGGTTCGTGCGAGGATGAGAGTTTCTAGTTTGTCGAGCTGCAGCTCTGGAACCGTTTCCTGCAGTCCTTCGATGTCTCGCAGCCAGATATTCAAGTGCCGTAAAGACGGTAGACAGAACCAGGGTAGGAATTGATCAGGATTGTATGGAGGATAGCCGTCAGGGTCTTCGCTACCGTAAAAGTCCTCGTTCTCGCCGAGAGGTACGTTACCACCGTAGTCTACTACCTCAAGATGTTGGAACGTGGATAGCACACCATTAGGCGCAAGGAGCGCTTGCTTGAGCATCACGCCCGGATAGCCGTCCCACCAGACCAAAGAATAGTCTAGGCGCAGAGACTTCAAATTAGGAAGCTGGGAAAGGAAGATCGCTGCAAAGCAGTAGATATTTCCGCCGTTAAGACCCAGTGTCCAGTCATCAATGTCACTGAATTTAGCCCGCCGGACAATGTCTATAGACTGATCGATAATGTCACAGAAATTAGGTGAATCTGATTCCCAATCCATATCCGGTTGGGTGTCTTCCCAGAGTCCTGGGTCAGAGGACACCAGACTGACATGTTGAATGTAAGATGCTATATCGGGATTGTTCAATATCAATCGCAATAACTGCAGGAGTCGGTGCAGAGGCCGCGTGGACCAGTCTAAAGAGATATCGCGATAAGCGAAAGGTACAGCCAAGGCGTGGAAGTCTCTGCAGGTAGCGGACACAGCTAAAGATTCCTCTACGGAGAGTTGGTCCAGGATAGATACCAAACAATCGGCAGGAAGTTGCGAGAACGGCCTAGGCTAGATTAGCAGTCAGTTGAGATAGGGAGCATGCTACAGACATACTTGTCCTCTTGCGAGGTTGGCTTGTCAGATGCCATTCTGCAAGGGTGGGAGGAGAAACTGTTGTAGGAAGGGCGGCTGAAAAGGGTAAGTGGGAGACCGAGGTTGTGAACCTGCAGGCGACAAGTGCGGGCCAGTGCCGATAATACGAGGCGACTACTGCGGGGGCGAGGAAGTGGATTCACACACTCTTGGAATAGGAGAATGCGACGGAGTGGCATCAATCGTATGATGAGGGTGCCGCAGGAAATACTGCAAGAGTTGTCATAGAGCGGGAATTGCCTGTATCAGTGTTCCTTTGACGAGCATTGACAACACCCAATGACGTATAGATCTGAGAAAAGAGACCAGAATTAGCTCTCATGCATGGTTCAGGGGGTACGCCTGAAGCTGATCCGTAGCCACGCCAAGGGAGAATCGGCAAGCTCGAGCATAAATCTCGGTTGTGAGTTTTACTAAAAAGCTGGCCTCTCGGTTCGTGCCGAAACGTCGGGAAGCTACCGATGAATAAAATTTGTCGGGTCGGCCGCCGCCTCGCACGTGCAAGGTCCATACCCTAGCCGACTGCGGAGTATACCGACTGACGCCTGCACATCACTATTGTGATAATTCCTCGCAGTAACACAGCTCTTGATCGGCTTCGCTTCGATTATTGAGTGGTCGTTGTTTACGTAACGAAAGCCACTCCATAACATATCACAACTACCATTAGTAAAGACGATTCCAGTGAGGAACCTAGCACGGAGAGAACGCCTCGATTGAAGCTATAGAAAGTTCCACTGCGTAGGGGCTATTTTGCATCCAAATACAACACTCAGCAATGGTTCTCACGCCGCGAAAGAACCGTAAAGAAGGCTTTTCCGAGACAGAGGGGAGCTGCATCACGTCCCATGAGGGCTCCAGCTATGGCGATGGGTATCAGGATCAAGCCAGAGTCAGATCTACAGCATTTTGAAACGACGATTTCGGACTTAAAAAATGAGCATGCACGCAGGATTGTGGATTTTATTCCCGATACATCAATGGCTTTGAATATACCAGGCGCTGAGTCTCGACGATCGCGCATACATGCCGTCGTTTGCATGTCCGTGTACAGGCTATGCGTTCCAGTTAAGAGGAATAACGGCTCACTGCTCCACTGTCGGATGTCATGCTGGCTCCACAACACGAGGAAAGACTTCAGGGGCGATGAAAGATATTGCTGGGGCTAAACTCTACAGATCGACTAAGTGATGAATATCGAAGCAGCTCCATAGGCATGGAGATCTCGTTTTCCATTGACCTCAATGTAGATGGCCATAACTTGTGAAATGGTATAAATAGCTCTCCATTGCCTCTCTATGTTCTGCTCCTCCTCTCATCAGCCATTCTTTCAACAATCATTCATTCATTCAGAGTCCCCCACTCTCACTCTCATTTCTTTTCCATTTTTTGAAATAATTCACTCATTCACCCACTGAAATAATCCTTTACTATACAACTTAATCCTAATCCCAAGGGGGCAATCTCAAAATGCTTCCCAAAATCTGTTATTTCCTATTCTACCTGTTCGCCGCTCTGGTAGGAGCAACCCCGATTGATTTAGAAGCCAGGGCACCTCCTCCTCCTACTACGCCGGCTCCCCTTGGTATCACAAAGCAGGGAATTAAGGGAGGCAAGGGAGACTTCATCGAGTACAAGTCCATCGTCAAATTCAAAAAGGGCACCAAGCTCACCGATGAACAAATTGTTGGATTGGCTGAAGCCGCCTGGGATGAGATGTTAAACGATCACACGAACAAGGGAAAGAAACCATTCAATGGAAACGCGATCCCGCGTGTCATGAGCGCTTTGCAAGTCGGCGATGAGGTCTATCTGGCATCTAGCATGAAGGGCGGCGGCGGCGACAGTTATATCTACACGGAGAAGGAGACTAAGAAGGTAGACGAGAAGAAGCCTAACGGTAGTGGCAGCAAGAATGTCAAGGACAAGAAGAAGCAGCCGCAGACTCCTGCTCCCAAGACTCCTGCGCCCAAGGATGAATTTGCTGAATTTACCAATGTTTTGAAGAGCAATGCCAAGGATGTTATGCAAGCCTTGAAGGAAGTCAGCATAGACAGCCAAGACCACAAGAAAGAGAAGGAGCAACCTGCTGGCGGTCCGTACACTTTGGATCAGCATCGAACCTCGGCTAGCTGTGGTGAGGTGATGGCCTCTCTCCTGTATCGTCTGGAAAATACGGGCAAGGATTTGAGAAAAACCAAGCTGAATAATCAGAAGCCCAAGATTGTTGCATGGACAAGAGTTGACCAAAACGGCAACCTGATGAAAAAGGGCAATATCATGAATCCTTGTGGTAACCAATCCAATACTGATGCGCAGAACGAAGCGGCTTGTGGCGAGAACTGGGGCTGCAAGGCTTTCACTGGGCCAGCTGGCATGGATTTCGATGTTATTAAGAAGAGCGTCAAGCCGAAGACTCCTGGTACTCAGGGCTTTCCTGCCCCAAGTTCCCTTGGGAATAGGTCCTTTCCCAAACTCGTAAAGGCCGAACCAGAGAAGCAGTGAGAGTACCCTCTCGGTGGAGTTGGGTTTATGAGACACATTCTCCAGGCCTGATGGACAGGATGGTGCTATTGCACATGAACAACTGTGGCATGTAATTTTAATTATGTTGAGTTGTCTCTTTCTCGACTAGATCTTTTCATCTTTATGGTGGCCTTGGGCAGGCGGAAACAGCACACCCTTGTGACTACCTCTATAGTAATAGCATTGTTGACAATATAAGCGATACAGCAGGACCATCTATCACTGAATGTAAACCATGACATTAATTGGAAAAGACGGCGGTTGGGCCAGACTTCATATCGAAGTTCTGGAGCAATCTAAAATGCACCAACCTGTTCCATATAACGGGTAGCATACTTCAATAGAGCTAGGATTGAGATCTTCTGTACAATATCTAAAAGCCGCATAAATCACGCCCGGATCCCCAACATGCCCATCGACATTATAATGTGATCTATCCAATATTCATTTCTGCTGGGATGAATCAAATATGAATTCTGCCGAAACTCCGGGTCAAACAAACTTGCCACTCTTATGCCTCTGTATCTAGAGCGCTTCATGGATTCGGTGACTATAAATCCGGTATATGGACTTTTCTTAAATGGCTCCAGTGTCTCCGACGGAGGTTGGCACTTAGTAAGACGAACAATTGGTTCAACAGGGATATGCCAAGTCGCATACCATATAGCGACGATTGTGCGAAGGGATCAACAAAGTCCTAAGGAATGGGACCAATAAATTGCTACTATGCTAGAATAGAAATCTGACACTAATACACGAGAGTATAATAGAGCTCTGCTTAAACTTCATTTAGTCAGTCTTGAGTGTGGACAATTTCTGACATCAAATTTGTCTTTGCCCCGGGATGACCTAGTTATCTGATCAGTATACAGGTTTCAGCGAGCCGCCCAGGAGAGGAGGCGACTTCTAGAAAGGCCTGGTCGATAATAACCCCTAGTTTGCTTTGTGTTGGACTCTTGCTCTCGATATCTACTAGCTTGCCTAGAAATACCCTCTAGTATGGACCGTACGTCATTAAACAGGTTTCAGAGGCAAAGATAATAACAGGTGAGTACAAGGTGAGCGCTGCACTGCGGTCACGGATGGGGCTAGAAGGCTTAGTGCGCAATACAAGCAGGCGAAACACCCATTATCGCCTTCTATCTCGCGAATATTGCACTGCCTAGGCACAAGCAAGTTGGGTCATATCGCCCGGCCCAAAGCACTAGGACTATTGACATATGCCCATGTTAATCGATAGTTCGGGATTTACATCAAGAAGATGCAAGTAGTTCAACAACAACTAAAGATCGACGTACAAAACGTCACGTGGGAATAGATTATCAGCCTTGCATTCAGCCTCGAGGTTACGTGCCCAACCTTAGACTATTTGCTCAACCCAACAGATCTAGCCTCCTCTTTTCTCTGCTCGCCTGGACCAAGAGTCCAACATTAGTATTGTATGGCTGCTACATTGCCTGATCTCTACTCACGACGTTCTAATCTTCCATCTCGAGTTTCTAAATTAGTTCATACGCAACCACCAGACCCTATCAGCCTATCATGTCCGACCCATTTTCGATTGCAGGAGGTGCAGTCGGCATCATTTCGCTTGGTATTCAGCTGTGTAAGGAGATTATCTCCTACGCGGCAGCATGGCGAGGCCACGACGACGATATTCAGGCCGTTGGTATGAAGGCTGAAGAACTACAAACAGCCTTGAAAGCACTACACGAAATCGTGGAGGGTGTCCGACTCACCGATCCTGCGGTTGCGAGAGACCTCAATCAGAAGGCCATAAGCCTTCAGTGTCAGATAGAAAAGGTCAAGAGACATATAGACCAGTACAGGCCTGCTCTGCCTGATAGTAGCATCAGCAAATTTCGCAATAAACTCAAGAAAGCCGCATATCCGATTACTGCGCGAGATGCTTTATGCTCTATGAAGGCTGATATGGACAGTATGCAGTCAACTATACAGACAGTACTAGCTATGTAAGTGAACTATGAATCAGTACAGCTTGTTTGGAAAATGTGCTTTGACTAATGGATATAAGATTCAATGCTCAGAAGGTGCAGAAGTCCGAGAGTAGACAAGAGAAAATGTTCCAACTTATCGAAGAGATGGTAATGCCTCCCATCTCTCTTATTTGCAAGACGACTGAGAGGTTATATTAGCATCTTGCCATGAGGAGCGCGTCACCAGGGACCATACCAGCGCCAGGACTACTTCGATCATTCTGTGATCGACATGTGGAATATAAAGAGGCAGCCAGCCAATATTCACAATTGATTTCAAAGAACGGAGTTGAAGGTGACCCAACTTACAAGGCGTGGTATGCCGCTCAGCCCTCGCTAGGGTCTGTTCACCGAAGCAAACGAAAGTTTCGAGCAAAGCTCGTGGAGAAGTCTTATCAATATCACAGTTACTGGCTAAATCGTGCTATCGCCCTGTCATACTCGGTTTCAACAGGAGCCGGAGGGTTTTCATTTGCACCTGTTTTAGGAGTACAAACAATTCGAGGAGAACATAGCTGGGTCGCCCAACGACTTCGCATGTTCAACACATTCGATCATCTAATCTTTCCTCTATATGACGGAAACTTGGATGATTTGGTCCATGAATTTCAGAATGCATTTCATGATAGATCAGCTGCCCCATCTGACATAGTGAGTTATGGAGGCTATTGTCGAGAGCCAGCATATTCACTCGTGGATGTAGGTCACCAGCCTTATTTGGCCAACTGTGTGAAATTAATCTCTCTAGTCTTTCACCCCCATCCTTGCTGGGCAGGAACGTCATAGTGTGTATAGATTTGTCCACTTTATGATTGAATGTGGGTCGATTCCAAATAACACCTTTTCACTTGGAGTTCTAAGCCAGCTGTGCTCTGAATTTCGCTGGGTTGGACGCGATTACACTTTCGCGTCGCACTTGATTGATCTTGGGGGACCTATCACGTTTCTACCACGCACGCGGCTTGGAAGACATAACATGAAGGGCCTTCTACTTATGGATGAAGATTGTGAGTGAATATTCTCGTTTATAGGGTGTTATTGAGTTCTAACTCTGTTTCAAGACATCAAGCTCCCAGATATAGGAAAGATCATCCTTCGGGAATCAGATCAAGAGCTTAGAGAAGCACTTAACCGGAACACCGCACAGCCTGATCAAAAGATTAGGGCTCTATTGCTGCTTGAATTGGCGATTGGTTGGCCTCTAGGGGTACATATTCTTATGGAATTCGGGGCGAACGCCAAAGCAGTTTCTCTTGGCTGCGCCTGCTACCCCCTTTGCGACACTGATGATGACGATTGCGATGCCTATTGTGCATCCATCACCCCATTGCTCAAAGCTGGATGTAAGTTCGATGCGTATGACATCTTTTCTTGTAGATCCAAGACAGTAAGGTCACTCTTAATTCAAGAGCTGGCCAGACGACGAAGAAAGCTGTGGGACCTGGCTCAATCTAACCTGCCGCCGAATAAAGCTATTGAGTTTTACACCCGAGACGATTCAATTATCGATGCCCAAGCCGCTAGCTTGCATGCTGAACTTCTTGCACAAGGATGGGAGATCGATTGTTCTTTGCCGGTCGATTGCCAAACTGGCGGACGGTCTCTTTACCATTGCCGTGAAGCTTTCACCGAAGCAAGTGAGGAGCTATACCGAGCTGGCTTTCGAGATATCGATATTCGCGATAACTCTGGCTTTACACCCTTGATGCTGTTTAATTCAGCCCCATGGATGAATATGGATCCGTTCCAACGCAAGATTGAAATGTGCATATGGCTTGTTTCCAAAGGAGCAAATTTGGCCGAATTGTTGCCAAACTCCAACGCGACAGTTGCTCATCACATTAGCTCGGTAGTTGTTGAAAAGGTTTTTCGAGTCATCCAGGGTGACTACCGGTATGGAACAAACAATTGGCCCAGATTCGAGGCACTTATCACAGGACACAAGCATACTGTTTTCTTTGTCCCTTATGGTCGGGATGATTGTGTCTGTGGATGTTGTCTTGGTGGTTGTACTACTGTTTCGGTGGCACTTCGAAAGGCCACTAGAATGACTGCCATGTTTTGTGAACTCGCTCTGGGAGAGCAGTCCGGTCTTTTCCGCCGAGTCTACCAACAAGTTCTTTCATGGACCAACTCCCGATCGGGGTTTGCTCAGGCCATTATCAGGTTTTTTACGTTTGAGGCATTGCGGTTAAGGCATACGTGCTGCACTGAAATCGATCATATCCCAGAATTTGGATGGAAAAACGCTAGAGATCGGACAGAAATAGAACGCATTCGGGAGGAAGACCAACAAGGCCTCCACGAACTCGAACAGCTTGTTTCTGAGTTTGAAATCCGCTTCAACGAACTGGGGCTGCCTATCAGGGAGTTTATGAGTCGTTATTGGTATACTCGAATGGTTGGACTTCTCTCGAATCGTGGCCCTTACGATGAAGAATATCACCAGCAGACAAGAAGTCTTGGTGTGTTTCTGAATGCCGACGAAAACACCGTTCCTGATGTTGTTACTTGGTTTGGTTCTCCCATTGAGTTGGATTCAGACTGTCAGACCACGTAGATGCAATGTGTTGCTGACTGAGTCTATGTGAAGCTCAAGCAATGGTCAATCCTCAAATACGTTTCATGTCCCACGCCGCCGTCCGATCGTGGTGGTTATATTCCATTGGAAAGTACAGCTCTTCAAGAACTGAACCCCTCGAAATTACCAACTTTAGAACCCCGGATCCATAGAAATATGAAGAGTCTGTTGGCCCTTAACGTAGCGATGCTCCTTGACATCGGATATAAATCCAAGACAGAATGGCGACGGTGGCAACGCCTGCATCCATCAATGAACGCAATCACCTGCGGCTGTAATGGTATTTAGCTAAGAGAATCGCGATGTAGTTGCTGTTGAAGCCTGTGTAGGCGAAGCAGTTCTCGATGCGGTAGGCAGTGTCGACGGGGCAGGCGAAGTAGTTATCATAGAAGATGTAATGGGAGTCGATGGTGAGATTCGGGCTGTATTCTCATCAGCATCGAGGTATTATCAATGACACACACCGCATGAGCGATGCCATCTAGGCAAGTGATGTGCATATGCCGTTGTCAATATTGTTTACGAAATGTAACAGCTTCATAGAATGTCTGCTAGCCTTCCCAGATCTTCTGGAACACACCTTTTAAATTACACAAATCTAATAGATAATACTGGTCTACACCTTATATACAGAATTTGATCTGCACCTGATCCCTTAACCAACAAGCATTATGCCATTACCGAATTTTAAAAGGCTTAGCCGAGCCCAGATATCCAAAGCGATGACAATCCTGGTTCTGTAGTTCCTCGGGACCAATTCCATCTACCACAACTGTACTCCATCTCTCGACTAGCGCAAGTAGACTATCCTGAAACATTGCATGCGGGCAGACTTGAATGAAGATATAATAATCATCCTCTTGCCTAAGAAGCGCCGCCAAACCTGGGTATATCTCAACCAGAACAGTGTCTTCAAGCAAACCCCCAACTTCTTCAACCTCTATTCCATCTAGACCTGTCAGGGCTCCGTTTCGTGTAAAATAACCTCGAAGGATCTGTGGGCGAACAAGTGTCAAGATCTCGTAGCCGTTCTCCTGACTAAATATATTCCCACTATTCTCTTCCTCTGTGCGTCTTGATACCGCGGGGAGGTCTCTCAAAGATACAGCTCTGCTGTTCGGCCAGGGCACCGTCCAGTCGGCTGCCCAGGATGGGAGTCCGGGCAGCTTCTGAGGCGATTGGATCAAGGCGAGGAAAAAGCCAGGGCCGTGATGCTGGATGAAGAAGGCGGAGTATCTGGTATATACCTGGGCTGCGTTCAGCTCGTAATTGGCCTCGAGCTCAGGGAAGGAACCCCCATCCAAACTGTGCGATAGACTGAGGACTGCAAAAATCTTATCGCGGGGATCCGTGGCTAGGTGGTCTTTAGTCTCCATGAGGATATCCAAGAGATAACACCGTTTAGGGAAAATGGTTGGCTTGCGGATCACGACAAATATCCGGGGAATGCTCCCTGCGCCGGTTTCTTTTAGCAGTCCCAGAGCATGCAATGCTCTCTCGGCCGTCGTGGTTCTGCTACCACACACAATCCTAGTGCGATGGAGATCAGGCAGTATCACCTCCTGTAAAATCCAGACTCGCTTGAACCATCTTCGAGAGCAATACATGAGTGCGAATTTAGTAAGCTCCGCTTTCTTAATGCTTATTTTCTCATTGGCTGTCCCTGATTGGTGCGGTGATTTGGAGAAGCAACGTTTCCCGTACATGCCCGCCATTATGATTCTCTCGTTTACCCCAACCCGAATACGGGCTATCACTCTCCGAAGGTCTGCAGGTTCTTTGATTGTGGCTATAGGGTGAGAAAGATCGTCCAACCCTCCGATCAGCGGCACGTTCAGCTCCGATATGTCGAGGCCGTTGAGCCAGTCAAACAGGGTGTCTGTCTGAGGTGTCCCCTCGCCCGTGTAGGCAATCACTCGACGGGCCGAAGTGAATATCTTGGACATTTGCGCGATTTGATGGGTTCGCTCCTGAGCATCCTGTTGGTTAATGCAGACAGCATCGATCCAGATGCGCCGTTTCTTCTTGGGATGTCGTAACCGTCGGATCGCCATGTCACAGTTCTTCGTGATCTCAATGACGCTAAAGTCAGGCACGCAGTATATTTTGCCCGATCGTGATGCATCGCCCTTCTCATCTGCCCAGGTATATGACAACGCGTCGAATGTCGGCCCCAGCAAGAGATTGGCCTCCACGACGTCCCCACAGATCCAATCATTGAATGAGCCTGGTTGAATTACCAAAAGTCTGATCTTGTGTTCGCCCATGATTGGAGTGTATATGTATTGCTCTTCCTCTGGCAGGAGGTACGGATCTACGGAGATCTCTTTCCCGGTCGCGAACGGCCGAGTATAATGGCGCCTCGCGATATTACTAGGAGCGGGCCTGTTTCGGTACGCGTAAAAGACTCGTAAAAGCTTCACCAGAAGAAGCCGTAAATTGTTCACGATGCATAGAGGTAATGCCCAAATCAGATTTAGTGACGATCCGATGTCTGATACAGCATTCCTCGCATTTGTTGAACCGGATACAATCCGACCAAGGTTCCAGAGGATGAGACCCAGCCACCCCAGAGGCAGTAAAACAAGGACTAAGATTATGAATGTCGTTGTCAACAGTAATTCTACCACACCAGGTTCATAATAACCACCCATCTTTTGTAGCGGAGGGACTCGGAAAGTAGCCTGCAGATAAAAGCCTTCTCAGGTAGCAGGAAAATAAATCACTGGATTGGTTTCTCTGCCTCAACAGAGACGGGGCCAAACCCCACCAAATTAAAATAGACTATAATTTCGCTAGACTGATTAGCCATTCTGATTTGGCCAATCAGAGACCACCATTTGGCAGCTGATTATCAGGAACATTGCAATTTTCCGCGTCTGTCTGTCCGTCTCTCTAGCTTCGTGGTAAAATAGTCATCACTTTGTCACACTCTTAGCAGCGCTTATGTTGAGTGTTTGCATTAGTATACAGTGCCAGACAATCATAATAAACCTTTTACTGCACCGACGAGGTAGTAAAGGGTTGTGAAAACTCCTTAAATGTTACTTTGATCTGGGCAGGACGATATTATAGCTGATTCTTACTATATATTTGCTAAAGGCGTATCGTAAGTTTAAATTACGCAAGACAATTTTTCGATAAGGTCATTGTAATCCTAATCGGGTACTCCTATATACAGATACCAGTATGCATAATACAGAAGTTATAGTGGCGCCTTACGAAGGACTTATACCTCCAATATCAGCCCTGATATATGGGGATGGATAGGGATTCAGGAATAACGGTGTGAATATGTCAGCCAACATTGTCGGGATTCATGATAGGATCAGCGCGCTCCTCCATGAGGCAAATAGCACAGGACAAGCGAGAAAAGAAAATAAAAGAAAAAATAAAAAACCAAAGAAAGACAGACTTCGAAGTGGCTCGGACGGCAAGTACGACAGGTACCAATGTCTCCCAGGGTTAAGAAGCATATTGTGCCGTAAATCGAGGGTGCAAACAAGGACGTGACGGCTTGAACCCTTTAGGCGCGGCTAGCTACCAAAAAGGAGGAAATATACAAGAATAAAGGACAGGAAAAGCAAAGAGAGAGAGCAAGACATCAAAGAAAAAGACATTCTGGGGAAAGGATTGTTGAATGTACGGAAACTATGGCTTGAATAACTATGAGGAGCTTATATGTCAATACCCTGTACTTCTATTTGGAAACTTCGGTATTCTATTTCTCCCATGCCATGTCCACTAAGCCTTACTGCATAGGCTTACATTGAGCACGTTTACGTATACGCCCTATTGACTTAGAGAGTTCTCTGGGTCGACTCCCACTCTTCGATCCCCACAACCCCCACCTTAAGGAAAGAGTTATCTTCGTCAATCCGCTTCCTTAGCGGGCCCTCGAGTAGTTCGGTCACGTCCCACTTAGCCCAGACGAACCTCCCATGTAGGAACCTTGCCTCCGGTGAGGCAGCCCAAACAGCAAATTGTCCAGGCAGATTCTCTGCATCGTTATCAGGAAACTGCACGTCGAAATTGCTAGAATACCAAGTGGGACATGCAACTTACCATCATCCCATCGCGGGTCATCCCTATTGAAACCCGCCTGCTCTGCCAGTTCTGTGAAGATACCACCAGGGTGGTAACTCACTATCTGCAGCTTTTCGGCAGGCACATCCTTGGCGATCTGCTGTAGTAGCATTGTCCCCGCGCTCTTCGTGGCGCCGTAACTGGGGTACTGACCAGTGAGTTGAGCCTCGTGTATCGCCAAGGAAGTCAAGTTGATGAGCACCTATGTACCTTCAGTCAGCATTTATCCCGTTTCTATAGGGATACTGCCTCGTGCTCACCTTTCGGCGATCTTCAGCCCCTGGCTGCTTGTACAACCGCTGTGTAAAGTCCAGGTGCGTCCGCACATTCATAATGTACTCGTCCCACACAGCGTCCGTTCCCAGGTCGAGAATAGGCTGCGCTGAGAGCTTAGCAGCATTAAGGACAACGATATCGACCAAGATGCCTCCATTTGCCAAGTTCGTCCACAGTGCATTGACCGAGTCCAAATCCGCCACGTCGCATCTGCGCCCTAGAGCCTGAGTCGAGGGAAACTCAGACTCAATGCGCTTCACGGCAGACGAGACCAACTCGTCACGTCGTCCAATGATGATAAGCCTTTCTGCACCGGCCTCGGCGAAGGCTTGTGCAATAGCGAAGCCGATACCCGTGTGGCCACCGGTGATAAGTACTGTCTTCCCCACCTGGGAAAGCTCGGGTCGTGATGGCGAGATGGCAGGATACGGGGCAGTGTGAACAGTCTGCGTGAATGCAAATCCTGGTGGCAAGTTAAGAGCAGAAGACATTGCTACTGGGCAAATGAGGTGAAGAGTAATAGTGGAAACTTTGAAGTCGGAAAGAAATATCAATACGCGAGAAGGATAGTTGCAATATATATCTGCAAGCAGACAATACACATCTACAAAAATAATGCGGACGCCGCCTCTATTTATGTGATTTCCCTCCGTGTCCCAAGGATTTCCATACAGGGAAAGCCATGGTACCGTAGCTTTCGGGCATTTCCTATATTCGAGACAGCCGGGCTGATAGACGCACAGTGTAGCGAAATGGTCCCTAGCTTTCCCTAGCCTGTATCAAACTCTAGCCCATATCGCCATAGTTTACTCCAAACTCCAATATTATGAATACCGGAGCTATTTCACGAGTGACTTACTTAATTAGGACAGGTGTTCCTTGGGTTGGAGGTTAGGGTAGTGGAGAAGACGGTTATTGAGGTTATTTATAATCAGCCCCACAATGAACACCAACACCTCCGTCGACCTACGAGTCGTGCGTCTTTCCGACCCACGCTTTTACGCACCCTCTCACATGGAACTCCGTAATAGAGGTAGTTTGAGTTGTGAAAACTGCAGAAAGAGGAGAATTAGAGTATGTCCCCCTTATCCACTGGTTCTGATCCGGAGTCCTTCTCTAACTAAACGCAGTGTAATCAACTTAAACCGAGATGTTCTCAATGCGCACGCGCCGGTTTACATTGTTCAGGTTACAGGAACCAGTTGGATATTCTGTTTCGAGATCAAACAAAAGCTATAACACAGAGATTCCATGGTTCTTCGGGTACATCGGATTTAATCTCACTGCCTCGGACCCCGTCATGGCCGGCGGAGGACATTGCGTGCAAGTATTTCTTCGATAATTTCAGCATTACGAACAGCTTCCGCATGTGTGTCAATGAACCGTCTATGCAACACTCTGTACCAGCTACTTCCAGTTTTACATCTGTTGGGCTAGCTGCCTTGGCAATCATGCATAAGGATCCCTACTTGATGGTTCTAGCTAGACGCCAATATTCGTCCGCGCTAAACCTCCTCGCTAAAGCTATCGGTGAGCCTAAAGACTCTGTTAATGGGGCGCTAGTAGCTGCCAGCTTCAATTTGTCTGTTTTCGAGGTATTGCATGTCGTAGAGTTTAGAGCTTTTTATCACTATATGCTAATATGAACATAGCTGATAGCTTGTGACGCTCCTTCAGCCGCCCACTTATGGGTAAAGCACATAAAGGGGACGCTCGTGCTCCTAAATATGCTAAAGCTCCATCCAGACGGGCTGGTTAGCGAGCTGGAGGGTCTGGTACAGATTGCGTATACTGCAGTAGGTCCATATATCGCAATCCTATCGGACGAAATTATGTCTGATGTTTTTCTCGTCGCATAGGCGCTGGCCTACCTTATTAGTGAGCAGACAGTTCCGGAGTTTCTACTTGGATTAATGCAGTCCTGCAAGGCCATCTCTATGGGAACGACCCTTTTACCCATGATAGAACTGTTCGATATAATGAGCAGCTTGATTGACCTTTACATAAGAGAAAAGCATTGCGATGTACAGGACCACGTCCAGCTTATATCTACAGCTATTCATTTTGATCAAAGTCTACTTGCGTGGGCCAACAACCTCTCTCCAACTTTCACCTTTGATGCTATTGTTGGAGGCTCTTCTCACTCTCGCGAACATGGCTGGCTTGTGAAAGCCTGGAACTATTATTGGCTATGTCGGGTACTTGCCAATATGGTAGTGATTGATAGCCTTGACGCCCTCTCCCCGTCTATTCAATTAACTCATATGACATTGATCACCGAGTCGAAGGCACAGTACAGCAAATCATTATCTATACTCAGACAAGCGCCACGAGAAATACATGCCAGCATTCCGCTTATGTTAAGACGTATGGGTCGGTCCTCTCTCGCTTTGTCTTCTGATACATCGTTTTTGATCACTATTTTACAATCTCTGTCCATTCTGACAAGCCAACGTGTTGTGATCAATGGTTAAAAATCTACGGCAGACCCGCTACCTTCAAAATATTCAATCTGCACAAGAACCCTTCATAAGATACCTGTACTAGAATACCACGCTTATGATATACAAATGCTTTGAACACTGTTAAAAAGACAGTAAAGTGGCCTCGAAACTTGAACACTAGTAGGCGGGTTTCAGTCATCCGTACCGACAAGAAAAGTCACATTGCCACCCTATATATCAAAAGCAGTGGTTGACAGCATTATGAGCTTATAGTCCATTCAGTCGAAGCTCGCGTCTGCGGATTAGTGTCCTATCAAACACCTACCTCTGCTATAGGTAACCGCTCCATTTAGGTGGGACCTTGAGGGTCTTACAGCACAGCGGGTTAGAGCAAGTGGTAGAATTCTGTATTATTACAACCTGAATCTTTTATGTAGGCTATTTAGTTATCGAGGTAACTGTAAGATAGTTGCTGTAGCAGTACCAGTAATGTACAGTTTCATATTTATCATATATGTAGCTAGCCCTATCGGCTATAGTATACAAACTGACGCTAATTCACGAGTAAATTACCTATTTAGGACTGGTTAGGTGGGTCATACAAACCCTTGGTGCTGACAAAAGCGATACCGAGATCCATGGACGGCGGTGATATGATCTTATTCAACTGCATGGTGCACAAATAACAGCTTAGCTAGGCCTTGGAAACATTCGGATTGCAAATATCCGAGCTTCCGGTATCTTGAGGCAGGCTATTTCATGAGTAGCTTACTTGTTAGGGGCTAATACCATCCACCTTGAAATGGCGACTAAAGTAAGATTCAAGATAATTCAGTACATTGAGAGTAATAGGGGAGCCCGCGGACAAATACCTCCGTTTCGTACACCTTGGTTCCTTAGCCGTGAACTGAGGTAGTTGTGCCAGAGAGTTCACTAAATCGTGAAGGCAGGCCCCTTCCGTGGTCCTGATAAGTGAGTACGTCGCACTTATTTGTGGATATGATCTCACTTCAATTTTGATACACCCACTATCAAAGCCATATCGTGCAACTCTTTCCTATCGTAGGCATCGTTCCAGCTCTAAAGTGGTATACTTTGACTTCAGCAATATTCTTCAATGTCGAAATTGTGGGATCCGCTGAAGGACATTCCCAAAATAAGAGCAAAGATTGCTATCGCATGTCGTGGCTATCCACGACATGCGATTTTACAGAATATACCCTATTATCCACTGATATAGTTGGTTGACTTTAAGAAACCGGGGTCTCACCATACCTGGGACTACCCTAGTACTAGGTAGGCTAAGGGAATGCCCCTTCTAACTACCCCTCTCAAGCTATTCCACAACCACCCTATATTAATCAAAAACGTAGGTATATTTCCACAACGTCCCCTGTTTAATCAGTCGATGTCACGGACTCCTATACCGTGGGCGCGGGCTCTAACAACGACCTGTGACTGGTCCAAAGTGTTACAGGAGCCATCCTCCCAGAACGTAGGAAGAAAGCTTACAAAACTCCTGAAGCTCGTAGCTGTTCCACTGTGCATATATTTCCATCTCTGTACAGGACTATAGAAGATTGTATACTTCTCGCGACAGGACGTACTACCGCCCATAAGCTAGGGCAATTTCATTAATCAACGCAATTCCCTCCTTCCGCCAATCATCCACCTCAACGTAACTCGTAATATTTGCATCCCAAACGATATTCAGCGGCCTTTCAACCATATAACGTGGCCAATCCGCCTGAGTGGCATTCCTCCCGCGTCCACTCCACGCATTTGGATCCAAATCAGTCACAAAGCTCGCCCACGACCCAGCCATCAGATAACTCAGGAGAATATAACTCTCCGTCAGGTTTCCGACATCAAACGGGTTAGGATTATACCCGTATCCGTCGAGATTGTTGAAGACAAAGGCTACGTCGGAGAAGTGCGCGACGCCTTCGACCCAGGTGGAGGTTGCGGGCTTGGTGTTGAAGCGGTAGCAGTAGGCGGAGATATTGTGAGCGGCCCAAGCTTCGCAGGTGCGTCGGCGGGATGCCGTAAAGACTTGGTCGGTGAAGTAGGCCGCTGCTTGGCGGAAGGCGGCGCCGTAAGGCTGAGGGAGGATGATGTTATTACCGCCAAGTTCGGACGAGGAGGGGATGCCGAAGGTGGTGGTGTTGGGGTAGAAGGTTAGCAAAGTGTCGATTAGGGAGTCAGGGAGGGCGAGCTGGTAGCTTGATGTTGCTGCTTCCATCTTCAGTGTTGTCTTGTTACATATTGGGGAGGCGGAGGAGGGGACATACTGTTCATCCAGCCTCGTAACTCGGCTGTGGTATTCACGGGCTTGGGAGACTGGGTGCTCCCTTCGTCCGTCGTGGTGCCAGCAATGATGGGCACACGGACAAAGGAGCCATCCTCCACCTGCTGGCTTGGGTATCGTGCCACAAAGTTCCCGTCGATTGTAGGTTCCCAGCCGGTACTATAGGCGGTCTGGTTCAGAACGTTGTTCAGCACAGTAAATGGAAGGGCGCGCAGGCAGTCGAGTTTCTTCTTTGCTTGGGAGCAGCCTGCTTCGAGAACGATGCCCTCATACTTCGACTGATAGCTGGCGGTCAGATTGAGGGGACCTTGCGGGATGCCAGGTCCCGATTCCATAATCCCAGCCCGGAACAGACCATCATCTCGGCCGTTGAACGCACGAAGATGATACCCTACGCTTTCGGAGCCGGCGCTTTGGCCGTAGATTGTGACCTTGCGGGGGTCGCCTACAGGATCGGTAGGTTAGTATGTGTTTTAGAAAACAGCACACTGAGGACTCAGACCTCCAAAACCAGCAACATTCTCCTGAATCCAATGCAAGGCAAGGCGCTGGTCCTTAAGTCCTAAGTTGAGTGCACCCTCAGCCGCTACATCGTCGCCGTTGAAGAAGCCAAACGGGCCGAGCCGATACGCGATGCTGACTGCCATGATAGGCTTGCTGATGTTGACCGAGTTTTCCACGATGAAGGTCAGGTTGTACCGTCGATCCATTGTTCCTCCTTGGCGGAACCCGCCACCTAATCATCTGAGTAGTTGAACGATGACGAAGGGCAGGGGCTACGTACCGTGAATCCAAACTAGAACAGGTAGAGACTCGTTCTCGAACCCATGAGGCCGGATAACGTTCAGGTAGAGACAGTCCTGGCTCTGGAGGTAGCCTTTCTGGTCTACACCGTAGCCGATGCATTCCTGTGGCAGTTAGACTAATTGGAATTGTGATTAGAGAGGACAATGATCGCCCTAACCGGTACGTACAAACGCATATTTAGTGGCAGGACGCTCCCCTGTCCAATTTGTGGTGAGATGCACGGGGTTCCGAAACCGTTGTGTTTCTAAGGGTGGTTGGGCATAGGGTACACCCAGGAACAGGTCCTGGTTGTATTGAGGGAGATATATGCCTTTGTAGGATCCGTTCGTAGTCTTTGCTACTGGGATATCGCCCAAAGAGGTCTGAGAGCCTTGGACATTTCCCCAGAACGCAACAGCTAGTAAGGAGTATGCAAGATACGAGAATTTCATATTGGGGGAGCTGACGCTCAGTCGAGGAAAGGTATTCAGCCTCCACCAATCCGAACATTTAGATTCTGCAAGTCCAGGACTCAGGCTGGCGTGGATTCGGACCAGGCAGAACGGCAGCCGAGTAGTTATACGCCTACACTCTAGGGCTTTTGGACTAGCGTTGCAAGTCTTATAACTTCCATGCTGTTTAGAGCACAGCAAGCCAGATATCTCATGGTCTTGGAGCTGGATGCCTGGCTAGCCACCATCGACATACCTGGTGCACTAGACTTTGGAATGCCTTCTACCCCACTTTCCCCACAATGTAGGAATTGTGGAGTTTGATTTAAATGGACTTTACGGGCTAGTGAGCTTTTTCTTACCAGTCAAGAAAAGCCGTCGCATTCCAGATGTTGTTAAGGCACTGGCGGTATCTCACGATTGGAGCATTTCATGAACGCTTGAAGATGTCTTTACTATTGTATTTTCAACTGACTTATGCAAAGCCCGAGGGTTTTTTAGGTTCTCCCTAACGCCGAACATAAGCCTTAATTTAATCCTAAAGTGACCTGTAGGGTTAGCAAAATGTTACTAGCTGAAGCGCACCTACGCACTGGCCGTTTGCTACGGAATATAAGCTCGGATCTGTTACTACTTTCTGCTTAGGCCCACAGCGTAAAATCTAGATAGATATCTCTGCCATACTCTGGAGTACCCGGAATACCCCGTATCTATTAAAGGGGAGGGGGAACACCCAAACTCTTTGACAATTGCGGTGAGCTTACGCTACTACAACTAATGCTCCAGAGGATGTGCGGAATATACAGGTTGTAAATTAAAGCTTACAGGCATTGAGTATGCCGATCGCAATCTACGCCCCACGCACTATATCTCGGTGCCTTTTACCTTTACGGTGATAGCGCCTCACGCACGCGGCTCAGGCCGAGGTAGACAATGGCAGCGATATACTTTGAACACAAAAAATACGAAGAGGCGCACTACCAGATTCTCGTAGTCTACCATTCACCTATCCAAGTGACGATGGGCTCTGCCAGAATCCTGACATCAGCCCTGCTCCTGCTGTCGGTTGCAGCGGCGACGGCGAGCGCCCCAACCGCGCAAACGCTCAATGGTACGTACGCTGGAGTGTACTCCGTCAAATTCGACCAGGATTTCTTCCTGGGTATCCCATACCTTCAGGCACCCATAGAAGACAGACGCTTCCATCCCGCCGACAGCCTCACCAGCACCTGGAAGGGCACACGCAATGCCACGACCTACGCCTTCTCCTGTGTCAGCTACGATAGCACAGTCGACGCCAGTGAGATGGCTGAAGACTGCCTCTATCTGAACGTCATCCGCCCACACTCGGTCACAAGCACCTCTGATCTCCCCGTCGTAGTCTTCATTCACGGGGGCGACTTCTCCGGCGGCAGCGCCAGCGAGCAGCGCTACAACCTCTCTTTCATCGTCGAGAAGTCGGTTCAGCTCGGCCAGCCTATTATCGCCGTTAGCTTCAACTACCGTCTCAGCGCCTGGGGCTTCCTCTTCAGCAACCAGCTGCGTGACACAGGCGCGACCAACATCGGACTCCGCGACCAGCGGTTTGCACTTACTTGGGTCCAGGAGAACATCGCCGGGTTCGGAGGCGATCCCGCTAAGGTCACTCTCTGGGGCCAGGGCGCCGGGGCCACCAGTGTCGGCTTCCAGATTACCGCGTACTCAGGACGAAACGATAGCCTGTTCCGTGCGGCAATCATGGAGAGCGGGAACCCGGTGCCGGAGAAGGGACTGAATGGAACGCAGTACTACCAGCCACTGTATGATGCGATTGCACAGCGAGTGAATCCAAGCATAACCTATGCGTCAGAGAACGACATGACAGACAGTGATACGTGCTGGGATGCGGTGGATCGCATGGCATGCCTGCGCACCGTGCCATTTGAGCAGATGAATGCGGTGATTAATGCTACGAGCGCGCACTCCTGGTTCCCGGTTATTGATGGCGACATTGTCCCTGAACAGCCGAGTCGGTCCCTCTATACGGGGAAGAAGTACCTCAAGGTGCCGATTATTCTGGGCGCCAGTGCGGACGAGGGCTCGAGGTTTATGCCTGAGCACAATATTACTACCCAGGAGGAGTTTGTGGATCTTGTTGCGAGTATGGTTCTCTCCCACCTGGGCTCTTCAAAATACCCTAATCTTCAATAGACCCGCAGTTCTATGGCGTTGCTCCTGGTATCGCCTTACCCCCAATACTAGTCCGTCAGCTCACAGATGCCTACGCCAACGTCTCATCCTTCCCATGTAATTCTCACTCATTTCACACCCGTAGCTTGTTCTAATATTTTTTCCAGACGAAAAAGCCCTCGCCTACCAAGGCGACGCAACAATCAACGCCAACCGCCGCCAAGCCTGTTCAACCTGGTCTCGTGCAAACATCAGCACATACTGCTATCGCTTCGACGTCCCCCTTTACAACCAGGAGACTGCGCAACACGGCAACGAACTCCCTTTCGTCTTCGCCAACACCGAGGAACTGGGCTCAGACTCAAACGGAGCTCTGGCCTCTCTGGCCGACGACATCAGCAGCAGCTGGGTGAGCTTCATTGCGAGCCTTGATCCCAATGCCTGGAGACAGAAGGAAGCTGCCAATGTGAGCGCGGTTACCCCGAGCTGGCCTAAGTACGCAGCTAGGGGGGTGACTGAAATGGTCTTCCGGGTCAATGGAGGTAGCAGTGTTGAGAAGGATAGCTGGAGGGCGACTCCGATTCGCCTCATTAATGGGCAGCCAAGTGGGATTGCGGTGGCGTATCAGAGGTAATTGGGATGGACGTGATATTTGACGTTGCGTAAGGTTGATACGGGGGTGGGTGGGGAAATGATGATAGAGAGTAGGTATTACGTCTACACTATACTCTCTATACTTAGTATCAAGCAGCTCGAGACTTTCCTATGTATTTCCTTTCCACCCAATACTCTGTGATTCTCCGGAATCGCCGACCTTGGACACAATCTTGGAAACCTTGGAAGCAAATACACAGGTCAATTAATCTAACACACCGGGACTCTCTTGACCTGCCATAGCGGCTGCTAATGAGCATCATTGCGGGCTTAGTCCCTCGGAGTATACATTACCCCTCGGGCATCTTGCGTAAAAGTGGAATGTGGGGTAATTAGCAAACAGGATATTATTATACCCATGCACGATACATATTGTAGTGGAGCTCGCAAACTAGTACTAAAATCAGGCAAAGGATATGGGTCCGTGTGCCGATCCATTCCACTGGCCATGGATCGCCTCGAAGCCTTCCCCATGAAGATATTCACGCCGACCATGTACGGAGTATGCTCATGAAAGTTACGCAGTCAACTTGATCCAACACCACGTCCATTACAAACACACCTCTATAGTTGGCCACTGGCGCTTCCCTGTCGCATGTGTACTGAGCAACACAGCAGGACCTAAGTATAAAATCCCTGTCCTATCTCCATTACACCCTCCACATTTGCAGTCAAGTCCCTCAAACAAGATGCGCATCCAAGCCCTCGCCCTACTGGCATTTGCCGCCCCGACACTCGCCCACGGCACCTTCGAGCACGATGACCTCGAAACACAGCATCTCAAGCGCGACTTCTATACTATTGGCCGCCGCAGTCTCGAGTCCTGCGCGGGGTTCCTAAATTCGGATGGGACAAATGAGCGCGCGCACCGTCGCCGCGCCTCCATCGTAAACCACCACCGCCGCACCCTCCTACAGAAACGCTCCATGGTTGAGGTCCTCAACACCTCCCACCTCTATACAGGCAACGATATCGACCCAGACCACCCGGCCTCCGCCTTCGCCCACGAGCACCATGTCCTCCTCACCCCCTACGGTGACACAGGCCCCTACTACGTCCCCGGCGAGCTCATCCGCGCCGACGCGCGCGAAGACCAAGAGGGCATCCCGATCATCGTCGAAGCGCAATTCATCGACTTCATCACCTGCAAGCCCATCCCAGGCATGTGGTGGGACATGTGGAACGCTAACGCCACAGGCGTGTACAGCGGTGTGATCAACGAAGGCAACGGCGACTTCACGGACCACAGCAACGTCAACAACACCTTCCTGCGCGCCGTTCAACTAGCAGATGAAGACGGGGTGGCACAGATCAAAACCATCTTCCCGGGTCACTACACGGGGCGCACGAACCACATCCACATCATTGCGCACACGGATGTCACCGTGTTGAAGAACGGGACCATCACGGGCGGCTCGATCGCCCACACAGGCCAGTTCTTCTTCGACCAGGACCTCATCGACAAGGTCTCGCAAACTTACCCTTACACCCAGAACCCGTACCAGGTCACCGGCAATCAGCTCGACGACACCTTCCACCAAGAAACCGCCTACTCGGCCTCGGATCCGGTCTTTCACTATGAGTATCTTGGCGATAGCATAGAAGACGGGCTGTTCATGTGGGTGCGGATCGGAGTAAATGCGTCGGCGAACTGGGACGATGGAGTCGGTGAGCACAGCTTTATTTATGGTGCTAATGGCGGAAAGTACTCATGTGGCACGGGGAGAATCGGAGCAAACTATACGACTGCAGACGAAGACTGCACGGGAAGCACGGTAGTGGGTGACCTGCCGGGGGAGAATGGGCCCGGCCCAGCGATATACTCTGCACCGCCGCCGAGTGCCTGGGATAATGAGACGGATGAGGCGGAACGGTCGGCGGCGAAGAGTTGGTTGGCGGTCGCCAATGGGTTGGCAACTGCTACGGAGACTCCCACTCCTTAAGCCGGCGTTTCCTATGAGGTACTTATTCATATGCTGTGATTGGGACTTTCTATAGGGCTGGATCGGGCGGGGTGATTCTGGATGATATGAAACAGCTAGCTGCAAAATGATAACGAGTTCCATGGCACAGTTCTGCTGGTGTTTTCCTAACTATACCTAACTAAACCGTCGAGTTGAGTCGATAATGGCGCCTCTGGAGAGGATGGGTCCCCATTAGGGCTTCTTGAGATGCACCGTAATGGACGTGCTCAACGCTGAGACAACTAAGCTGTCTGCCCATTGATCGCTCGCTCTTGAATGGCTTGCTTGTATCCTACTCCTTGTCTTCAGTATCTATTGCGTCTCGAGTACGATACTACTCTCATCTCATTTTAAGCCTATACATCCTATTGCTAGAACAGTAGTTCCAGCCACTCCTCCGTTTAATGACTCCACTTGTCAACGAACGAACCGAATTAAATACAAATTCTATCTCCAAGCGTCAATTAGTCCAATACAGTAACATTCTTCCCCGGCTGCGTGCAGTTCATCAGAATATTAATCGGCGGAAACGTCCCCCCAGGAGTAAAGGCCAAACTACTATAGTTGTAAGTCGCGCTCAGCATCATAATCTGACCCACTGTGGTCCCAAATTCCTCTGCCAAATCCTTATACACGCCCCAGCTAAAGCTATACGGCTTGATCACACATGTGGTATCCTCACACAGCGGCACCTTGATGAATTTCCCAACAGGCAACTCATCTGTCGCCTTCATCCCCTTCCCCATATCGCCCATCAGCGCGTCGACAGTGATATTGAGCCGCAGCGCAATTTTCTCGTATGTATCCCCGTTGACGGTGTAGTACAGGCGCGGCCCGCCGACAATGCAAGTATTTGTTGTGTTGCCGGATAGCAGGCAGGAGGTGTTGTCGGGGTCGCATACTTCGCCGGGGATGATGAAGGTCTCGCCAACGTTAGGCGGGATGGTCACGTCGGCCATGAGGTTTTGACGACCGATGTCGCAGACGCCACGCTTTGTGATGCGGGCAACATCGAAGACGGTCGTATTGGCTTCGGCGATGGGGTAGTAGTAGCTTGTTGTGTTGAGGGTGCTAGGGTCGCAGGTGGCAGTGGCGAGGCTGACCAGGGCCACGGAGGCAGCCACGCTTGTGAGGGTGAAGGAGGACTTCATGGTGACGATTGAGGAAGAACGACAGGGGAATTGGATGAGATGGGTTGGGATGGGTTGGGATGGGGTAGGACAGATAGTGTGCAGTATGTGCGGTTTATAAACGGCGAGGGAGACCTACCTAGATAATATCATCGAGGGGGGTTCCAAAGCTGTTCCTCAGCGTACGTACACATAGTAAATCTCCTACGCAATGTCGTGCAGGACTGCATCATCCATGGTAGCCTCGAACTATAGCTAACCCTGAGTGAGCAATAATTGCCCGCCGGAGAATGTCAATGCAGTGATTACGAAGCCTGAACGTTAGTTGAAGGGGGGATCAGATACCGGAATAATAAAACGATCGGCGCCCTGTCGATCTCTCTCCACAAGCTGTGATTAGTTCCACCTCAGATCTCGCAAACTCCCCCCGTTTTGGGAATGGCCACTGCCGATCTTTCTTTTGCAATATGGGGTTGTGAAAGGGACTGTTCAGATTACCAATTGCCGGCCGCGCATTTATGCAATTACTTCTGAACCGGTGTTTCATCTGCCATGACGAGTTTGTGCAGGCTCCGTGTCGCCACATGCCGACATAACCGGCACACGATAATGTGCAAAGATATATGGGCGACGATCCCTACCACATTATGTATATCAGGTCTTCGTGCGGCCGTGATCCTTGTCACTATCGGGCCAGTCCAACGGCACCTACAGCTATGATCTCTCTCCTTGCGTCACCCCTGCTGGCTCTGGCCATCGGCTCGTCTGCTGCATATGCAGCATGTCCCTACGCGCAGCAGATGGGCTTCGACCTGAATGCTCGAGATATTGCACATCCACCTTCTCAGGCGGCTCAGCAGAGTCACCGTACGAGCTTAGGCAAGGATGGTGTTATGCTCATGAACCGGATTGCGCCCGGCACATCTAAGCTCTACATCTCGGGTGTCGACGGGAGCAATGAACGACCGCTCCTGTCAGATCCTGTGTTTGAATACCACGCTAGCTTCTCACCTGACGGGCAGTGGGTGCTCTTTACCAGTGAACGCAATGGTGATGGAAACTCCGATATATGGCGTGTGCGTACCAACGGGTCGGACCTGCAACCGCTTGTAACAACACCCGCTGTCGAAGACTCTGTTGTTCTCTCCCCCAATGGCAGGCACGCGGCGTATGTCTCGACCGAAGGCATGATCGCAAACATTTGGGTCCTCGACATGGTCACCGGCAATCGCTGGAACCTAACAGATACGTCTGCTATCGCTGCCACCACCAACAAAAACGTACCTCGTGGCTACTTCAAACCCGCGTGGTCTCCAGACGGTCAATGGATTGCCTTTTCTTCCGACCGCAATACAAAATGGGCAGGTCACGGCTGGGAAACATTCATGGGTCTCAGCGGCTGGGAACATACCCAGGAACTCTCGATCTTCGCCATTCGACCAGACGGAACCGGCTTCCGCAAGGTCGTTGGCAAAGATGGCTACGCTCTCGGCTCCCCCAGCTGGTCTCCTGACGGTAAACGCATTGTCTACTATGAAATGACCCGTGAAACAACCTGGGACTCGCACAGCTCCTTCGACCTCAACTCGGCCAACTCCTCCATCGTCTCCGTCGACTTCATAACCGGCACCGACCGTGTTGTTGAGGTCGACACCCCCGGTGTCAAGATCTTCCCCCAGTATCTAGGCAACACCAGCTCAATCGGCTATCTGCTTAAAGGTACCACGAAAGAAGGCATCTATAGCGGCACCACCTATTATAACACCACCGCAGCCGTCGCCCGCTCCCCCTCCTGGTCCCCAGACGGCAAACGTGTTGTGTACGAAAAGGTCTCCTGGGATATCCGCCCGCAGAACAAACTCCTCTACAGCTGGGACGTCAACTGGACCTACCGCTTCACCGACGTCTTCCCAACTCTCAACACTGCAGGCCGACTAGCCATCACCCAAAAACAGCTCGGCGACTCTGCCGTCATCTCCCTCAACGCCACCGGCACCGACAACGAAACCGTGTTCGACCCCGTGGCAAGGGGGATCCTCTCCCTCTCCTCCGTCGAAAAGGGCACCTCGGGGGCTTTCCAGTCCTCCTGGTCCTCCGACGGAAACTGGCTCACCTACGGCGTTGGCTACTGGTTCGCCGGGCGCGCGTCCAACGGCGGGTGGATTGTGCGCTCCAAGGCCGACGGCAGCGAGGCAATGAACCTCACGACCAGCGCGATCCCGCTCTCAGCGGGCAACAACAATACCCTGAACACAGGGTTCCCCGGCTTCTCACCTGATGGGACGAAGATCGTCTTCCGCGTTTGGGGCGCCGATGCAGAAGACGGAGATACATCGCAGCTAGGTCTCCGCATTATACATCTCGACCAAGTAACCGCCAACGGCACGTATCCCATCACTGTGTTGACAAATTGGTGGGATACGCTCCCGTCCTTCTCGCCGGATGGGACAAAGATCGTGTTTACGCGGCGCATCAGTGGGGGCAATTACGATGTCTGTACGATTGCGCCGGACGGCTCGGACCTCCAAGTGTTGACGAGTAGCGAAGCGAACGACGCGCATGCGGTCTGGTCACATGATGGCAGGATCATGTACTCGACAGGCGAGTATGGGTTCCAGACGGAGTGTGCGCTGTACGATAACACTTTCCAGCCGTATGGGCAAATCAACATTATGGATGCCGATGGGGGGAACAAGCGGGCGTTGACGAATTCGTTGTGGGAGGATTCAATGCCGGCTTATGTTCCGGGGGAGTTCCTTTAGTTTCTACATTCTTTGTTATTCATTCGATGGCTGAGTAGCTATAGCTAATATATAGTCTGTCAGTGACTCGAACAATGCGCAGCTCTGGATGGATAGTTTCTGCGTTAGTGAACTTCCACGAAAGAGAGGCCACTTCCGACAAAAGCACGCGTCACCTTCCTAATGGCCAGCGTGCAGTAGAAATATGTGCTCATAGTAGGGAAACTAACATGAATGGCTCAAAAGGTGGGTGGTCAAGCGTGATCTAAGACGTAACAGAATTCTCAGTTTCTGCAAGAAAGCTTCACCACAGGGACTTCCATCCTGTCTGATAATCAGGTGGCTGGCCATGGGGCGGACTGTCTCCGTACTTGTCCGCCAGAATCCTATTTTTCGGAAAAAGTTAAATGTGAATACCGTGATGTGGCGGGCTTCCTTCGATATCGTTAATGCAACGCAATTAGGAAATGGCCGGGACGGGAGAACTTCAGCAAAGAAAGACTGTTTCATATCACTGTAAGTCCCTATGAAGCGTACGGTCTAGGCTCTGCTAATATCAATGACATCCGGTAATTAAGTTGCCAGAGTTTCCTGCATTTGTCGGTGAGCGGAATTGCCATTAATGGGGAGTCTTTAGTAGACAATCTATTGTCGAACGTCTTAGAAAACCCCACAGCGAGTAGAGTATGATGGTGTATGTACGGAGGACATATGAGTAAGAGTTAAGCCATGCTGACTTAAACGATCTATGCTACCTTCATAAGAACTCTCCATATGAATTGTGTAGAATGGTAGCCCTTTCAGGAACATAACCGAACCCCTTTTAGTTTCAGCACACAGAGTAGTGCTGTAACGTACTATGCAATGCAAGTAGCCAATGCCAAGCTCACGAGACGTTTTGATATCACCAGGGCGTACATATCCATTACCAAGGTTCCAGCTGCAGTCTGCCTAAAGGCAGTTACAACGGAGTTTCGGCCGAGCCTGATCAGCTAACATATGGAGTTCTTATCAGATTCGATTATCAGGAGTGGCGCAGTCGGAATCTCGAACGTTAGGCTAAGAGGGTCGATTTAGTGTGGCCTAGATCGACCATCGAGACCCACCCTGCATGCTGGCCTCACTGCACATAGGCGGAAGCCGTATGCCTTGGGCTTCTAGCAAAGGCCTGCAGATCACACCAGTTTCACAATGGAGACTGTAAAATCATCACAAGATTTTCACTGGTCCACTAAAGACAGGATAAAGTCAAAATATGTCTCTCTTCATCCTAGCGTTGTGAAGTCCTCTGCGACTCCACTCTGGGTTGAGGCGTTCCAGAAAAGGTTGCAGATAGCCCACCTAGCGAAGGATCCACTAGTTTGAACTTTCTTATATTTTAGCTTGAAGCCAAGCCCTCGTAGTGATCGACAAATACGGTGGTCACCCGTTGCCTAAATCTCAATATCGTGTCGGTTTCCACAATCGGCAAGACATCACAAAGACTCAGCGTCTCTCATCATATCACTCGATTCCTAGTGTATCCGACTTGGCATCTACATAGCATGCCATATCAACGTTCTAGACCATCCTGTAGACACATCCTGTAGAGACACATCCTATACCACCAGCCATCATCATCAGTAATGTATAAGAACGACGGGACGCCCAGTGAACGTTTTCTCTTCCAACAAGAAGACCAGAAACACTAATCATTTGAACTACTTTGATTTACATTATTTCTGACAATGCGTCCCTTTGATATCGTTCTCTTTTCGCTTGCAGCATCTGCTGCACCCATCGATGGCACCACCCCGGAATTCACATGCAACGGCGATGTGTGCTATCTTCCTCCACCCAAGCCCGTTGAGCCCACATACTTCCTAGAGAATGGAGAGCAGGTCCCTGATATCTCTCATTTCCCTCCACCGCCTCGTCCCACCCCAACGAATAGTGAAGAAGCAAAGCCTCCCACCGACCTGAGCGGTAGCGGTGGTTCTGGAAGCTCTGTAGGCTCTATCGCCGGCGGTGTTATTGGAGCTGGCGCCGCTCTCGGTGGTGTTCTAGGCGCTGCTGGAAGTGCTGGTAGTGCTGCTAGTGGGGCACTTGGTGGTGTTGGTGCCGCAGGGGCTGCCGGGGCTGTAGGAAGTCCTGAAGCACCAGGAAATGCAGGAAACGCCGGAAGCGCTGGAGATACTGCGTCGACAGGCGCCACTGGTGCTGCCGGTGCAGATGGAGTCAGCTACGGAACCTTTGAGGGCGATGTCAGCGAGCTTCCTCCACCGAAGAAACCCGTCGAAACATATTTCGATGAGAATTTACAGGAAATCCCTGGGCCCAATGGGGATGAAAGGACGTTCGAGTTGAATGTCCACGGAGAGGGAGAAGGCGCATTGAACGGTGGCGGCAATCCTGGAAGAGGACGGCCTGGACCGTCCAGAGCTGGGCCTTCCCAATCCCGCGGTATTAACTTGAATGACTTCCGGGACAGTGATAAATCCATTGCACGGCATTATCTGCAGTCTGAGAATTCACGTGAGCAATACAGACCTCTTGTCCTTTTCTACTGGAAACATTTATTAACGTACTTTCTAGCTCATGTCAAGCCATTCGACGGCGGTAGAACCCCCGACGAAAAGAAGCTATTCGCTAGCGTAAGGGAAAGGTATACCAACCTCAAAGAGGTCAAAGCGACCAGTGATAAGGAGGGTAACTTTGCGGCCAGAGATAGAGGTCGTTATCGTTATATGTGAGTCTCGCATACACATCATTCACGTTGTTATTGGACACTAAGTGGACAACAGTGCTGGAACCAAAGATGGCAAGGAAGTGCTGGTTGGAATTGCGGAACACGGCACCAACAGCAACAACTTTGTGAACTTCACACCCTTCCCTAAGCCACAATAGAGTTTACGACGGTTCAATGCGCCCGGTTGTGGATCTCTAGGTACCAGGTGTAGACGAAACCTTGAGATATGGCAGGAAGAAAATAGCCGACTAGTCTAACCAGTGATTGTGTGAGTCAGGCTCTGCCGAGCATTCGAAAATTGGTTATTAGTATTCCAATATAAATACTTGATAAAGACTATGTCCTCTTTTTCTTAAAGTCCGATTACGTTTACCCTTTGTTCATCTATAATTATTGCGCCTAAGGACTCGTTTGAGAAACACAAATACGCCATGCAATTCTGGTTAGTGAAGGACCGAATCGAGAGGCTTCAACACGACTATCAGCTTGGAAAGGTCTCGATGACGAGCGACTCTAAGCCTCCTCGAGCATCTAATTGAGAAGCTTACAGGTGGAAAGCGCCTCACTAGGTAGTCAGAACCTCCGGAGAGATAAACACAATCGTGTCTACTTGTATCACTACGACAATGATGATCGACACAAGGGCAGAACTGGTGTGCGTTCCATGGCTAGTATGAAAGACACAAACCTTCTCTTCATTAGATTTGGACAGCAGTTGTTGGTTGAGTCTTTCCTAGGCCGTAGGACATTTTAGTCGCTACCCATTGAATGGTTGACACAATTAGAACATTACGGTCTTAATCACACTATTGGTTGGTATTCAGTAACTCCTATCACGCATTCTCAGAAGTTAAAGGCTTTATATATGTAACTAGTGGAGATAGAAACATCAATATTATATCTATAGTTACTCTCCTTGCCAGCCTATTCACTTATATAGGTCTGTGGAAAGATGCTATCAAGCTTTCGACCGCTCTAGTCGGGGTACTCAACATCAGGTATACAGGTCCTTGGGTTGAGTTTACCAGACCAAGCCCTTAACGCACATGGTACAAATCGAAAAAAAACATTTCAGTCCTAATCCTTCCATGCACTCCGACACGTCGGACACGTAGATTTAGGGGAGGCCTTCAACCACATTTCAATGCAGGCCGCATGGTAGTTGACTCCACATCGGGCTTTACACCAGGATAATTCCTGCTGTTCTCCCTCGTCTTCCGTCCCATGGTGGGTACCATCACCAGCTCCAAAGAGAGCATTCTGTTTCAAGGGGTCAAAACAGATGGTGCAGTCTCCTTCAATAGGTCGGCGAGTAGTATCGCCGGAACGCGGGGATGTCGGAGAGGACAAAGCGGCGCTTGAGCCGCTACCAGGGCGAACATGACTAGAGGTCGCGTGAATAGCCGTTGTTGGTATGTTCGATAGTCTACGGTTCGATACCGCAGCAGAGGCAACCTGGCGGCTTGTTTGGGAGTAGGAAGCTACTGATCTTGTTCTATTCGTCATTTCCTGCGTTGGAAGTGCAGCACTGCTTGTAGAGCGTTCGTATAGTCTATTGGTGGAGCTTGCAGTTTGAGTGACGCGCTCATTGATGAGACTTGCTTGTGAGGCCGCTGGTGCCGATCGAGTAGTCCGCTGGCGTTCAGGCTCTCCAATGCGGGTTGGGAGCCATTTCCCCCGATGGGGATATTCGACCTCTACACTTCGTCTGGATCTTGCCGGAGTGCTAGTCTGTCGGCGTTCCCCAGCAGCTCGTTGGGTAGTCGCAGGAGGCACATAGGCGCTCAAGAATCGTTGAACTCGGCTCTTCCATTTTGCGGCAAGTTCGGGGGCCTGATTCTTATGGAAGCGTGTGCACAGAACGTAAGGAGCCAGGTCCTCGAGCAGGTCGTTGATGTCTCGTCCCGCATAGAGGTCCTCGGTCCCTTCGTCTAAAAGGCACATGGCTGTTTTTCGGTTCCGAGCATTTGTCGGTGCGTGGCAGCGACGGCCTTGTGATGGAGCATATCCTGCGCACCATGGTTCTTCCTCTGGGTAGAGTTCGATGATCTCGGAGAGGTGGAGAAGGAAGGTTGCTTGGGGTCGCGAGTATGGAGAAGGCATAGTAAAGATGTTACGAGTTGGTATCTAGGAAGTCGAGTGTCCTTTAAGTGTGGATACTTGTATGATATTTTGCAGGAAAGCCATACTCTCTATATACCCTGATAGGGCCCAAGTAAAGACCGGGGTAGTAACTTGTCTGCCTAAGGCGCAAGAGGGGATGTGCGATAGAACAGCCACACATGCGTGGCTCAGCTCAGCGCTAACTCTTTGTTTTAAGCAGTATAAATTAAATGGAGACTAGAGGCCTTGACATGATACTGCACGTTAGGCGTGGCAGTGCCACCCGGCTGTCTTATTGGGGTGTATAGACAGGGGTGCCGGATAGCGGCGGTTATGCTGTAGCTCTCAGTGGTTAATGTGCTCGAGATGGTGTGATAAGATACAGGAGTTGCGTATCCATCACCAGAAATAGAATGCCTCCCTAATGCAACCCTTTTCCCCTTCAGGATAAGTTTTAAGCCAGCCCCATCTCTTACGTCGGAATCAGGCATGAGCGCGGCATGAGCGCACGCGATGCCTGTACTGACAGCTCCTGATTATCTCTAGGGCTGTCTTGTCTTTTACAAACTTTGGTCTTTGGAGACATGAAATTTCAACAAGAATCCGGTCTCGCTCTTAAATGGTAATTCGCTGATTCTTGTTGCCTTGACTTAGGAAGTTATATGTTACTGTACATGAGTGGGATGCATCACATATATATCTGTTCCAAATCCCTACCATGAATTTCAGCCGCCCTACCACTCAACATAGATGATTTTCAAATTCAAATAAGAGAAATCCCTATTCAACTCCACCACTAAGAGTCTCCTAGTATTGTTCAGCTGTCAAGATGATTCGTACTACTGACATTCTTTAACGCAGTATGAGAACCTTAGGCCGCATGCAAGAACGATTGGTTCGAGGACGGGATCTCAGCTCTTCCCAACATAATACTCTAAGGAAAGCATGGGCAGAAATGTTGATAATCAACTAAAAACCGGCAAAGTCTGATCAAGTACGTACACTTTTTAGGGTGGCTTGCCCACTTGCTAATTGTGGACAAACGGTTGAATTGTGAATAGAGCACACCAGATAGGTAGCTAGAAAAATTGAAGGACAATAGTCAGGTCAAAAAAGCCTAACCTCTCCCAAATCGGTAGAATCAGTGTCTTTACAGCATCAAGTCGCAAGTTGTTCCCAAGGCAACTCCTGGTTTGTGAAATGGCCGTTCTTGGAAGTCTGATAGTAGATAATCCCAGCCATAATGTCGCCGTGATCAGAGTAAGTAACAGCATGAAATATCTCCTCCGTACTAAATCATCTAATCGACAGAGAAATATCAACCCGGCAATATATCTCGCCTGGGAGCACGTCGGAACCAGTGATGCTTGCTTATGAGTGACCTGGAAGTTGAGACGTCAGCGTTTTCTTGTAGGCTTAGTGCTACGCCTGGGGCTTCGTTGTCGAGTTTTAAACCAGTTAGCGGACTACGCGTCAATGGGTTACCAACCTGAAGTCAAAGAATGACTTCCGTCGAAACTAGACTGCTGTCGATACCGGGATATAGTCGACACAGGACTGTTGTTAAAACTATACTTGAGTTCAAAGGGCCAGACCTATTAGATATATATATCCAATAGTTAGAAAACATAAGCTGAAATAAGACTGATTACTATTATAAATATAGATACTGAATAACTTATAATATTAATTATAAAGAACTAAACTAAATACATAAATAAATATTCTTATGTATTCTTAACTATCTACTTCTATTGTAACTCCTTCGGGGGTAGATATTAGAGTATGTCCAATAGTGGTGTGTAGTATTATATACTCCCGGTATACTTCTGTCAGGGTAGCTCCTGGAGTAGGTATTATATAATAGAGCTCTTACTAGCCTTTCTGATCTTTATAGGTTAATAATATAAAGAAAAATCCTTTAGATATTAGCTGTTTTGTAACCGGCCATCATCATTCTATGATAATCTGCCTTGTGTACCCGCCTTTGATAAGGTGCACTAGAAAAGGGTCTGTAACACGGATATACGGCTATATAGATCTATAATGTCCTTCTTTTTCTAAAGATGTACTATTAAGTGAGGAGATATTATCGGGAGTACATTGTAGAAATGTAGTTGTGCGTTTCCCCTACATTTGTAACTTTTATTTCGAAATTTATTTTAGTCGCGCTACTAGTAAAAAGGACATAGCATATTCAAACGCGAGACGCCCATATATATTTAATCTTGATCATTCCCGCGTTCTGTTCTGGGGTGTTCTTTTCTTAGAAATTATCCATCTTAGTATACTATCCTATCCTTAATTTAGGACAAGAAATGTGTTGTCCTTAAAGCAGACTCAAGGACAGGTATTATTAGCAGTAAATCAGATCCGAAAGTCTAGACACACCTATACATGACACAACCAAGATTATGTACTTCTGTGACCCCACACACATTTCGGAGACGAGACCGAGGTGGTGTTCGGTACTGTCGGACGATTAACTTCTGAATTCTACGGATATAACATTATAGAAAGTCTGTTGAGTAGAGATGTCATGACGCTTTGAGCAATTTTTCACAGTGACGTTGACTGGATGACTGAGAGGCCAGATCTATGGAGTGGCCTGGCATATAACGTCATGAATTGCGCCGAGTACCACTGGGACCGGAAGAATGATGATGAAATGAGAGGACCGGAAGAGGAAATATTTACGGCTATAGCAGAGGATCTCCTGCTTTCGTCGTGTCTATCTGGCAATATAAAGAGGAGTACACACATGGAAGTTTAAACTAATTGCACCCCAATCCTGGTCTCTGCAACAAGCGCGAAAATTGATGATGCTACTGCTATTTCAGATCCTCGCCTTCCTGCCCTCTGCCCTGGCTGCGCAGTCAGTTCTCTCTCCCGGGGAAAAATGCTTTTCTGCCACTCAGGATCGCGACAAGAGTATTGAGACTTGCTGTCCTAGCAAGGAAACGTCCGGTGTAGGATGGGTTGGCCAAACTAAATTCCGCTATACATGTGGCAAATGGGCGAATTCAAGGGTTTCCCGGAAAGAACCCGCTGCAACTCTTCAAGAGTGTGCGGCACTCTGCGCATTGGACCGTCTTTGCGCCGGAAGCAGCTGGAAACACCGTAGCGAACATTGCTATGTGCTCGGGAATGAGGGTTACACGGGAAACTTCGACGGATCCGACTTTGTGTGGTTGGATAAAGTGGATGATAAGATCATCGACGACAGCAATGGGGATGATTCCGGCGAGCACACCGATGAAGATACGGAAGCCAGCGACAACCCCGACCCAAACACAGTTGGTAACGAGGAGCTAGCTACCAAAGCTTTGTGCCCGGCGTTCGATCAGAAAGAGTTCCTTCTTCGCACACCAAGTGGGGACTGGACCCGGTGGCGGGTTTACTGCGATCACAGAGCTACCGACATCAAATGGAGCGAGCGTGGGCAGATGAACGGCACCACAACTCCGTATGACACGCTCCGCGCGCATCGGTACTGGGATGCGGGCCACCGGGGCCTTACGTGGAAGGACACGGATTTCTCATATCGGCATTTGACCATCTATAATCTCCCGACCGACTCCCAGGTTAAGACCCTGGAGGGTTTCTATCTTCGGTCCGCCAAGGGTAGTCGGGAACATGTCATAGCCCGGGTAGACGATGTGCCACTGAGATTTGTTTGAAGCCGAGAACATGTATCTTATTGAGACTGCGAGATTCGACGGACTTATTGAAGTGCTTTTGGTTATATTTAGACTATGTAGTTAAGTTGTGTAACTACTGGTTCGACGAGGTATTGTTATTTCCGTACTTGTACACAGCTTGAAAAATGTTATGTCCATGTTTTCTAGTCAAAAGCCTCATGTCCACCTTGCGAAGAAAAGCATCTAGTGCATACTCGACGCACGGAGATTTGAAAAATGCTGTAGTGAATTTATTCGCTCTGTGGGGTACAGTAGTTGTCATAGATCGCTGAATGCAGACTTAGCTTAGATTACATGATGCATTCATTGCTCACTCACGAGTCCGGAAATATGGATCCTAACCGAAATAGCGCCTAAAATGTCGCCGGTGTCATTCGAAGTGGGATTATAACCCTAATTGTTTGGATATGTGAAGGAGTTGTCATCAAACCAGTCATTGACCGAAGGGCCTCGACTATTACTTTACACTATGCATAGAGCGAAGTAACATCAAAAGGTTACGGTTTACACTGCTCCATCTACTCCGACATATCTTCAAGATGTCATCGATGACGTACAGAGGTCGATGATGGTCAACACCTATGCAACGAGCTTCACAGGACAGGTATCGCTCCAGAACAATATATAAATTACTGCCCAAAGCTATCCATCCTCTTTGCGTAATCATCCCATTCAACTTTACATCCGATTCCTATTGAACAGACAACTTGAAAGCCCATCTCCTTTCTAATCGCCGTCATGTCCGATCAGTTGCGTATCAGCACCTTTAAAGGCCCCGCCACGGCGACCGCGGTCTCGACGTGGTTTTCCGAGTGTGAAGGCCGCTTCGACTATTACGAAGATATGAACGCCACGGTAATCGGAGACAAGAGAAGAATACACGAAGCCGCTGCTCGTATCGCTGAGGATCATGAGATGGATTCGAGTTCTAAAGGCTTAAAAGCTTGGTATGATTCCGAGTGGAAAACACTGACCAGCGGCACGTGGGATGAATTTCGAGACCGAATCAAGGAGCAGCTATTGGGGCCAAAATGGCGGTTGGAGCTCCTAAAGGAATTTTTCACCCACACCCAGAATGTCGACTCAATGGCAGATTATATCAAGCAATTCAGTGCGCTGAGATACAACATCAGCCGAAGCAGCTCCCTGCCGAACATCGACGACGCTGTGTATAACTGCCTTCTGCTGTTCAAGAGTAACCCGGATGTCTACAACCAATTTGTCGACCACCAGTTGAATGAGAAACAACTTCTTGGGGCCACGGAAAGAGAGCTGCAGGAACTCCTTCGCAAATATGGAGACCAAGCCTGTAAAGTGCCGCCGTAAGTTTGAATCCCCTAACCTCCTTGGATTTGACGCCGTTGCACACTAACCAAAGATCCCTGGACAATGTAACAGGCTCTATCATAGCCAAATGACTGAGAGTGGAGTCGCGTACATTACCAGTACTTTATTTAGCTCGACCCCGGCGACCTACAGCTGGGGGGGCACCATTACCGGGTCTTTCGGGAGTCTTCCTGATGACCCTCGCCGCCTTACCCGGCTGACACTGGTCTCAGTTAAGAGCTATAATAACAAAAACTTGCCGTCGATTCAGGCGCTCCATCTCACATATCACGATAGAACTTCACATTACGCGGGATCTAATAACCACTGGAGCCTCTCGAATGATTTTCATATGGATGATGAGAACGACTTCCTGGAAAGTGCGACATTTTCCAGGGATATCACCTACGGCTTTGTCTCCTATGTTCGTCTCGAAACCGCAAAAGGACAAACATTCGAGGTTGGGAGCAGACGTGGGGAGACGAAAACTTTCAGTGCACCGAAAGGTTGGTCAATTGTAGGGTTTCAAGGCGATTGTGGTAGGATGCATAGGCTCTGGAATGTCAACACATATCTGAACGCCAAATTTGGGGTGATCTATGGACCTCGTGTGTGCGCCTAGACCATTTCTGGTGGGGGCATGGGTTGAATGTCGGTAGCTTCAAAAGCAGTCATATGTCATAAATCTCAATTTACTTGAATCCATTGCATTGCCTCGTCGTCCATTTGATTTTGACATTACTTCTTTCACTCCTGGATATTATTACCGCGGCTAAGTTCACGGTCGATGCTTAACTTGCCCGTATCCCTCGAGTCGGCTGGCAGATTCAGCGCTTCCGGAAATAGCATAACGGTTCCACATTCCTCAGAGAGTGCAGTTCACAGCAATAAAAATACCACCTATACCACAACCTCGGCATGTTACATTCCGGGAGATCACAACCCGTCGACCGATGAACGAAGGCCGCAGCCTGTCTATTCAAGCAGGGAGTTGTGCGTGACTAGTGGATAGGCCAGTTCCTGCCAATGGTTATAGTTACCACGTAACCGCCCGATTTACCGGTAATCGGTATCCTCAACCTTCGTAAATGATCATGTCTATTGTATAATTAAGCGACTCGTGAACCATAGTGTAAAGAAACAGTGTCGCGTAACCTTCATAAACCGAATGGTCCACGCCCGCATTCGGTGGCATAGCTTTCACTGATCACGAAGCAGAACGACCCGAAGCTGGAGGACAGAAAGGGCGCAAACTCGCTGTCGGTTACTTTACCTGGTAGACTGCGGAGCAGTTTCTTTTCGCTTCTGGACTGTGTGTTAGAGGGGGGGAGTGGAGATTGCAGATGGGTCACAGTTCCACCGGTCTTACTATCGGATATGGACAAGACTGGGTTGCTTGTATACTAGCTTCAGTGAGTCTCCTATCCTATACACTCTATACATACCAGGCGATCCATGGCTGGCTGTCATGTTACACGAATACACTTTCTGGTGTGGGGAACCGTCCGTCGGCCCGACCGGCCACTATGCCGTTTCAGTAGGTATGATTTATCGCTCCCTTCCAAATTGCCGGGAATTAGTTCCCGGTAACCATATTGGTCCCCATATCAACACAGAATTTTAGGTGTATTTCGTGTATAACACTCTGCATCGATAAAGGTTTAGCAAGGGTATAGTTAAATCTATAGGAATAAAATATAGTAGAAACGGTAGATTCAGTGAGTATTCTATGTAACTTTACACACAGATATTACAGTTACTCCCCTTCCCGTGTCGAGTCCAAGTACTAAGGCGTCTAACGAGCTCGGAGAGGAAAGGCCGATTTTACTGCTGATTTCTATTCGAGTGGAGCAGGATTGTAGAAAAGAATAATTATTTAACCAACTCTAAATCTTCTATAGTGAGATATTTAGGATAGTAGGCAGAGAATTATTAGTTTCACGGGTGTAAGAGTCCTGTCTGCGGATCCAACCACTGCCTAAGGAATTCAAACCACCGGACATAGTGAAAAGGGTCAAGAAAGGTAGCAGGTCACTGCATCTAGAAGACGCTGACTACGGATATCCACCACACAATCCCTTCTTATTACAGTTGTCTGTTCCCAGAGTGATGATCTCATGAAGACATGCGAGACATGGCTTCATTCCGACTCGGATGTACCATCAACCGCAAACAGGTCACAACTAGGGTGTATATACTACTCTGCAAAGCAACACCGGACCTATGACCATCAAACCCTGGGAATGTTTGTGGCACATTCGTAGGTAAATATGATTGGTTGCCTAAGTAGAGGTTGGGGGGTAGCGCTCTCCACTCTCCCCATTCTTGGCATATATACTGGAATTTAGAAGACTATTCTACCGAAACATGTGTTGGCCAGGCGTTAAGAGGGTAAGTGGTCGATTCGTATCGCATTAGTCATTGAACATGGACGAGGGCAATGCAGTACGTCCGTTTGCAACCCATTTCCGATGGCATTTTATGTATGATATCATAGCTTTTCCGGCCGATGCCGTTCTTAGCACCCAGTGCCCCGGATGCTCGATACGATTGAGAACGCCTTTGGGTTATAAAGGTCAAATCATTTTCAGGTTTGCCCCAAGTTCTGCAGTATCGGTCAAGAGCCAGGTCCGATTTCTTGTGTCTGTGCTGTTTTTCTTCCATCACGATGGCGAAGCTGAAGGTGATTCTGACCTGGTCAGCCCTGGTTCCTATTCTCCTTGCGGAACAACACGTACTCAGCCAATCCCGTCGTTTTACTCTGGACGACATCGTCCCATCGAAGAATCCCTCTACGAACCAGGTGAAATGTTGTCCCGAAGGCACTCAGTTCGATGGAATCAGCTGCTCCTTGGGTATTCCAACGTGCTCGAATCCTGACACTGAATATTCCAACGGGCTGTGTATCTCAACAAGGCCTCCTGTTTGCCATCAGGGCAAGTGGAATGGCCAGGCTTGCGTGTCCATATCCGACCCGGTGTGCCCGCCTCCATTCCGCCGCCGAGGTCCGGTTTGTATCAGTGACGCTGATCCTGATTGCGGGCCAGGGTTTACGCTGGATGGGTCGGTATGCAAATCCAACAAACCGCCGCAATGTGACGAAGGCCATTTCAACGGCCATGCGTGTGTGTATCCGGGTGGCCCCCAATGTCCGAACGGATCCAAGCCGACGGGGGGCACGTGTGTCCTCATTCGGGACCCTGACTGCCGTCTTGGTATGTCTTATGATTCCAAAATCTATCGCTGTGTCTCAGATCGAGCGCCGAAATGCCCAGACGATACTGTCCACCGGGGAAATCAGTGTATTTTGAAAGACAGTCCTCAATGCCCCTCTGGGACCGATTGGGATGTGGCGGCTGGGAACTGTATTGCCGACCAACCGCCACAATGCCCCTTGGGCACCGAGCCGGTGGACGAGAACTGCGTATCTTCCAGTGATCCAATCTGCGAACCGGGCACACTGCTTTCAATCGACCCGGCTTCAAGTACTGGCCGCTGCTGTCCAACTGATATGGCCTGGGATGGTGACAGATGTTGGAGGAAGGCCGATGCCGACGGAAATTGTCCAGAAGGAACTATTCGAGACGGTGCTCTCTGCAAGAAATCTGGAAATCCCCGGCCGAGTTGCCCTAAAGGCAGCGGGGTCTTAAGTCCGGACGGGACCAAGTGTATCCATCGCGAGATGGCAACATGCGGTGAAAATTTTGTCGTGGATGGGCCTGTCTGCAGGAGCACGAGTGGTCCAACCTGCCCCCCGGGTACTGATCTGGTCAACAACCAGTGCATTTCTGATAAGAAGCCTGAATGTAGAGACCCCAACACATTTCTAGAACGAGGTCAATGTGTTGCTCAAAGAAACCCTGAGTGTCCCCCTAGTTATACTTGGGATGGTACTCAGTGTGTGATCGATGACAAAAGCCAATTATGTCCTGATCCATCCACCTGGGACGGTATTGAGTGTATCATGCCCGAGGAACCCCGGTGCCCCTTGGGTACAACTCCTGCCGATGGCAAGTGTCTTAAATCAAGCCCTCCCGCCTGTCCTTCAGGAACGGTTCGAAAAGACGACGTATGTATTGTTGACGAACCCATCACGTGTGACCAAGGCACCTTTAATGGCCGGGATTGTGTCCTCAATGTACAGCCTGAATGTCCCAAGGGAACTCGCATTCTTAACAATAAGTGTGTCGCTGTTGATGATCCCGATTGCCCTCCTGGCTATAATTGGAAGGGTAACAAGTGTGTCTCAACTAAGGACAAGAGCTGTCCTCCAGGATACACTATGTGGAATGGCGAGTGTGTTTCTGATGCCACCCCGGTGTGTCCCCGAGGAACTTCGCGTCACGGGAATGAATGTATTGGCGGCGATCCCGACTGTACACATGGCAAGTTCAATGGACAAGAGTGTGAAAGCGACAGTGTCCCACAATGCCCCACCGGGGAAAAGCTGAAAGGCATGAAGTGCGTTAAAGAAGCCGATCCTGTCTGCCAGCCCGGCTGGCAGTTTGACAAGCATAAGGGTACTTGTGTGGATCCTTCGGGGCCCCACTGTCCCCAGGGCCAGAAGTATCATAACGGCCACTGCGTCCTCGCAGATGGGGATTGTATCGACTATGAGTTCTGTCCTCCTCAATTCTCTGTTATTGCGCAAAGCTTGAAGGGGGAGCTATGAAAACACTGGCTAGACAGGGATCTTTTGGCGGGCTATTGTCTGATTTGATTTATTGCCACAACCATTGTATGCTGGAAACCTGGCATAGAATATCAGGCTGGGCAAAGTCACAGCGGATGTCAAGAAATGGAGGAGGTTATGTCAGTATGATATATTAGGGATAAAATTGCTAAGGCACAATCTTTTAGTGTTATGTGGTGTTTGGTCGAATTATTGTCGCGTAGTCTAGCGTACATTTAGTTTTTGTAACTGGCAGAATGCAGTGGGCAAGAAATGTTTTGATGTGAGCTGAGTGTGTTGGTGTTCACTGCTACCACCTCAAGCGAGGTTGTCCAGGATAATTATGGCAAACACTGCGCAAGGGATGATTCCAGCATACTGAGCACTATATGACTCTGGCGAATTCAAGGGAAATGACAGTAAAAGAGAGAACTAAGCCATGGAATTGTATGAGCGTACTTAGAATTCAAAGTTCGTCTCTGGGAGACCGATAATACAGGCGAACTAACTGATCCTTCGGGCAATATCTCGCGCCGAGCTATATTCGTAACAATACCCTCTGGTGTTAAAGGCGGCTTCACAATGTCCTGAAAGCTTTGCGTAGTTCTCACGCTGATCTGTTGGATAGCATTCTTAGGTGAACCGTGTCCTAGCTGCTGTTCTCGTTGTGAAGATGCTCTCTTAGGGAGCGATTTCGGAACCGTTATGATGCCTCGGCAGAGTCTAGCACTGCTTCTATTGTCCTGGCTTGTGAGGCATTATCTACTTACCTTTTATTTACCTTAGCTATTTCCTAGCAGTATTGGTACGCCGTTAAATATGTTCCCGACTTTCCTCTAGAGCTCTTACCGGAGTATCTTTAGCAGTGGGCAGTCTACCAAGACGTGGACCATCGTTTCCTGTGCATCGCATGCGCATTGATCTTCGTCTTGAAACCCTTAGGCCTTCCAATATGTTGATAATGGATGACCCACCCGCATTTGCCTGGAGCTATAACTGGTTGCAAAAGCAACGCAAATACTTATACTTTCAGGCACATTCTGAAATCCTAGGACTAAACGAAATTCGTATGACTTCAGAGTAACCATAATCAGTGCAGTTTACCAGTAATGATCGAACAGTTGAATAAAACAATGCTGCATCGGCAATGTAGAAGCTTCGATGTAAACTAGTCAAACTCTGAGTAATGTCTGACAGGCCTAAGGAGCCCCTATCTTCTTTTCTTTCCAAACTTGCCATCCGGCATATTATGTGGGTGCTTTTGTGAGCTATACAGGGCTAACAGAGCAATGCATAGACTGGTGTTTGGCCAGGTTAGGTTAGGTTAACTGGTCTCAGACTTACAGTTCTACAGTAAAAGTTTCTGTATATGGTGCCTTTCCCGCCTGGATTATCAAACTGATCTAGTTTTCTATCATAGCCACTATTCTTCTATTTGGTTAGAAATTGACTAGTAAATTTAAATATATATAGAAAAATAATAAATCTTCAAAAAATTAATTTTCTTAATAATTAGTATTTAGTATATCAGCCCTTTGTCTGAATAACTGTCTTAATATATCTAGATATAGGCTCGATCAATCTATTAAAAAGTACTTAGATATATTATTCTATATATACTTTCTAGATTATAAGAAATAGATTTTTTGATTTACTCTATAGAATAATGTGATCTCAGCTACGCAATGAGCCTACCCTACGGGAGCTCTCTCCCACTAACAAAGATCCCCTAAGGATACCCTACGGGCTGAGCCCTGCCAACGCTTAGTACCGGTGTAGATAATAAAGAGATTAGACTTTATAATAGCTAGAATTCTGTATTTATTATATTTATTAAGTATAGTAAGCCTGTCTGTTTAATTTACTCATTTTGTATTATTTTGAAGTAATTTTGTTTTTTCAATGGTATACTGAATAGTTGATATAGGAATTTGAAGTAATTCTCTAATTTTAGTTTAGGAAATCTCTATATAAGCTGAATTATATATATAATTGTTAGTATAGGGATTTAGTTCGGATGTTTGTATTCTATTTAGATTTATTGTCTCTCGAGATATTCGACAAGCTATTTGTTGAAGAAATACGAAATCGGTAGAAAAACCTGTGCTCGCGGATGACACGTTTTACACGGAACCTTTCAGGCGGGGACTGTAATTTGGACAAAAGCCCCAGGTCTAACACAAGCCTTCAAGGCAGCAATTCTCGCTGTATCGGTGGGTCATTGTAGCATTTGTCTATGACGTCACGTGGTGAAATGCAATTATCCGGAGAGAATAGAGATTGATCGCGATTCATTTAGCCAGAGCGTATAGATTTCCCATGCAGGAAGAGGACGTCGATCATTCCCATTTTCGTCGGTCTATGACTCTGTACAGAATTTTCACTGAATTCAACAACCCCAAGCGACGAAAAAGCGGAGAACCTCCAGATTATGGGTTGAGAATTGTGGAGAAAAACCCACACCCCGGCTGGGCAGCGTTTGGGCGTTTGCTTGTCTTCATCCCGATGATTCGGGAGAATTTGCCGATTGGTTCCACATAGTGGAATTGGGAACCAGATCGCTTCTACGAAAGAACGTGTTGGAAATTCTGAAGGGCACTCGCTAATTGAAGCCAAGAAGCACTACGCTGCACCGTGTATATGACGGTGTCGGACGGAAGTTGCACCGCTCCACTTACTGCGGCATTTTATTCTGCCATGATGGCATCGATGCTGGGACGTGGGAGACATAAATCCAGCATGCGTGCCACTGGATATTCTGTCCCTCTGGGCTGAAGTTCATAGTCTGTTGGCCAACTTGCAGCAATGCCACCCTACTCCTCATATCTCGGTGCTGTCAGCGCATTTGCGTTGGCCGCTTTAGGCGAGTCGCGCTCGTCATGGACTTTGGGACAGGGTATTGAAGTCAATTGGCAGTCAAGTTCCCAGCAATTGTCAATTGTACAAGCTAATAAGACCCTGCTCGCTACCGTCCCCGGCCAAAACTTCCTCAGTGCAAGTGCTGGGAACGACCAATGGGTCGGTGCGAATGGCAACTTCAACTATACCAACGTTGACCGCAACCGTTGCCAGGGTCAAAATGTCACTGGCATCACCCACTCCCCGCGTGACGATAGTATCAATGGTAGGGACGTGTCCATCCAGGGATACTTGCAACACTGTGGGGACCAATCTATCCCTTATACCATGAACTTCTGGGTGCCCAAGGCCCTTCCGGATCGTGTGGCGTTCGACATCAATGTCGAGCCTGGTCTCAAGCGCACCTCTCCAATGAAAAAGCTGTATGTGACCTTTGGCTCTGATGCATCCGAGGACTTCTATGGTCTAGGTGCTCAGGCATCCTTTGCGTCCATGAAAAACCAAACTATCCCCATCTTCTCCCGTGAACAAGGGGTGGGCCGTGGCGATCAGCCCATCACCGCGCTCGAAGATTCTCAGAGCTGGTTCAGCGGAGGAAACGAATTCACGACTTATACTGCCATCCCTCAATATATCAGCTCTGCTGCAAGAGTCTTCTACCTTAGGGAAGAAGACACTGCCTTTGCTGAATTCGACTTCACTAAGCCCAATGCTGTGACTGTGAGGTACGATGCTCTGACAGTTGGCGGCCACGTTATGCAGGCGGATAATATGCTCAATGCCATCACAATGCTCACCGACTATGTTGGCAAGATGCCTACCCTGCCCGAATGGGTCGACAACGGCGCCATCTTAGGTATTCAAGGCGGGCAGGAGAAGGTGGAGCGCATTGTGAAAGAAGGTCTGAAGCGGGATTGCCCTGTTGCGGCAGTGTGGCTTCAAGATTGGTATGTTCTTCGACGGATTAAGCCTGTTGACGAAACCTCGCTAACATCTGTAGGTCTGGCACGCACACCCAAGAAGCACCATACGGCAACATGCAAATTTCTCGTCTCTGGTGGAACTGGGAATCCGACAGCAAACTGTACCCAACCTGGACTGAATTCGTGCAGGATCTTCGTGAAGAATATGGCGTTAAGACCATGGCCTATATCAATCCATTCGTCGCCAATGTTAGCTCTAAGGCCGATGGTTACCGTCGCAACCTCTTCCTCGAGGCCACCAAGGGTGGATATATGGTGCAGAATTCGACCACAAACAGCACCGCTATCATCTCCAGTGGCAAGGGAATCCAGGCTGGTATTTTGGATCTTACGAACGAGAAGACACGCACGTGGTTTGCCGATGTCCTCCGCACACAAGTTTGGAACGCCAACATCTCCGGTGTCATGTGGGATTTCGGAGAGTACACTCCCATCACCCCAGACACCAAGCTGGCCAATATCTCCTCCGATGCTTATTTCTATCACAACCAATACCCTCGGGACTGGGCTATCTTCCAGCGCTCCGTTGCCAAAGAAATGCCCCTGTTTGACGAGATGGTCACATTCCACCGTTCTGCCTCGCTGGGCTCTAACCGCCACCTGAACCTATTCTGGGTCGGAGATCAAACTACTGTCTGGGGCGCCAATGACGGCATCAAATCTGCCGTAACGATCATGGGCCAAATGGGCATTTCTGGCTATGCCCAGAGCCACTCTGATCTCGGCGGTTATACCACCGCCTTCCACCCACCTACTGTGGCAAACTCATCCGGCGCCATTGGGCGTTCAGCGGAGATCCTCGGACGGTGGGGAGAACTGGCCGCCGTTTCCAGCGCTGTCTTCCGATCTCACGAAGGCAACGTGCCCGAGGTCAACGCCCAGTTCTACACCAATAGCTCCACATACTCCTACTACGCATACAACGCCCGGATGTTCAAGAGTCTCGGCCCCTACCGCCGTCAAATTCTGAACAATGAAAGCAAAACCCGTGGCTGGCCTCTCTTGAGAATGCCCGTCCTTTACCACCCAGAAGATTCCAAGGCCCGCCAGATTAGCTACCAGAGCTTCTACCTCGGCGCCGATCTTTACGTTGCTCCCGTCTTGGATCCCCAGACGACCAAGTTGGATGTGTACCTGCCCGGCACTGACAGAAACCGCACTTACACCCATGTCTGGTCTGGCAAGACTTACCACGCGGGACAAACCGTGCGTGTCGATGCACCTTATGGAAAGCCGGCTGTGTTTGTGGTCAACCATGCGCATAGCCCCGAGCTGAAGGTCTTTTTGGACTTTGTTCGGAAGGAGAATGGAACTGTCATTCGTGTTTAGATAGCGAGATACCATGTACTACACTTTTAGAGAGGAATGTCAATAAAGAATACCCAAGCTCTAGAAACAACCCAACGTATCCTGACGCTCCAATTGTCCCTAGCTCTCATAGTGCACGTTCTAGAGTGACTCCGTACGGCCTTGGGTGTAAGATAATACTTCCTACCATCTCTCAGTGCTTGAAGTATAGAGCATTGAGTCGGATTAAAGTGGACACACCATGTTCGTACTGACCGTGGTAGTCTAACCAACAGGCATTTATGTCGGTTTTGCTCGCCAGTCCTTTATGAATTCTACAACGCTATAATTCCGCAACAGAAAGCAGAAGAATACAAAGAACAAAGTAATTGCAACCACATACCAGGATATAATTGAAAATTCCAAAAGCACACTGGAAGCCTGTTTCCGAGTATATCAACAACCGACCATTGTGGAGCCCCCGGGGGCCAGCTTACTATTCTGGACTCTTTCAGACAGCTTGTCCAAGTAAGGTGCTTATTCAGAACCTAATCTAACGCCCCATGGAATGATAAGGTCACTAGAGGAGCAACTAGTAGGGAATAGCCAGCTTCTATTGGATCATACTTAGGTTGAACTACTCGGCATGCACGATCTGCATCTAAGCCTGTACTTGATCCCATTGGTCGTAGCGTGGGCTTTAATATACGCCGTACTTCGTATATCGGAGATTGTGCTGTACTAGTTGTGTGGACCATACATGTTGGGTTTATTTCAATCCACTATGGCTGCCTTTGATTTCTTTCGGAGTCTTGGTCGTGAACGGTTATAGGATGGAGAGAACGGGGCGACTAATGTCTACTCAGTGTTTTTGTATTATTATCAGGTAGTTGGGTTCATGTATTGCTTGCTATGTGTTTTGGATCCCTCCGGTCTGCAAGTGGTGAAATGGGAGAGATCGGTGGTTATGTCAGTTGACGCACAGCTCTGTCGCATCGTCATGTCGATGTATAAGTTTCCTTCGTTGAAAATTAAAAGAAATCGTGAGGTGTTCAGAATAAGAAAATGATCCTCAGTGTTGATATGCTGTTAGGGGAAGATATTCAAAAGGGTCGACGAGATGTCCCAAGTCTTCTATCAGTCTTACGGAGGAATTGATTCCCCTACACGACACTCCTACGACGAATGCTCAGATATTGCTTGAAGGTGGTATAATGAAATTAATTAACTGAAATATAACAAGGCATCATGATACAGTCATAACTTTTTCCCAAATCCCAATGCATATTACATTTACTTCTGGTTCTCAGGGCGAAGGGAGCGAACGGCCTTTCCAGCGCGCCAGATCTCGAGATCACGGATTTCCTGCATCTCCTTCTCGTACTTCTCGCGGTAGTCCTTCTGGGAGTTGTAGTCCAGAGAACGCTGGGTCTCGGTGCCGTCACGCACGCTGTCGTAGAGCTCGTTGAAGAGGGGCTTGAGGTTGTCCTTGAAGCGGCTGGACCAGTCGATGGCACCACGACGGGCGGTGGTGGAGCAAGCAGCGTACATCCAGTCCATGCCGTTGGCACCGATCAAGGGGTAGAGAGACTGGGTGGCCTCCTCAACAGTCTCGTTGAAGGCCTCGGAGGGGCTGTGGCCACGCTCACGGAGGACCTCGTACTGGGCGAGGAACATACCGTGGATACCACCCATCAAGCAACCGCGCTCACCGTAGAGGTCGGAGTAGACCTCCTTCTCGAAGGTGGTCTCGTAGAGGTAACCGGAACCGACGGCAACACCCATGGCGATGGCCTTCTCCTTAGCCTGGCCGGTGACGTCCTGGTAGACGGCGATGGAGGAGTTGATACCACGGCCCTCACGGAAGAGAGTGCGGACGGTACGGCCGGAACCCTTGGGGGCGACGAGGATGACGTCAACGTCCTTGGGGACGTCAACCTTGGTGAGCTCCTTGAAGACGGGGGAGAAACCGTGGGAGAAGTAGAGGGTCTTGCCCTTGGTGATGAGGGGCTTGATGGTGGGCCAGGTCTCACTCTGGGCAGCGTCGGAGAGGAGGTTCATGATGATGGAACCCTTCTCAATGGCGGTGTTGACGTCGAAGAGGTTCTTGCCGGGCACCCAGCCGTCCTGGATGGCCTCCTTCCAGGAAGCACCATCCTTACGGACACCAACGATGACGTTGAGGCCCTGGTCACGGAGGTTCAGACCCTGACCGTGACCCTGAGAACCGTAACCGATCAGGGCCAGCGTGTCATTCTTGAAGTATTCCTGGAGCTTCTCACGGGGCCAGTCCTCACGCTCGTAGACGGTCTCTTCGTGACCAGCGAAAGAGATGTTCTTGACACCACGGACGGGGGTGGAGGACAGAGTCACACGGGGGAGGGCATTGGCAGCAGCCTTAGCCAGAGCGGGACGAGGGAGGGCAGCGGAGACGACAGAGCGAGGAGCGGCAACACGGGCCAGGCGGAGGGCGCGGGGGAGTCCACGAGCAGCCATTGTGAATTGATATGGAGGAGTTGAGGAGAAGGAAGGAAGGGTGAGGGAAAGAGGGGAGATTGGAATGGAATTGATAGAAAAAGAGAATGGAGAAGAAGAGAGAAAGAGGAGAGCTGGAGGTGGACGTGACTCGCATTTTAAGCTGGTTGCTGGGGTCGTCGGGGAAACACGTGATCCGGAGTTGCTGCTGACCTCCCCGGCCGATGTCGGATTGGAAGCTCTCTGATTGGCGAGGAGAGGGACGAGCGGGATTATGTCAGCCCTCAATCGGGGCCGTTTTTGTCTTGGGGAAGTCTTCCTTGTAGTCATCAAGTGCTACTCCGTATCGTCCGCAACTCGTTTCCGTGGAACGCTTGGACTTGGTCGCCCCCCCGAAGTCGAAACAATAGTCTATTCTATGACAGAAAGACCCCTGATACTACAAGATGGTGAGTCATGGGCTAGATTCTCCGATCTCGAACCTCCCAAAACTTATCTTATTACCCCACGTTCTATGTCTCTCGAGTCTCACTACTACGTACTGTACTACTAGTAACAACGACCTCAAGATTCCATGGTCTACGCACTAACCCCAAAACAGTCCCACGCACACGATGCCTCAGGTGTCGGGCGGTAACTCTCCACAAAACCATCGCCAACGGGCCTTATCATCAGAATTCGCGACGAACTTCTCTTTGCTGTTAAACTTTTTCCCTGCGTGTAGCTGATGGTCCCCACTTCCCATCGTGATCTTTTTCTTTTTAGTGGGTAACTTGGGTATGATCTGGCAATAGTATTCTCTGTTATCATCCTGACTATTTATTCCTGATTTTTAAACCCCCCCCGCCCATTCCTCGCTATGTGTTGACCATGACTTACTTATCCCGACTCGGTAATATACCAATCATCCAAACGCGGAAAGCGTTGCTTCTCCTGGACTTTCAAAATGACTTTGTGCGATCGTCGGGAGCTTTGCATGTTCCAAACACCGCCGAGTTCTTAGAAATCCTCCCCCAGTTGGCGAGCGCTTTCCGTCGTACTGGCGAAGTGATCTGGGTACGCACGCAATTTGAGTCATGCCGACCATGGGTCACCCCAGACGAACAGGAATATGTCGTGTTGGCTCCCGAGCCGGCGACCAAACGACCTCGGTCGGATAAACCCCCTGGCCCAACCAGCGAAGATCCCCAAGCCCCCGTGGATGAGGAGGCTTTTCTGTCGAGCGAAACATTCAAATGTTGTCGCCCACAGACGCCAGGCGCACAGTTCCCCGCGCCTATTTTAGCCGCCATTGATGCCGAGTCGGACACCCTGGTAGACAAATCCGACTACTCCGCCTTGCAAAATCCAGGCCTAATCCTTTCTCTCCGGACTCGCTTTGTGACGGAATTGTATCTGTGCGGTTCTCTGTGTAACGCGTCGGTGTATGCCACCGCTCTCGATGCCGTTCGGCACGGCTTTTCGGTCACCTTGATCGAGGATTGCCTCGGTTTCCGCAGCTTTCCCCGCTATGAAGAGGCCATGCGACGCATGGCCGACATATTCGGGGCCAATGGCATTACGACGGAGGAGCTCTACGAAGAGCTCGACTGGCAGGAAACCGACGCCATCGCACGCAAAGGCGGGAACAGACCGGTTCGGAATGCGACCTCCTCCGGGATCGAAGGGGTCATGGATGATCTTGACGTCAAGCCAGCCAAACCGGCCCGAGTGGAAGAACCCGAACCAATCGAGCGGTTTGTCCCGCCCCGTGGCCTCGCCGCCGGCCTGGGTGAAGACCCGCTGGAAGATCATGACGATATTCTGGCTTCGGTGGCTCGCACCCGCCACACTCGGGCGGCGGAGAAGGCGCAGAAGGCACGCGTGAAAGCGCGCCGGACGCAGAGAGTAGATTCGAAAACCGGATCCACGTCGCCCACCGACAGTCGACGAAGCACGAAATCCAAACCCTCACGCGATGTTCGTAAACCGGGGGATGCGATCGGGGAAGGCGATTCGCGTATCGTCTATGATTTGGATCTTCCCGCCAATGCTTTTGAACAGATTCGCACGGAAGTGGCCTGGCAGAAAATGTATCACATGTCCGGAGAGGTGCCGCGTCTCGTCGCTGTTCAAGGGCAGCCACTGTCCGATGGCTCGATCCCCATTTATCGTCACCCGGCCGACGAATCGCCACCATTGCAGCCGTTCACGGCCACGGTGGACCGAGTACGCACGATCGTGGAACGCATCCTGCGGCATCCCCTGAACCATGTTCTCATTCAGCTCTACCGTGACGGGCAAGACCGTATCTCGGAGCATTCGGACAAGACGCTGGACATCGTCCGGGGGTCATCAATCTGCAATGTCAGTCTTGGCGCGCAGCGGGTGATGGTCCTCCGGAGCAAAACCCAATCCCCAGAGGCCGACGAGGGGGAGTCCAGTCGAGCAACACAACGGGTGCCGATGCCCCACGAATCTCTGTTCATTTTAGGCGAGAAGACCAATATGCGATGGCTCCACGGCATTCGTCCCGACAAGCGCGCAGACGCGGAGAAGTCCATGGAGGAGCGAGCGTACGGGGGCGAGCGCATCTCGCTCACCTTCCGCCACATTGGCACGTTCTTGAACCCTGCTGGCGACACGATCTGGGGTCAGGGAGCTGTGTCCAAAAGTCAGGACCAGGCCAATGCTGTGATCCACGGCGACCCCGCGGAGACGGAGCGGCTCATTCGCGCATTCGGGGAAGAAAATCGCGCGATTGACTTTGACTGGGATGCCATCTACGGGGCAGGGTTCGATGGGGTAAACTTCGTCACTGCATCGGCGAACAAGCTCGTGGCCGGTGAAGATGTTGTGGCCAATCTGCGAGTGTTGCTCTGTCTGAGCGAGCAGGGCATCCGATACAATCTGGAGACTCCCAGCAGCGAGCGGGACGCCGGGCCTATGTATGTCGATACGGACGGCACAAAGGTTGCTGGGGACATTAATATTCTCACCCACTTGACACGGACTTGTACGGAGTTGAACCGACCCGGGGTCGAGCCGTTACGTGGGGGTGATCGATTTGCGGAGATTGACGAATTCCTGACGAGCTGGCGTGAGCATCAGAAAGAAGAAAAGGAGGGCCATCTGCAGGCTTTGGATACATGGGAGCGGGCCCTGGTTGGAAAGTATTATCTGAATGGGCCCACGTTTGGGCTGGACGACTGTGCGCTTTGGCCGGTCTTGAGGGAGATTGTACAAGCCCGGGGGCCGTTCTCAATGAAGGCCTATCGCAACTTGGCTCAGTACTACCAGCGGGTCGAGAACCGTGGCTTCGTCAAGAAATCGCTAGAGGAGTTGAAGTAATCTTGGTTATACGTTGGTTCAGATCTATTTCACGATACGATGTTATGAAGACCATGGCGTACCTATAATTGCCGACGGATCTGGAATCTGTCTTTACCCAAATTGTCATTTGGATGCGTGGGTATCGAGAACTATATACATAATACGCAATAGCTTATTCCCTGCCAATACAACTATTTTCGCCACAAGCATTGCCATCTACAGACAGTCGCCCGGGAAATCCGTACTGGTCAAGACATCCTTAAGCGCGGCATCACTGCATGCCACTGCTTTCAGGAATGCATCCGCCACGACCTGCGCCCCTTCCGGGCTGGTATGGGTGTGGTCATTGGGGTAGTAGGAGTTGACCGTGTCCGCGCCTAATGCCTCATACCGGGCGGCCACGTAAGCGCCGTGGTCCACATAGTCCACACCGGCCGTTTCGGCTGCCAATTGCGCGTACTCGACAAAGCGAGACGGCGAATAGGCATACTCGCCCGTCTCCCAGACATTGTTCGGGGTCTGGCTCGAGATGAGGACCTTGGCTCCTTTGTCCACGAAGGTCTTGGCCGCGTTCTCCAAGTATGCCGGGAAGGTGAGGACGGTTTCCGCTTGGCCGTCGTAGGTGGTCTCGCACGTCTCCGAGCCCGTCCCGGGGCAGTCGGTGCGACCGTTGTCGGTGCTCAGCGAGCCGCCGTCGTTGTGTCCGAACTCGATCACCACGTAGTCACCTTCTTGTAGGACGTCGGCGATGGCGTCGAAGCGACCTTCGCGGGTATAAGAGCGGGCACTACGGCCGCCGATCGCTTTGTTGGAGACGGTAACAGACACGTCGTCGACATACTGTCCCCATCCTACGGTTGTCAGCTCACATCCACATGCGGTGCTGTTCGGGGCATTCTCACCATCGATACCTGACCCGCCACCGCTGGCAGCCATGGTCGAATCTCCGGCCAGGTAGATAGTGGCGCCCAGGACGCCGGGAAGAAGGGATAAGGGCAGAAGAACGGATCTCATGATGGAAATAGTGATATTTTGCAATGCAATAGCCGTACAATGAAGAATCTATAGATCATTAACTGCAAGTACACGAGCAGCAGTATCATATTTATACCCAGAGCCAAGGCCAAAACCCCTGTCACAGAATATCTGCATTTCAGTAGGAATAACCCCAAACAGGAAAAAGACCCAGCAGTAGACCACAAAAATAATAAAAAATAAAATAGAAATAGAAAAACAAAACCCCCCTAATCGCTACATCTCCCATCTCAGGTACAAAAAAAGCGTATCAGCCACGGACCGACGGAAGTTTCAAAGACTGTGACTCCTACTCCTCCCCCAAACACACAACGCAGCAGGTCAAACCCCACCCCCGTCCTTCCGTCATTGTACATCAGTTACTCGGGGTCGATCCCTTCATGTCCCCCTCTCCGTCATGCATAGATTACCTGCGGTTCTATTTGTGGGAACAGACGCCCCGTCCCTTCCCCGCATGTTTTATTTGTGGAGAACGTGGGAAGCTTATCCACTTCGTGAAGAATTGTGTTAAGTGACGTACTTTTCGGGGGTGCCTCTTCTTCTTTCCCCGCTTTGCGGCTGTTGTTGTCTCTTGGACTGTTAATAGGGTTGGTTTTTTTCCACCAACGGGTTCTCGTTCGGCGATGTGGATGTTCGGGGTGCTTTGGACCGAGGGGCTGAAGGTCCATAGTTGTGTGGTGTACGGGGTGTAGATCATGTATGGCGTAGAGGTTTAGCTATGAGGGTGGGAGATGATATCAATCAACAATGAATAGGGTCTATGTATGATACAGTACGATCTTGTCCAGTGCAATATACTCCATCTATAGAATCTACAGTAGTTTAGATGGTCATTACAACTTCTCAAACGTAGGCTTCCTCTTCTGAATGCCCGACAACAACGCCGCACTGACATCCTTGGTCTGCAACGCCGCACTATTCCACACACTCGTATACCGAAGACCTGAACATTGAGTCAGCACACTTCGCAAGCCCTACTTAACCTTCAACCAGCCGCAAAAAGCCACAAGGCAGGCAGAGAAAAAGAAAACGAACACCTACCATCTTCCACACTCCGATCCCGACTCCAATTCAAAATATCCTTCGTCCCATGCACAGCAACCGGACTCTTACTCGCAATCAACCCAGCAACCTCCAACGCCCCCTTCAGAACCTCCTCCTTAGCCCCAAACACCCGACTAACAAATCCAACCCGCTGCGCCTCCTCGGCCCCAAAGACCCTCGCACTCAGAGCCACCTCCTTCACCCACCCGAAATTCCCCACCACCTTCGGCAACCGACTCAACGTCCCAATATCCGCCGCAAGACCAATATCCACCTCCTTCACGGCGAACTTGGTATCAGCAGCACAGAGCCGGATATCCGCGGCCGTGGCGATGTCGACCGCCAGACCGAGGGAGAAGCCGTGCATGGCCACGATGACGGGTTTCTCGCAGCGCTCGATGGCCGAGATGCAATCTTGGAAGGAGCTGATGTGGCGACGCAGGTGGAAGGCTTTGCGGGCTGGGTCGGTTTGACTGTCGTCCGAGGAGAGGAGGCCCTGGCTGGCGGCTTTGACGTCCAATCCGGCGGTGAAGGCTTTGGGGCCGGCGCCGGAGAGGATGATGGCTCTGACGGTTGGCGAGTGGGAAAGATGATTGAAGATTGTCTGGAGTTCGAGCCACATTCTTTTTTATCACATGTCTTGTTAGTTTTGGAGGCATTATGGCGTTGGGGGATAGGTAGGGGGTAGGTGGGAGTTACGCTTCAAAGAAGGAGTTCATTTTGTCAGCGCGGTTAATTTCGACATGCGCGACATATTCTTGGGGGTAGGTTAGGTTGAAGTATTTGGGGGTTAGGGTTGGGGTCGTCATTTTGGATTGCTGGTCTGGTTTCGGTGTATGTGTTGGTTTTTGGTGTTCTTGGTAATACTGAGGGTAGGGATAGTAGACTGAGTGGATTGTTGGACTGTACAATGATATATTATGGATTGGGAATGGTATGTATAGTACCAGGATACTGATATGTACAACAATGTGAATATGTACAGGAGAAGAATTGGAGGACGTGGAATGAATAGGACTATGATCTCTGATCTGATCTGATCTGATAACCGTCGGTTGAGCTTCACGTGCCTCGGTTCGCGGAACTGGTCAAGGTCACATCCATGGATCGGTCATTCCATACATACGGAGTAACTTCAGGCTATTACTCAGTTCGGTAGAAGAAATATCAGTTCTTGTGGTGTCTTTCCCACTTAGTAGGTGAATGTTTATGATTGTATTTGTATGCACATTGTGTCTGATGTTGTCGACTTTCATAGAGTGGAATTGGGAGGGGAAACTCACATGATGTCATTTGATAGCATAATCATTTGTATGGCTCGGCATTTACATGGCTTAGTCAGGTGTTTATACATCGTTTCAAGACTACTGTATGGCCTGCGTTGCTACGGTTGTAGAAATTTACTGGAGAGTAAGGTTCAGGTAAATCATTAATTAAGGCATTGGAACTGATAAGTACAAAGAGGCAGAATTAAGAAATGCCAGCACATCCATCATCCACCGCAATCGCGCTCCAGAGTAAGGAATGGACACGATTCAACTTCTTCAACTTCAACGACTGAGGTAGCAAAAGGTTTTTTTTTTTTTTTTTTTTTTTTTGGTTTGAATCGAAAGTCGAGAAAGAAAACATCATTGTTGGCGCCGTTCAAACTGATTGTTTAACTCCCATGCAAGGTTCGTAACTCGTCTCATCCCGCAGCTCGTTTACTCGATGGTGATCTTCTTGCCGGTGTAAGCAGCAGCCTTGGGCACGACCAAGGAGAGGATGCCGTTCTTAAGGCTGGCCTTGACGTTTTCCTGGTCGACGCGAGACGGGAAGGTGAAGGTGCGGTGGAATTCGCCAACGGAGCGCTCGCTAACCCAGTAGCGAGGCTTGTCCCCGTTCTCCCTCTTGGTCACTTCCTTGCTCTCACCCTCCTTGGTTTCGCCAGCCTCGGGGGTGTGGTATTCGCGCTCAGTGCGACCCTTGATCACGAGGGTCTGTGGGTCAGAGAATTCAATGTCGATGTCCTTCTGAGCAATGCCAGGGAGTTCACCATCGAAGTGGTAGGCATCGTCAGTCTCGCGGACGTCGAAGCGAGGTGCAAAGGAGCGCACGCTGGAAACCTGACCACGGCTCTGACGGTGGGTGTCGTAGTCGTCCAGAAGACGGAAGAGGGGGGAGAAGTCACCAGCGGTAGGCATGGTTCTGAAGAGAGACATTTTGGTCGTGTGTTGAGGTAGAGTGTTTAGAAGAGTAAGTAGAGGCAGGTTTGTTTTGATCGTAGAAGTAGTAGTAGTGGAAGTAGTGTTTGATTTGTAGTCGATTGCTGTTGTGTTCTTGTGTTTGCTTCTTGTTGTTCTGATGAAGAGAAGTGCAACTTGACGAGGCCTTGAGCCCCCTTATATCTCTTGTCAACCATGTTCCAGAAACTGCGATTCACCAGCAGCTGACGTGCTGGTGGCATCACTTCAGGATGGCCCTGGGCGGTGCCTGAGGTGTCGAGAACTTTCGAGCTGCCACTCGACGCCTCTGGTTGGTGCGGGAGCCTTCTGGGCGTTTCCATGTATCACGTGATGACGATCACCGTTGGCACCACCACGCTTCCCCAGGTGGAGTCTCCGGCCGGCTAGAACCTTGAACCTTGGATAGCTCGTATCTTGAATCATACGACGTCTGCAGTGCGACCCAGTCTGATTGGCTGTTAGACCTCCAGATAGTGATTCATAACTTGGATATCTAGAAAATACTATACACCTTTCGCACTTCTGACAAGGTTCTGGACACTTCCAAAGGGCTGAAAAGCAGGGCAGTCCATGCCCAAGTCAACACTATAGAAGGATCTTCTATACATGAACTTCAGTTCCATGCGAGCATTAATCAAGTAACAACCAAGTAACATCCAGTGCTATTGGCAGACCCTGAAGCTCCTCTACTTCTCTCTTGATGCCGATCCTAGACAGTACGATAAGAAGCACAGAACCCATCTTTGCCACTTCCCTGAACCAAACCTCCCCTGGGTATCAACGCTGTTGACCAGGCCGAGTCATTGGCCAATTACACAATGATATACATGGCAACTCGTGATTTCAACGTGTGGCGATGTTCTCTTTCGATCGTTGGTAGTCGTAGAGCAGTCGCACTGTCGTTGTACAAGGCTTCGGACCCTCCTCGTCCCCTCGGAGCGTAACGACGAAAGGATGGCGTCTGTGTGGATATGATAGGATGGAAATATATCGAAACATCCAGGTAATTCATTCATCAGATTCCGACTCATCGGGTTGCATGACCTTTTCATCGAGTTCCTACGTGTTATCGTCAGTATAGTGGCCAACCCAGCCGTCTGCTGAGGCATACCTTTCCCAGCCGTATCTTCAGGTTCTGCAGTTGGCTCTCCTTGATAACCAGGTGGCGGTCATCATCCAGGTCCTCCACAATGTAGTCATGTCTTTCTTCATCGTACTTCAAGATAATAGCTTTCACGGACGGGTCACATTCGATCAGGACTCCTGTCGGAGCCGCATGTTAGCTCGGTCGCAAGGGATGATAGGAGCAGTATGCACATACCTCGAACAGCACGGGGCATTTTGATAAAATGTAGAGCGGTAGAAATTCAGTAGCTGGTAATGTGGACGTGTGAATGCGTAGCAAGTCGCGAAAGCGATGAGGTCGCGATGGTCGCGGAGAAAATCTGTGGAACATCGTCGACTTACCGCCAAGACACTGTCAGGCACCCAGGCAGGAATCCTATCAAGGCTTCCAGAGAGGCATATTCTAACCAGCAAGCCACAGGATTCTGATGATGTATACAATCTTTTGTAATATGCTATATATGCTTAGACGTTGGCTTTTGTGTGAACATTATCGGATTTTTGTCATATTCATCCTGGCAACTGCAAAAGACAGCGGGCTAGGGCTGTGGGAAGATATATATCTTTGAGTAGCGATCACTACTATATGGAAGATCATTAGTCGCTACATCACAGAGCATCTTATTTGGACTTCTCGTCATATATAACCAATAGCATGTGCTTAATTCGTATACTCAACTAGAAAAAGCCCCTCTATCTACTTTATTGAACGTAAAAACTTACGTTAAAAAGTTGACCCTATGTAACGTTTGTATAACTGTTATTTAGCCTAATATAATTTAGAGAGTCGCTGTTTCTCAACAATTGGCCGGATGGTGTAGTTGGTTATCACGTATCGTTAACACCGATAAGGTCCTGGGATCGAGCCCCAGTCTGGTCATTGCTTTTTTCTTTTTCTACACACTTTCTTATCCGTTGTTCCAAGGATCGCATCTCTCAATTTCCCTGAACCTTTCCTTTTGTCTTTCCTTTCCTCATTTATTAAATATTTTCTTTAACATCAACCGACCATGTGCCAGTAATATGTTTCTCTTTCTTTCGCATATTTCATTATCCCGGCATCTGTGAACCCCTGTAGCTGATATCATTGATTATCTTATCTCTGGCCCTGATTATAAATGCTTATCCGGCGCCATCCACTCGTGCTTATTTATGTACCCGTGCATATTTCCCCAGAGTAGCACGTTTAAATCCTCATGTTGCACGTCATCCCAATTGACAGTCAAATGTGCCGAAACGAGGGGAAATTCGAGATCTTTCCCATACCACCCTTTTAGTCCTCCATACACCTGCACTATGGTTGCCGAACAGCATACGGAGGAATTGCCCTCGGAGGCAACGCCTCTCCTTAATAATTCGCCCGCCGAAGTGGACGAGAGCAAGGTCCCTATCTCATTTACTAGAGGTTTTACAATTGTTTCGGCAATGGGATTCCTCCTCTTCACACAAGGTATCCCCGACTTAGCATGCAACCACCTTGGGGCTGCAAATGGCTGAGCCCGTTCATAGCTACCAACATGTCCATGATGACAACGGCACAGTCGGATATTGCAGCGGATCTAGATGCGTTTTCAGAAACAACATGGTTTACTTCAGCTTATCTAGTACGTTTAAGCTCATCGTGATGGCTTATGCACAGTCTTTGAGTTAACCCGCCTTTGTCGGTAGATTGCAATGTCCAGTGTCACTCCACTCGCGGGTCGGCTGTCTCAGATATTTACCCCCCGTGTATACGTCCTCTTCTCTTGCGTGCTTCTATCAATAGGCCTCTTTGTCACCGCAGCAGCTAAGAATCTACCCGTCTTCCTTTTAGGGCGGGCACTGACTGGATGCGGCGGCGGGGGTATAATGGTTACAACAATAATTCTTACCCTTGACCTGACCAGCAAAAAGCGGAGAGGGCTATACATTGGGCTGATCAATGTGGGAATGACGACCGGTGTCTCTACCGGCGCGGTGCTGGCCGGATTACTGACGCCAGCTTTTGGATGGGTATGTTGCCCTAATACTACCTCGCAAGGACCACCCCCAACTAAAGATCCTCCCAGCGCATTATCTTCTGGTTCCAAGCACCGCTTTGCTTCATTCTGGGCCCGATTCAGTACCTTGCCATTCCCTCCAGCCCAACTGACGATGAGCCCCTGTGGGGTCGTGCCTTGGTGCGGAAGCTGGCCAAAGTCGACTATGGTGGAGCCTTAGCCTTGGTAAGGACATATCGGCGAGCTGATGTGGTGATGGTAACTGACTGTCCATAGAGTATTTCCGTATTTTTGCTGCTCTTTAGCCTTGCATCACCAGAGATTCAACTTGCGCCGTTGATCTTGTCCGCCGTCCCCTTCGCCGTATTCTTGTTGATTGAATCCCGATTTACATCGGAGCCCATAATCCCGGTAGAGGTCCTTGGCATGCGAAGTGTTGTCCTGACCTGTCTCTCGGGCCTTGCTTCAATGATGGCTCGCTGGTCAGTTCTCTTTTTCACACCCGTGTACGCAATGGTCGTCCGAAACTGGTCCCCTGCCTCCGCTGGCCTGATTCTAGTGCCGACAAATGCTGGATTCGGGCTCGGGGGTCTCCTCGTAGGTTGGTTGCATATTCGTCAAACTGGAAGTTACTATATGTGAGTGTTCCCAATTCATGCCCTGCCATTACAAACCCTGCTGACTCGTTCTTCGAACACGAATAGTTCGAATATCATCGTATTCTTGTCGTTTGCACTGGCAAACCTCGTCCTCGCATTTCTCTCAACACCTTCCTCGCCTACTATCGCTTACCTGGCCGTGACATTCTTTAACGGCCTCGCGGCCGGCGCTTTGATGAACTACAGCCTATCTCATCTACTGCATCTCACGAGATCAGACGTGCATTATGTCGTGAGCGCCCTGATTGCTATGTCGAGAGGCTTTGCAGGAAGCTTCGGCTCTGCCATTGGCGGAGGATTCTTTCAACGCGAGTTAAAATCGAGCTTGACGACCGGCTTCGCAGCTCATGGTCTGCCAGAACAGGATGACCTTATCCGCAAGCTGCTCGGGAGCCCGGCCATGGTAAAGACTTTAACTGGAGTTAAAAGATTAGTCGCGATACAGAGCTATGAACAAGCGGTCAAAACGCTACTGCTGGGTAGCTGTGTTCTGGCTCTGGTAGCAACGGTCGCCCAGGCGGGTACAGGCTGGAAACCTGCCCGGGATGATGGAAAAGTGCGGGATGATTTGGAGAATACGGTAGAGCGGGAGTAGGATCCCGATTTCTTTGCTGAAGTCTGTATATATGGCCATATATTTATTATTTGTCGGGTGAGCTGTCTCTGCAGGATGGTTGAGCGGCCAGATCCATTGGAAAGATTCCTCCCTTTCGTTGAGTGGTGGAGCCCACTAAAAAATGTGTACAAAGGTAGCCATACTCAAAAAAGCATATTACTCACAGCCATGACGAGTGCGATCCTAGAAGTACAGAGAGGGTGGCCAAAGTCCATATACAAAGATATCCAAGCCAACCATCTAGTCTATTACTATGCCACAATTACCCCCCGAATAGGTAAATGCTGGTAGAATAGAGTTGATCGTGATGCCACATGCCGGCATAAAATGTACACAGAAGAGATTACCAATCGGCTGTTGTAATGGAGTAAATTCCATGAAGGCAGAGTGGATGGCCATTGTGATGGATTACATTATCTCGGCGGATGATATCCGCAAAATTTGATTATCGCGATCTCAACATCAATCTCGGCTCAACGGTTTTCGGCCACCCGTGGGCTCTCATATGAAAGGAAATTTATCTTGAATGGATAGATAAAGCCCTGCAATAAGTAGATGCTAAGCAGCCCGGTAGCCCATAACCTAGAATTCTGATTCTTTCAGACCCACCGAAAACATGCCCTCGATAAACAACATGGTCAATCTCAGCATAACATCTGCACGCCTTCTACTCACGGCGGCAGTATTGCTACCATACATACTTATCGTCAAGCGCCTTCGTTTCCAACGTGCGCGCAGAATCGAGGCGAAGTTCAGCGGACGTCCTCTGTCCAGCATGACCGTGAAGGAAGCCCATGAGATCTTCCGCGAGCTGCGAGAACTGGAGTTCCCGTACACCCTCCACAGCGCCATGAAACTATCACTACTGAAAGTGAGTTTTTTTTGTATACGAGGTTGTATCGGAAATTGAAGCTAATAGAAGATTAAGACAGGATCAATACCTACAATGACCAAATTGTTCGTTGCCACTCGTCAGCTCAACGAGAAGAATGCGTCTAAACGAGCTGCGGATACCGAAGTGGTCCTCAATGAGGTTCATGATAGGGAGCCCGGGTCTGAGTCCCATCTGATGGGAATTGCACGGATGAATTACCTGCATGCTCGGTATCGCAAGGCGGGTAAAATCCTGGACGAGGATATGTTGCATACCCTTGGATCTGCTGTTGTGGATATTGTCAGGGGTGTCGATAGGAACGAATGGCGTCGGTTGACAGATGTTGAGAGATGTGCTATTGGTGTGTTTCATAAGGCCTTGGGAGATGCTATGGAAATTCCATTTACGTTCCTTCCATCTTATGAGACTGGTTGGAAAGACGGGATACACTTCGCCCAGGAACTCTATGACTGGACACTGGCATACGAGAAGGTGGCAGCTCAACCGACAGATTCAACGCGGTACATTGGTCGGAGACTGATGGAATTGGCCAAATGTAATATGCCTGCGCCGCTGAAGCCATTGATTGAAAGCATAGTCGTCACCAAATTAGAAGAACACAGCAGAATAAGTATGGGGTAAGTTTTCCGAGCCTGATCTCTTCGTTAGAGCTACTTTCTAACCTCGGGTAAAGATTCGAAAAGCCAGGTATACTCGTCTCTATATTCGCAAAGAGCGTTCTGGTAGCGCGAAAGTTCATACTGCGTTATCTCAGCTTGCCGAGACCGGATTCCAAAGCTGTGCATGTTTTAAGTGACTCCCCCGACCCATCCACAGGACTGTACACATGGAACCTCTGGATCGAGCATCCATGGTACATCAAACCTACTTTTAAGCATAGATGGGGACCAAAAGCTCTCCTAGTGCGGCTCTTTGGGAATGGGGCTATTCCTTCAGAGACCGACTCGTACAAGGAATCGGGGTACGACCTGCGTACTATAGGCCCTGTAGCACAGGAGAAAAGAGGACAGGATGAGATGGAAGCTATTTTCCAGAGCTTGAAAGGGACAAATTATGCTGCTGCATGTCCTTTCCATGCCTGAAATTGATGGTAGCTAGTGTATAAGGCACTTGAGCTCAGTTGCCTCCTATGAGATAGAAATGATACTACGTTTTTAACTGAATTTGGCGCATTTAATTAAGTTATTAGTATTGACAGCTGAAAGACCTATTTTCAGTCATGGCTAATGTGCTCAATTGGACCAGAAGAATGAGTCTAGGGTTATAGGCAGCGGAGAAGAGTTACAAAAGGGGATAGTTTTAAGAGCAGGACCCATACGTTGCTTATCCTCTCCAACCAGGGAATCGACCCTTGACCCGCAAAACGTTGTTGGTGAGGGCGTCCCAACAAAAGACTCTCGTAGTGTTTCATTTCCCCGATAAATAGAGGGCAGCCATGGAAGCCAGTAGCTTCTTTCTAATGTCTCTTTGTCATCTGTGGTCTTGTTTTATAAGCCGTTTGCCTTGTGCTAGTACTATCGACAAAATGGCTATATCCGATAACTGGATACTTATCATACTGTGCATCCTTGTCGCTGCATACAAAAACTTACCTTTCGTGTGGTTTGTGCGTGACACACTCCATGGTGAACTGATGCAATACAATCTAATATCCCAGCAGATTCGTTTCCTTCGAGCTTTAGTCACACGACTTTTTATAACCCCAATCACACACAAGGAACTGAGTCCAGAATGCCTGTTTCTTCCAGCAATCCACCGGACACGGTCACCACTTACAGAATGCGACTACAATATCCATAAGTCTAACTCGACCTACTTCACTGATCTCGACATTTCACGCGGTAACCTGAGTCTCCTCCTATTCAGCCAACGCTTATCATTCCGCCCTACCCCGACTACCGCAGTCATGATCTTGAGCGGAGTGCAGATTGTCTTTCGCAGGGAGATCAAGCCATACCAGCCGTATGAAGTCTGGTCCCGGGTTCTCAGCTGGGACGAGAAATGGATCTACATTGTGTCGCACTTTGTCAAGAGAGGCGCGTTTCCCCATCGCAAGTTTCTGCTGCAGCCGAATACACCCGGAGATCGTACACGGCCGAAGGCTGGTAGCGATCAGTCACCGGAGAAACAGGTGTTCGCGTCTGCTGTGTCCCGGTATGTTTTTAAGCAGGGACGTAAGACTTTCGCGCCGGAGCAGATGATGGTCGAATGTGGTCTTCTACCTTCCAAAGAGATAGACGAGGGACTGGCTAAGTGGAGTGCGATTGAGGAGCGGAGGAAGCGGGATCTGGAAGCTGCACAATTGAAGATTGGATGGGATGCCGTGCATAATACTTTTGATGGAGATGCTACGAAGGTGCTGGGTCGGTATACTGATCTCTTGTGGCGATAAGAAGAGCACGACTGGAGCTACATGACGCTCATAATGAGCTATAAAGAAAGTGTAGGCTAGAGATAGATAGATACATAGATAGATGAGAAAGAGGAATATGGAGAGTGCCCTGGTAGTCTTCTGACAACAATTTGCCATCAGATTAAAGCCGGTGGGGATCCTGTTGGGTCGAGTGGAGATATTCTCATCAATAAAGTTAGGGTACCGGCGAGATGTGCCCCAACCGTTGGCCCGGTTGGAAGCCGAGGCGATCGAGATTACATTATCACGGCAACCCGCATAAGAATCGTCAACGGGAATGTCAACCTCCGACTTTTCTCATGCGTCTAACGTACCGAACCGAACCTACACTCCACCCTGTGACTGAGTCTAATGACCAACCAGAAACCATAAACGATCAAAATCATATTCCTATCCATTAACCGGGCGCACGGCCCCTCTAGCTAACATGGTGAACCGGCGCCAAACTCGCCAGGCCTCTCGCTTACAGGATGTACTTTCGGCGCGCCAGTATATCCCAGCCGGCCGAGATGGCTTGGGGGAGTCGGAACTCGTACCGAAAGATACAGTAGCTCCTAGCGAAGGACATGAGAAGATCACTTCGCCGCCCGCAGCTCAGAGCTCGGAGTCCCCCACGGAAAAAGCTAACCAGGATACCTTTACAGACAGTATGCCTAAGGTACGCTCTCGATTGCACGTGCGGAGAAGTGCGGGGAGACCTAGACTGGAAGCCAGCAATGGTGGGGCTGTTCTATCAGAGGTATGATTCTGGGGAACTTCGCTTGAAGTTGATGCAAGCTTATCCAGACATAGGATCGTCGAGATCAGATCCGACGCGCTCAACGGACCTACAGACTCAAAAAAGAAGCCACTCTTGAAAAGGCCAAGGAGCGTGCAGCAGATCTGGAAGACAGGCTTAATATAGTCGCTACCGCAATCGCTGACTATAAAGCTGCGTTTCCGTCCGAGCTAAAATCTAGCTACCCTGCGCTTGTTAGACACCTGGATTGCATAAGTGACCTTTTGACCTCAAATTCCGAACCTTTTACACAGTCAAGGACAAAAACTAGTACCCCATCAAGTCTTGATTCTGATAAAGATGCTTCACAACCCAACAATGACACTGCTCCTAAAGATATTCCTAAGATAGATTGTGGATGCTTGAAGGATTACCAACACAGAAAGCACAAGGAGCCTACAGCAGACTCTGTGAAGAAGAGACCTCGACATGTGTCTTTTAGTGAGGAACTGGAAGACAATTCGAACGGCCGTTCAACACGAATTCAGCAAATCGCACAACTACACAGCAAAGACATTCATTACACATACTCGTCCCAAGAAAAAGACTTCCGACGGAGACTCCAGCGTTATAGTCTGGAATACGCCTTTCGCTTATTCACCGATGCACGGTCCCATCCACTTGAGGTTTACCGAGTATTCAGATTGGTTCCCTGTATACAAGACAGGACGCAAATGTATCCTTACTTCCGGAAACTCGTCAGCGCCGGGGCAAAAGAAGCATTGGAGATACCAAACCTTCCACTTTATTCAATCGGCGGTGTTGGAACACATTATCCCAGGAAAGATAGTTTGGGAAACCCCATATATCCTGCTAATACGAGAACCCCTAGACGAGTCCTCGGACTATTCCAGCCTCTAAGAGGAATGGGCGAAGTTGGCCAAGAAACAAATCATCAGAGATTCTTAGAATTGTGCGGATATGGCGGTGAATGGTTTGATTGCCGAGATGTGGAAGGATACCTTAGAGAACAAGGCGTGGATCTGGATGCATCTTCTCTTTTCCCTTCTGTACATGATCAACGGATTCGCCAAATACCGCAGTCAACTGAATCCCACGGACAAAACGGAGACACACCCTCTTACCAGTCGACAAAGGCCTATGATTCCCACACATTTGAAGGTATAGTTAAAGTAGATGTTGCGAGAGCCAGAGCACTGACACTCTCTAGATGCCAACATTGCGACCTTGTCTGGATGTCTCAAAAGTTGTATGCTTGATATTGAGCAGTTTATTAGCAGTATGATGGCCCTTTGTGTTATCCCATTGGTGTTAGCTCTAACATACGCCAGTGCTACTCCGCGGAGTTGTTATCTTAGGCCGGGCGCCCGGTTTTAGACGGACTGACGTCGAAGTTGCCTTTAAAACAGCATTGATGATACACTGATAAGGGGCTAGCTATTTAACTGTGGCTCGCTGCCCTGTCATTGTGATACATTTGATATCTTCTACATATATATACCTCTGCGGTATCCTATCGCCGCGCACGAGGTATTAACGCAATCGGAGGCATATACTATGAACAGCATTCGACTGTAACTACACACGCAATGAAACATATCATGTATCGACACATAAATGGATGAGCAACAGCTATGCAGCCTGACGCTACCTGGCCGCAGAACAAGCAGCCTACAGCTTAGCCTTCGAAGCCACATCGACAGCTGCCCACCACGGCCAACCAACAGGCGCATCACGAGGCATAATTCCCTTAAACTCGGGATCCCTCTTCTGCACAAAACTCTTCATACCCTCTGCACTATCCCGGGACATCAACATACCGAGAAACACCTTCGATTCCAACAAATGGGCCTCTTCCGCGCTCCCGGGAGCCCTATACATCAAATCGCGCATCACCCTCGTACTCACTGTAGATGTGCTTGCGGCAATCTCCCCCGCGATTCTAAGCGCCGATGCAACAGTCTCCTCCGGAGTCGGCAATATCTCCGAGAAAAGGTTGCTCAGCAACGGGTCAGCCGCGGTATAAGTTGCACCAGTCGTCACCAGGTGCAGTGCACGCGACATTCCCACCAGCTTCGGTAGGAAATAGGAACTACAGGCCTCCATTGCTAGCCCACGTCGCGAGAAAGCGAAACTGACTTTGGAGCTCGCGCAGGCTACTCGGATTGTTGCGGGTAGTGTTAGGGTGATTCCGAATCCTGCTGCGGGGCCGTTGATGGCCATTATGGTGGGCTTGGAGCACTTGTGGATTGCTAGGGCGACTCGCCCACCTCTGAAGCATATGAATGTATATTAGTGAAAGACTTTAAGCAGAGGAACTATGATTGATGTAGAAGCACGCACCCGTCTCTGTAGGACTCGATCTTGGAGGGATCCTTCCTCAGGTCATCAATCAGTGTAGAAAACCCGACTCGGAGATCGGCGCCCGCGCAGAATGCTGGCCCTGATCCTGTTACAACTATTGCTTTGACGCGATCATCGGCATCGAAGTATTGGTATGCTGCGATTATCTCATCGATCATCTGCGCCGTTACGGCGTTGAATTGGCGTGGGCGATTGAGTTTCAGGACGACTACTTTGGTAACGGTGGGCGAGAACTCTGGAACATGGGAAATAGATATGGTCTTGAAAGGAAGGGCTTCATAGGATTCTGGTGGGTTCGTTGTGTTTGCCATGTTGTTTGATACTTGGGTGTTGATTGATATTGTAGCCCTGTATTCTGATACGTGGGAAAGGACAGGGAAAGAGCCAGGCCAACCTGAACATTGATATAGATTATTGTATACAATATCATCACAGGACTGTAATGAGTTTTCAAGAATCTCATGTTATTGAAGCCACTTCATGGCCGAGATAATGTAATCGGTCAAGCTATGCAAGACTGCTATCCTGAGCCTCGGCCTTGACGAGAGGATAACCCCTGTGAAATTCTGATAAACATGAAATAAGGAGTTGGTATATTGAGTACATCTGAAAGATGATATAAAGCTTGCGTTTGCTGCTGAACCTTTATGCATGAGCTGTAGGTTACCAGGTCCACTTGTTTGGGTGATATGGTAAAAAGATACAAAGGTATTGTGATGCAAGTGAGAACTTAAAGCAGAATGTGCTTGAACAGAGTGAAGACTGTTTACTTGCAGAGAGGCAATGATAAGGTAAGCGAGTTTGACAACTATCTGGGTAGTGGACGGGGTCCTTGATCAAGGCGAGTTATGGGCCAAAGCAGGCTTTGAACAGTTGACTGAACTAGGCTGTTGCCTCAGCTCACCATATTTCACCGATGAGATTTACTCGTAGGATCCAGGTAGGCAATTTCAACGTCCTTGTCAATCTGAAGAAGTAGACATGCTCATATCTGTCTCTAACCTTACCTTTCGATTTTATTATTCTGCTGATTGTGATGATGCCCTAACCCGAGTCAGTCATTATGATAGTCTCATGGTATAGAGCCCTCCGCCAGTCCATGAAGTAAGGTAATCAGATGACGAATACGGCCAGCAAACTTAATCAAGTGACTGATAGAACTAGGCAAGGGGTGACTTCTATAGACCTTGGCATTGCTATGTGCTACAAAGCACGTTAGCTAGCTAGCTCCATCTTCGCATGATGATCCTGCTATGTTAATGAAGAAAGAGCCCGCTAAGAGTTGAAAACTTGAAATCTCTGCACGGTTGCCACACACAGACCACTCCATGCAGTCTGGAGTCTGGACTCGACTCCACTTCGTGCAACTTAGGCTATTAAAGTTAATTTGGCACTACTGAGGAATGGAGGGCATATCAGTGATCATACCATATCAAAATGTCACCCTAATTCATTCCTAGGCAACGCACTGAGTGGGTCAGGCGGGCGGGCTGTCTGCTACTAAAAATCTTAGATTGTTACGTTCCGGCGAACTAGCGTACAGCCTAGTCGAGATACTTTTTGACCGTCGAGGAGGATCACCCATCCCCTCCCTGGACCATGTCCCGTGTTCACTAGGCCAAAATGGAAGAAGAAAAAAGTTGATACCTCCTACACGTGGCCCGTTTTTATTTTTATCTTTTGGTTCTTACAGCCAGCTTGCCCATCCACACTTCCTAGACCCCCGTCCCGTCTAGAGCAGTCACCCCTCACGAACTAAGCTTCTCCCCATGGTGGACAACAAGAAGGTAGAGGCCAGCATGGCCTATGATGACGAGCGAACAAGCCCCCGTGGGTCAGTATTCGAGGAAAAGGAGGTCTTCAAGAAGACTGATACTGGAGTCAACTTCCGCAAAGTTGGGTGGTTCAATGCGGGCGTGATTTTCACTAAGATCCTCTTTGCGACAGGGGTCTTATCACTGCCGTCAGCGCTGTACTCGCTAGGAGCCGTTGGGGGCTCAATTAGTATCGTGGCTTGGGGATGCTTCAATACTTACTGTTTCGTTATTTTAGGCAACTTTCGCACAAGACACCCTCACTGCCATTCGATCGCTGATATGGCTGAGGTCGTCGGCGGCATAATTGCAAAGGAGGCGACGGGGTTATTGTTTATTATTGCTTACGTTCTGGTGACAGGCAGTGGAATTATTGGCGTGTCGACCGCACTGAATGCCCTTTCGCACCACGCCGCGTGCACTGTCTGGTGGTCATTTCTCGCCACCGTTGTCATTATCGCGACTGCCTCCATTCGCAAACTTGAGCATGTGGGCTGGCTCACCTATGCTGGCTTTATTTCTATTTACGCCGCCGTCTTAATTGTCGTTATCGGGGTAACCACACGAGACCGACCAGCAGCCGCACCTCAGGAGGGCCCATATGAGCTAGGCTACGTGGCCATCAATAATCCCGGGTTTGCGGCCGGTATGGTCGCTTCCTGCACAATATTTGTGTCATCAGCCGGTACCAGTGCCTTTCTGCCGGTCATCTCGGAGATGCGTAATCCGAAAGATTACAAGAAGCCGCTATACTTCTGTATGGTTCTTGTCACCGCTTCGTACCTTGCCTTTAGCTTGGTAGTCTATCGCTGGTGTGGGAAATGGGTGGCAAGCCCGTCTTTGGGGGTGCGTATTACTTTCTTTCCCAGACCCGTCATTCGTATCGTAAATGAGGTGTTAATAACAGGCGTCTTATAGAGTGCAGGACAAACGATCAAGATGGTGTCTTATGGTGTTGCGTTGGTGGGGTTGGTCGTGAGCGCTACGATTTATCTGCATGTAGGTTTCCCCACAGCTTCCCTTTGCCAACCCTATGTAGTTTGTTGGAAGGCTGACTCAGAATGGTAACCCTGAAGGTGGCGGCCAAATATGTCTTCGTACGCATCCTAGGGAATTCGCGGCATTTGCAGGCCAACACAGTCGTCCATTGGGGCACTTGGATCGCAAGCACGGTTATCCTCGGCGCCCTTGCGTTCATCCTAGCAGAGGCGATTCCGATCTTTAACTATCTCATTGCCCTTGTGGGCTCCGTGTGTTTTGCTCCACTCGCCATGAGCCTTCCGGGCTGGCTGTGGCTATACGACCACTGGCACTACAGGAACGGTACTATGAAAGAAAAGATTGTGTTCCTTCTTCATTGTGGCCTGGTGCTGCTGGGCCTTTTCTTTCTAGTTGGAGCGACGTATGGCGTCGTTATCCAGATTATTGATGCCTACAGCTCCGGGACTATTGGTATGTGCTGACGATCCCGCATGTAGGGAAATTATTACTGACATTAGACTTGAAAGGATCGGCATTTAGCTGTGCAGATAACTCAAATTCGTCTTGAGGTAACTGATTGGCTCTATCTCAATCGCAGGCATCAGAACAGTCATTACTTGTTCGCCTGTACTATAAAGCACTCTAGATATTTATTCTTTTTTGCCATATCTGGCAGGGACCATTGTGGCTGCGTTCTATATAGCTTCTTGGGCTCTCTTGCGTTGGAATGTTTCCCTTCTCACTCCATTATTAATTGTAATCCTTGTGACTAGACAGTAATTGATAGTGTGAGGAAAGGCTGTAATTGTATATACTCGACCATCAGAACAAGGTATTCATAGCCTGTTTAAGCCCTAAGCCCTAGGGAGCGCTTTGGTGGAACCCTGTTTGACCACTTCCTCAGCTTGACTGAACTTTCTACTCTTAATTTACGACGATGAGGGGATTATATGCCCCACATTGCCCAAGACAAAAACGGCTCATGGGTGCGGATGGGCTTCCGCGACAGGCGTTATTGATTAATCCCCCCGTCGAATCCTTCACGACTCCACCGACCCGTCACAGAATGTAACGACAAGTTTGTACCTTAAACAGCACCAAAATGGTATACTCGACGAGGGTTGAGAATCTACATTAATGCTGCTGCCAAAAATTAAGTAATGGAAAACATTTCCGTTGAAGATACTTTGCAGGCAGTTTGACGATCTACGTTAGCGTTACATGGCCTGTGGATAACGTATCAAAATGAGCTTAGACACTAGAGAATATTATTGCGTAACGTAATATTAATGCTTAAAAAACTCTAGATAACTTCCACTAATAGGCTAAATCAGAGTCCGTCAGTTGTGGATTCAGGTTGATCAAACCTTTACCCCCTTCTGGCTCCACTTGCGCAGGTCCTCATTTGCATTATTCACCCGAGAATCCTTAACGTCTGAAGGGCCGCTATAACTGCGTACCTAAATACCCGTTTCATGCTTCATGGTGTCGGGAGCGGGCCGTTGGGACGGGTTAATGCGACCTAAGGCGAATAGGTCAAACACGATGGATCTAGCGTATTGGGCCACCTAATCCATTCTCCTAATCCCTAACCTGAGTAGTGTGCATGGTGGCTCAGATTATCGCAAAGGCAGAAACATCATCGTGTCCCTTTGGGTGGTGTTAGAGAAATTTGATGCAGGAGATGTGATGGACGCACTGATATCTACTATCCCACCTCTTCTCGCATCCTCTCATCTCGTCTCCAATTCCTTCTGGTGGTCGTCCGCTTCGTGGACGATCGTCTCTGAGTTAGTAGCCTAGGTTTTACCAAAGACTATGGCCACAAATGCTTGCTTTTACCGATCGACTTGATACTCCCCTGTATACTGGTCGTCATCTAGGGTTCTTGACAGCCCTACCGAACCGATATGACTGTAGAACCTGTGATCCCACCGCCTCCAGGGCTCACCTCCAATTTCGAACATCCGACCGACGTCCTCCACACGGTCAATTTGGTAACGCAACTCTTGTGTATCATCGTTGTGACAGTTGCTGTTGCATTGCGCATCATTATCAAGATACGCCTTAGAAAGAAGCTGGAATTGGAAGACTGTTAGTGAAGCGCTAGCCCTTTGCAATGCGTAATCTATCATACTGATATTGACGACTGTTATTTTATAGATACAACTTTTGCAGGATGGGTAAACCACCTCTTGTACCTGACCCTGACGACCATGAATACATTCTGACGCCCGACAACAGGTACTCTTCGTTGGGTTCTGCGTGAACATGCTTGTGTGTACGTTTGCCTCACCTCACGGAAAAGCGCAACATGGGAAATGATATTTAACAGATGTAGTAAACGCCTACGGGGGTGGATATCATGGATGGGATGTCCCAAAGAGTGACTTTGTGGAATTCCAGAAGGTAGATAACCCAGCGAAGGAAGCCATTTCCAAGGTCTACTCCTATATTTAAAACAGCGACAGTCACTAACAAACATACGAGTGAAGGCATCCTATGCAATCACCCTTATCTACGTCCCCACGGTTTTTATTGTCAAGCTCGCCCTGCTCTCAGTCATGCTACGGATTTTCGCCCCCGACCGTCGCAAGGTCCTTGTTATTCACATCAGCTTGATTGTGCTCTTGCTCTACTATATCCCCGCCCTGTTTATCAAGATATTTTTCTGCAAACCCATCTCGGCATTTTGGTATGGCACGAGTGACGGCGGGACCTGTATTGACCAGCAGAAAGTCATCATCGCCGACTCAGCCATCAGTATTGTTAGCGACCTATGGATCCTCATCCTACCGGTCCCGATGCTGTGGTCACTACACATGTCGCGCATGAAAAAGCTCCGGGTCATTGGTATCTTGGGCGCGGGTGGGATAGCTACTGCATTTAGTATCTGGCGGTTAGTGATCATGGTCGAGGAGGCCCCGACAACAGACATAACATGGTTCTGGATTCATGCTGTATTGACAGCGTAAGATTCTTACATCTCATTCGTATCAGCTCGGACTCGAACTGACTATCTTACAGAAACGCCGAAGCAGGTATCGGGCTCATATGCGCGTGTCTGCCCGCGTTGAGCGCATATTTCGTCTCTGTTAAGAACAAGAGCAGCAATGCTAATAGTGGCAGCTATCTGCACAGCCATGAGCTCGACAATTGGAAGAAGATTTCTGCCTCCAGAAAGAGCCGTAATAATACGAACTCCTTCCAAACCCAACAGAATGACCAGACGCAGCTCATATCCACTGCTGAATGCGCTGAAGCGCCTGAGGAATCATTAATGAGTCTTCCTTCTCAGCAGAATCATCATCCTGATCGTCATGTTATACACAAGGATGTTGCTGTTTCTCAGAGTTACGAATTTGTGAGATAGCGACCGTTTCACGGCTGCTATGCTTTTCTTTACCATGTACCGAAGAAGATGGAATTATAATACTTAGACTAATGGGTTGAGCGTAATGGAATTAAAGGGAAACCAGTGCGAACCGAGCAGCATTGTCACGGCCCCGTTGGAAGGCGGTTCTTGATTATTGGCTTTCTTATGAGATTATTCTTAATGTATTGTTCTAGGATCATTCCACTGCCTAATGATAAACCGCTAGGATGTCATATGACCAGACATGTGACAAGCATTTTCGCTAACTACGGAATGATAGTAGTGATACAATCTTTCTGCAAAGTATTATACCGGCCAATTTATCACCCTTTTCTCTTTTGAATCGGCGTGAACACCAACTCGAGCATAGACCTATAATGCAGCACCTACTTCTAAGCCCATTCTATACCCATCCACAAACTCGCGCAGCGCCCTCAACGGTCGATTGACATGGCCCTGCATATGCGCCATATTCGTAAGGACGAACCCCCGTGGGGGCGTGTGAAAATCAAAGGTACAATAACATAAAAAGCCCTGCTTATCTGTCATTTTCTAACACCAAAGGCAGGCCGGACCTCGAAGCCATCCACAAGATGGCTTTGTATGAATGATGACCCCAAAGCATTTATAGCTCTCCCTATCCGCTGATATAGGGTTTCATCACCGATTGAAAGACCAATACCACAATCAAAGCGGCCATGCTCGGAATTCCAGAAGAAGCCTTTTCCCTGCAGAGCATCGAGCTCCCACCGCTGGTATACATTCATGCTACTTTCATTCCAGTCTGGCTGCGCGTCTATAATGATAAAGAATACTTTTGGGTGATAGAATAAGTCAAATATCTCTCGTAATGCAGCAGGATCGCTCTGCAACAGCGCCTCTGGCACGGCGATATGTCTGACGTTTGGTTGTACGTCCACCATCCGACCGACGAGATCTGGCTCAAATTGGCGATCGATAGGCTCATGGATGAATTCATCTACCTTGTCAAACGGAACGTATAACACGTCACGCACTGGGTCGAACTGGCGCACGAAGACGAAGGACTGTTTGTCCCTGTGAAAGCGCATCTGAATACCCATTTCTCGAGCCCAGGCTAAGGCGATGGCCCTGGATTCCCGGTTGACGAAGACTAGTGCTATATAAAACTGCACCGGGTCCAATAAATCGTGGCGGAACTCGAATGCGATATTGCACCATTCGGTGTATGCTTCATCAGATTCCGACAAGTGCCGAGAGCACCAACACCCCTTTTTGTAAGGGAATAGGACTTGGCCAACGTCGTGGGGCAGGGCACAACGCCATACAAGGTAGCGCAGCTCCGGAGGGAGGTTTGTGAAGCGAGGAAACTGGGAGAGATTGGTCGCCACTGCTGCCATGGTAGCTGGATATTTGCTTTTGTTAACTGAGTCTGCGTAGGTGACGAACATGAAAAGACCGACAAGGCTGTGCTCAGGATCCAGGTAATACTGCGCCACACTCCGCAAAGGCCATAGCCCTATATATTGTCAAACGAACATAACTTGAACTTGAACAATTATTACTATTAACTGTCGGTCACCTGATTGATCGCCTAAATGGTCATATGACCCCCAACACCTCGGGGCTTTTTGTACTTAAATTAGCCTTAAATAGTATCATCAATCAACCAGCTCTATCACTGCCACTACTGGAGCCTTAGAGCTTTCACATTAACTTATTAGTAAATATTACATTTCCACGCACTACAGCGCTGCTAATCCCCAAATGACCTCCCTCTGTTCGGTATCCGTCACGACTGATGACAATCCATACACTGGCCAACCTTCAAGGAAGGAGGGTCCTGGACTTGTGCAAAGATAGCTCCAAGGCGATCAATGTCCCTGGCTGCGCCTCCTTGAAAGCCCACAAGTATGCCACTGCCCACATTCATCGTAACTTTCTTCCCTCCCTGACCACCAGCAAAGAAAGAGCGGGAAGTTGTTGTGAAAGCTATGCTATCTGCGCGCAAAGCCCCAGCGATCTGCATCTCCTTGATGGTTTCACCTGGTGCAAATTTGAATGACTGGTACTCATCCGTCGTCGTTCCATAGACTGCACTCTTCCGATCGTCAGACCAGGTGATTTGGAGTCCTCGGAGTACTTTGGGTTGACCAGCGCCATCCCCGACCCAGAAGTGGATAGTATCGATAGTCTCGGAAGCTGCGCAAATGGCTGAAAAGTCCTTTCCCCCGGTTCCACCGACAGGATCATTGTAAATCAAGGATGGTGGTTTGGGTTCAGACTTCAGCTCAACACCTTGTATCATTTCCTAAGGTCATTTACTTAGTTTTGCACCTGGTATTCATTTTTTGAATGGAGTACTCACAGGATTTGGGAGTGCACTGGTCATGGGTAGAAAGGCCACGGCCAAGGGAAAGAGATGTTCTAGAAGCTTCATTTTGAGTAGCTGGGTATGCACGGTATGGCAAAGTAAAATCAGAGATATTCAGGCTTTGTCTGATGATGGTACTTGAGACTTCTCAAAGCTGTGAGAGTCACAATGTAAGTGGAAGTGTTCCTCTTTATACCATTGCTTTCTTGATTTTCTTGTCTTATCTCATTTTGAGATAATCACACTGTGGTAGGCATAAGATAATTACTACACTAGTGCTAAAAGGAATGTGACAAGTCTTCACTGTGCAACAAGAAAAAGCCCTCTAAGGACACCTAGTTCCCACAGAAAATATGATCGGCGGCTTTTGCTATGTGTCATACAATAGCAGAAGGGAAATGCCAATAATCTGCAGGTTCCCGATCGTGTTGCCTAGAAGAAAAAGAAAATCGTACTTTTGGCCTACTAGTAGCCTCTTTTTATGATAAAGTGGAGCTTAGAGACCAGATATTTCATTTCGATGCAGGTGCTCTCATATTAGATTGGACATACAGGTCTTGCGCACTGATGAAAATCTGCGATAACTAATTAGTCAAACGGCTAGAACGTGTCAGAACTAGAAAAAGGGTTCTTTTTATTGTATTCCCGTCATAGAATTGCGCTTTAGGGGCTGATATTGACATATCAAATTTATCCTTATGCAAAAGTTGTCATATTGTTGACAGAACAGTCAATCCTACTGCAAGGGGCATCATGCCATTATTTGACGACTACACGATGAAGGCTAAGTAAACAGCAAAAGCAAAGTTAATAATGCATCATGAATACAGTATAGTCCTGGTAGTGTATTAGAGAGTGGACTATAATAAATTAAGACACTGTACGTTGTACTTTCCCACAGAAACACTTGTAGAAAAATAGCCCTGGACTTGCCTCTATACCGGGCAACGATATTAATAAGAATTAGAGCTTGGTATATCTGGCCTTAACTATAGGTACATTAATATCATATATAAAACTTTAGCGCGACTCAAGAATAGGCGAGTAATCCGGATCACATTGGAAACTACGCCTATACCTAGGAAGGCACGAGTCACGTGTGTTGATTGGTTTGATAAGTCACTGAAAGGTAAGATAGGAGATGTATAAGAATAGTAAAGTATTGATTGATTAGGAGAAACATCGGAGTTGATATATTCGCCCCATACTATAAGTTTCTTCGCTTGGGTCCGCCAAAGGTGGATTGCATTATGACGAGGCCCGAAAAGCCTCCTGCTGTCTCTATCCAACTCTCATGGTAAGAAAGCAAGGAAGTAGCCATTAGGATGAGAATCTAAGCCTCACATTGCTTGTATTCGCTCCTGTATTTAGTTATAAGCACTAGGACAAAGTAGTATGACACCACGCTGAAGCACTACTGGCCATAGGCATATACCCCCTAGCCTACGCATCTTTGGTGTTGGGAGCTGGGAAGCTCGGCAATGAGTATCCTGATCCTAAAGTTGCCTCTGTGTTGAATTTGGTTGACGTAATCGACGAATCAAATGCGGCATTCTTGAGCTATGAATCTCAAAATATAATAGCGGTCTGCACTTCCACGCTTAGCTTTAGACCACCTGAGACATTCGCGCGGATAGAAGGCTCCGAGGGCACCATCGCCATCTTTGGTGTTGCTGCCAGTTGTCCGAGGGGATTCCAACTGAAAAGTGTGCCTGTGCTCGTGACAATCAATCAGAAAAGCAGGTTTTCAGATTCGACTATCCTCTTGGGACAACAGGTTTATCTCCGAGGCAGACGCAGTGACGAGAGATATTACCCATGGTAGGATGGAAAGCGAAACCATGCCCCTGGATGAAACTTTGAGAATGTTAAGGTTGATGGACACTATTCGAAGGGACGGTGGTCTTGTTTATGCTCAAGATGAGTCTAAATAGAGAAAGTAAAATAAAGACAATTATAAGGTTGACTTGAAGCAGTCATATTCCATGACCGAGAATTTCGTTTTGTAGCGACTCTATAATCTGTCGCGCTTTGCCAATATCCGGGCTCTCGGACTCCCAGTACTTAAGCCCATCAATGCATATTTCGAATGAGCGCCCAACTTCCCCTTCCCAGCATGATATCGAGGACGAAACCACATGCGCTACAGAGCTCGTGAGGCAGGCTCTGGTAGCAGAATGTGGAGTCCCAATTACAAAGTATTCCACGTCCATGTGGCGTATTCTTGGAGGCTTAGGGAGCCATGACTTATCTGCGATGCGAGAAGCATTGGGTATGCTAACCAAAGTCCTGGGAGCAAATCTTGGGTATTCCTTTTGGAAGTGGGTCAACGATTTAAACTCTGGCCGAGACCGTGCTCAAAAATAACCATGAATCAATAGTGTGCTTTTTCAGTATTCCGGCTTTGCAGTGAGCTATGAATCCGGGATGGACTCCGTCCCTCGCTTCGACGCCCATATTGAAATATACAGTCAAAACAAATCGGTCCGCATACGGTACGACACTCCCTACGTGAAAGGACTTCCGACTACCTTGCACACCTGCGAAAAGGATGGCGCTGGGTACCGTGAAACTATTATTCGCAGAACCTACGAAGATCCTTAACTTTACAGCTCAAAGAGCTATATGACTGGGTAGTGCATGGAACCACAGTGGAAACCACCGCTGAAGACGCGGAGCTTGATAGCCAAATCTTTCAAATGATCATGAAAGCCGGAGGCTACACTGCGTGATCTTGGCTATCTCCATTAGGGCAGCGTATGAGATTTGAGGGATCTGTAACCAAAAATTGTGGTGTCTTAGCCGTCTAACAGTACATCCACAACTCAGTAAAGAATTCTGTCGAATAATGAGATCCTAGATCAATAGCGCAAAGTCATAACCAGTTTACCTCTAAACCTATAGTTTCAAGGAGCCTGATGCGAAATAATAATCACGACGAGAAATATCCCGGATTTACCGCTCCGGTTGCACTTGCAGTCACAAATGACCTTCAAGCGAAGAATACCTGGCGGTGAGTTGGTTGGCCAATCGGGCAGTTTCGCTTAAGAAGTTGCGAAACTCTTGAGAAATAGTTTAGATGCTGCCCACGTGACTTTGAGATTGTTATTTTAATTGTATAGACGAGAAGCGACCTGATAAGCTGAATTCTGCCAATAAATTGCGTATGTAGGAAAGCGGAACCAAAAGGCGGTGTGAGCGATATCCAGTTCCTGAAAGTCAAATGAATAACGAACTTCCAATATGCCCCGATCAGTCTTTGCGATGAAAAGTATCCATCAGTCTCTGTGTTGTGGTATGCACCGCCTGATGATTATTGATGGAAGCATTCGTGGACAATCTCTTATGAGGCTTGAGTTAACTTGATGAACTCGAGTATCAGCGGAGTCAAATATATATACAAAGACAACGTGAGTCTATTCGCATTGGCTGAGGGTCTAACATTTCTAAATGGATGTTTCTTTTCAAAGACTAAGGTCTACATGAGACCTAAAACTAGATTGTATGTAGGTGGTGCCACCAAATCGCGATTGAGATCAAACATGCAAGTTTATTCCAAGGTTTATTTGGTCTAACTCGTACCTCACTATTGAAGGGACACCGTCAAAGTCGGTTTGCAAGCGGGACACTGATTTATGGTTACAGAATATGGTGCCGCAATTCCTCTACGTGTTTCGTCTATCTTCAACTATTGTGGCCTGTTGAGACGTTATTGAGGAGATGATCTTTTGACGCAACGTTCTGTTATCCGAACGATAGAGCCGAGAGAGAAACAATGCAGAGACCTCGCTACAAGGGACAATCAAAGAGTAGTCCGCGGTCAAGAAACCCATTGAACAAAAAAGGAAAACGGCCTTCTGACAATTGAGTCGCTGCCGGTAGATTATCCCTAAATACGCTTGAAGGGGAAACAGTCCAACACTACGGCTTGAAAACCCGTGGCGCAGACCATGAACCGAGGAAGTAGATTTTTTCGTTTTTCATTCCAGCAGATATATCCTGATCATAGGAGGTTGGATCTCGCATTTGCGAGTCTTTCAGAACTCCAGCGCCGTCACCGCCATTGCAACATGAACTTAAACCCCGGACAAAACCCTCTAAGCAGACTTGGCCTTGGCAGCCTCACGTCCCTTTCCGATGCGCTCCAGGATCTGCTCACGGTCCTTGTCGAGGTGGAGCTTGGAGATGACGACCTTGGAGGGGTGGATACCGAGGGGAACGCTCTGGCCGTTGGACTTCTCGCGGACGACACGCTCGACGTGGACAACCCACTTAAGACGGTAAACGCTGGTGATCTTGCCCTCACGGCCCTTCTGGCCTCCACGGACAATGGTGACCTCGTCGTCCTTGCGGATGGGGAGAGAGCGGACCTATCAAGGACTGCGTCAGAACTGTGCTCCTTATGTTTCTTGTTTCATCCCCAGTTTCATGTCGTTGGTGTTGCTTTCCTCCTAACTCCATCCAAAAATCCAGTGGGTGAGCGAGCCCAATCCCGACTGAGGAGAGAGGGTTCAGGCCAATATCCATTCCGACTTCTTCAAGGGGTTTGCAGATCGTTCTCGGTGTTGTTCGAACATACATTGTACTTCTCACGGAGTTCCTTGCTCAGAGGGGCGCTCATGATGACACGGCGCTCGCCGGAGCCAGCGTTGAAGTGCGCCTTGCGCGACTTCCGGCGGGAAGAGGCCAAACCTGAAGAACGATTCATCAGCATACTCGGACCATGCAACTCTCCACCCAGACACCACGACGAAGCGATTGGGAGAATATAGAAATATCGGCGGATCGAATTTCAAGGAATCACGTACTGTGGTTCTGGACAGTCATCTTGACAGAGCCTCCTAAAAGGGATCGTGAAAGGGCTCAGTACGGTTGTCGTTGGGGTCGTCGTCGGAAAGCTTCAAAGTCCAACAGATTCTTTTGTGGCCGAAAAGATTGAGTTGTGTGCGTCACATGACGGCCCGCTTCGCCTAGGGCTGGGTCCTGCCTTGTGATTGGCTGTTACTCGCTTCCGCCTTGAGCCCGTGGCGCGGGTTCGTCGATCGTAAGAAGAACTTTCTAAGACTTGTCCATGTAAGTCTCTACCTTCTTTTGTCATAATTTTAAGTCCCATCCGATGAATCCTAGATCTATAGTACTAAGGAGAGTGCTGTATTGTCATATCTGTCCTGCGTAGCGGGTACTCATACTGCCATTCTGCCAGGTGCCGACATTCTGATTACCACATTAGGAATAGTTGATGCCAAGAATGTACTCCGTAAGAGAACAGTTACCAGCAATTTCATAATGGAGGTAGTATAAGAAAGGCTTTTCTTTTATATTGGAACTTCAAGTAGATATGATTGAGCTAAAGCGGTTAGTGAAATTCTTCACATCACGAAGATTACCTCCACAAAAGCTGCAGAATACATGCAATATCGGCAGTGTCATAATAATAGGACTCGTAATACTGCTATTGGGTATAGATCGAGCCATTTTTGGAATAAGGGCAAAAGCCCATAGCAGGAAGATCCTAAGAAACTAGCGTTTTTGGGATGGTACTTAGATATAGCGGGCGTATTATGGGCGTTGTGAGCGGAGATTCTCATCTTATCAAGGGCAGAAAAGTGAACCAACAGAGTGAAAAGCGGGCCCGGAAACCGTTCACACTGTGACCACGTGCCTACTATATACACAGTACCCATCTTTTTGTAACAGCGGTTGTGACGGTTGTCAATGGAGAGCTCTTTTAGAGGCTAAGGACTGATACTTTGGTGGTTTTGCCTTGCCCTATCCTCCCATTTACATAGTCAACTCCCGTAAACGTCAATCTGCTTGTCTAATTATCCGACGGCTATTGCGTTGATGATCTTTTTGCGGTCTTTGCATTTCGTTTTCTTGCTCCAAGGAAAGATTATATACACCAGAGCTCTCTCAGCCTACCATGCCAAGAGAAATTGGGAACATTTTGAACAGCATTTTCTGCCGTTCAACCAAAAACCAATGGTTTAACCCTGGATATTTGTTAATCCCCGCAAACCCGCACTGAACCCGCAGCGGTGTGACTGTAGATTCTAGACCCAGCATCCGCAGGTGAAAAAACCCGCAGCACATCCCACTCCCGAAATAGCTAAACAACTGCGAAAAGCATTAATAAAAGTTCATAAAACTGAATTTGAGACTTTAAGTCATAATATATGTATATGATTCATATGAGCTGTAAGTTATATCCGGATGTGGTCAATGTTACTCAATTCCTTCTGAAGACCTGCCAGATATATATATGGATCTTGACCTGGATTTACATGAACTGCAAGATATATGAAAGATCCATCGAATCGATCTGTGTCAATCTATAGAGCCTACGTATGGCTTGTATATCCAGATAGATATACTAGACTCGAACTTTGGATCATCAAAATGTGTATGGAGCTTACAATTCCATCTTTTCGGTACAGATCTTTTGCGGGCTGATTCGGTATAGTCGATCTATTCGAATCCGCGCTGTATCTATTTTTACAGGGCTTAGGGCCTGAGCGGCACGTGATCATACATAGCCTAAATTTCTCCATGGCTGCGGAAAGCCCCACTAAAAACCGTACCCATCCGAAGGTCTGGTCTTGTAATCTGAGCCCTGGACTAGAATGTATCGAGCATAATAACCATTATTCTCACCCGGAATGACTTGATGGATGTGTCTTTAGTGGGAAAACGGGCAAGCGACTAGGGCATGAATTGATGAGCCGAAACTGCATGATTATGTGCGACATTTGCTGATTGACTTGCGCTCGCATTTACCCAATCTCAAGCGGATCGCAATACGGCAGAGAATTGGTCATCCAGTCAGGATAGAGTACTGGGAACAAAGAGCAGGGAGAGCTGCAGATAGCATGCGCATGAGTTGGAATCGAGCTGCAGCCAGTGTTTGACCATTTATCTCAAGATCTGTGGACATGGGAAGCGTGTGCAGGAGGGCAACTGAACGTATTCTTATATTGTATTAGGATAATATTACCGAGATCCGCGGGATGTGATTCCTGAGCTTGACTTGCATGGAGGCGATATAGGGGAGTCTCTGCTTATCACGATACAAAGTACGGTGTACAACCAAACTCGTTTAATATACCCTTGATTAACGAATTATGGGGATATCGAGGCTGGAAGTGGTTCGGTGGCTCCGGGGCTATTCTCCCATGAGAGATTAGTCCATATCCACTGCTCTTAGCTTTGTACAATAACACAATTCTCGGCCATAGTAAATTGGAAGAAACAAGCCAAAGAAAACGTAAATCAATCTGAATGGAGTTCGGTTCAAATCGTCCCGAGGGGCTTGCGGGGAAGCCTGCGGGGTGTCGATGTTGACACCGTCATTTCTCAAATAGTGCATATAATTTGCCCTCTATCAGGATGTAGGCAAAGATAAGGGCCTCGAGCTTTGCGCCTGAAGAAATAATGCTTTGAAGCAACCCACGATGAAAAAGCGAGGAATTCCACGCTAGCAGCATGGAGGAAATTTTTCCGTGAAAGTAGTCATCTGCTACCTTAATGAAGCATGACCAATTCCATATGATAGTCTATTCTATGCCACTATCCCCGCATGCAGCTGCTCCAAGGTTAAAACTCATTATGCTAATACTATATAAGCAAAAGGCCGTGCAACAGCAGGGGTCGTCTGGGATTACCCCGCCTCTCAATAAATAGTGGTGTGGTACCAAGTAGTGCATGCCCATAAATAACGGTTTTGGAGGCAAATATGGAACTAACCATTTTTCTGTCCGCTTTGTTAACCTTTCTGGCTGAGGGTAAAAATGCTGCTCCCGTTGATTCACCCCGACCGACGATCAACCTTGACTACGCTCAGTACCAAGGAGTGAGACTTCCGGCCGGAGTAGATCAATATCTGGGCATGCGATATGCAGCGCCACCACTAGCAGAGCTTCGTTTCCGGGCTCCCCAAGAACCTGTTCGAACGTCTTCCGTCCAGGATGCATCAGCGGTAAGAGGGTGCGGATTTTCCAAGAAGGCCGGCTGTTAATTTGTCTGATAGTTTGGCCCAGTATGTGTCGGCACCGGCCAGAATGTTACCCAAAAAACCGCCGAGGATTGTCTCTTCATCAACGTTTTTACCCCATCTAATGCCACACCAGGATCCAACCTCCCTGTTTGGGTGTATATTCAAGGTGGGGCATATGCGACAAATTCGAATGCAAACTACAACGGTACCCAGGTGATAGAGGAATCCGGACATGAAATTATACTGGTCAACTTTAACTATCGTGTGGGAGCATTGGGCTTTCTAGCTGGCCACAAGGCCCAGCAAGATGGTGACCTCAATGTCGGCTTGCTTGATCAGCGGAAAGCCCTCCAATGGGTAAAGAAGCACATATACCTGGTAAGGAAACCTACCATTATCCGTTCGTCTCATATTCCCCCAGTCTGACAGACCCCAGTTTGGTGGCAATCCAAATCATGTCGTTATCCATGGTGCGTCGGCCGGCGCAGGCTCTGTGGCCTACCATCTTGCAGCATACGGGGGCCGCGATGACGGTCTTTTCGTTGGAGCAGTGGCTGAGAGTCCATTTTGGCCTGCCCAACGAAATAGCTCTGAATCCGAGGCACAGTTAGGTCAATTTATGGAGGCTGTCGGATGCTCCACGATGTCGTGTTTGCGATCTGCCAACATCACGGCCATTCAGAAAGCACAGGCTACTTCACCAGATCCAACAGATCCCACACGTACAACGCCCTCTTTTTGGGATTTTGTCCCTGTTGTCGACGGGACTCTCGTCCAGGACCGTCTCTATACTCTGTTCGCGAATAAAAAATTCGTCCGTGTTCCATTGATTGTCGGCGGAGACACCAACGAAGGATCTAACTTCGCCTACAATGCAACCAGTCCGGCCGATATTTCCGAATTCTTGACCAGCCTTTACCCCAGACTTAGCTCAAGCCAATTGAAATCGATAAATCGCGCATATCAGGGTATGACACCCGTTCCGCTTCATGCAGAATACTTCCCTGCTGCGTCCGCCGCGTTTGGAGATGCTGTCTTCACCTGTCCAGGCATTCATATGAGCACTAAAATGACAAGGTATTACCCTATGGGCAATAAAAAGGTTTGGAGTTACCGATATAATGTGCAAGATCCAGAGACCCTTAGCAAGGGTTTGGGAGTTCCGCATACCTTCGAGACAGAGGCCATTTTCGGACCGAACTACGGGGGTGGACTTAGCAGCAGCATTACCAATATCAATGCCGGAATTGTTCCTATTGTCATGAATTATTATATTAGCTTTGTGAAAACTTTGGATCCTAACAGTCTCAGAGCTGAGGGTGCGCCTTACTGGATGCCATGGGGGACAGGAGAGAGACTAAAGATACAGACGAATCAGACAGTGATGGAGGATATTCAAGGAACGCAAAAAGATCGGTGTGCACTGTGGGAGGCACTGGCTCCTGTTATGGATGTTTAGCAAACCTGGGGAAAATGGACTAGTTTATATACGAATTACCGAGTTTCTGTTCCGTGTAAACGTTGCTCTACGTAGCTGAACTGCCCGGACACCTAGAGAAGGTCAGCTCCGATAGCCAGCGAAGACAGAATTTACCGACTTTGCTAACGACAGCGCAATATTATATAGCTAATTAGATGTCTTCACTATGTCCTGCCATATTATGTACTAATTATTAGCATTAACTTTCCGAACCATCGACTAGTCCGCGCCCGAAGATACTGATAACTTTGATATCTTAAAACTATAGTATTTTATCGCTCGTAAATATTATAGATTATAGGAATTTATTCTACCCCTAGGCCTCGCGTGCCCTAAATTAGGCATTGCTACTGTTAACTTTAGGTACCTTAACCCCTAAACTTAGGGCTTAGTTTATAGTATCTACACCGCCACCA